AAGCTGCATATCAGGAAATCGAAAACCGACAGACTTGGCGTTGGGTCCTACGCTGTAGTACCTGACTCCAGCGCCTTGCAACCAAGTCCGTTCTTTTTGCTCGAGGCGTTGGAGAGCTTGAAAAGCAGATTAGAAGAGCAGCACGCATTCAAGTGCCCGGAAATCACGACGGCGGACTGCAACAACCAAAAGGACCGCGACATTGTCTCGCTGAGGTACAACAAGAACGCGGAATCGCAGAAATGTAAGCTGCTGTTCACGTCATTTAACACAAAGACCAAGACCTTCACGCCCATGACAAACCAGCGGATCAACGATACGGCGCACAGTGCGCTTCTCATGGCCGGCCTACCAGGGCGCAAACGACTGCCGTTGCGCGGTTCTGGTGCGAAAATTTTCGCCAAAGGTGACAGGCAGTTGGCGCAGCGACTAGGAGGATGGGCTTCGGAGCAGATGATAGATGGCATCTACGCGCAGTCCACACCGGCCCAGATTGCGAACGCGGCCAAGTACGCGCTGGAAGCAATGGAAACCACGACCAAAATCGCAGCCATCGCCCGGGGTTTAGCACCATTGGAGGGGAGCAAGCAGATTCTGGAGGTGGCGAAGAAGTTTCAGTATTTGAGGACTGACGTGCATTTCAAAGATATCGAAAGTGTGTATCACATGCTCGACCCGAACGATCGCGATCTTTTCAACAAAGTGAAGGGGTCGTTTCTGATGGAAAATTGCACGAGAAGGAGCCCTGTTATGAACAGGATTGACATTTTTGTAGACTCGGAAAAAGCGAAAGAAGTCTTGAACAAAGTCGATATGTTGAAAAAGAGGAAGCTTCACTGAATAACAAGTAAAATTGAACCAGAATTGAAGCCAAGGCCAGGCGCCTTCACTTTGTGAGGGCGATCGGGTGGCGTCAGCCGTGATTTGGTGTTGCGCGTCGCTTCATCTTGTCGCTGGTCGTCTGTCATTGCGTATTTTCACAGACTAGAAAATGCCAATCGAGTTATCACAAAATGAGATCGTCGAACGCACGAGGCGTTTCTGTCTTGCTGTTCCCAGGTGGGGCAGGGAGATCAGGTCCGAGGTCACGCAGAGAGTCGAGCAGTTACCGATCAACGACGCATGGTGGAACGGCAGGAAAGTACCCGTTTCGCGCGAGGAAGTACGGAAGTACATGGAAGAGCAACCGGGACCGCGGGACGAATTTCGAAAAAAAGAGGACGAGGCGGCATGGAAATCGCTCTCCATCAGCCCCCTGGTCATCAACAAGCTTCAAGTGTCGGATTACTTCAAACACCACTGGTTGGCGGGCTTCGTACTCCAAACCTCTGCCGAAGGTGCGTATTTGAGCGAAACCGCAATCAGCAGCGACGAGCCGGCATACGACAGACCAGACTTCCCCACGGTATCAGACCACAAAGAAATTGCCAGTGCTGAAGCAAAGCGCTTGCTTAACACAGGCAAGGCGATTGCCTGGGGTCCGCGGTCGGCGGGGCCACCGAATTTGTCGGTGTCGCCCGCGAACATCATCATCAAGGAGCACAGGCCGCGAATGGTGTGCGACCTGTCGGTGGTGGGTTTGAGCGAGTTGCTGGTGCCAGTACCTACGGAATACAAGAGCATCGAAGATTTTCTGAGTGTACTCGTCCAAAACGCTTACGCGTTCGGCGCGGACGCTACTGATTGCTTCTGGAGTTGGCTTATAGCTGCCCTGAGTAGAAGACTACTTGGGTTGAACGGCCCCAGATTACCAAGCGACATTGACGAAGCTGTTGAACAAGGCGCGACGCGGAACGATTTGGAAAACGCTTCTACAGAAGTCCGGCGGGTCATCAGCCTACTCTATGCCAGCATGGGGCTCGCGATTTCCCCCGGGGTCAACGATGGTTCGATAAAGGAATGTATCAGGGTGCTGCGCATCCTCTACCCGGAGATCCGAGTTTTCGACTTCGTCGACGATTTCAGGGGGACCGACGAAAGCAATCCAGCCTCTTTTGAAGCTGTTTACAAAGCCATGATGCGATTTCGGATGGTATTCGAAGCCATCGGCGTGAAACTGCATGAGTGGCAAGTGAAGAAGCTCGATAAAATGATATATCCTTCAATGAGGTTTGATTGGATTGGTTTCACCATCCACACCGACGAGCTGATCACTCTCCTGGAAGACGCGAAGAGGAAAAAATTTCTGGCCGAACTCGAAGAGCTGATCCTGACCGCGCTGCGGTTGAAGTACGTGCAGGCCAAGCACCTGTGTGCGGTGGTTGGAAAGCTCTCCTTTACTACATTTGTTGTACGTATGGGGCGAATCTTTTTGAGAAATTCCTACGACTCCCTGGCCCTGTCAGGCGCCGTGAAACTCTGGACACGCGGAAACAAGAAGGCGAGCCCACGAATCGCCATTACGGACGAGTTGCTGGATGACTGGCACTGGTGGCGCGACACCCTCCAGGCAATCCCCAAGTTGAAGATCCACAAGAGAACCGATGAAAAACTCTACCTGTTCGTGCCGAATTTGCTTGACGACCCGGAAGCAGTGATGAGGATTCCGCCGGAGGCCATCACACAACTCAAGGGAGATGCTTCGAAAAAAGGATGGGGCGTGACGGCGAGTTCCGATACTAGGCGGTGGAAAGACGGTTTCCGGTCCATCGACGGTGCGGCGTCGTCGTCCAACAAGCGAGAACTTGCGATGTGGAGCGAAGCTTTCGAGCTGGCGGCGCCAGAGCTGGCAGGCTCCTTGTTGCTCGTCAGAACCGACAACAAATGCGCACGGCACTACTTGAGCTTCTATGTCGGGAATGTAAAAACACTTTCGACCATTGGAAGGCGGATCGCCACTCTGCTTTCGCAGTATGGCATCTCCCTGATTGCCCTCCACTTGAAAGGTGTTTTCAACGTGGTCGCCGATATGCTGTCTCGACTCAGGATGAAAGCCGAACTGCAGGACTTGTTTCCGAACAAAGTGCTAAAAAAGCGCACAAGGGACGCGATTTTTGCGAGGCTAGGCGGTCCGCCGACGCTCGACGCAATGGCCTTACGGGATGGAAGTAACGCCATTTGCGAAAAGTACTTGCTTGACTTCGCCAACTGGGATTGTTTCGCCCAAACACCCGAGTACATGGCGCAGTTCGTCTCCTGGTTCCATCCGAGTCTCGACTTGTTGTATCCGATCCTTAAACTGCTGATGGGATGGCTGAAAATCGAGGAGGGAAAGCGACCAGCAGCACTTCTTCTCATGCCTAAGTTCATCAGTAGGTTCATTTTTATGACTTCAAAATTTTGGCAAGTTGCAAAATTGAAAAAAGGAACACAGCCATTCGAAGATCGCGAAGCACTCTTGGAGCCGATCCCGCAACCGTTCATGATTCTCTCCAAGGTGCCGCCGCAAGTACTACGCGAGCGTCTCACTAGTATGAGCCGTGCATTGTAGGTTATTTGGGATATTTGGGTGCAAAAATATGTCACGGACATACCACGTTCGTGAGGGTGTTTCCTCGATGCCGCGGAGCGACCTCGCGGACCGTGTGCGACCTTTCACTATAGCCGCCTGATGATCTTCGGCGAGAAGATCGCGTGAAGTCATTGGCACGTTGATAGTTTGGGCGGTAGGATCGAGCATTCATTTAGGCTGTGAAGGATCGCCAAAGATACGATCTCAGACGAATGAATTTGCGATGCCCGCATGTAAAATGAAAACGTAAATCTAGACTGTTGTTCTTGTGATCGCAGAGATCACTCGGGTAGCCCGCTGGTTCGTACGTTGAATCACCCACCCGCCCGTCCCACACGTGATTAGTTACGTTGCGCTGCAAGACCTCAGAGATCAGCGCGACGCAGTTCAGTACAAGGAATAAAACTCGGCCAGTGACAGCTGCCGTGGGATGGGTGCGTTCTTGATTCTAGGCAGTTCAGTTTATGAGCTTAGACACAGTCCGATGAAACAGACCATTTGGAAGGACTTGAACCCACTCGCTTAGCCTGAGCAAAAAGAAAGTTGCAGCCAGTACTTCCACGCGCGACATAGACATCTTCAAGAGGGTACACTGTGAAGTCATTGGCACGTTGATAGTTTGGGCGGTAGGATCGAGCATTCATATGAAGGCAGTCGAGGGGAAGCCGAGTGTCACCGTCGTCCAGGCGGATCAGTCGAAGCCCGAAACTATCAAATGTAAAAATGTCTGGGTCTGGAAGAATGCAACTTGTGATGCTATTTTTGGAATCCAAAAAAATCTGTATTGCATGAGCAACAAGAGGCGTCCAGTTTTTGCTCCGCGGAGAGGGGATTTCTCATGCGGGATAGGCATCAAAATACCCGCAAAAAATTTGTGATGCTGGTGCATACATCACAGACATCACGGGTCATGCAAAATGTGCATGACAAACCTTGCAATCTTCCAGACCCAGACATTTTTACATTTGATAGAAACGCTGGATGAGGTGCTCAAAGGCGCGTACGGGGTGTTCAATGTGACCGCGTTCTGGGCTTCGGCCACGGACGGGGGCACCGGCTCGGACAAGCCCACGGACGCCGCCTACGAGAAGATGCAGGCGCTGAACGTGAACGCGGCCTGTGCGAAAGCGGGGGTCAAGCATCTGGTGTTCTCCATGTTGGAAAACACGGCCAACCACAAAGATTTTAACCAGGACAAGGCGTTCAAGGCCGTCGAAGGAAGTACCTACGTCGTTCCGCACTTCGACGCGAAGGGCGAAGCGAGCGAGGCGCTGAACGAGCAGAAGGACGTGGCGGTGGACTTCGTCATGGTCGGTTTTTACTACGGCAACTTTTTCGGGATGAAGCCGCAGAAGGGCGAGGACGGGAAGTACGCCATGTACATGCCCCTCGGGGGTTGAGCACTCAACTGCGAAACGTAAATGAGCACGCGGAGCCCGCGCGTCCCCATGCACAAATGAATGAATGAATGAAGGTGAAGTGCATCGACGTGCCGGTCGAGGGCTGGATCGCGAGCGGTGTTTCCATGGGGATGGACCCGATTGTCTGCCGCGACTTCGTATCAACTGCAAAAGTGTCTGGGTCTGGAAGAATGCATGTTTATCATGCTTGTCTGGCATGACTCTTACATCTGTCATGCACGTCACTCGAGAGCTCCATTTTTCTGTCATGCAGAAACACAGTTTGTCATGCAGAATAGGCAACACCTAGAAGGAGCCCAGAAACTTGTCAAGCTGAGCTAGCACTTGTGGCCTCATCATGACACGCCACCCAGCATCACAAGTTTCCAGACCCAGACATATTTGCATTTGATACTGCGGGCAGATGTTCGCGTTTTACCAGACGGAGTCGGCGATGGATATGGCCTTCTCAAACGTTACTTTCTCAACTGTTACATGCATTTGCCATGCGAAATGACCATCAATATCTGCATTATCAAGCTGCTTCGCTTGACGACTCGTCGACGTGCTAGATAGCCTTAGAATCTTCTGCGCCAAAGAACCTGTAATGCAAAAGGCGAAACCTGCCCCCTTTCACTTTTGTCATTCTTGCATTGCAAATTCATGCAACAGCTGGTGAGTGTAAAGTTTGAGAGCTCCATACTGGAAAAGCGCGAAGAATTCTACAACGCGGGCAAGGGCAAAATGATGGCCTTCGAAGACTGGCTGAAGAACGTGAAACCCTACCTCTACCCGGATCTTGCGTAAGTAGAAGTGGTTCATTTCACCAGGTTTTTACGCAGAATCCTTTATCACTGGACGGCACAACTTACACTTACTCGCGGTTTTTACATAAAAACCTTTTTCTCGTACAAGCCGGATGTTCGTCATTGTGACATCAAGCGAAAGTGATGTGCAAAAGATGACTTTTTAATAGCTCTATCATCGATCTAGAGTGGTTGCTGAATTTGATAGCACGTTAATCCCCTACGTGGAACTTCTCAAAGCATCGAAGTCGATGCCGGGCACAACCAGTGTCAGTTTTTAAGAACGAATTTTTCAAATAGGATCGACTTTACTTTTAGTACTTTTCGGTTGCTTAGCCTTAGCTTGCATCAACGGAATACCTTACATAAAAGATAAAATAGCTCAGACGAATCAAATTCTATGCATCGATAGAAAGCACAGAATTTCTACCGTTTCACATCATTTTTGGTTTCCTGTTCCGTTTCCGTTGCCCAGTGCACGACCGACATAATCGTAGTACTAGACGACGTTTTTGCTTATTGTAGCAGGTAGGAGCCTAGAGCGGGACTAGGAATGGCACGGAGAAAATGGAAGTGGATAGCTGATCTAGAACTGAAACTGATCCGATCGTTGATGGTGTGCAGACAATGTCAATGATTGAGTTGTACAACGAAATGACCAATTGTTTTGCTTAGCGCATTTTTGTGAAGCATGGATGTCAGGGCGCTTTTTGTGACCAATTATTGTATTGTTCTGCATCGATCCGACTTTTGGCGATGGACCTATCGTAGTCGTTGTTGGAGTGTGGTGGGCGTCAAGGTTAAGAGTGAGATACCATGGCTCGTCGGAACCTCCCAAGAGAAAAATAGCTCGGCGGAAAATTTTAGCTGGTTCCACCGGGGATTTGTATTGGCCTTCTTCGGCAATTGTTTTTCGGCTTTGACGCTGAAACAATTCCAATTTTCTGCATCGCAGACAAACCAGTAACTTCGAACCATTCCACAGGTCGAGCTTTCGTTCTTTCCGTTCAGGTGTCGTGCATCGTTTGGGTTTGGCCTCGGCGCGATATGTTGGCTAGTAAGTACTTTTATTTATTGCTTGTTTCCTTAATTTCCCTTTCGTTTTCTTTCGTAGACAGTTCTTTCCTTTCGCCAGCGCATGGCATGAGGATTTCTTTATCGTTTTCAAGCGGTACGAAGCTATAAAGAGGGATAAGTCAACAAATCTTCTATGAAATTGCCCTTTGGCGTGATGATCGTGGTCTGTGCGACCTGTAAACTGCAATAACTGGCGTGCTGGGAGATCGTAGCACTTCGTGTCGTGTTTGCGAGCACTTCTCTTGTCCTCGTGCAACGTTTTCATCGTACTTCCGGACGCTTGTAGCAGTTGTAGCTTGTACAGCGTATAAATCAAGTAGTGCTCAGTTCCCTTGGTGTATGTGGTATTTATCGAGCTGAAGCGGAAAGGTGTGCATGCTTTTCACGTCCTCGTCAAGAACAGAATCAGATCTGACAAAGGTAGTTGTCGTTCTTGTTCGTACACCACTCAGCTCAAGCGTATAGTCGTGTACCACAAGAACTAATCGTGTCAATCATTAGTAGAGCTACAACGAAAATTGGAAATAAACGCAGTTCCCAGGATTTTAGTTGTGGTCCACAACAACAACGTGTTCACAGCATCTTTTTTTCCTAAACTGCTAAATAGCAAACGCAAAGCGCACACTGCTCGTGGTCTAGTCTAGTAATCTTTACGACACAACAGAAAATGTCCGCACCAGGAACAGGTACCATCAGCATGGGAAAGGCAAGCAAAGCGACGCGGCAGGGAGCAGCGGTGGGCGCCCCGCTTGTGACCAGCGGACCGGCCGCCGCCCCCCCCCCCACGCCCCGATCGACAACAAAGCCTTTGCTCCTACCGGAAAAGGCGGGTCGGCTGCGTCGCGCGAGCGGGACTACTGTGCGGGGGAAGTCGCCGCCGACTGTCCGCCCGTGTTCGGTCCGCAAGGGGATGTTGAAAGCGGATTTTTGGACAACAGCGACAAGGATCACGACGACGAAGACGATCATGTCTCTGCCGCCACCGGCATCAAGGATCATGCTGCAAAGCTACCGGGGGCGGACGCCGCGCGCTCTACCTTCGTGTCTTACGAGACCTTCCCGGCGAAACAGATGCCGGACGGCAAAAAACTCTCACAGCCGGCGTTGGCGAAGGCTTCGTCTACTGCAGCGGGGCGAGCGGTCGTCGCTGGTGGCTTGTGCTCTCGTGCTTTCCTGTGGACGTCCTGCGCCCTCATGGGTTTGTTCTTGTTCTTGACGATCTTCGGCTGGGACACTGCGGGTACTTATCTGTTATTTATATGAGGTTCAATTTCAAATCAATTATCATATGTATCACGTATCAGAGTCAGACTCATGAAGGACGATGAAGAGTCTCTTCGAAATATTTATTTTCTCCCACAGGGTTGGGAGAGCGAATGCAAGGAAGGAAAAGCTTAATGTACTGGATCTGCGTGTGCTTTTAAGCCTGGGCATACAAGACCAAGAGTACTTCTACTTGCATTCGCGCTTGAACTTCTTCAAGGAACTCGCGAAAAGAAACACGGAATCAATGGGAGGTGGATGTCAGCGCATTTATTATTATGAAAAGGAAAATCAATAGTAATAAAAGCATGTGAAGAGAATGAGAAAATGAAAAACTAATCACAACAGTTGATGCGTGCTTCCTCCTGCAGGCTACGGTCTTGGCCGGTACCTCGACGACGAACGTTGCGACGTTGCTCCTGACGCCGCACGACGAGGGACCGCCGGCGTCGGGAAAGAATTCCTCCGTTATCAAATGCGAAGATGTCTGAGTGTGCTGGAAGGTAACTAGAAAGACAAACAACAGACGCTTGTACTAGTCATGTAGGTTTTGCTCCTGCAGCAAGTTCAAGAGTGAAGTCTGGAACGCAGACAGAGCATGACAAATTTCGCGCAGGCTTGTCCGTGATTATGCTTACTCGGTTGGAGAAATCGCCTCTCGCCGGGAAACAAAATTTTTTGATACCTACGCAGAACAGAGTTTCTAATCTGCCTGTCCCTGTTACAGGGTCCGCATCTACTTGGGTACTTATTGCGTCCTACTTTCTCTACCAGAACCAGACATATTTGCCACTCATGAACGTGCAAATGGAACAATGGGCAGCTACATTGCGGGGGAAAGGGGGTGGAGCTACTACATCCCCAGAAGAGGCGGGAGCCGCGAACGCAACCGCTGTCGTGTCGCCGTCGTCGTCCTTCATTTTTGCGGGAGAAAAGCAATCGGCTTCTCATTCCGTGGCACAAAGCGTGGTGTTCGGCGAAGAACTTTGCAAATCGCGCGGTCGCGACGCGATCAACCAATGGCGTCAAGAGACTTTGTCGTGGATGAACCAGTTCCGGTTCCCGTTTATGAACAGGTTGGCTCGTTTGAATTACGACCAACATCCAATGGAATCGAAGAATTTGCAAGACGCGAAAACAGCCTGCGAAAACGACCCGCTGTATGCATCGAATAAAGTATATCTGGGCCTGGGAAATTCTTGCAGAAGAACATTTGTCATTGTCATTCCTGTTCACTGACACGACCCTGAAGCTGAGCTTTCTTGTAATGCGTGTGCATAGTCATGCAAGAGCGGACTTTTTCGTACGAGATACGGAAAATGTGGCCGCTCGAAAACTTCTGATGCGTCTTTGCTCTCTAGGCTTTTGATAGCAGCGTGCGCCTTCTTCCTCAAGAACTTGCGTTTCAACTTTCCAGACCTAGACATATTTGTATTTGATGCCTTAAAGGTTGGTGATTTCGAGATTGGACACTGCACTTTTTACCAACCTTACCGTGAGCTTTTCGAGTATGATGACCCCATGTGTGTCATGGCCCGGGACGAGTTCGACGACGACGGCAGATACGACGGGACCAACCCCGACCAGGGGAAGCAACCTACCCCGGCGCAGTGTTTGGCGATCACCTTCAAAGGAGCTGTTACCACCTATGGAGCTAACGTACGCTGCAAGATGGGTGATGATTTGCGTGAAGATTCCGATGCATGGGTGCCTTATAACAAGATTCCGGAAACCTGCGAGTGGCAGGATGTGTCGGTCAAGGTTCCCGGAGGAGGCGGTGATGGTGAAGAAGAAACCTGCGTGACCGAGGTTACTGGTACTCCTGGGTTTCTTGGAGGTTTTGTTCGACCTCGCGGATGCTGCGTCCCGAAAGGCAGCAAAGAAAAGAAGATTCGCTGGAAGCTCGAACGAATGATTCGCACCAGCGCACAAAGTTCGTCAATGGGCCCGGAGACTGGACTACATGCAACAATCTTTCACGATGAAGACTGAGGCCTGTAGCTGAGTGCAATTACGTAAGCGCTTCAATAGAGAATGAATAGTATGAAACTTTAAGTGCTTTACGCTAGTACAACTCGTCTTTACTGAAGCCGCAACGAAAAGCTTTTTTCCATTTAGTTTTTTCATTTGATTTCTTTCCTTCTTTTTTGTTTTTCTTCATTTATGAAGCCTTGACATTCACTCGGTCTTACATGGGTCCTTTGCGGCTATCGTCGCGCGAATTTCTACGCATACTTTATCGGGAAGTGCAGCGGGACGTAATATGAGCGAGACCCTGGCTTGTTTTTTTATTTTTTGTCGCAACAAGAACAACACAAACAAAAACTGTTACAGTTAGAAACTCATTGAGATTGATATTGTCGGGCGTATCATCTGCAAACTCACGCACCCAGAGAAGATCTTCATCTTTTCACGACTAGAACAGCAATAGAACTCAAGCTCTTCTTTATTAAAAAAAACCCTAGTATATATTATGATGCAGGTGTGTTCACTCCCTCGATATGATACTTCTGGTGGATTGCTCTTTTTGTTTTGCTACCTTGCCTTCATCTTTACAGCTACAGCAACCATTCAATTTCAAAAGATTAAGATTTATACTTCTATTTTTCAGCAAGCATCCTGATCCTTTCGAACTCAAACCACTCGAACCACTTTTCAGCTAATTGCACGAAATCGCGTCTATGTGCATAGTTAGCGGCTAGGTGCAGCAGCAACAGAACGCAATACCATGCATGCCTTTCTTTTCCGTCGCAACAAAAACATATAGAAATAAAACATAAAAAATATTGCATTATGTGTCATCACCAAGCGCAAGCACAAATTACCCTGGAAGTAAGAATATCAGTCATGTTTTCTGTTTTCAAGTTCCATTGCAACAGTCTTGCCAGCGTTCGCTTGATTTTCGGCTCTCCCCTGTAGAAGTCGAAATCTCTTGCGTTCCGAAAACAGCAGCCCTGTAGCCAATTTCAAAAAAATTACTTTCTCCCACTACATGCGAAGCACTCCACCTGCAAAGCCACTCAAATATTATATATCTTCGCATACAGTAAACCAAGTAGAACTAACCTACGACCGTCGCGATGTTCTCTAGTAAAGACGGAGAAGCGAAAAGACTCCTCTGTGTGTTTTTGAAGCCTCCACAGCGTTTCGTTTTATCAACCCCCATGATTCCCACATTGTAGCCCAATATTGGAGCGCCGCCTGCTTCTTTTTTTCATCCGACTGCATCCATTTCTTAGCATTTAGCTTTTATTTTATGGGAGTTGCAGTTGGTGGGACAACGACAAAGATAAACTAAGTAGCCCCATTTATGAATGTAAATGTTTGCCGGTCGGGTTTTTATTTAGATTGCAGCGGTACAACGACGGCTCCTTCTGCGTGCCCAACCCATACCCGGAAGCACTTTTTGTTTTTTCTATATCTCTATCACTATCTGTAGCCCCACTCGGCGGAATGAAAAAACCCACCCCGAACGAGGAAAGACGTAAAAAAAAGCGTTATAACAGCGCCAGGGCGCTCGTTCAAAACTATTAACCCCCATTTTACTTTTAGCAGGTGTTGTGAAGTCGAGCAGGTAAAACATAAGAAGAGAGGCAGAACAGTTCGACAACAATTATCCGCAAAGCAGTTTTTTCGACGTCCCTTTCGATCCCCACACGATGAAAGCCAGGAAGCACTAGCACTTTCGCGCGACTAGACCTTCCGAGACAGGGGGGATACTATTGCTGCTCAGGAGCCACCGCAAAGTGGATGCTTATAAACGGTTTTCGAATAGTTTTACCCGACCCGTCCCCGAAAAAATATTCTCGAATAAAGGTGAAGCTGCCTCCAAAAGGCTTCCCCCCGCGGAGGTCGTGTTGCGTCAGCAGCGAGGGATACAGCACTGACCGAGGGTGCCCTCACAAGCGACGCACGTGCTATAGGTGCGTTGGCCACCTTCATGTTTGTTCCGTGCAAAGAAATAGATACTTCTTCTTTCGTGCCAGCGTGTTAAAATGATTCTGCTATGCTTGTTGCCTCATTTCCTTCGTCGGGGCCGCGTGGTAGTACTTTCTGCCCTTGCCCTCTTCCTGCAAAACTATAGCTGTACCAACATCAACTATATGCGAAACCACGAGAGTCACCAGCGTCAGCGAGCCCGTGTCCGAGAAACTTTCACTTGAGCCCGTGTCGTTGTCTTGAGTGTGTATCTCATATGCAAAACAAGGTCCACGAGTGGGGACAGGGTCCCTACGCCAGGGCCTTGCTCCCGCCCCTAGTGGTGCTAGCGGGGGAAGGGTGATCGGCATTGGGGCGGGCAGCGTCCGCCCCTCGCCTCACACCAGGCGCGCGCGTAGTAGCTTGATAGTGCGCGAAACGCAAGTGAGGGAAGGGCGTTCGGCATCGGGGCGGACAGCGTCCGCCCCTCGCCTCACACCAGGCGCGCGCCTAGTGGCTTAGTGCGCGATGCGTTTTTGGGGAAAGGGTGAACTAGGTGTCCGGGATTTTGCAAGACACAACAAAAATAGAACTGGAGGAAATAAATATCTCTGCGCGGCTGCATGCAAAAGAATTGTCTAATATTGCAGCGCCATTCATTCCCCATCTCGCAGGGCAAAATAAAGCAGCTGCTATTTCCTGGCGCATAATTTCAGAGATGAGCACGCACTTCTTTTGCATGGGGGCGCAAGCATTTCTTTCGGATTCTGTTAGGGGGCAGGTTGAACTTTTGCGCTTTTATCTTTTTCATTTTCTGCGTCTCGAGTGTTTTTCCTGTGAAAAATGTTATGGGCATAGGCGTTAAGTTCGCCTGCCTGTATTTTTCCTCTCGGGGGTTCGCCTGTCGCCGTTACCTGTGACAGCCCTTCGTCACGGCCGCCTGTCCCGGCCATCTGTCCAAGCCATCTGTTCCGGCCACCTGAGACGGCCAATCGTCACGGCCACCTGTCGCCGTCCCCTCTCGTCGGGGGTATGCGGGACCCCAGAGCCCGCGAGTACAGCTGTGTGAATATTAAGAGCTGCTCCTAGAGTTTTCATGGTTTCTTTTCGGCGTAGCCGCGCTGCGGCAAGGCACAACAGCAGAAGCGGCAACAGCTTTACCTTCCGAGGGCCGAAGAGCGAAATCTTGGCCATGGCACTGAAAAAGGAGTGAGATTTCAGTGAGATCTCACTTTTTGGGAAACTTCATGTCTGGGCCCTCCGAGTGTGAAGGGCCCAGAAGTTGTGGGTCTTCCCGAGAAGTGGAATCTCACTGAGATTTGATTTTCTGCGAAATCCCACTTTTCGAATCACTTCTCGTGAGGTGTCTCACTTTGAGAGAGCCCAAAAGTGAGACTTTGAAAAAAGTGAGACTCCTTTTTCAGTGCCGCACTGGGCTCCTGGCGGCGAGTCCGATTTTTGGCGATAGAGATGCATCGATCCAATTTATTTCGGCGATGGAGATGTCGTTGTGGGTTGTAGTTGGAGTGTGGTGGGCGTCAAGGTTAAGAGTGAGCAACGGCATATGAGGATTTTTGACGAGCGTGCTTGAGAAGTGAGCTAAGCCTTATCAAAAATGGGCCACCGTGGCGATGGTTCGTGGTATGTTGATCAGATTAATAATGTCCATTCAAACATGGTTTGCAAGGCCGTTTTGCCTTCGTCGACATTAGTGCAGTCACTACATTAAAAACCGTTATTACCCTACTTCCGAAGATCTTCGAAGCGTCAAACTCTCGAAGGTCGACAAGCCTACGCCTCCCCCGCGATTAAGTACGCAGGCCGAGTACAACTTTTCCCGGCACAAATCCTCCGTCGCCCAGCATGGCGATCATCGCCGCCTATTCGCCTGGCGACCGAACCAGGGTCGGAAAGCTGAGCAGCGCCCCCAGCAGTGGTTCGGCCAAGAAGACGCAAAATTCGGGAGGAGGACATGTCAGAAATCTACCCGGCAACAGCCATTATGGCTTGATAAATCGGTTCTCTTCGCCCGCTGCGATGAGTGGCAGCGTCGCAAGGGAAACCGGGCTGGCACGGATCAAGAGGAATTTGGAAATGGACGCGATGAGAGCGGTATCAAATAAACTAGATCATCATCATGTTGTACGACATCCTCGTGAAGAGTATTGCGACGTCACTGAACGACATGCAGATTGCAGAAGTTCTTGCTGAGCTACTGCTACTTGCAGACGAAAAGACTGACATTTGTGTTGAAATTATCAAATACCACCCCCAGGAAGCTGCAGACGACGCCGATAATATTTTAGTCAGCAACGCCGAGGACATCAATATGGCCACGTCCAAAGACAATGGCACCCCCAGCTACAACGAGGCCCATACGAAAGCGAAGAACAAATTGAAACAACTCTCCCGATCGATGACGCGCGATTCCGACATAGTGAAGCGTATGCGGGAAATTGAGGAGCAGAATGCGGAGAAGTTTTCCATCGATGCACTGGCGGAGAACAAGGGGATTTCCGTATCAAAGTGAAAAAAGCCCCCACCCCATATCGGAAACGGACGATGCGCGAATTTGTGAAGCTGTATTTGAGTACACAAATCGACTTGTATTGCTAGAAGGCCAAGAGACGAAGCTGCGGCCTAAATTGCACGTAATCTGACATGCTGTTTCCCACTTCCAGTTGCCTCCTGTCATCCTGGAGCTGCAAGGCTTTCCCACGCTAGACAGCACTACAGTCCGCATCTTTTGCCTTCTAGCATCACAAAGCTGATTTGTGACCACAAATCTGCATCACAGATTTCCGTTTTGATATGGGGAGGGGGCATTTTTCATTGTAATATTCCGAGGGGATGCTGCTCGACTGGCTCGACAAGGAAGTCAACGACGAGCATATGAAATGCAAAAGCATCGTACTACGTATAAATCGCATGACAAACTTCCTCAGCATGAAAAACAAAACTCGTGGTGCGGATTTAACTTGAGGAAGAAACTTGTAATGCATGAATGCGATTAGTACGAGTGCGATACTTTTGCACAGGATAGAGCAGGCGTGCTTGCAGCTCCCGTTCGCACTGCTCCTCGTGATTGTCTTCGCGGCCTTGTTATGCATTGCAAATGCGTCATCTGGGTCGGGTCTGGAAAGGTGCAAACCTGTGATGCTGTCTTTGGATTCTAAAAAAATCGGTATTGCGTGGCCAGCAAGAGGAGCCCAGTTTGATGTGCTACGCGGAGACAGAGGGCACTTCTCATGCGGAATAGGCATCAGGAACGCCTCTAAAAATCTGTGATGCTAGGTCACGCATCGGAGGCAGAGGCATCGTTGGTCATGCAACATATGCATGGGGGGGGCGCGCGGACCTCGCTTGCCATCTCGTTTGGTCTCGCGAAAGTTCCAGTCCCCAGTGGGTGGTTTCGGTCGGGCCGCACCCAAGGACTCCACCCACTCACCGCGCGGTGTGTGCTTTCTTTTGGCTGCATACAGGAAAAAAAAATAAGTCCACCTATTTCAAGGGGCCGCACCCCGCTTTTTATGCCCGGCCCCGTTCCTGGCACACAGCGTGCTCCACGAGGCGGGCGCATAGATGGGCTTGTAGATCCGGCGACACTCATGTGGACATACTAATGCTTCATGATGACAAGTAAAAAATCCACTTTACAGCTACCGCTTCGCTTTGCAAGCACCGCAATCGAGGTAGTGCTGACCTGTTTTATACCGTAGTACGCAAATGTCTGACAATTCAAAAAAACAAAACTATTTCATCTTCTCGTCGCCATCATAAGTGCCTTGAGGTGCCGCACACCTCTATCTCTAGTTTCTTGTTGATTACTTCTCGCTCGTTCGGTCGCGCATGTGCGGTGCAGCTCGCTCAGAGTTTTTTGTTTTTCATGCGACTCTGCAGCCCTCACGCATAAAGGTTTGCATGTTTCAAGTCTTTGGACTTTCATGGGCTCACGCACATCCGAGATCGGGGGGGTGGGAGGGGGTCCTCAAGCCAGAAAAAAAATCCCCCCGAGTGTGAATCGGGAATATCAAGGTGCAACATATGCATGACAAACCTGGTGGCAATCGTCCAGACCCAGACATATTTGCACTGGATACTTGTCAGTTTTGACACTGGGGAATAAATACGTCCAGGACGTGCACACCAGCATCGATGTGTTCATTCGGGAAAATGCGAACTTCGGGTAGTATATGGCATGAGCGTTCTGCTTTTGCATGGTTACTTTCATAATGAAGATCCTCATTTGCGCTTCAATGCTGCGACATGCGTGCTTTTTCCTCCGCAGTTCCTCTTCCTTTTTCTTTCTGTTCTCCCTCTCTTGGCTGTTTTTTGGCATGACAGAAATTCGTTCTCTTCACTATATACAGGTTCGACCACGGCGACATGCACGGCTTGAAAGCGCTCCGAGACGTCCACACCGTTGCCGACGTCTATTCCTGGCTCCGCCTCGGCTTCGTCCCCCTCATGCTGTCTGACTCCTTCGGCTACAGTGAGCACTTGACCGACACGGTTACTGCCCCACAGACTTTACCGCCGGCCCAGCAGTTCCCAGGATACCAACGCACCAGCCCTTTACCCTCAGATCTCCTGCTGTGGAACCACTTGGTCGGCGCAGTCAGACTCACCCAAACGACGAACTCCGAGCACGGAAGCAGTTCTTGTTGGGACGTCCCGGAGGAAATCCGACTCGTTCTCAACGACAAACTGACCCCGTGTTACGGTCAGGGCGATTTCCCAACCTTGCAGCAGCATTTGGCAATCAGCAAACCCGTGGAAAGTCCCGCGAAAACCGTTTTCTTACCGACAGACTTCGCGAGCCCGGGAAGCCCATACTCCTCCACCGCGGAGGTGCAAACGGCCATTGGGGACCTGGAAAAGAACCTCTGGATCACGGAAAACGTGAAGCAGGTGCAGATTTCCTTCCTCTCCCTGAACCGGGAATTCGGGCTGTGGACGATGACGACGATTTCCTTCACTTTCCGACGGGGTGGCCAAGTGTTGAAAGACATCTACCAGCAGTCCACCTGGCTCAACTTCCCGATGGGCAACGCGCAGCCGGAGCTGCTCACCTCGCTGAACCTGTTGTGGCTCGCGATGAACTGCTACATCTTTCTATCCTGAGTAAAAACGTACCCACACCAGAGTCAGGATGAGGATTTTGCAACACAAACTGAGGAGTTTTGTGAGTCACGCATGACAAGTTGCACTATGCAGTGTAGTGCAGGTTAGCAAGTGCAGCCGCATCACAGATTCATCTGCTCATCCTGTTCACAGCATCACAAATTCCAAATATATTGATTCTCATATATTGATTCTCATATATTGATTCTCATATATTGATTCTCATAGTATAGCAGGTCTCTGGGGTTCTGTGTGATTCAGTCATGGACTTCCTGTCTGCTTCTATTACAGTTGTGAGCGCAAAGCAAGGTTGAAAAATATATAAGTGCCCGGGGATGAAGAAATACTCGCGATGTTTTCGCGGTTCTGACCCTATGCCGCTCCAGCGCCTGCGGAGGCTTGCTTCCCCAGTGACAATGGACAATGGCAATGTCCGTGCGGTTGTTTTAGCATCACAAATTCCAAAACACGATTGGAAATGGCTCTCATGGGGATGCGCATTACAAGTCTTCCTGTCTTTGCAAATCTGCATTACAACTCTGCTGTGTGTACGTTTTTACTCAGGATACTTTCTCCAAGAGGTCACCGAAATCGCGAAGATTTTGAAGGAAACGCGGTCGCTCTCCCGGTTCAGCCAGAAGTATTTCGGGTTGTGGAACGTCGTCGACTGGCTCACCGTGTTTTCCGCGTGCTCCTTATCGCAAGACAAAACTGTTTCACTGTGAACTTGTGATGCATAGAATGGAGCACAGAACGATTTGCCTTGCTGCACGTGCAAGACATTGGATTTTCAGGCGTGTTTTCCCTTTGGAAGCGCGCATGGCAAATTTTCTGTGTCATGTGTAGCAAACTTGTCATGCAGATCTTGCAAAGCCATCCCAGTGAAACAGTTTTTTCGTGGGATACTCCTTGATCGGGTTTTACTTCTACTTGAACACCTATGGAAGCGCCAGGATTGAAATCATCAAAGTTGAAATTATTTGTAATGCATAAAATCGATACCAGCTGATCTGAAGCCCAATTTCCCAAGTGCGCATGACAAATTTCGGCACCGTCTAAAACCAGTTTGTCATGCTGTTTAGGGACAGCAGGCGCCTAGTGTCATGCTACTTTAGCAGCTCGATTCCAAACCCGAAACAGGCTTACAATTGGCCTCATTTGCAGTCCTTGCAAGAGAGGCACTTCATGCCTTGCAATTTCTGCATGAGAAATTATTTGTATTTCAACTTTGAGGATTTCAATCCTGACGCTTCGATAACACCTTTGTGATGGACTTGAAGACGAATTTTTCCTCTTTAACCACCGGAAGTAACTCTTTGACCAACGAGAAACTATACGACCTAACGCTGAACATCATGACGCACCAGAACGAATTGGTCTTCTGCAGCTACCTGTACGTGTTGATATCGCTTGTCCGCTTGTTCAAGGGGTTCTCCGCGCAACCGCGGTTGGGCGTGGTCACGAACACCATTATCAACGCGGCGGTGGACATTTTGCACTTCCTCGTGGTCTTTTCCTCGGTTTTCTTCGCGTATGCTCTTGCTGGTGTCATCGTGTTCGGCCGGCATCTGCAGGAATTCGCGACGTTAGACGTGTCCTTGACGACGTGCTGGCGGCTGGTCTTCGGCGATTTTGACTGGGATATCAAAAGGAAAAATCCCCCCTCCCCATATCGAAAAGGTATGTCTCCGAAAATTTGCGTTGCTGATTTGATGAGGTCACAAATCACGGCTGTCTTGCAAAAAGACAAGGGCAGAAGCTTCCGCCATATTATGGAGGCGATTTGTCATGCTGTTGGGCCTAAAGGGGAGCCGTTTGCCATGCTAAGCAACTACTTAGACCCATACGCTCCTACCTAGCCTGGGGATCTGGCCGCAGTGTCTTACTGCAATATATATAAAGCCGATTTTTCTACACAGATCCAGCATCAGAAATTCCGTTTTGATATGGGGCGGAGGGATTTTTCCTCTCAATATGGGAGAGGACGAGCCGGATCGCGCCCTGGGAAGCGGCGGTGTTCTTCTACAGCTTCACACTTTTGGTCGTGTTGATCATGCTCAACATGCTATTGGCGATCATTCTCGATACCTACATGGACGTGAAAGGACAGTCGACGAAGGCGGAAACCCTGTATTCCCAAGCGATCGAGACGGGTTCGAGGTACATACGGTTGAAAAAAGGCTCGAGGGTATCTTTGGAATACATCCGGAAGCACTTGTTGAGACGGGCGAAAGCGCTACTGTTGGCAGAGCAGGATGGCGGTCTACTTAATTGGGGTGTTTCGATCGAGTGTGTGCTTGTTGTGGTCTCCTGCGTCTCGATGTTCTTGTTACGCATAATCATGATAAGATGAGTGATTGCAATTGCATTGATAGACCACTTCTTGTTGTCCGAATTCGTCTTCGACCCTAGTAGTTCCTAAATGTTCAGGTTCCTATCCCGCTTCCATCCCAGTAGTGCCCACGACGGCCGGCAATTCGGATGCCGACCCCGTGCCTGAGCAAGACGCCAAGAACGCGAAGCCACCACTTGGTCTTGCTGCGAACAAATACCTAACCACTTCTTCTGGTGAGGAGTCGGAGACCACTTTAGACGCCGCGAACAGGGGAGCAACGGCAGTAGACAAATTGAGCAAGCAGGTTTCCATATCAGACGAAACCACGGCGACGGAATCGAACAAGGTCCTCTACTCCGAGGGCGAGCACTCCCAGGTGGCGCCGGGGGGCAGCAACGCCGCTGCGGTCGTGTGGCAGAAACGGGCGGAAAGGGCGGGGTCAGGTACTTCTACAATTATCATGGAGTTACTTATTAAGTTGAAGTTCAAGGCCACGTCGAGGGTCAACATGTCGTGTGCTCTACAGGAACAAGGCAAAGACAATGACAATCGAGTCTACTGTCGTCATGCTTACTTACTTGCGTCACTCACAGTCAGACCCTCACCCTAAAAAATTTTAGGATTCATTCGCGGGGGCGGCAACCACAATTCCCACAGTCTGGATTTCCACTACACCGAGGGCTCACCCGGCCACGTCGAGTTGGATTCCTACGCATCCCCCGAAACTCAGCCCGGATCACGTTATCAAATGCAAAAATGTCTGGGTCTGGAAGAATCCGAACTTGTGATGCTGCATTTGGATTCCAAAAAAATCTGTATTGCATGACCAGCAAAGGGAATGCAATTTTGGCTACGCGGAGAGGGCATTTGTCATGCGGAATAGGTATCGCGAAGCCCTCAAAAAGTCTGTGATGCTAGGGCATGCATCACCGACATCATGGCCCATGCAAAACGTGCATGACAAGTCTCAGAATCTTCCAGACTCAGACATTTTTACATTTCATACACGTGCCCGCAAGTCCAAACTGGAAGCGATCCGCAGCAACATCCTACACCAAATTTCCGGGGGCCCCCCGGCGTCCTCTTCCTCCAGCGACGGAGGTGGCATTTTATCTTCCCCCGGGCGACCCCCGCACATCCCCTCGTCGTCGACTTTACCGACGATCGATTGCTGTCGGCAGTTGTTGCAATCGAGGACCGACGAGTACCTCACCGCGGAGGACTTGCAGAATATCATCCCGAACCTCCCGAAAGACCAAAGCGAAAGGACCATCCGGAACGCGTTGCTCGATCTCTGCGACGAGTCGGAATTGAACGTCGAGCCGAGTCCCGCGTGCGGTTTCGAGGCGATCCACGAAACTTTGGAAGAGGGCTTTATGATGATCCGCCGGGAACTATCCTGAGCAAAAACGTCCCCACACTAGAGTCAAGATGGGAAATCTGCTAGACAAATCGAGTAGCTTTCGTTGTTTGGCATGACAAGTTTGTCCTCGTAGTGTAATCCTGTTGAGCTAGCTCCAGCAGCATCACAGAGCTAGCATAGCATGCTGATTAGAGCATCACAAATTCTACAACACGACTAGAAAATGCTTCTCATGGCGCTCCGCATGAGAAACTTTTTTGGCATGCAGATTTGCATAGCAACTCTGGGGTGGGGACGTTTTTCCTCATGATAGGAACTCGGGGAGATGACCGGGAACAAGAGTCTGAATCGAGGAGTTGGGGGGCCTGGGTTGCTGAAGAAACAGTCCAGTGCTGGTCCCAGTCCCATTTTGGCCGCACCCAGTCCTGTTGCATTGGTAACGAGCGCAGGAACAGGGCGAGAACATCAACTGGGTCAACCTCAGCCGACAACTTCTACCGCTCCCGCAACGGTTGTCTCCACGCCTGTGCAACAAGAGCAGAATACCACGAATCTTTCTACGGAAGAGAGATTATCCAGGATAGAAAATCAATTGTCCCAACTGACGCAACTGCTGGTAGCCCAGCAACAAACCTACGACTTGAAATTCGACTACAGCAGGAGGCCGAGTCATATGAACGGAGAAGGTGGAGTCGTTGACCAAGACGAGGTGCGGATTTACGAGCCGGGACGGCTAACCCCAAGCTCGTTCTTCTTCTGCACTAATCCGCCAGTAACGCAACAAATCGGAGGTGGTGGTGGTGCAGCCACGGCGGTGCAGCAGCCGCGGAGTAGAAGTGGCAGCACGCAACTGTGAGAATAGGATTCTGTCTTCGTTCAGCACGATTTCATACAAGACCGATTGTGATTCAATTTTAAACAAGGGTTTTTATCAAGTCCTTTCGAGAAACAACAGATCGGCATCGGAAATAACGTGTAGTTGCACCTAGTACAATATGCAAGGTGGACGAACAAGCAAAGCAATAGAAAGTGAAAGTGCGAACATCGGCCATAGCAAGAAATTTTAATTTTTGTTTTCGACGCACATCACGTTCAGGTTCGCTGGACAATATCTTCACAGGAGGAGCATCAGGAATTATTGCGCCAACATAATGTAGTTGAACGGACGCTTACAGCACGCCATATATTCTTGAATTGATGAGTCGACTTTCATTGGCAGTCTCAATTCAAAGACCCAAAACTCGAACGCGAATAGGCTTGCTTCTGAGGCACAAAAACTTCTATATACTAATCGACGCGATGAATTATGTTTATGCTACGCACAAGATGTTGAAGTTGAATGGACAGAAGTAATAAATGTCAAGGTTGTGGAGTCGCTCCGGCCTGCTCGTTTGTCCTTTCGCGTTCCTTTGTCGCGCTGCTGTTTTATTCGAGTGAAGAGTTTTTCTTTTTCCTGCCGGTTTCGGTCACACGAAATAAGTTCTGGTCTATGTAAGTATTCCGATATCTATTACCACAGCTTTCCTTTTGTGTTTTTCTTTTTACCGCTGTTGCCATGTGACACAGCCACGCTCCTTCTTGGTCACGATCTGGTATGCTCTTTCTTTTTCGGACTATGCCCAACTAGTTCTCATGGACGAGGAGGAGGACGGTTACTGTACTGGAAACACGACAAGGGCAAGACCTCCTGGAGCAGCTGCTACCGGAACAACTACTGGTACTTCTAGTAGTCCCCAGCGGGGGGCGCGGGAAGATGTTGTTGAATCCCGCCCCCGCGGCCCGGACGCTGCACACCAGCGCGATGAAGTTCGGCTCTTGATTGTCGGCACGGGCGAGCGATCGGCCTCGCACGTGGGATGGTGGGCACCGGACGTCACCGAGGAGGACGCGAGGAAGGCGAAGCGGAGGCTCAAACTGCAAGCAAGAAACCAGCCGGTAGAAGAAGAAGTTCCGCCCGACGCAGATACTTTGGCGAAGCTGGAGGCACAGATCTGCCTGGAACAAGTCGACAAAGCCTTCGCAGCGTACGTGGCGGAACATCAGTTGTGGCATGTGGCGGCGGCTGGCTCGTGGCACCCGGACATCACGGTCGCAGACACAACGAACGTGGAGAGCGACGAGGAGCCTTGGGCGTATTTGCGAGTCGATGAAATTCCGGAGGAATACCGCTGGCTGCTGTATTCGGAAGCAGAGTGGCATGATCTGGACGCATTTGTCGAAACAAGTAAAGGTAGTGGTATGTAGTGAGGTCACGAACGTTCTAATCTAGCGATCTTTTTGACATGTCTTATCCAAAACGACCGGCAGTTTTCAAGTGGCCGGAGGTGTTTTTGAGCATAAAAGATTCCCATTTATCAAGCAGCCGGGGCTTTGTTGTCAAAAAAGCCCGAGCCAATTCTATCGATTCACGCTTGATAAAACGACGCAGCGGAGCCGGCAAAAGGGGCGCCCTTCTGAGGCGCCCGCCGCATCTGTTTCCGTCGATTTGGGGCGCCCAAAAAGGGACGCCCAAAAAGCAGCACTCCGAAAAAAACAGCGAATCCGCATAGTATGGGCCTCATTTTGGCCCACATCCAGGCCTCGCAAAAGACGCGACCAAAGTCCGCCATTTCAGAGGCGGACTGAAGGCCAGAAGATGCGGCATTTTGCCAAAAAAAAAAACAAAAAAACAAAGTCCGCCAAAAGCAAAAAGCCAACCCGCATGCTATGGGCCCGATTTGGGGCTCCCAAGGGTCCGTCCCTGGCGCGGGCCCTGGCGGGGCCATAGCATGCGGGGAAGGTTTTTCGATTCGAAACCAAATGGAGGCAAGCTCTGGAGTGAGATTTTTAGCGACCGCCGTGCCGTCGTGCATAACATTACTCGCGATGGTATGGTGGGCAGAGAAGTTGCGTCTTTTTTGGCGTGAAGACAAAAAGACCGCCGTGGCCTCACTACCTCCGCGGACGCGGCTATTATTGGTACTGTACTATCCAAGCTGACCACCCGGGAGAAGCTTTTCGCCAAAGTCGCTCAGCTCACAAACGCAACCGCGATCTCTTCCTACGAGACGGTCGATATGTTCCTGCTGCCACCCAGCACGGGGCACTGCGAGACTTTTGTGAAGACGGCGAACGAAAAGGCCATGGCTCATGCAAAGCTAGACCAGCACCAGCGGCAGCCGCCAGTGTTCGCCGGACATACCCGTGACAACTTCCAGACTTTTCTTCTAGCCCGGGCAGGAGGACGAGGAGGAGAGGTGGAAGCAGCAAAAATACAGCCCTTCGATGTGATCTGGTTCTGCGGGGTCACAAATCCGCACTACTTGGTTCCCGACCGGGGAGCAGACGCTGTTCCATCCCGCTCCGAATTTCTCCGCGCGTTGCAAAAGGTGCTAGCAGTGGACGGCTTCGTCGTCTATTCCGACGGATTCGAGAGAATGACCAGCGTTGCAAGTTGTAATGCAGCTCTTGTTGCACCAGCATCAGGAGACGAGAGCGACGCCGACGTCGACCAAGCCCCCCCGGAGCAAGTGGACAAGTTGAGCAGCATGGGCTTTCGCAAGAATTTAGATAGGCTCGAGCCACTTTTGAAGCGGCGCAGCGCGTACGAGTATGCCGACGCGGCGGAGAAGGTTTGCTGGTTTCTTCGGTTTTTGGAGGAGGAGCCAAACGACGAGGGTATTTACCGGCTCGATAGGATGAGGGGCGGGGAAAAGGGTAAATCCTGTTCCTTGCGGCCACGGGGGTGTTGTAGTCGTGCCCGGCGGGAAATCGCGTGGTTGATAACCATGGTGAAGTTGTTTCTCGTGGTACTGTTGCGGCGTAAGAAGAAAAGTCTGACAAAACTCCTGCTGTTCTCCGTGGCCACTTTAGTCTCAATTGTTGCCATTTTAGTGGCACAACTTCTCAGGAGGAGATCTACAGATACAGTCTCAGATACGAACTTACATGCCATAAATGAAAATTTTTGAAGCCAATGGGGCATATAATTTGCCGGCGAACTTTTATCCTGCACTTGTCTGTCATTACTTGAATATGCGATGTGATTCTTGTCTGTGCTCCATCGTAATAATTTGCGTCAGTTTTTTTGTGTCTGTCGTCTCCTTCATAAGTCGTTGTCGTCCACGTGTCGTCGTGCTAAAGCGTCGTGGCACAATCGTCTGTTTCGTCGTATTAACTTCAACGTCTCGGTTTCGTGCAAGAAGCTTTGAAGGAACACGAACAACAATAGTGGTTTTTGCTTCCTCGTCATTCGGTCCTTTACTTAGGTTTACGTTTAAGTACTCCCCTCGTCCACTTGTGGTAATCCTGAATCGTGCGGGTCCGCGCTGATGATTCTTTCACTCTCTGGATCGTCATTTCTTATTTGCTCAGCTACCATAGTAACCACGAGGACATCACCCACTTACCCATAAAAATGATGCTGTCCCCCACTGTAGTACAATGGCCCATTGAACAACAAAAATCCTGTATTTTTCTGTAGCCATAGACATCCTCACCCCATAATCCATAAAGCCAGGCTCGTCCATGTTGCAGCTCCAGCACCTACTCTAGACAATCGCCCCAGGAACATCAAACATTCGGTAGCATGAACCTCGACGTAAAGCCTGAGGTCGTTTCCGGCCACCCGGCCAACGTGTGGAACCGTGAGCATGCGGACAAAGCGAAAAAAGAGCGCGAATGGCAGGCGGAGCGGAACAGCGCGGTGTTCGGCGTCGACACCTCCCCGCGGAACAGCAAACAATCGAGGGACAGCTCTACTGATCGCAATTCGCGATCGCAGTCCCGATCCCGCAGTCCGAAGTCTCCGAGGAGCCCCAGGTCGAGCAAATCCCCGCCGCCGCCGCAGGTGCTCGAGGAGGAGATCATAGAGGATATTAAAGACCAGAAAGACAAAAAACCAAAACGCCTCGCCAACGGCTCCGTCGGGGGAATCCGAAGGGAATCGCACACGGGGAAAGTGGTCAGAACGGGCTCGCCTGGCTCGCTAAATCGATTACATAAGGACCTACCAACCTTCCAGTTCCCGCCGGATTTTTCCAAGGGGGAGAGATTGAAGACCCCGCCGGCGAAATTCTCCGGCTCTGGGAACTTAGATCAGTTCGGGACGACGTGGCAGAGTTTGACTTCGATCAACGAGCAGACGAAGCCGGACCCGCAACACGTGTTCGAGTTCGGCACGAAATTGACCTGCACGAATTTGGATCCGCAGCTCCCGTTTTCCACACGGCAATGCGGGCTGCACAGTCCGAGGGAGACCGGATTAACGGGGTCGGCCTGCATGACAGTGCCGAAGCCACTGCATATTCCCAGAGTGCCTGAGGTAGATGAAGAGGAGCGGAAGCTACCTTTGTCTGGCTGCGTTCATAAACGGAGCTTCGTGGACACAAATGATATTCTTGTTGGGGCGAAAAAGATGAAGTCACCGCGTGCTTCTTCGCCTGTAGGTACTTCCACCGGGGAACAACATCAAGCGGCGTCGAAGCCGAAACCACAGAAAACGCCGATGCCAACGTACACAGACGGATTCAAGCTTTCGCGGTCCGACGAATATCTTCGTTCGGTTTTAGGTGACCTCGGCCCGAATGCCTCCCCGAGATTAGGTTCCCCTTCTGGTGCGGAAAAGTTCGATCTCTTCTGCCTGGCTCCGACAGGGCCCGATTTGACAGGCGGGCTCGTGCAGCATCAACATCAGCAGCTGCAAGAAGGAGTAGACCACTTGTTCTCAGGAACAAGTGCGGATTTGCTCGCCGCCGACACGACCTCCACCCTACTTCCCACAGCAACTGCGACCGGCCAAGGCATCGCCAGCACCAAGCCCGCGCCGGCCTTTTTGGTACCGGATAGCCTGAGCCGCAGGAAAATTGTTCCCGGGACGGGGGGAAGTTTTAAGTCGCATTCGCCGCCGTCGAGAAAATTCCCGGTGAAAGCGGCGCACCATTTGAACTCCTCCTCGATTTCGCACGGAAAGAAATTCCAGTCTTCTATCGCCGCAAAGTCCATTGGCTCGTGGCAGCACCTCGCGCCGAGGAGGTCTTTAGAGCCCGAGCACATCCAGCAAAGATTCGAAGCGGCGCTGGCCTTGGAGGAGGACGCTTTGGAGGAATTGCGGAAAACACAACTGGAAAAAGTAAAGAAGCAAAGATTATCCCGGGATAAGGTTCAGCAGGACCGGATCAAAGCGAAGGTCACGTGGCTACGAAATCTGGAAGACAGCGAAAAGATGGAGCAGAGACTTATGAAATGTAAAAATGTCTGGGTCTGGAAACTTGTGATGCTGGGTGGCGTCTCATGATGAGGCTACAAAAGCTGGCTCAGCATGACAAGTTTCTGAGCTCCTAGGTGTTGCCTATTCTGCATGACAAACTGCGCTTCTGCATCACAGAAAAACGGAGCTCTTGGGTAACGTGCATGACAGATTTAAGAGTCATGCCAGACAAGCATGACAAACGTGAACTCTTCCAGACCCAGACATTTTTACATTTGATAAGACTCAGCAAGAAGCAAAACATGCTGAAGGAGGAAAGACGAAGGGTGATCGCGGAGGCCAACACGAGACTCGCGAGTCCAGAGTTAGATAGGCAAAAAGCGGTGGATCCCACGAAAGTGCTGAAAGACGTTCTGAATTTCGTCGATAAAGAAACATTTGTCTTCGACGCGAAGACGATGAAAATAAGTAGCGTTGCGCAGCAGCAGGGCACTGGTAGTACAGGAAAAGGGAAGGGCAAAGGAGGCAGTGGTGCTGCAAGTGCCGCTGGTTCACCTTCGAATAAACAGCAAGCGGGTACTAGTACTAGCAGCGGAGCTGGTCTTGTTCAAAAGACCGTCGACAGTGCGGTTCTTTCCACGGGGGAAGTAGGAGAACAACCGCAGCACAACTATCAACCCCAACAGCAACCGTTAGTGCAACAGCGTTCCGTTTCCTTCCAGCTAGATCCGATTGAGGAGATCCCGCGGTCCGAATCCCCACCGGATGACGACATTTCCAGCCTGATCCACGATTTCGAATTCTTCGCGCCGCCGTCTCCCGAGGGCGAAGGCGGAAGTGGATTTCACGACCACCTTTCGTCCGGCGATAATGCTCTTCACGGCGATCTTCGTGATGCAACCAACACCAAAAACACCGACTTCGGCATGAGGGCGTCTTCTTGGCGAACTGTCGATATGTCCGCGAACGCGGGGGGAGACGGCCTGTTCTCTGACGAATTTGGGCCCCTACCGCCGATGCGAAGAGGTGACGACTTCGGCTTCGACAGGAGGCCGGGCACCGCTTCTTCCGGCACGCCGAGTAGCGACGAGAGATTGGGAACCCCGAACTTGTTCCCGTTTCATGATAGTACAGGAGGAGAAGCAAAAATAGCAACCTCCTCCAGCTCCTCTACAGGCGATAAAAATCACGCGAACAGGAGGGGAGGCGGCGGCGGAAACCAGCGCAGGAGGGGGCCGAGTCACGACAGAGCTATGCTGGCAGGACAAGGAGATAATCAACAAGACTATGTGGAGCAGCGCGGGCGACGAGGAAACAGAGTAGATCAACTGCATGCCGGCAGCTCAAATAGATCTGCGAAGAAAGCAACTACCTTCGACCCCGACCTCGGGTTCTTCGAGCCGGCGAAAACACCCTCGAAGCACCCGGAGAAGCAGAAGCACGTCGACATGATGATTTCCTCTGGCGAGATGCTGCAAATCGGGAAACGGTATATGATCTTTCGCCAGCCCTCTCTGCGCCGGAATTGGAACCACTGGCACCCGAGAGACGGAAGACGGAGGCACCGGTCCATGTCGGTGACGTTCCCAGGGCCGGAGAAGAACTTCACCGGGACGAGCTTTCTGTCTACCTCGGACCGATTCTTCGACGAGATCCAGCGCGCACCGGTGAAACTGAAGACCGCGAAGTTGGACATGCGGGTCTTCACGAGTGTCAAGTGGCCCCCAGACGGCGCGCACTACCGGCGGGGCGCGTGTTTACCCCTCGCGTACGGCCGGGAACCCATGCTGTTGGATATGTGCAGCAGGGACGAGCAGAAGGTGTTAGCGAGGAGCCGGACCCCCGTCGGCGCGGGGGACATCGCCGTTTCCCGGCACGACGTCCACACCTACCCGAACAACCAAACGCTCCACCCGGGAAAGCGGTCCGCCTGGTCGGCCGGCCCGATCTCCGTCGCGCACGTGACGAAATACGGCACGATTCTGCCGGAATACCCTTCGGTGGAACAAATCCACTACATGACGAAGCGGGTCCCGATTCTCTGGCCGCAGGAGGAGGCGGAAGTCGATAAGTTGTCCCACACCTGGTCGCCGGGGGATAGGTACTACCTCGCGCAAGAACGGGACGTCAGAATGCGCGCGAAAGACTACGACAATTTCGACGGTGGTGGTGGACTGAATAACAATGGAGAGGACAACAACACAGACAATCTCATCACGGTCACGCACGGCGAGGTGGTTTCTGGCCTTACGGGCGGCACGCTGTTCGATTACGATTTCGTGGCTCCGACGGGCACCGGCGCTACCTTCGCAGACGGGAATGATGCGTTGGCGTTACCCTCTGGGCCGGCGCGAACGCCGCCGATGGCCCTGCCGGGATTGTATAACTTTTACATCGAGCCGGTTCCGCCACCGCGAGGTCCCGAGGTGCCAGCCGCGAAGGTGGGGTTGGTGTTGGCGAAGCGGAATTCAAAGGTTCTGAACGATGATAATATAAATCACCACTACCTGTCCACCGAGTCCGTGAACAGCATGAACACGTCCGCGTATCAAGTGCACCAGTCGATGCTAGAACACGAGCAGAAGAACTCAGTCTTCAAAAGCCACCGCGTAGAGCAACTGCACCCGAGACATTTGACGAGAAACCTGCCGTTGAAAACGTTTATCAACTTGAAACCCGAGATGGTGTTCGAGCACTACGGAATCCGGCCGGAATTGGTGGAGCGCGGGGTGCGGATAAATGCAGCCATGAACATCCGGACGGGGGAGGATTTGGACCCAAACGAGCTCTATTTCCGCTCCAAAGGTATGAGAAAAATGCAGCACGAGCATCGGGTAGACGCGTACAACGCGGTGGAGCCGACCTTGGAGCCGTTTCCGATATTGCGGCTCCCGCAGTTGCGGGAGCGACACAAAGCGCACGAGCGAATGATGCTGCAGGGGATTCAGTTCCCGGGGGCGGAGGAGGCTGATGTGGAACAGGAAGAAGTTCCGTTGGAGGAAATGCCGCTGGGGATGTTGGTACGGGCGAACAGACAGAAGAAGGAGGAGCTGGCACGGATAGAGAAGGAAGAGCAGGAGGAGGCTGCGAAGTTGGCAGCAGCTGGGGGAGCAGAGGACCGCGACGAGCTGGCCGGAGCTGCAACAGTATCCCCGGCAGCTCCAGCTGAAGGAGAGCAGGAAGGCGGTAATAAAGACGCAGAAGAAAGCAAGGCAAACCCAAACGGGGGGCAGCAGACCATTCTGGAGCAATACAAACACATCCGGGCATTGAAACGCCCGAAAAGAAAGCACCTGTGGCACACGGACCACCGCGATATGAAGGCGATTTCGGAAACGTATGCGGGCCAACACGGCGTGCTTCCCACTTTGTCCCAATCACGAGCCCAGGAGATCGCCCGCGCGATCCAGTTTTCCCCGAACACGACGGGAAATAGCTGGACGAAGACCTCCCAATACAGCCATTCCTGGGAAACCTCCTCTTCCGCGGTCGGGCGATCTGACCGGGGTTTCACACCCGCGGCGGAAGATCCGGACCCACATCTCCGGGGCACCGGGTTCGAGTACGATCCGGAGAAGGACGCGAGATCCCCCCCGATGGTGTACCCGCCGTACGACGATTTGTTCGACGACCGGCGGTATAAAGTTGCGATGCTTTTACTGGAGAGAAAGTTGCGAGCGCGGGCGAGGAACATGCTACTCGCGCAGCGCGCGGCGGATAGGATTGCCGAGCTAGAAGCTCTCGCCGCGGCTCGCCGGCGACAAATGCTGGAGAATTTAGGGTTCTTTGACAAATTTGGTCTAAAAGGCCGGCACGGGTTTGACGACATGGAGAGCGACATGCGGAACAACATGGACCGGAAATTGTCCGCGCAGAGTCCAAGAACCGGGTTGAATGCAGCCGGTTTGGATGGAAAGGGCCCTCTGGGCGTGCGGTCGAGGAAGGAGCGGCTCCGGGCGGTGATGCTGGGACTGACCCTGGCCGTGGAAAAGGATCGGGAGATGCGCAACTACAAGCCCATTGACTTCACGAAAGAATATTTCGGACCGAATCAGGAGAAGTGGTGGGTGTTTCCGCCGAACTCGGTCTTCGCCGAGACGCTGAACGAACCCATGCGAGTTCTGGTCGGATTGTTCGCACGGGAACAGGTCCCCTCCGCAATTTTGTCTGCATCTCTCCCCGCGAGCCCAGCTGGAGTTCGGGTAGCTAGTCCGAGCGGGAGAGGAGCCGCCAGAGGTGGAGCTGCGGCTAGTGGAGCAGGAGGCGCACATCAACCAGAATCTTCGCTCAACGGGTCCACCTCGTCCTCTGCCGGGGTCGGTTCCGACGTTTACGGCTCCAGTCCGCCGATGTCACCGAACAGTCGGGCAACGACGGCGGGCGGACAGGTAGACTTCACGATCTACGAAGACGCAACATATGAGGGTCCAGAGGCTGATGTGCAGAGACAGGAAAATAGTGCTAGTACTAGCCCGCAGCAACGCGGACCGACGCCGAAGGCTGGTGTAGTAGTGCCATCAACTCCGACGTCGCTGATGCAGATTTCCCGCCAGGGGACTATGGCAGTGGTGAACGCAGGTGCAGCTGCTTCTCCGACCAACCGGGGCAAATCGCGACAGCAGGCGAAACAGGCGAGGGAGCCGATTGATATTTTCAAAGACACGCGGTCGTGCGCGGAGCTCGGGCAGTGCATCTCTGCGTTGGTCTCGGTTCTGTCCGCGGACAACGAGGTGGAGGCGATCGGGCCGTTCGTCCTCAGCATTCCGCACACCCAGGTGGCCTTCAAGTTTCGGTTTCTCGAGAAGTTGAAGGCGCTCGTATTACAATGAAAAATGCCCCCACCCCCGAACTTGAAAGCATTTGTATTGCAAACCTTTCCAAACGAAACATTCGCCCCTTTGCATGTATCAGCGTCACAGATTTCCGATCGTGAATACCAAAAATTTGTATTGCAAAAGATCCCAGCAAGAGCGGTGCTTGTCATGCAAGCGATGCGAAACACGAGTAGACTCTGCATCAGAAAGATTCGTACTCCTTTCGTGCATGACAAAAAGTTTTCATTTGGAAACTTCGCATCACAAATCTTTGCAACTTTGGGGGTGGGGGGCACTTTTCACTGTAATAGCTCGCGGAGCACATGCGGCTCAGGGCGAAGAAGGCGAAGATTGTGGACTTGCGGATTTTATCAAATGTAAAAATGTCTGGGTCTGGAAGAATGCAACTTGTCATGCTGATTTTGGACTCTAAAAAAATTTGTATTGCATGACTAGAAAGTGAAAGAGGGCTCCGGTTTGTGCTACACGGACAGGGCATTTCTCATGCGAAAGGTGCATCAGGAAGCCCTCTAAAAGTCTGTGATGCTAGGTCGTGCATTACAGGCATCATGGATCATGAGAAATATGCATGACAAACCTGGCAATCTTCCAGACCCAGACATTTTTACAGTTGATAGATTTTGTCTCTGTTGCTGAAAATGTGCAACACGAGGTTGCTACTCCATTTAGACCATCTGACCGCGGGGACGGCATTGGCGCGGAAGAACGCCGCGATTGTGCCGGGGGAAATGGCAAAGAGGAAAGCGGCGAGACTCCTCCACATGGCGATGTTTTCCAAGGCGACAACCGACTTCGACGCCATAGACCAAAACACCGCAAGGCCCGGATCTGCTGGCAACGCAGAAGAAAGGCCGGGCTCCGGCATCGGCGGGCGTTTGATGCGCACGATGGTGGGCGCGAGTCCGAATAGAGAAGCAACGAGACAATTCCGGACAGGTGGAGCAACGACTGCGGGGTCCGGATTGCTAGAAACAGGGACAATTGGAGGTTCTACGGAAGATAGTGATGATCCGGGTATCAACGATAGTTTGATCTCCTTGTCCAAAGCGGACAAGGTTGCGATGATTCAGAACGCCACGCCGAGCGGGCGGCACGCGGTCAATTTCCTCGCGAAGTCAAAAACGATCATGCGGTCCGCCAGTTCTTTCTCCGACACAAGCTTGATCACGCCCAGTCGCGCGGGGACGGTGGAGTTCTCTCGCGCGGGAACGTTCAATTCGTATCAAAGAAAAAAACACCATGATCACAATCACTTTTGCACATTTTTGCAATACAAAAATATTTGTCATGCGCAAAAATGCATCGCAGTCAACACTTATAGGCGATTTCCCTTTGTGTTTTTGCAATACAAGAAAAGTTTGTTATGCGAGACATATTTCTGATGCAAAACCTCCCAAGTGTGATTGTGATGGTGTTTTTTTCTTGGATAACTCCGATGCTGGCGTTACTACCGTCGGGGGCATTATCAGCCGGGGCGGGACGTTGGACTTGGAAATCGATTTCGACGCGATCTTCAACGAAATGGACTTGGAAAATCAGCAAGCGGAAAAGAAATCATCTACTTCAGGATCGTCACCCAGAGGCGGGGGTGCTGGTGGTAGCTCGTCTCCGCGATCGGTCCGCATGGCGCCGAGCCGGTCACAATCGACGTTACTCGATCGCGTTTTTATTGCGGGGGACGAAGAATCCACTTCCGTCTCCAACCAGTCAATTGCCACCGGACCGAGCGAAGCTGCGAGCCGAGCCGCGATGCGGAGAAGGTCGAATACCACCGCGATTAGGACGGATTTTGATAGAACTACGGACAGTCCAATCCCACCAGTTGTGGAGCCAACCCCGCGGGACATCGCGTTGTCCCAGATCCAGAGTGGGTTGGAGGAAAATTTATCACCGGTGTCGCGGAGAAGAGTGAATGCAGATCTTCAACCAGGAAATATTAAGGGTGCCGTAGTATCTTCGTCGTCGTCTCCGGGAGTTGCGACTACTAAGGGCGAGAAGTTGAGCAGAAAATCCTCTTTCTCCAGCACAAGTACAGCCGTCGCTGCAATGTCGCAGCTCGGCGGGTCCGGTCCCGGGGCGACAAACAAGTCGATCGCTCGGGGGGCGACAAAGATGATGACGCAAGGAGCGGCCGATATGGCGAAATCAGGAAACTTGAAGCAAATGCTGGCTGCGCAGGCGACGCAGGAGCAATCATTGTCAGAGACTTTGGAAAAACAAGAGCAAGACACGCCCTTATACCACCCGATTTCCTTCTTGATCCGAAAACTCGGCCTGGAGTGCGCGCGATCCGCGTCGAAGACACAGGACTTGGAACAGCTATTAAAGGAAGCGGCGGCGCACCCAGAAGCCGCGGGATTTCTGGATGACCACCCAACCGGGGTGAACTTAACGCCTTATTTCTTGTCCCTGATGGCGGAGTTGAACGACGAGGCCAAGAAGCTGAAAAACGCCAAGGAACTCGGAGTCGGAGAGTACTTTTATATAAGATTTTTTTCCCTTTGCCTTTTGAATTAGAATTTGATGACTTCATCTTTGAGCAGGCATGAAGTACACAAAAGATTTCAAGTTGATGAAAGGTGAGACTTGTATATGCTGATGTGGAAGTGGATTACCACACAAGGACTATACAACCCTTGATCTGTAATGCAATATTCCCCCAACACGACACCACAGCTTTCGCTACGCCATGGACGAGTCGACCACCAACGCGCTGTCCAACCTGTCCCTCGAGGTCACGTTGAAGAAAAAAGCCCTGCTGGATGATATCATGGACAAGGAGTGGAAGGTGAAGGTCGACCAAGTTTGGAACATGCTTGACGACGACCGGTCCGGCTACGTGATCCGTGCGGAAATGCAGGCCCACTACAGCGCCGCGCTGAAGCACAAATCGGTCTCGGTATCCTGAGTAAAAACGTACCCACACCAGAGTCAGGATGGGGAATCTGCTAGACAAATCAGCCAGCTTTGGTTGTTTGGCATGACAAGTTTGTCCGCGTAGTGTAGTGCTGTTTGAGCTAGTTTAGCAGCATTACAGATCTAGTATCTCGTGCTGATTGGAGCATGACAAACTTCAAAACCGCATTAGAAAATGCTTCTCATGGGGCTCCGCATGAGAAACATTTTAAGCATGCAGAGTTGCATGACAACTATGGTGTGGGTACGTTTTTACTCAGGATACTCGGCCCAGGTGCAGCAAATCTTCGACGACATCGACGCGAACGGGGACGGGCTGATCAGCTACGACGAGTGGACGCTGTATTTCGCGGATATGGTGAAATCCAACGCCGTGACGATTCCGCAATTGATGCTGGAATTGGACTGGTTCCTGAAAGCGGGCGGCCACGCGGCGATCGGGATTTTAGGCGGGGAAAATCCAAGTAAAAAACCGGCAGGCGGGGGCAAGGCGGAGGAGAAGAAGAAGAGGTGATATAATGGACGCTGTGATGTCCTTCTCTCAACATCGGTTTGTTAGTGAATTCCGCAAGCCTCTTAATTTCAGTTCGTTTGAAAAATTAATTTTCACTCATGTTGTATCGTATCCATACAAGGTTCTTTCTCTTTGTTCTTTACTTTTTTGCCCTGTGCGCAAAAATGCAAAGACTCATGAAAATGTACCCCATAGTCCATATCATAACCCCCATAGTTGTGCACTCATTCCTTTCAAAGAAACAGTTTTCCACGCGAAAATGAAAAGAGACAAATCAGAAATAGCACCTTTAAATAATTCACAAGTTTCTATTGTTTTCCGACGCCGTCCATCAGTTCTTCCAAAATTGGGATAGCTCAATGGATTTTCAAGCTCTTGTGGGAATGAATTCCACGACTTGCAGCTTGTTGTTCATGTCTGGCAGTACCCTTACGGATGAAGAAGTAGATGACTGACAGAAAGCAACGTGATCGTAAACATCAAAAAACCCACCTGGCTTCAGTAAGTCACCGAGAAGGAGATCAGCTTGAGTGGATAGCGACAATGTCAGGAAACTGCTGCAGCCAGCACGAGAGCGAACGACTTTTGTTTATTTTTCCGCAGATTTTCCACCTATGTTGCGGTCCACCTATGTTGCGGTCTACGTACATAACCGCGTGGTCATAGACGTCGTACGAAAACTCGTCCGGGAAAACAAGCAGGACAGTCGTGCAAGCGTAAAGTCGTATAAAGCACCACATTGTCGTAGTTCTTCTCGTGCAAGAAGGACGAATTCTGCTACCTACTTGGAGGTCTCTCTTCTATGCTACAGCTACTTCCTTTGAAAATATAAAGCAAAGCGCACACGTAGCCCCAACTTGGCTCCACCGTGATCGTCCTAATCGCCGCGTTCCTTTTCGTTGGTTTTTACGAATACAGCCACCAGGATTGATGGAAAAGCAATTTTTTTGGTCCTCTGTTTTCGCACGACAGTTCCCATTTTTTTTTCTCCGTGAAGATCCTTCCTCGTGGGAGGTAAGAAAAACAAATACAAAGTACGTTGAAAGCAAAGCGTTACTCCTTAAGTACAACAAGCTGGGGCTTGTGAAAGCTTCCTTCAAATCAACATCATCTTTCCGCGAAAGAAATACCAATATCAACTCACTGGATCTGGAATACATCTTGTGAGAAGCAAGAAGATGTTGAAGAAGGCCACCATCGTCGCTACTGCCATTCCCCTGGGGGGCAGCGGGAAAGAATTCGTCTTCGGGGCGAAGAAGAAGAAGCCGACAACGACGCATTTTTGGAGCGGCAAGGAGACAACCGGCTTCCTGGAAAAAACTGCGTTTCGGGCGGGGCTCGTCCAACACGAAGCAAACCCTTGCGTTCAAAGTTGCGTGAAAACGTTCGACGGCGAGACCATTAGTACGATGGACGAGTTCGGTCCCATGAATGACTGCAACACCTGCTGTCAGGACAATCAAGTCTGCCTCTGGTGCGGAATCCCTCCCGGACTAGCTCCTGCGGGCGAGCCTGCTACTTGTTCCTCCCCCGCCATGGCGGCGCAGAATAAATGTTATTATTCCAAGTGCGCTGGGATGAACGGAATCGGAGACGATCTTCCACAGTGTGCGGATACCTGCGCCAAGAACTTTTCCGCGTAGGAATGTTTAGCTGCGTGTGCCAATTCGTTGATCCACTTACTTTATCGTGCGGAATTGTTTGGGTCACTCTCACACACTCACATTATTGTTTGGGTCACGCACAGTTCATTTCGTTTTTGCAGTAGCGGCGAGCGTAGTTAGCTCACAACTTTACCTCTGTTTTTGTTTTGCAAGAAAAAATCCTTCTAGTATTCGAGCTTTAAGTATCAGTATTTCATATTCATTTCATATCTTTCATACCACAGCGCTATCATTTCATATCCCGTCCATCCATGGACACGATATATAAACATATCATTATCATTTTTGCTTTCCACGACGAAGCAAGTCGCGCGCTGCTTTTCTCATCTTCTCTGCCAAAACCCTAATGGAAACGATGTGTGCGAGTCAAAAACTATGTTCAATAGCGGAAAGATGAAGATTCGGCCGCCCAACCGTTGGGTTTTTCTGGTATGTCATGGTAGTTGTAGCTGTTGCATCAGGCCGTCCGCGTGAGCAATTCATCGATTTATTTTTTTCCGCCCCCTCCAAGATGAACTCGATGAATTTAAAAAATCGAACCGCAGCCTGTAATAATGTAGGTTGTGCCGGGCTCGTATTCCATACTCATTCCTGCTTTTCTCATTATTTTTCCGTATTCCTCTTTATCTACCGCATTATCATAAACATATGATGCCACATTATACCAACACTTGAGCATTCTTTTTACTTTTTCACCGCATACCCAACTCCGTAACTGCAAGCATCTAACGCCCGAAACCGAATGCATATCCTGCTGAGTTGCACAAGTTCTTGTAAAGCGCCAGCGGCCTATAGGTCGAGGTATAGTGGACAACATTACGGGAGACAGCATGGGCTTTTGTAATGTTTGGTTCACATTTCACACAGTACAACAAATGGCACCGCAAAGACAAGTTGCAAGTTGAAGTTGCTCAACGTCATCGATTAGTCTTTCGTGAAGACTTGGATTTCCCAAGGTTTTTGAATTGCAGTGCCTGCTAAAGCACTAGCCCGCCCCTTCTGTTCGAGTGTAGGACCAAATCGAAAAGGATCAGTCGGCTCCGGCTTTTGAATGATCGTGATCTTTATTCCCAGAAAAAGATCTGAATCGGTCGCGCAGACATGGTTCTTCCCCGAAAGATCGATCCTGCGTCGTGTGTTTCATTGTAGTAAGCAGCTCATGCTTTCATGTATTCGAGTGACGCTTTTGCTTTTTTCAATCATTTTTTGCAGGTGCCGCTGAGGGCTTCTAGGAATTCATGTTGACACATTCACATGTTGCGCCATATTAAATAACCACTAAGCGACACATTCCGTTTCCGCCTTTCTTCATAAACACACCGGAAACAAGAAAATGACGGTCCCCTACGGCGAGGCTCCGCCGCTGTATGGTGAGGACGAGGACGAAATCGTCGCCGTAGAAGACGCGGAGCGGGACGAGTACACGGACGTTGCACAGCAGCGGAAAAAGGAAAGAATAGAACGCGAGCAAAACGAGGACAACAGCAACAAAAAAACCGACGTAAAGTTGAAATTCCTGCAACCGAAGAAGGAAAAGAGGTTTAAGCTTTACTTCAAATACGAGGGGAGACGGGGCCCCCAGTGCTACCTGAAAATCAGGCTGCCGAAGCACGGCGGGTATGAGGACGGACCCTCGGTCGGGATAAAACGGTTTTTTGTCTCGCAATACAACAAACTCCGCGAAATGCTCTCGGAGCACGGCTGCCACTTGAGGTCGGAATTGGGGATTGCAATACCTGACCAGGACGCGATCAGTGGCTACGTTGGGTACGGAGGCCTGGTAAACATTAACATGGGTTTTTGATGGTCGTACGCAGCTGCAGGTGAGCAGGCAGCCTGAAAGATTAGAGCGCGTCATAGTATTCGAACAAAACCACATGAGTGGATACGGTGCTTCAAATTTAAGTTGAAATTGGATATCTTTATCGATGCTATGCCTATGGATTCCGAAGAGGAGTTTGTGATGTTGTGTGTATACTCCATAAATTCTCTCACAATACAGCTCTACGTCGTGGACGGTTCCGGTCCGACGAAAGGGCAGGAGAACGACGTGTATTTCTGGGGCCACTCCACCTTCTCCGGGTCCCAGGGCGACGCCCCCGGGCGGATGCTGACGCTGTCCCACAAGCGCGTCGCCCAAGTGTCCGTCGGCACCGAGCACGCGGGGATCGTCACCGAGGGCGGCCGGGTGTTCACCTGGGGGAAAAACGACTTCGGGCAACTCGGCACCGGGGACGAAAAAGACCGACCGCTGCCAATTCTCGCCGAGGTCCCGTACGAGGTCTACGTGTCGCAGATCGCCTGCGGGGGCCGGTACACGCTCGCGCTGGAGAAGAAGGGCAACTTGTGGTCCTGGGGCCGGTTTCAGGCCAGCAATTTTCCGAGAAATTTCGTCGACAGCTGGTGCAACGGGTACGAATCCAAGGGGGAAGAGGGCCTGAAGGGGCAGAAGCTGGTGAAAATAGCCGCGGGCGACATGCACATGGCGGCGCTGACCAAAGAGGGAAAGCTGTTCACCTGGGGCTATAACGACTACGGCCAGCTCGGCTGGGGCTTGAGCGGTAAGGACAGAACCGGGCAACAGAAGCCGACACAGGTATAAACGATTGTGCTCAATTTATTTCGAGTGTAGTTGCCGCTGGTAGAAAAAGTTCGTGTACTTGCCGCTACTAGGGGATCGAGGAGGACCAAGAACTGCATGTGTCTTGTTAATCACTAAGAAGTACAGCGAGCAATGACAATGTGGACAAAATTTTGATTTGATATTTGCACATTCAATTTTGTTAGAACCGCAACTGATTGTGATTCATCGATTCAGGTGAAAGGTCTGCTGGAGAGCGAAACCATCCGGGATGTTGCCTGCGGTGGGGCACACACAATAGCAATCACAACCGCGAACCGGGTTTTTGGGTGGGGATCAAACGTCGCCGGGCAGATTGGACACGGACTTAGACAGGTACTACTATTATGATTCAGTTATGCTTCGTGTCTACGTAACGCAAACGCATTTTGTTTGCTGTTGTAGTTCGGTGACGGCACGGGTCAATTATGCCTGTGCTGTATCGACGCAACAGCGTCGAAAACAAAAACTGAAGCCAACCCACACGTCGAAAATACAGGTCTTCAGCGAGCCGCAGGAGGTACCCCTAGGCGACCCCATCGCCAACGCTTCTGCTGGCTGGATGTGCACGGTGTTCATCACGACAGAAAGAAAACCTATCATCTGTGGGGGCGTCAACAGCGAGGGACCGAGTGTCACGAAGGAAAACGAAGAGGAAGCGGGGAAGGAAGGTATAGGATGAATACGATATTTTTCCTTCCAGTTGTTCCCTACGGTTTTCGGATTTGCTTCGTCGTGTTGCCAGGTGTAGGATCTCCACCGTTGGTTCTTTGCGTACAGTCTGAGTGACTCTGCTGCGCTTACCATGGTGAGCCCGAGGGCGTGAAACTCATGTCGAAAGCGACGCACATGAGGACGAGCAACAGGAAAATCAATATCAACTACAGGCGATGACAACGGTACTGCCGAGAAAAAGTCCCCCGAAGACCTCGCAAAGGCGAAGGACTTGATGTCGCAGCAGCTGCTACAGAAACTCTCCGGCGGCGCGGACATGGGCATCACGGAAAAAGTCCAGACCGCCGCCGTTGGGGAGGCGCACGGTTTGCTTGTCTTGGAGGAGACCGGCGCGGTCTCCGGGTGGGGCTACAACCGGCTGAAACAGTGCTTGGGCGAAGAGTCCAAAGAGACCTTTGTGAAGAAGCCCACCCCGCTAAACACGATCGACCTCAGCCAGTACAAGGGCTTCCAGGTCGGCTGTGGCGGCGCGCAGTCCTACGCCATTTTAATGCCGAAAACCACCACCTGCCAACCCATGCGGTATGGGTGATGAAGGGAGATGGAGGAGCCCGGTTCTCATCTCCGACTGCTCTGACTGGTGCGGAAGTTGTAAACAAAAAGAAACCCGCCATGCTAGCCCAGCAGAAACAAAAACCTATGAATCTTTTCTTCTTAATACAGAGACCTGACAGCGACACCGACGACACGAAAGCAAAAACTACTGCGCGAAATTATGCACGCCGGAGGCTCCAGAAATAGCAAACGCAAGTGCCTTCTAGGCACAGCTGTTCTTCGATTCGGTATAATTGTCGATCCTACCAGCAGTTTCTGTCCCCCTTTGGAAATGGTAATGGATACATGCATCAGGTTCAAAATCAATCCCTGATCTTGTCTGATGATGAAGTAGAAGAAGAAGAACAACACTAGAGCTTGAGATCAGTACCTCCTTTTATTTTACCTGAGAGAGCAATTTTTTGTGTTTGTAGCCCCAGCAGCCGTTCTCATTGGATTCGGTCTGATTCGGTCATACATGATGAGATCATGCCCATGCAGAACGAGAACCCCACAAATGAGGAGGATCCTGATGATCGTGAGCGCGAAGTCGTTCGGTCGGCAAACTGATCATGGGAAGATGTCATCAGAGCAAATGAAAATAATCATCCTAGAAGTCGATCTTGATGGAATGAAAGGCGAAAATGGTCGTAATCCCAGCACGAAAAGAACGTCGGTCCTCCTCCTCTCTCGAAATGATTTATGGAAGTATTTGTATTACCACGATGACCAAAAAGTGTAAAATGAAAATCAGTACTAAAATGATCAGATTCTCCTGTGACGAGTTCAAGATCAAGGGTAAAACCAGTTTGCATGAATTTCAGGTTCAGCTCGTCAAAAAATCAAAACAAGGGCAAAAAAAAACCACTGGTATATCTGATCGGTTGTACTCAGTCTGCTCAGCACCTGCTTTGTAACAACCGCTTTCGGTCAATCAAGAACTCTCAACACACCCGATGAAAAAACACCAGTTCCTCCTTTGCCAAAGCAGTTTTGACATCTTGCTAAAAATAACATCCACAAACAAGAAAATACTAAATTCCCTTTTATCTTCGTGACAAGAAGTAGTTGCAGCTGTCCTAGCTTTTCATCTTGCCGCTCAGTCGAATCAACACAACATACTTCGTCGCCTATCCAAAAAAAAAGATTCCGACTAAGGACGCTTGAATACATTTATCCTCAAAAATCTTATTGCCTATACAACTGGTGTCGACGCTGCCTGTACAAGAACATTTCATTCAAGAATTCGTATATCGAGTGACAAAGTAGCAGCACACCAACAACATCACCATGGGCTTTTTCGGGTCGCTGAATTTTGCAAGCCCACTGTTTCTGCTTGAAATGGTGGGCCTTTTGCTCATCGCAGCCCTCTGTTTTCTCTACGTGTGGCTGAAAGAGCGGAAGTTGGGACGACGGACCACGCCTGATCCAGGTTCTTCTTATTTCGGCGCCGGGAACAAGACCGAAAATGTTCTTCACAGCAAGCAAAACTCGAATGTCGCGAAGCTCCGACAGGCGGAGAGCGAGAAACACTGCGTGTACTACCAGGTGGCGACGAAACGCGACTACTTTGGGACGGTGCTTTTCTCCCTCGTGCTCGTCCTCCTCTACTTCGTCATGGTGGTTTTCCCCATCTTCTACGCGTTCGGCCTCGGCGTGTTCACGAACCAGCCGGGCCCCTTCGCTATGACGGTGTGGGAGCCGTTTTTGCCCGACGGCACGGACATCAACACCCCGGGCTACAAGTTCTTTCTCTGGTACGCCAACGTCTTTGCCGGGGTGGACTACTGCCCCGATCCCATCGTTGCTCTGAACGTCAAGGACGCCGCTACCGGAGTGATCTCCAACCCCTTCAGCTGGGCCCTGACGCACGGCGTGTGCCTCGAGGGAAACATGACCGGAAAAACGGACGGCGCGATCCCCGCCTTTTTCTTCGTGATGTTCTTCATCCAGTGGGTCGGCGTGGGCATCGCCTTCTTCCTCTTCTCGCCCCTCTACACAAAATTCAAGTACGGACTCTGCTTCCAACGGATGACGACTGCTCTTTCGACTGAAGGTGGTAGTACTTCTGAACAAGACGAAAACGAACAAAGCTCCCCCTTCGCGACCTGTCCTTTCATCGCCGTCTACCGCGTGGACGGGGCGACGGTGGCGGCCAAGAAGGAGCAAAACAAGAAACTTCGGGACAAGACGATGACGTTTGAGGGAACTGAATCGGAAAAAAATGATCATGATATGACTCTCTCGTCGTCCACCGAAAACATTATCGTCCCCGAGATCGACGGGCAACTGGTAGTGATCGAGAAAGTGAAAGACCACGCATTCCGTTATCCTGTGGAAAAACATCCCCACCCCAGAGTTGTCATGCAAATCAGCATGGTGAAAATGTAAATGTCTCTCATGCGGAGCCCCATGAGAAGCAATTTCTAGTCGTATCGCGGAATTTGTCATGCTCGAATCAGCATGATATGCTAGATCTGTGATGCTGCTTAACTAGCTAAACAGGACTACACTACGGGGCCCAACTTGTCATGCGCAGCAGCCAAAGCTTGTCGATTTGTCTTGCAGATTTCCCAACTTGACTATGAGCTGGGGACGTTTTTACAAATGATATCCGTGACCTTTCGGAGAAGACCGTGGAGAAGCTGGAGAAAGTGCCGAACTTGAAGGATTTGCTGGAACCGGAGGGGAAGTTTTACCACCCGACCTGCAAACTTGCCTTACGGTCCATCATATCAAATGCAAAAATGTCTGGGTCTGGAAGAATGCAACTTGTGATGCTGCATTTGGATTCCAAAAAAATTTGTATTGCATGAGTACGCAAAGGGAGTGCAATTTAAATTTTTGCTAGGCGGATAGGGCATTTGTCATGCGAAATAGGCATCAAGAACCCCTCGAAAAATCTGTGATGCTACGGCAGGCATCACAGACATCATGGCTCATGCAAAACGTGCATGACAAGTCTCAGAATCTCCCAGACCCCGACATTTTTGCATTTCATACATCATCGTTTTGTCCACGCAGTACTGGTACTGCCAGAACTCCGACAGCTTCGACGAGCCGCAGACGGAGACGTTTGAGCGGCTGCGGAAGGAGAAGAAGCTCAACGCGGATTTGATCTCCCAAATCGCCGCCACGGAGACCAAGGATATTACAATGAAAAATGCCCCCACCCCCGAACTTGGAGGGAGCATTTGTATTGCAAACCTTTCCAAATGAAACATTCGCCCTCTTGCATCTATCGGCATCACAGATTTCCGACCGCGAATAGCAAAAATTTGTATTGCAAAAGACCCCAGCAAGAGCAGCGCTTGTCATGCAAGCGATGCGATACACGCCGAGACTCTGCATCAGAAAGAAGATTCATAGTCCTTTCATGCATGACAAAAAGTTTTCATTTGGAAACTTCGCATCACAAATTTTTGCAACTTTGGGGGTGGGGGCATTTTTCACTGCGATAAAGGAGGATGCTTGCTCTTCCACCATCCTCCGGGAGTACTTCGGCGAGAACAAGATGTACATCGAGTTCCCGGGGTTCTTACGCATTGCAAATTATATGTCTGGGTCTGGAAAGAACTTGTGATGCAAGGAAGGGAATAGAAGTGGGCTCACTATGATGCGCTGCCAAGCATGACAGGTTTTTTTCATGCTTCTGAGTTGCGTATTCCGCATGAGAAACTGCGTTGTTGCATGTTGACAGGGAGGAAGAGCTCTAGTACTTGTTTGCGGCCATGCAATACAGAGTTCAGAGTCGTGCCAGACTAGCACGGCAAATGTGTCGCAAGCTTCCAGACCCAGCCATATTTGCGTTTGATAGTTCTGGAAGTTTTTCTTCCGCATGTTCTTCGCCAAGCAGGTGGTCATCATGCTGACCATGCTGGGGGTGTTCTTCGTGTCCGGCCAGGGGAACTACCCGATCGTGATGATCGTCATTCTGGTCTGGCAATTCGCGTTGGCGGCCTGGCAGGAGGCGAAGTACAGCAAAGAACTGGAAAAGCTGGTCCACAGCAACCGAAACTCCCAATACTTCGAGCGGGCGACCGTGGTCGGGAAGGACAACCAATTGGTCCCGTACGAAGGGTTGGCGGAGGAGTTGTGCGGGACGTACCAGGTTTTGTCCAGCAAACTGATTTATCAAATGATAAAAATGTCTGGGTCTGGAAAAATAATGCGAGAGTTGTCATGCATGTCTGACATGACTGCTCAAGAATCTGTGATGCATGGGCACGACGCGCCGGCCCTCTTACCTGTCATGCAAAAACGCAGTTTGCCATGCGGAACACGCAACTACACATAGGCGCCTTAAAATTTGTCATGCTTGGCTCGGTATTGCAGTGCAAACTCTCATTCTCATTCACTTTTAGCATTACAAGTTTCCAGACCCAGACATTTTTGCATTCTATATGATTCTCGGCGACATCGTCATTCTCGACAACAGCTTCCGGAACCAGACTCTACCGGCGGATTTCGTTCTCCTCACCGGGTCTGCCGCGACGGACGAATCCTCTCTGACGGGTGAGAACGTGCCGGTGCAGAAATTCGCCATCAACAGCGACGAGTTGGACAGCGCTATTTCGACCAACGCGAAGAAAAGGCATGTTTTGTATTCCGGGTCGATTTTGCTGGAAACGACCGCGGCGGTGGAGGAGGACAGCACCGGGAACCTGCACTTGAACCGCGTGTTCGCCATGGTGGTCGGGACCGGGACGGAGACCAGGAAGGGGGGCTTGCTGCAGACCATGTTCCAGCAACCGAAATACGTCTCGGTGTTCGACAAAAACGCGAACAAAATGCTTCTGCTCCAAGTGATCGGCGCGGCGTTTGTGGTGGTCATTTTCGTCAAGGATATCTTCACGCCGTTTGAGCTGTTGTTGATGCTCGTCACGTTTCTCCGCATGGGCTCGCCGTTGGGTGCCTCGGGTACCGCGCAGGCGGCGAAGACCGCGGCGGGGAGGTTGAGAGCCGGTTTGTACAAGATCCGCACCATAGAGCCGATGCGGTTCATCGACGCGAGCCAGATCCAGGTCATATGCATTGCAAATATGTCTGGGTCTGGAAACTTGTGATGCAAGAAGTGGATGATAGCCGGACAACTGCAATACGCAGCCCAGCATGACAAATTTTTGAGCTCCTATGTGTTGCGTATTCCGCATGAGAAAATGCGTTTTTGCATGACGGATAGGCGGGGCTTTTCGTGCCTATGCAACACAGATTCTCGAATCATGCCAGACAAGCATGACAAACGCTCCACTCTTCCAGACCCCGACACTTTTGCAGTTCATAGGTCATGTGCTTCGACAAAACCGGAACTCTCACCGAAGAAGCGCAGCGGTTCGACTGCTTGGAAACGGTGGATGGGCGGGAAATCGAGTTGAAGAAGGAACAAGGTACAACCACTAGTACACCTGTAGTTCATCTTGAGCAGCCTCTGGAAGAGAAAGACTTCTCGAAAGATTTGCTGACTCTGTCGCTGATCACGTGCAACACGGCGGCCAAAGTGAACAACAAAATCGTCGGGAACGCGGTGGAGTGCGAGATGCTGCGGGTGGCGGATGAGGTCTTCTCCGCAGATTTCTCGCCGAATAACTCCACCGGGTTGGAGTATTTCGTGAAAGACAAAACGGCCTACGGCGCGGACAGCCACAAGCTCTTTGCCACGGTGGTGAAGCAGTTTGAATTCGACCAGCAGTTGCAGCTGCAGTCCGTGGTCGTGAAATTGAACAACGGGGACTACTACGTGTTGACGAAAGGATCGCCGCGGAAAGTGATCGCGCGGACCAGTGAGGCGACGTCTCCCGCTGGGGAGGAAAAGAAGCACCAGTTCGAGCAGCGCGCCCAGGATTTAGCAAGGCAGGGCCGGTACTTGCTGGCCGTCGCCGGGCGGAAAGTGGATCCGGCACTGTATGACCTGCTCAAACGTTACAATCTCAAACGTTACAATAGAATCTGAAACTTGTCTTGCATGATCAACATGACAGACTCGGACAGCATTCCATGTTCTGCAATACAAATTTCGCCAGATTGTAGTGCGGATTGGGACTCCACAACTTGTCATGCGTAATCCTGTGGGAATAGGGTAGATCATGCACTTCTTGCAACACAAGGTCCAGACTCTATTGTAACGTCTGAGATTGTAACAGTTGAGCAGGTTATACGCTGGTCGCGAAGATTTTGCTGGACAAAAAGCAGGAAACCACGGGCGGCCAACCAGAAGAAGGAGCAGATGATGTTCTTGAAACCCCGGGTTCTAACGTATTACTCCCCCGTGCGAGCAGCTCCATTTCGAAACTCGGACGCACCAACACCACCGTTTCGAATAATGAGAAGCAGGTGGTCTCTGCCGCCACGAACGCGCGGCATTTGTTGGAGAAAGACCTGAATCTTTTGGGTATGATCCGGTTCTGCAACGACTTGAAATCCGATTCGGCGGATATGCATCGCAAATATGTCGGGGTCTGGAAGGATGTGAAGTTGTGATGCGCATTTCACAACACACAGAAATCTCTCATGCATAGGCAGCAAAAGATGCTCACTTCTTGTCACCAAAGTGGAGGATTTGTCATGCGGATTAGGCATTGCAGAACCTTCTCGAAATCTGTGATGCTAGGGCCGCTTCCATGCCAGAGCCAGACCTTCTGTGTCATGCAAAAACAGCATGACATCTTCCAGACCCAGACATTTTTACATGTGATAGCGGACTGTTTGAAGCAGTTCAAACACGCGGCGATCTTGACGCAGATCGTGACCGGGGACAACATTTGGTCGGGAAGCAGCATCGCGCTGCAGTCCGGTGTCGTCCCGTTTGAGGAGCAGGAGAACAGCAGCTTGTGCTTGCTTGCCGTGGATTTGGACAAAAAGAAGAAAGACAATACTAATACCTCCCTAATCGTCCACAACCTATCCGACAAAACCCTCCCCTGGTTTCAATTGACTGGGGAAGAGATTTTACAGCAGTATTTAGCCGCAATCGACCCTGTGGAAACCAACGACCCGCTGGGGACAGAGAAGAACTGGCTCGGACTGCGGAAGAAGAAGCCTTCCAACGGGAAAGCCGTAACTTTGGTCGATAAAAACAAGAACTCCAAAATCGTCGGCGAAAAGGTCTCGGTCCGGTTCGTGTTAACGCAAGACGCTTTCCACTTCTTACGGGCGGGGAACACGACGTCGAGCACTGGTGACGAGGAGAAGAAGACTATGCTGAAGAAGATCTTCCCGCGCACAGTTGTTTTTGGTTCCATGACGCCCGATGGGAAAACGGATATCATCCAGTACTGGAAAAATGAGTTCCACTACCAAACTGGCATGTGCGGGGACGGCGGGAACGATAGTGCTGCGTTGCGGATCAGTGACATGGGTGTTAGCTTATCGAACGCGGAAGACATCGAGACTCAGATGTTGAACGATGCAGAGCCTGAAATGAACCATCAAAACGTCGAAACCACGTCGACCAGCCAATCCTCGCAGAACAATAAATCGGAAATCACGTTCCTCGCCCCCTTTGCGGCAGACACGACTTCCATCCGCGCCTGTATCAACGTTTTGAAGGAAGCGCGGACGGTGGCGGAAAACGGGCTGGCCATTTACCAGTGGGTGTTCGTCTACGCGTTCATCATCAGCTTTGTTCGGAACTACCTGTTGCTGCAACGCTACAGCTACTTCAGTGAGTTCTTCGGCACCTCTCTCGATCTGGTCTCCGTCCCACTGGCCGTCTACGTTTTGGCAAGGGCGCGGGCGCCGGAAGACCAAGTGAGGAAAAATAGTAGTGCTGGGTCATCTTCTGTCGCTACTACTCCGAGGGAAGTCGAGTACGCCAAGATCAAAAGCCTGCAGTCCGCAAAATCCGAAGCGAAATTGCAGTCGTACCGGGCGGAAGATCACGTTGTGGTGGACCAGCACGAAAATAATGATATTCGCGCCGATGTTGCGGCCGGCGGAGGCAGCGGACATAATTCTGACCGCCAGCCGTTGTTGGCTCCCGCGGATAGGTACGACAGCAGAAATGACGAATACAGCAGCAGCATCAAACCTGACAACGACCTTGAAGACCCGGAGTACGAAAAGGAACAAAAACACGCTCAGAGCAAGAAAACGCAAAAAGCCGCGAACCAAACGGAGCTGTTCCCGGACTCCCCCAATCTGTCCCCGTTTGCCGGCGTCCGCGTCTGGGTGATCGGGATCATTCTCCCGCTGGCGCTCCTCTGGTTCGTCGGCTTTATGGTCTTGTTCATGCAGCTGATCGCTCCCAGCTACGACCTCGCCAGCGACACCTGGTTCCGCCAGCCGGTGGACTGGTACGGCACCTACCTCCTGGCCCAGGTGAAGCACAACGAGCCGGGGCAATCGGTCGTCGGTGGGGCGGCCTTCGCGACGGCGTACTTCTTGACCGCACTGGCGATCCTCTACCTGGGCAGCGGGACCAAGTTTCGGTCGCATAAAATCTGGAAACTGGCCTCTTTGTGGGTTTCGTTTGGTGTCTTTTTCCTCCCGATCATGGTCCTTCCCATGGTACTCTCCAACAACTGGCTCAGCTGCACGATGCGCATGAACTGCGACAATCGGACCAGCTGGAACGTGGGGGGTGGCAGTGCGAAGTCGGGGAATAGCTTGTTGGACGGCTTCATGCAGTTCACCAGCTTCCGCGTCATGGGCTGGTTCGATTTTGACGTGACCAGCGCTGCAGTCTGGATGTACGAACCGGGTTGGACCGAGATTCACGAAGTGAACAAGACGCCTGCCAGTTCTCTCCTCCCCGGGGCCTTCCCGTTGGACCCAGAAGGGGACACGAGTCAGCGCTTGAACACCATCACGCGTAACTATCAAACCGGCGCGGATTACCTGGAGTCGACCAGTGGGGGCGACGTGAAGGATATGTTGAAACAGTACGGTATGGTCGAGAATACACCCGTGCCAGAGCACTACTACAATTGGCACTTGGCCAAACAACCGGATGTGTTTACTCCGGGCGAAAAAGTTTACGATCCGGAGCAGAGTCTTCTGTTTTGGAAGCCGGTACTGGATGCGTTGAAAACGAGTGATTTGGACTTCTTCGCCCCCGCCGGAAAACTAGCGATCTCCGCTGCGAACGATCGGCAACAGACGCTGTTGCGCGGAACCTATCTCCTCAGTCCCGCGATGTTGACGCAAATGTTTCAGTACGGAATCATGGGGAATAATTCTCCATCTTCGCAAGAAGATTTCCCAACGGGGGCGGCTGCAAAACAGTGGCTGCAGGACGCGTTGGACAAGTTGCAGGAAAAGGCGAAAGCTTCTCCGAGTGTCGAAAAGGTCTCCGTCCTGTTCGCCACGCAACTGTTGTCGCATGAGGCGTACTGGAAGATGATTGATTACGTGAAGACCTTGCCGCCTGGCACTGTTGTTCCGGGGCCCACGACAAGTAGCCCTCCTGCAGTCACTATTCCTTCGAACCCGACGGACATGAACGACTTCATGGCGAAAGTGTACGAACTTGACCACTTCCCTCTCCCGCTCAACCTCCCGGACGCCCCGCCTGCGCTCATCGCCGCGCAGCTGGACACACCACCCCGAGACATGAGCGACCCGCGGAACCTCATGGCGCAGAGTATCAGCAAGTTGGCCATCAAGGGGCAGTATGCATTGCAAAAGTATCGTACTAGTATAAATCGCAATACAAATTGCCTCAGCATTAGAAATGGAATTTGTAATGCTGTTTTACCTTAGGAGGAGATTTGTTATCTCCTTCCTAAGGTAAAACAGCACCCAGCTTTAGGTCGTCGTCGGTATTGGTTTCCCCGTTTCGGATCCAGTGTTGGGGCTAAGCGAGGTCTGACTCACAATCTTTCATCTGCCAGGGTGTTAGATTAGTGAAGTTCCTGTGAAAAATCGTACGGCGGGTGTGGTTTTAAAGTTCCTGCTGTATAACACCATTAACGACAAACAAACAAACAAACAAAGAGATTTGTTATGCATATTTGCAAGTGCTACGAGTACGATACTTTTGCACAGGATAGGCAGCTGGACGACGCGCCGAGCCTGTGGGTGGTACAGCAGCTGCTGGAAAAGAACATGTACAGCGGAATTCTTGGAAACTGCAAGTCTCAATTGCTGGAACTACCGACGGACAAAAACAACTCAAGGTTCACCTACGGAATCAAGGTAAGTAAGTAAGTACTTACGATGAACAAAAAAATGTCGGAAAAATTATACGTTTTCCAAAACATTTTTATGTTGATTTTCGAAACCAATGAGTGTCTTTGATGTCAGGCAAAGTTTTTGCAATTTTGTTTTCCAGCATTTCGATTTGGATTTCGCGGAAGCGCGACCCTGTTTATGGGAAAAATACAATGGACTGTGTTGTGGATCAACATCAATTTCTAGTGTCGTGATGTAAAAATCGCTGCCATGATTTATTTCCAAATTTTTTTCTCTTATCACAGACCGTCTGCGACGACGTTGTCCAGAAGCCAAAGCAGCCCGCGGAGGTGACCCAGAACTGGGACTTCGCTTGTCAGCAACTGTGCCAAAACACGTGGCGCCTGAACGGCAGTTTATCCGACAGTCCTTTCCACTGCTACTGGAACGCGACAGAGTTCAACAGTACCCCCGTGCCGGCCCCGGCGACCCGAAAACACACCTGCTACCTCTTCCACCGCACCGATCGGGCGCGGGGCGATAGCAGCCTGCTTCCCGACGCCGCACCCGAGGCCGGCCGCAACGCGATCGGTCCGGATTACGATCTGTTCGTGCAGACCGTGGGCCGCGAGAAGGGGAAACCGGACCAGGGAAAGAACTCCGTTTTGCTGAAACTCGTGCCGGATCACTTCGCCGTCACACCGGAATTGTACGCGCCCCGGTTGCGACTCTTCTACCTGAATCGGCACACGGTGCTCGGCTGGGACGCGGTCACGACCGAAACGCAAAATTACATCCACATCTTCTACCCGGGGCAACGGTCGGGGAATGTGGTGTTTCTGGGCTTTTTCGGGCTGATGTTTCTGCTCGGAGCGGTGTTGCTCCTCATCCGGGTGCTGAGCAACGTGATAGAGTTTCATCAATTGAGGCGGCGACCGGTGTAAAAACCTGCAACAGTAGGTAATGTTGCAGCTAATCCGAGGGGAGAAGGAGAACTAGGATATTTTGAGTTTATGTGCACCTGCTCCTGCACCTTTCTTGTTATACTTATTTCGTGTGAGAGTAAGCGGACTCACTTTTACTCGACGAAAGGTAATAAAAGCTGCGCTCTACTGCTACGCTCTACAACGACTACGACTTACGGTAATGGGAAATAAAACAAACGCCTGTTCGCAGTCTACATGCGAAGAGAGAATGTAATCTAGAATCTACTGTGGAGCTCTTGACGATGTATGTTATAGCAGAGGAACTGAATTTTACCACTAAGAACATATCACTCCCTACGGGAAAACCAGTAAAAATTCTTGTTGCAGTGGCGCCAGCACTATAGGGACTAGTCTGCTGCAGCGGAATTCATTCGGAGGGTTTTTTCGTTTTTGGAAAAACAAAAAGCCAACCATAACACCTTCCATATCTTTTCAGCGGGCTGCGGCTCTACTTTTCTTGAAACAAAAGTACAAGGCTTGCACCGCTTTGTAGACAAGTCACGAGGTACGTGCGTACTGTTCCAACTTAGGAACGTTTTGATTTATCTGCATAGTGGTAGTAGACAAGGAAAGCATGTTGTCGTCAAAATTTCTGAAAACCGCATAGCTCTCGACATGAAAGAAAAAAACGAGTATGTCGACTGAACAGCAAGAACCCGTCGAGAGGACGTACTGTAAGTACTCACTCTGAAACTAAAGCGAAAACCCAGTGAACAGTTTACGGTATGCTGATCATCATGAAGTACCAACAAACCCATATGCACCATTTTTAAGACCAAATAATATCGTACTGTGCATGAGAGGAAACAAATGAAATGCAGAGCAGTTGTTGTAGTTTACTTAGTACCATTTCCTTGGTTTCTTTTTCGTCTCCAAGTAGACGAGAGAAATTAATGAAACCGGTCTCGTAGAAAACCAATACAACTGACGCATCATAGTACGCATTTGAGTGAAAATGTTTTTAACTTTAGCAACACAAGTAAGGACTTTGTCGGAGAAATCGAAACGCATTCCGCCCTTTGAAGTTCTTCTCCCAAAAACATTCCTCTACTAAAATGCATAGAGTAGAAAAGATGACGCGTAGATAAACAGCTACGTACTACTGGAGAACGCATAGCAACTACGCAGCTTTGCGGCGCATAAGTACTTAGTGATTATCAAGTCTTTTCTACTTCGATTGATCCCATAATAAATTGTCACTACCCATACCCATAGAGGCATACAGCGATTGCCGCACAGTAAATTGACTACGGTAGATTGTACACAAAAATCACCACGCGAACACATCAGCCAGCGTCTGCGATCATGCTCAATTGAGGAGGGCGCTCTTTCCAAAGATACAGATAGATAAAGCAACTCTTCTTCCAGCTGAGCTTCTGTATCTGCTGCAGCCTAATATGCGAATTCCTAAAACTAGCATGTCCAGAGATTCATATCAGCTGTAATACAGCAGAGGACTAGCTATTTGTATCGCGTAACAGCGATACAGTGTAGTGGTACTAAATTTTTCAAAACTACCGTGGTGTCCGTGCAATTCCTTTCGATTTTTTTTCGTAAGGCCGCAATCCAAAAACCGCACTCGATTTGTCTCCCGATTTTTTTTCCTGTCCCCGAGCCCCTCAATCTTGAGAACAAGAAAACGGACCACGATGACATGCCGTCGATAGAAGAACGACGACCAGACCAAGTTGTAACGGTGATTGTGTTGAAAAGAAGTAGGGGACACCTCCAACGCCGTTGAACTGAGTTGAGCGTTTCTTATTCGTTTTTTCTTTTGGGGGTGCTCCTCCTATTGACAACGAACAGTGAGTCACCAACAGGTTTTGGTTATGGTTTTCTCATGTAGTTGAGGACACGGAAGAACTGAGCAGCGCCGTCTTAAGAGGGTGTAATTTCTTATGATGAGAGCAACACTGCTGGTGGGACCGATGCAGCTCATGCCTCGATGCCTTTGTTATTTGAAGAAACTCAAACTGGTTGTGATGTCCTCACAGTGCTGAGCTTTGAGCAGCTGAAGCTGTCCTGTGTTGTTCTTCTTCTTTACCTTCTTTGCACAAACAAGTAAAACCATGTCGGTTCATCTTAGTTGCAGGAACAGCTGCGTGCAGGCTCAGGCAGGTGGATTTGTAAAATCCATTCCAACAGTACGACATCACCCTAGAGATAGCTCGTGGAGGCTGCTGCACCATGGTCGCCCACGAGCGCAGTCTTCCTCTTCCACGGTAGTACCTGACTTCACATCTTCATCATCTCGTTGCAACTTTTACTCTACAAGACCAACATCAACACTGCTGTTGTGCCGACAATTTTCTGCATCGACATCGCGACCAGTAGTTGTAGGACAAGCGACAAAAAAAGCTTCCGAACAAGAAAGCGACCGCATCACGAAAGCAAATACAACAAGCCGAAATGGCGCTCCCCGAGGCGCGTTGCCACTGTTTCTCTGCAGCATCGGTTGTGGAATGTTTCTGAAGAAGAATTTTTTGGACGATGTTGAAAACGCGGAAGACGCTGTGCCGCGATATTTCTACTCGTAGCAAGGAATGCAGGAAGAGGAATGGTCGTTCTCAGAAATAAACCAAGCAGAAAGGATCACATTCTTGAGGACGCAGCAGCGTATCATGGGCACGTTTGAAATTTTACGAAAATGGCAGAACGCGCCGGCGGACCCTGCGGTGGTCCTGGCTCGACGATGACGAAAATAATCATGTTTCGCCGTCCTCGCAGTCACAAGTAGATCGGCACCTACTCCGAGGAGCAAGGGAATAATTTCGGGAACAGCTGCGCAGTACGTCATGGCCGATCAACAAAATAACGAAGCGAAATAAACATAAAGCTAGACATTACAGGAGTCAAAATCATGGCGTCTATGATCACGTTAAGATCTACCTCCAAGTTCCGGATAGGACCATGTGGCGACGCGTTCCAAATACACTTAAAATTATAAGTCATCAGCTCGAACTCTTAAGATGAAACCTACCAAGTTCATTTCATCCAAATAGGCTATGATCAAGGAAGATGGAAGGTGGCTTGCTGTTGCTCTGAATAATTGTGCTAAAGATGCGCCGATCCCGATCTTCCATAGCGTTCTTACATCTATGATCCCGTTTTCGTTTGAAGTTGCGTACCTCTACCTGAATTATAACTGTAACCGAAGCTACAGTCTTCTTCTCGATTTGGATTGTCGAGGAAAAACATCGCTATCACTGGTACAATTTCTTGTACTCAACTTAATACTCTATTGATTACCTACTTAAACATTTACATACCTCCGCCGTTCTACCTATTCTCCATTCGGACTTGTTACAGCTTGTAGATACTAAAAACTCGTTTACATTGTCACTGAAAGTATAAAAACTAAAACTTGAAGCCGCCATCGGAGCAGCATCAAAAATCTTCTACCCTATCCAAAATCAAAATGGCACGCTTCCCCCCTGATTATATGTTGGCCCTCGCCGGGTTTCTACTAGCACCCGCGTGGTCCTTTTTTTGTTTTTCCACAAACTACTGTGTCCGCGCGGTAACAGTACAGCGCTCCGGGCTCGCGCAGGAGCTCGGACTAGCCTCGTCCTCGTCCGCTGCTGTTAAGGGCAAGGGCAAAGGCAAGAGTGACGGAAAGAATTGTAAAGGTGAAGGTGGAAAACGAAAAGGAAAAGGAAAACAAAAACTACTGCAGGCTGATGGGACCCCGAACTACACGAAAGCTACTAATGCGGCTATTACAGCGGCCTGGCACGAAGGATGGACGAAAGGCCAGGGGAAAGAGAAGGGCAAGCGTGGGGGCATCAAAGTCCAAGATGATGGCGATGCTCCTCCTGGTGCCGCTGTTGTTAACGCCGGCGACCGTGAAGCGCAAACTTCTGCTTCGAATGTTGGAGGTCGAACGGAACAAACGGACCAGCCGGCAGACCCGACCACCGAGCCGCGTGTGAAGACCGTGCCGGCCCCGGCGCCGCCCGAAGGTACCGGCCCTGCTGCTCTGGCCGCGGTTGATGTTCTCTCTGCGGACCGCGACAGCCCGGAAGATCATGTTGAACTGGTACATGAGATTCAAGTCGTCAATGCGCTGAAAGGAGAGGTCGTATTTCAGCTTACTGCGGATGATTTTGAACATCCCGAATTCGGATTCGCGCCGGAACGCACAACAATCCGGGACGTGGAATACGCGCTGCGGAAAAAATCCGAGCAGGCCGGCGGGGACTTCGACTTTCTCGGGGCGTGGAAACTTGTTGCTTCGAATGAGTGGACGATGAAGGAAAAAAAGGCCACAACCATTGAGCAACTACTCCTGTTGCGCGGCAAAGCTGCTGCGACAGATGCTGTACTTATGTCAGTGCACAGCTGGTGGTCCTCGTTGTTCCCCTCATTATTTTTTGCCATGCAAGAAACAAAACCGAGTCTAGCTGCTGTAGTTGCCCTTTACTAGTACTTAATATGAGGATACTCCTCCGTATGCAAAGCGAAGTTGCGAGAAGGGCGGCCAGGAGGACAACACCTCGGTTTTCAGTCTCCGAAATTTTTTTTCCATTTACAGAAGCCAAGCGATTTTTTTTTTGTCGTAGTACAAAAGCTACATGCATGCTGGCGTTTGCATAGTTTTTAGGGATGATGATGATGTTAGCAAGATGATGACGATGATGATCATGATGCTGCTCTACCCCTTGAGCAGTAAAAAGTGAGGAGAACAGGGACCACGACCTTATGCAAGGTCATAGAAGAAGAGGCCTTAATACGCACATCGTATACGGGGCAAGAACAGCACGTCCAACGGATTCGCCTTACTGCCATTCGGAGAGCGCTCCACCCGATTGTCGCGCATTTGGGGGAGGTGTCCGCTCGGGCCGAACATGCTTTGAATCTGTTTCACGATGACGACGCGATCTCGCGCGACGCAGCCATTCTGGTGTGGGCCAAAATTATGGCAAGAAGCTATAAGAGCGACTATCGCTACGGCACGACCCAGGGCGGGGATGAAGCGAATCTGTTTTACTCGAAATTGCCCCTGCTCACTGATATGCTGCCGAGATTTCTGGATTCCATTCAGGACACGGAAGGGGGAGAGAGCGACGCCACGGCGTGCAACATGAAAGACCTCTATGCGTGGTCGCAAATATGAACAATCTGTCTGGGTCTGCTGGAAACATGTTGCATTCGGCTTGGCATTATTTTCATTCCGACGATTCTTTCAGACTAAAATCTGTGTTATTAGTAGTTGCACGAACAACTACAAAGGCATACCGCAAAGTTGTTTTTTATCGTGCAACGAGCACCCCTTGTGAAAAATTTCTGCGGTTTCATCTTGTTGGTATACCTCATCTATTTCGAGATTGAAAGTGTCAGTGTCTTGACCTTCTACATCCAGAATTCAACATCGCAAGCTTTCCGACCCAGATACGTTTGTCGATTTGCAATCGATAACCTGGAGAGAGAGCTGCCCGCGTTGGGCACTGGCTGGGCGGGCACCGGCTGGGCAGGGGATTTAAATGTTCCCAGAGGGTTTTCTACTCGCGGCTTTTCCGATAATACCAACCACGACCGCATCATGGCTTTTCTTGCAGAGCACCGGGGCAACTACCCGGTCGAGGATGGGCGCACGACTGGCGTCGCGGCACAACTCATCGCTAACGCAACAGTTCGGTTCTTTTCCCAGTGGGCAAATACCTGGAGTCGCGACGAGGGAGGCGGCCTCCCGGCGGCCCTCGGCGAGACGCGAAGACTTTTCCCGCCGCGTTCCCGCCCGGCGACTCGCGGCGCGAAGCCGGAGAAGCTCCTCCTGTCGACTCATTTTTCTACCGACGGGAGCCATTTCAGGACTTGCCATTTGGAGTATGTTTTCATGCTCCGGTATGGAAGTGCGAGGCACGTGGAAATCGTCACCTGGGAAGATCGGTTCAGATGCAACTGGGAGCAGTTGGGCCTTATTTATACATTATCGAAGCGGCCGCGTCGGCGTGTTCTGTAGTGCTTCGTGATCATGCCAGGCAGGAGCATTGTTCTAGCCCGTGATATTTTTAACTGTTTGGCGGCAATCCCTTGTTTGACTTTTCGCTCTGCAAAATAAAGGAGAGCGAACATTCTCGACGATAGTACGCAATCAGTCACGATTTTCAAATACTTATGCCGATTTCCCACCTCGCGCTTCCACAAGATTCATGTGCCGGCAGAGTTTCCGCCTGAAGATGACATCAGGACCTTGTTGTCGCGACGCATCTACAATCTGGTCCGCCGCGCAAACGCCGATGCCGCGAACACAGAGGTGCCAGACGAGTACGCTTCAGAGGTGGGGTCGCTGCTACGCAAAACGGTAGCAGAACTTTCCCGCTTTGAGGTGCGCTGCATAGACAAAAGACAACCGGCACTGATCAAAACCATGTTGCGGTTTTGGGATCCCGCAAAACTTGAGTTGACGAGTGTTGTCCACAGAAGTACTAGAACTAGCTCAACATAGTCGTAAAAATTCTTCGCGGCTGTAGTTCGTGGTGGTGTAAAGCATTGCGCTTTCCATCAATCGCCATCACCAGGGCCAGAACTAGGAACTACATTTGCTCTCAATATTTCGAACATAAAGTTGGCTTCGCTCAGGCATGATGTTGAAGATTTGGAAAAAAGAAAGGCACTGATTATGCTTTTGTCTAGTCGTGGTCCCATTTTTACGTGTATGATTTTTCGTTCTCGTTCAGGGCCAATTCACTGATGTTGGAAACGTTCTACATTGATAGATTCGCGTTTGTATTTTGACATAAGTGATTGGTCTACTTGGTGATCCTGTGATGTCTATGTTCTCACAGGTTTTCTTTGTACAGGAGGGTCACTCGGCACTCTAAGGATGTATTGACAGCATATAATTTTAGACAGTAACTCGCACACTATAAGATGCGAACATCAAATGGAAATGATCTAAAATGATGCCGATAGACAGTGGCCAGTTTCTCTTTGAAAGAAAAGCATGACACTACTTACTTACTATACTGCGCGAACGCCCGCACGCTCCCAACTGTTTATCGCTTTGGAGCCGAGCGTAGCAGCATGTTGGCAGAGCGTGTGGGATCCTATGGGCAGATAAACTTCTGCGCCAAAAAATTCAAAGGTTTTTTTTTCACGTGCATCTTAAGATGCGTATTTGTATTTCCGATTTTAAGAGACGAGTGAACGTCATAGCCTGCAGATGAATATCTCCACTTCGAACTCCTTCAGTTTTACACTCAAGTCGTTCTTTCTTTCTCTGTGTTGTACCACGGTCATGTCACCAGAACACGTGTACTATTTTGTTGATACAAAATTATACTGAGACACTTGCTGATCCTGAGCATTTGACGAAAACAACACAGACCAGTTGTGTCAGTTGTTCTCAATAACGCGCATAAGAGTCTGCCCCTCGATCGCTTTAAGAAACGAGCGCGCGATTCTGACTTTTTGAATTATTTTCAAACAACAGCATTACAAAGGTAATGAATCAAAAAACTTTTAGATTTTCACACCAGCACCAAAAAACCCAGGACCGACCTCATGCCTACCTCAACACAAGGCGGGCGCGAGGGCAACAGAAGGACTACAATAAATGCACTTCCGGGAAGCAGTGCAATATTGTAATGCCTACAACTACAAACCACTTGAAAGACTAGGATGAAATTGAAATGGCCGCAGGGTGTTTGCCACAGGCACAACACATGGCGCAACCGCCACGCGGTACACAAACTGGAAATGCAATTTTCGTGCGGTCAAAAAAAAAAACAGTACTGCTTGATGCTTGTGCGAGACTCTTGCGAGTTGACCTTTTAATGTTCGACAATTTGGGTTTTACCCTCCCTGCGACATTCAGCGGTGGAGATTGATATGTGCCATGTGATCACCTCCACTCCATTTGATTGAATATGAATAAATTCATTATCAACAAGAATCAAAACAATCTTATCCAGATCATCATATCCGGATATTATACTACAAATTTATGATTTTCCCCGAATTTTTTTTCGATGCCATCACCTCATATTTCGATATCAATCAAATGATCGAAAACATCGATGATTTCTGTGTATTGATATTGAAATTTTTTCGAAAAGAATCGATGACATATCCGAGGTATTATTTCTTCATCTATGAAATAAATCTGTGAATCTCGAATGAATTTTATTTAATATCCCCCTTAAGAATGTAGTCAATCTATCTTCATTTTTCTCAAATTTATCTGGATATATTCAATGATTTTGAAAATATCCTACCAAATATTTCAATGATTTTCAGGCAGCCGGCCCGAGGCATTTTCCGCTAGTAAAATTTTTTTAAAATGTCACTAATTCCGGGAATCGCGGGCCGGTTGGCTGGGTGTGGCACCCTTTGGGCACGCGCCGCATTCGGGGAGGGGGGCGCGGCATAGTGTGGCGCCCCCGCTTTTTGTTTTCCCGGGTGTCGTAAGCTTCCGGGCCGTCTCCCCTGGTTGTGTGTTCTCCCCCGTCCTCTTGGGGGTGGGGGCCGCTTATCGTTGGGCCTTTTCGCGCGCGCGGCGCCTTGGCTTTTGGTGGTGGCCTGCCCTCGGGCGCTCTTTTCCCTTACCTCAGGGAATGTCTCGGGTCGGGCCCTTGCCCGGGCCTTCGGTTTTTCTTTGTCCGGTATCTTTGCAAGGGAGGGGGGTCCTGTGGTGTGGTTTGGCACACAGGGGCTGCTCCTCGTGGCCATGGCTCAAATCCACCGGGGCCCGGCGCCTTTGCATTTATGGGGGGCAGCGCGCAGTGGGCCCGGCTCTGGAAATCGGGCAGGAGTGAGGCCGGGGCTTTTTGGTCTTTCAAGCACCACCCCGATCCCGGGCGGCTAATGAAGAGGGTAATCCCGGCGGTAATTTCCGGGGTTAATCTGACCACAACGAAATCGGGAAGGTTTCGTTGGTTTTGAAATTAGACCAAAAATTAGACTACAGATTAGACTATAAATTAGACCACAAATTACCCCAAAAACCCAAGGAATTAACCTGCCCCCGGGGGGCAGTCACTCCGCCAGAGCATTGGGTTTTCAGTTGGCGCCATTTGCCACCACTTGTCCTGCTTTTTCTCGGCAGGCCGCCCGCCCGCAGTTCCCGCCCGCCCGTGGCCTTTGCGTCTTTGAATGGATTCCCCCCGACCGGTGCCTTTCCCAATTTGCCCCGAAGATTGAAGGGGTGGCGCTCTGGAAACCCACAAACAACAGGCCCGCCGGGGTCGCGTTCCGGCCTCCGTTGTGATTTGGTGGAGGCCCCCCGCGCGCAGGCTTCGCAGTCTCCTAGGCCTTTCTTCGGTGCCGGGGCACCCTTTGGCGCCTTTCCCGGCGCGCGCCCGCCTCCCCTTCAGGGGGGCGCGGGGGGGGTGCCCGGAGGGCGGCGCCCGCGATGGCTATGCGCCCCCGGAAGTATGGCGGCACCCCCGGCGCGCTTTCTAGTCGGGTCCCTCTTGCGCCTGCCCTCCTTCGCTTTGGGGATTAGCCAAACTTCAGCCAGGAATTAACGAAATAGCTTGCCACGGGCCGGCTGCCTGATGATTTAAAATAATAAATTCAAATCATTTGAAATTCGAAAAAATTTAAATTATCGAAAAATTTTCAAAAAATTTCGAAACATGATGGAATTTCGAAAAATTTCGAAATTATTATGATGAGGTTTTGATTTTCTAAAAGTTTTTGGCATTCTCTGAAGAATTATCATTATCAAAAATTTTATTGTAAATTTTATTTCATAAATCTCTTATTCTTTCCGATTTATCTTCCAGGAATACATGGAGCCATATCATTGAAAAATTCAAAAATTTTTTTCAATCCCAGACACCTTTATTGATCTTTCTATCTTTCTTTTCATCCCCAGACATGAAAATGAATTTTCTTAAAAATATCGATCCGATTACATTTTCACATTTTTCAAATCATTCAATCCGAGAAATGAATCTCATCACATCCGATAATCCATTTGATTCATTTCTTTTCTTTCTGGTCATGTCTGGGCATGACTCAAATTTGTCGTAGACCCGATCCGAGATTATCCTTCATTTTTTCATCATCAACTCGCTTTTCCTCAAAAATAAGATATAGATAAAGATGATAAAGATAAAGATGACAGAGATAAAGTTAAAGATCCATTTGATTCAATCCAGAATCATATAATCTTTGAATCAAACAATTGCAATCCATAACTCAACACATGATAACTTGAGATAATTCGCGACAGGTAAAGATCAAAAATCATCATTGACAAGAACGTTCATTTCAGGTATGACAATCCCTGCAGGTCGTGTAGGAAGGTAACAAGATCTTTTTGATTTGCTCAAGCTTCATTTTGGATTTTCTTTATTTTTTGCTTCGTTCTATTTTTTGCAGTGCAGTTTCTGCTATGTAGTTTGTCTTTCCATACCGCAGCACTATTTCGTCCTTTTCGATTTCAATTCAATCAGTTTCACCGCCTCATCCCATGTGACTCCCGGCTCCTTCTGCAAATAATCTTCTTCAAACCCTTTCTCTCCCCGTTTCGCTCTGCCCACAATGGCCGGCCAGGAATAGGAGTTGTTATTAGCCGCGGTATTGTTGGTCTGACAGTAGCGATTCCCGACCACATTCCTGATTTGCACGTATTTCCCGTCGCAAAACGTGGTAAATTTGTTGCGAAACGCCTCGGACTTTTCGAATTTCTTCTCCACGGACACGAGCTTTACCAGAATCCGCGCAAACCGTTCCGGCCGAAAGATGGCCAGCATCCGCCACATCGCGAGGCGGCGGTTCCCCGTTCCCGCCACGAAGAGGATGTTGCTGCTGGTGACATCACAAGACGAACTTCCATAGCCACCACTAGAAGCGGACGTGGCCTTGCATGACTCCCCAAACCGTGGATCCCAGCACACCTCCAGGCAATCGAGTGTCTTGGGCAGTTTTCCCTGGTTGTCACAATCCAACACCTCCTCCATGGTGTCCAAAATTCCCTGGTCCTGCAGATGCACCCCGGTCCGCCAGTCGTCGCAGTCCGCAAATTTTTGGTGCACGGAGTCGTGCGCAAACCGGATGTGCAGCGGGGAAATCCAGTGCAGCGTGTTGGGACGCGTGTAGGCCTTGGACGGCAGTTCGTAGTAGGACATGGCGTCATGTTGGTGTTGATCTAGGAAATTGCTATCCTGGTCGGAGGCTGGAATTTCTTGGCTGGTATCATGATTATCGTACAAATTGTTCGTTGAAGAAGTTGAAGATGCTGGCAAAGTTCCATCCTTCGCGTAACTTTCGATAGCATTCTGATTTTGTGTAGCTCCACCATTTTGATCACGCGTTGGCGGAACAAAATGCTGCTTATTCCTTGAGTCGTCATGGCTCATAAATGACCCCGCCGCCGATTGGGCACCAATGAGGAGCGGTTTAGTTGTGCTGTCGGCGGCTGCAGGAGCGGTTCCGGTTTTGTTGTTCACCTGTACTGCGGCGCCCTTCTGTTTCTTCTTTTTAGCTGAAGCAGAAGGAGAAGCGCTGTTCACAGATATTGTTGCTTTGTTGTGCGAAGAAGCTTTGATTTCCTTGCTTGTTTCCTGTGCTTGTGCACTTGCAGAACTATACGAAGAAGCCGTGTTATTGCAGCAAACCAAGTGCCTCGCCAACCCGGACACGCCGTTGTATTTTTGTTGGCAGAAGGGGCAATTGGCTACGCAGTTGCCGTTTTCGAAAATCAAGCCCGTTTCTTGTGATGAAGCGTTTATTTGGTCTGCAAACGAACTCGCGACTGCTGCAGCTACTGCATTTGAGGTTCTTCCCTGTTGATTTCCAGCTTTGTTCTTGGCCCCTTGCGTGACCCAGGTTTGCGCGCAGGCGGTACACAGCATCGCGGGGTCTTTGCACAAGCAGGACTTCTTGTTGTCGTACACTAAAATCGCGGGTACGATGTCGTCCTTCAGCAAGTCCGAATACTTGCGGTAGCACAAACTACACTCCTTCTCCTCCGCATCAACTTTTTGACATCTGTGCGAGGCCATCTGCCATTGCGGCATGCGCTCAAAACACCAGAGACAGTCGTGGGGGGCGTACGGGCAAATTTGCTCGTGGTGTGGCAGGTACTGCACCGGCCCCTGCCAACCGCACCCGGCAGGGTGCTGCGGACAGGAAACGATGCGCATTTCGCAAGTGTTTTCTTGGTGGTATTGAAGTTCCGAAAACCGAATCCCGGGTAACTGGCAAACTTCGCAAGTGACGGACCGCCCGGCGCATTCATGATTCAAATGGTGCTGGAGATTTTGGAACTGGACTTGTTTTTTGTGCGCATTGCACCCCAGGTTGGGACACTTCACGAGCCGGAGTTTGCATTTCTGGGACAAGTGCTTTTTCAAACTGGTGCCCGGAGCGAGCTGTTCGCCGCAGTCGGGGCAGATAGTAGCTGTTGCGCCGGCGTGGCCATGGGCTGCCGATGATGTTGCCGCTTTGGCTTGCTTGCTTGCTGTGGTCGTTGGTTTCTTTTGCTTCGTCTCGCTTGGTGTGACGGGGATTTTGATCGGTTCGCTTACTGGTGCACAAGCTGTAGCAAGAACCGGTGTAGAAGTAGTTGCAGTGTGGGTCGTGTCCTCGTCCACGCCTGTCTCAACATTTGCAGCCTGCTCAAAAACCTCCTGCTGCAGCCGCGGCTCGGCGACTGGATCAGATTCGACGAATATTGGCGCCTCGGAAGGCGCTTCTCTACTAACTTCGTCCTGCACTTGTTCATCTGCATCCTGTTCCTCCAGCGCTGCCTCGAGCTTCTGCTCCTCCTCCGCGTTTTCTAAACCGTGAATGCATTGGTCCTGTAGCTCCTCTACCAATTTCACAATATGCGGCACGCGCCGGTTCAAGACGGCCAAGTCTATGCGTCGCGGTATAGCTGATGTTAATATTCCACGTTCAACATCATTCTCGTCTTCGGAGCAATTACCTCCAGAGGACATCATGGGCAATAACGTGTTGGTCGGTAAACAGGCTGCAATACTTGCTGTGCCTTGTCCACCTCCTCCACCCCCTCGTCCGTACAGAATCCACTCACAGACATCCATCACCTGCTCGATTTCCTTTTTCCACTCCTTCAGATCTACCGCGCAGACACTCGCCCCCGCTTCGTAAAATTTCTCGTATGCGGCACGGTACAGCTTCGCGGCGTACTGCGTCATTTCCTGCTCCTCAATGTCGTCCCGAACTACCCCTTGCCGATCCGCCAACAGCTGCCGTTGCCGCGCCACCTCCTGCTTCGCCGATCGTTGGCAGTCCACGCTGCGACTGTTCATCTCGAAGTTCGACCGCAGCATGGCGCAGAATCCGCTGCTGTTTTTCCCGTCCTCTTCGACCGAGTCGACCGCAAGCCGGAGGTTCCGAACCTTCACAGCAATCGTCTGTCCGTTCGTCAACGCCACTTGAACCCTGGTGTCGTCCACGTCGTCCACGGGAGCTAGGTATGACATGCAAATATGTCTGGGTCTGGAAGATTCCGAGGCTTGTCATGCAGATTTTCCATGATCCATGTCGTCTGGAATGCAGGGCCTACTTAGCATGACAGATTCTGTGAGATCCCTATCATGCCTATCCTGCATGAGAAACTTCCTCTCAACTACTTGGCACTCATGCAACTTTTGGCATTCATGCAACACAGATTTTTGCACGATCCAGAATTAGCATTACAAGCTGCATCCTTCCAGACCCAGTGATTTTTGCAACACATACTTGGTCCGGCGCGGCGCGGTTCGTCAGCAGCGTCGCCAGCGCACCATTGTACATCACCGCGCGATATCCTGTGCAAAAGTATCGTACTCGTACTAATTGCAGACATGCATGACAAATCCAACTTTCTACCTGAAATAGCATGACAAATCGCATTTTTGTTCTTGGGAAAATTTGTAATGCAATACATACTAGTACGATACTTTTGCAATGCATACGCGACCCGCTTGCAACCCGAACACCTTCACCGTGGTCTGCCGTTTGGTCAGTCCCGGGATCACCTTCAACGGGCGGGGGTGGAGCTGGTACCCGATTTTCAGTTTTCTTTCCAGAAAATTCCGCCACAAATTCACCCCGCCGATCTCCTCGAAAAACACGTCGGGGTCTTTCAGATTCGCGTGGGTCTCCTCCAACAGCATTCCATTCCCGGTGCCAACTTTCACACTTTCCACCCCCGCGTGCAGATGGTACGCCACCTGCGCCCGGGTTTGTTCGAACAGGTCCGTGACTTCTTTTTGGTAGCCCTGTTTGTAGGAAAAGTCGTGGATCGCGTCCTTGTAGTAGGGTCCGGTGTCTGCGTATGAAAGTGCACAACCCCCCCTCCCCCTCAGTTCTGTAGCATGAACAGCAACACAGGCGTCAGCAGAAATGCAGGTTTTGCATGACAAACTTGCACAAATAGCACGACGTGCTATTTCGGGTGCCAGAACTTGTCATGCAAACCGTGCCAAAAGGCAAACACGCTTGGCTATGGTATTTTGCATGACAAATGAGGGGGAGGGGGAGTTCGAGTTGTGCACTCTCTTACTGCGCCGGCGTACTTTGCTCCCTCCTGAATGAACCACTGGATGGAAACGGAGTAAACTTTTTCGGCGAGCAACCGGAGCGACGGGATAGTTGTGGAGAATACGTTTTCATCACCGTACCTGTGTCGTGGGTGTATTGTTGGCGTAGTTCTTGCACCATAAAGTCGAACCAACTTGCTCGTTCCCACGAACATGTAAAATTGAAAATCAATCGTGTGCTCGCTTCTTTAGGCGAGCGAGTGACTGTCTATCGTACTATCTATATTCCTGCTTGTAAGTAGCTGGCGATCGGTGTCTAAACCGGTCACCACCTAGGTCTGGAGAAACACCGCCCGTTTTAGTGGTGAACCAACCGACCTGGGGAGTTGCCCGAGGGAAAGTGAGTCGAGACCCCCAATCACCACTGGCTTCAGAACGATGCACTACTACCGCCTCCGCAGTGCTTCGCTCAACCTCCGCTGAGCCACAAGGTCCGAAGTAAGCCGCCTCTGCTTACCCTTCCTTGCGTCAGAACAGGCGCTATAGAAATGCCAGGTCCTAAGCAAGACTCCTCTTCTTGCCCTTCCTGGCTGCGCTACCTGAGCCGGAGCTCTGTACAGCGGTACGTAAAATTGAAAATCAAGAAGTAAAATAACGATAAAACAAACTTTACTTTCTCTTTGCGTGTTCTTTCTGGAATCTGAGCGGAAGCAAGTCCGCAGCTTTCTCCAAACAGCACGCAAAATCGAAGTCGAAGAGTTCGTCCTCGTCGGTCATCAAGTCGGTTTTTTTACTGGATGCGGAGGCCAACATTAGCGGCAACGCCTCCCGCCTCGCACACAGTTTCATCCAGAGCAGGAAGTCCGCACAGATGGAAGCCGGCGTACTGTCCGGATTGTACGCCCCTCGCATGTTTCCCCCGCACCACTGCATGTCGTCGTGAACCCGCATGCGGTAGCAGTCGATTAGCCACTCGCACTGCTCCTGTTTGATTTGGAGCTCCTTTGCCTCCGGTGTGAGTTCCCGTTTTCGCTTCTTATTTCGGATAAAGTGCGCCCACCGCCGCAGCGGACTGTCGCAATCTTTGTCTTGGAGATGCCGTGCCAGTTGCTTGTTGCTTTGCGCCTTGTTTTTCACGTTGTTCGCCCCGCCGAAGATTCCCTTACTCCCGCCCGCGAAATCGAAGCTGAAGGTTGCCAGGTTATCGTCCTCCATGTTGTTCGCTTGCTCCAGCAACGTTTTCCGTTGCGCATCCGCGCCATGCCGCACCTCTTCTACCGCGTTCGACTGCTTCAACCCGCTTTGCTCTTTCAACCTTTTCTATCGCAAGAAAAAACTGTTTCACTGTGAACTTGTGATGCAAAGAGTGGAGCACATGACTATTTGTCTTGCTACACCTGCAAGGCATTGGATTTTTTAGCGTGTTTTCCCTTGGAAAGCGCGCATGGCAAATTTTCTGTGTCATGTGTAGCAAACTTGTGATGCGGATTTTGCAAAACCATCACAGTGAACAGTTTTTTCGTGGCATATTTTCGTCAGGTTCTTGATCTGTAGTTTCGTGAACGACTCGAAGGACTTGTTTTCCTTGACCAAACTCGCCCGGTACTCCGCGGGCGTCCAGTCCGGGTGTTTTTTAATAAGAGCGGTGAGCTCCGTTTTCAACTTCGCATCGAGATTGGCCGCTGTGTTCATCTCGCTAGTTGCAGTGGAGGAAGAACTTGAGGAGCTCGAAGTGCCTCCGGCCGCGGTGCTCGAGGCAGAAGAGGACATGGCTGATGAGAGCAGCAGAATCAGTTTGGTGTCTATGAGTTGTATGTAGAAGATGACATCAAAGTCGTGTGAATGTGTTTGGTTCTTCCTTCGCTTCCGTTAGAGGCAGACGATACTAGTAGTTTTGCGGCACGACATCGACAAAACCAAAAGGAAAAATGGTAAGGGTAGTTGAAGTTGTCACGTTGAGCTAGTATGCGATACTGAATAGAATAGGGGCACAGAAGTACAGGCAGGCAAAATACATTGGTAAGTAGGTCCAAGAAATTGATATTGCCTAATCGCAACTTATATAAAAATGACGTGAAGTAGTTGTAATTCGTAGACCCGGAAGCAGTGGGGGGCCTCTGGCTCTGCGATGATTTTTAAAAAACGATGTTTGCACGACGATAATTTCATATAAGTACTGCGTTCTTTGCTGCAAGAGATGGAGATCCACTTGTAGTTGCTGATCCTACGTACCACACGCACAGGTACTACTACGTGCACGATCTCAATGCTTGCGTACATCTTGCTACAGCTGCTAGCACTACAGCAAATGGAGATGTTTTGTGGTCCGGTAAGCATCCATAGATCTAGAGCAACTACAAGTTGCGAGGTCTTTCTTTTTTCACTTGTCATCCCGGCCGATGAGTTGATCTTTACCGAGGAGATTGAATAAGTACCGCGTTACTAGCATGACGCCCACCTTTTTTTCTCTTTGTCGATTATGTTCATGGCAAGAGCTTGAGCTGCTCGTTGTCATATTTGCTACTCTCACCGCTACCGCACATCCCAAAAAAAGAAGCTGCCGAGAAAGTCAGTGCGGATCATGCAAACAGCTTGGACACCGACGCAATCGTTTCGTGCCCACATCAGGAGCCGGCTTATCCCCGACAGGGAAGGAGCTCTGCGCAGGCAAGCCGAAACGCAGAAATCACAAATCCGCCGAGTGCAATCGTGATTGCGAGATAGATACTTCAACTTCTGATACTTATACTGCACAATAAAATGGATAAAAAAACAAAGTCATCAGAGGGTCTTTGTTTATTTTTTGCAAAAGAAATATCATTTTCTCGCAATTAAGCGGATTTTTGAGTTCCATCAGTGAACTGAAGGAACTGTAAAAGACGTTGACGTTATGTGGTGTTTATTTCCACGACTAGTGATGAAATACTCGATGGAGGTGTTAAGATACCTGTCGTGGTAGCTCATAACAGACTATCAAATGTAAAAATGTCTGGGTCTGGAAAAGTGTAGACTTGTCATGCAGATTTTCCATGACCCGTAAGGTCTGAAATGCGGGACTTAGCATGACAGACTCTGCGAGGTTTCCGCCATGCCTGTCCTCCATGAGAAACTCCCTTCCAATTTGGTCAAAAGTGGACAGCTTTTGGCACTCATGCAACACAGATTTTTGCATGCTGGAGATTTACCATGACAAGTTGCAACCTTCCAGACCCAGACATTTTTGCAATCCATACAGACACCAGAAAGCATCTATGGAAAATTCCGAGGTAAAGTCGAGGATTCCTTCGACGTGTACGTGGTAATCACAATATATATCGCAAGAAAAATCTGTTTCACTGTAAACTTGTGATGCATAGAACGGAACGCAAATGCGTTTGTCTTGCTACACATGCAAGACATTGGATTTTTAGCTGTGTTTTCCCTTAGGAAGCACGCATTCCAAGTTTTTTTTGTCATGTGTAGCAAACTTGTGACGCAGATCTTGCAAAATCATCACAGTGAAGCAGTTTTTTCGTGGGATAATATAATCGAGGAGAATACAGCAAGACTTACAGCCGCATTCCATAGTCATAATATATTAATTTATTTTCAAAAAGGTAAAATCGAAGTTTTGGCGAAGCCACTCTAGCTTCATCTTTCGAAAAGTTTTGATTCATCAAGTTGGACTTGTATCAGCAAATGCAAAAGATTAAGACTTATTTGATTTCTCGAATTTAATTGTAATGATTTTCTTGCAGTGAATACCGCCAGTTTCAACAAAAGAAAGTTTCAAATTTGCCAACTGGTTGCAAATCGGTACTAAAATTTAATTGGTGTTTGGTGTTGAAAAATTTTTAGTGCAGTTCAACATCAATTGATCACGTAGTACTTTTTTACTTACAACGACAGTTTTCTCGGCGTTGGATGAACAAGCAGATTTCGTACGTCCAACTACTTAGTCCCGGTGCTGGTTCTTGTCCCAGATCGTGCTTGGATCCGGCTCCACACCAAACAACAGCGGCTTATGGCGTTCTCAACTGTTACATTCTCAACTGTTACATGAGTTTGTCATGCGAAACTACCATCATACATTATCCGCACGATGTAGCTGATTCGCATAAAAAATCTACGAACAAGGGCTAAACAGCACCGCAATCTGTGCGAAATTTGTAATGCTACGTGTGCAGCCTCCCCCTTTTGACTTTTGCGATAATTCTCGCATTACATATTCGTGTAACAATTGAGAATGTAACGTTCGAGAATGCCATACGGTTCCTTGCCGTGCCTGTCCTGCGCGGTCAGGAGCGACACCCGCGAAGTGATGGTGACGCCGTCTGGGGAGGGGCGGGAACAGTACGTGGGGGACGTGGTCTGCATGCTGTCGAAGAGAGAGTACAGACCTCCTCCGCCCGCCAAAGTGCAAGAACTCGCGTCCGAGGTATCGTTATGCATTGCAAAAGTATTTGTATTGTATCGCAGCAGCAGTGATTCTGATTGCATCACAAATTGTTCTTCCAGGAGGAAAGGTGGAATTTGTCATGCAGAAAATAAATTAGGTTGCAGTATCGAAGCACGTGCCCATCTGCTATGCCATTGGTTACAATTATTACTATGTATTAGTACGAGTACGATACTTGTTTTGCAAGCATGCGTAAAAATCGTTGAAGGACATCAACTTGATGTTGCTCCCGGCCACGATGTACTGGTTGTGAAAATCCAAGTCCATGCCAAACTATTGCAATGAAAAATCCCCCCTCCCCATATCGAAAAGGCACGTCCCAGAAAATTTGTCATGCTGATTTGTGACCTCAAATCGTCTCTGTCTTGCAAGAACGCAACCGCACAGGCTCTGCCGCACTCTGTTGGCGGTTTGTGATGCTGTTGGCCCTACAGACTACACGTTTGCCATGCTCAGCGCCTAGCTCAAAACTTCCCAGTTCGGGCTTGATATAAGCCTGCCGTCCTCTCCAGCAAGACAAATCTGATCTGTGTACGCAAATCCAGCATCACAAACTTCGTTTTGATATGGGGAGGGGGGATTTTTCCTTTTGATACAAACTCGGTGCTCAGCAAACTATCCCACGCCCGGTAGTAGAAGAGCACTCTGCCATATCACAGTGCACAACTCCCCCTCCCCCTCATTTGTATTGCATGAACAGCAATACAAGCATCAGCAAAAATGCCGCCTTTGCATGACAGATTTACACTGGATTACAGTGCTATTTGGGATACCAGAACTTGTCATGCAAACAATGCCAAGAGGCCAAGGGTGGATTGGGTATTTTGCATGACAAATGAGGGGGAGGGGGAGTTGTGCACTGTCATATGCCATATCACAGTGCGCAACAAGAACTTCCCTTCTCCCTGACTTCTTGTCCTCACATGGAAAAGAACTACCCCAAAAAATCTCTTTCACTGGCTGAGTTTGCATCACAAGTTCATCCTGGACGATCATGGGACCCGAGACAGTCTTGTATCTGTACTACCACTTCTCTTGTCCAGGTGAAAATTTGCACTTTCCATGCCGAAACTGCAGCGTTGCTGTTTTCACTAGTGTTGCTGTGGATGGTACAACTCCTCTGTAAAAAAAAAGCGGGGGAAGATGAAGTAAAACTCGCTGCGCACTGTCATATGCCGGTCAACGGACAATGAAACGGCGTCCCTTCCCAGTCGTTGCTGTACTGTTTATGGCGTTCTCAACTGTTACATTCTCAACTGTTACATGAGCTTGTGATGCAAGAATGACAAAACTGAAAGGGGGAAGATTGCGCCTTTTGCATGACAGATTTGGCACAGATTCTCACCCTGTTTGTCCCTTCGGGAATTTGTCATGCGAAGCAGCTTGGTCGCGTCAATTCTGATTGGAATTCTGCATGACAAATGATGTGACAGTTGAGAATGTAGCATCTGAGAACGCCATACTGTTTGGTCTCCATCCATTCGGTGAGCTCGTTCTTATATGCAGGAGGGAAACTGCAAATGCGCTAGTCTACGTCTGTGATGCGAATATAAAAACCTAGTACCAGAGGGTTGCGTCTGTCATGCTGGTGATGGATTATATGGCCCATTGCTGTTTAACAACAGCAACACCATAGTTTTCGCAAACTACATGCGCATGGCAAGTTTTCGCTGTCATGCCAGGCAGATTTGTTATGCTGGTGTTCTTCGCTTAGAGACGTTACACTTAAGACGACGTTTTTTTTCAGTGGATATCTTGTTTTCCGGTAAGATAACTTCATTCGGTGTCGCCGAGCACAAACTTTTCACCGGTTTTCCCGCCACATACTTGCCCAACCCATGCAACGCGATCCACGCCGGGTGCGCCGCGAACACGTGGTGCGCGGGCAGGTCCCCCAGGCGGCAAGCGGACACGGTGCACAGGTACGGGTGGATCTGACGGGTGGCGGGGAGGAGGTGCTTCTGCACGAACTCGTCGTGCGCATTCACCACCGCCCAATTGACGCGGCGGCGCCGTTTGGTGTCGTGCGCATGCTTCCAAAAGTGACCGGTGCGAGCAAAAGCGGCAGCGAACAAGGTATTCTCTGAAAATTAACCATTCCCAATCCCATGCATGCTGTCATGCAAAGCAACGGACGGAATACTAGATTCGGCTCCTGTACTGCAAAAATTGGCTTCGGATGGTGAATTTTCAGGAAATACACGGCTTTCGACACCCGCGTGTGCTTCTCACGACTCTTTGGCTGTTGGTTTTTCGGGGTCTGAAAGGACTGCTCGTGGTCGCTCTCGCTTTGCGTGGTATTTGTCGAGCTGCCCGACAGCGACATCTTGCTTGAGATCTTGAACAGATGAGTTCAAGTTTCACCAAGAAGCACTCAACACGAATGCCAAAAAAATCTCTCAACACGACTGATTCCTCGTCGTGCTAGTGGTCGGTGGTGCTGACCTAGAAGAGACAATCAAGATTTGTTTGTGCGAAACAGTTTTTTTTCCTTGGTTTGTAGAAGTTTATTCGTTGTAGTTTGATGATGATGACGGTTGAAATCATTGACTGCTGGTGATCTGCTGAATTCCTCTTTCATTAAATGTGTCTCTTGTCGAGCTAGATGTTGTTTTTGCGACTAGAACAAAAAACATTTTTTCGCTTGTTGGAATCTTTATGAGTGAACCTGAACACCAACGGAGTGGGCTAGGATGCTCTTTCTATCACCGTCTCGACGTGCTGCGGCAAACCGAATTCACCCGGTCTCACACTTTTTTTTTTGTCTGGATTTCAGTGGACTTTTTGCCATTTTTACACTTGTTTTCCTAACGCCGAAACGCGGGGTGGATTGCTGTTGCTGACACAGAGCCACCTGGTCCTATTGAAGACACCTTCAGAGGTCTTGGCTGTTTCACATACAAGTTGGTTGGTTTCTTGAAGAAGTAGAAACTGCGTTCCTTCAAAGGGGAGCGAGTCCTATCCTGTTGCTTGTTAGATTTGAATAAGGTTGAATGTTGAGAAAATTGAATTTAGTTTGTTTATGTGTTTGAGCGGAACTGAGATGAGGACATGAGCTTTTCCTTTTACAAATTCTTCTCACGCTGCAGTGCCAGTGGCCTCGCTTCGGAGTGCAGCTATTTGAGGCCGCTGTAGACACCGCTCCTAGTGCAACAACCGTCAGTTAAACCGCTTGTTCAGTGTCGTGTTGTAGCTTTTTTTCAGCAGTCCCTTCGACACCTCGTACGCGCCGGGTCCCGGCGCCATGGCTTTCTTGTTCGGCCGCAGACTCTGGGACTGCGCGGGGACGTGACCGAGCCGCGGTCTGGTCGCGTCCGCGATCTCCCCGAACACGTGGGGAGTGTACTCCCCAGGCCCGGGTTTTTCATCGTATTCCCCACCGGTCGCGCGGCTGGAGCTGCTGCCGAAGGAAAGATGGTCGGTTCTGGGGAGCCGGTACGGATTGCGGTAGTCCGTTTTGATCTTCGGATCGTACGCACCCGGCCCGGGGCCTTGAAAGCGCTTGTTCCGTCTTGTTTGGTTCTGTTGCGGTCCGGTGGGTGGTGCTCCGGGGTGGGCGTTTTGGGTCTGCTCCACCGCGAGCCGGGATGCAGGGCGGTTGTTATCTGTTATTTTTTTCGATATAAAAGTAGAAAATGCAGCTTTTTCATTGTTTATCGTGGTTTCGCTTTCTCGACGACGTCGGGAACATAGATTGCTTGCGTGTCTCTGTCTCACGTCGGTGTTGTAGTTTATCTGTGAGAAATCAGCTAGAGTATTTTCTTTGCAACGAGGCCCATCTCGTCACATACTACCTGCCTCCGTCCCGCCCGCATGCGCTGGCTGCTGCGTGCTTGTTGCAGGCGGTTTTCTCGTTGGTCGCACTGGTTTCCTCTGCCGAAATTCGTCATCGCCGTCGAAGCGAAGAGATGTGCTTTTGAACATGCTGCTTTCGCCACCGTAGAGCGAATCTTTCGGCGGCGAGCTGGACATAGACCTGGGGGATCATAGGATACTAGTATTCCAGATGTACGACGACCAGCATGACAGTAGAATCTAGAAACAGTGAATAATTTGTTCCACGCACATAGCACGATCACAACTTCTGTATCTGCCCGCCAAAAAAGATTTAAAGACATAGACATGCGTAAAGGTGCGCGTGCGCAACACATAACCATCATTCTGTACTCCATCTCTAGCAGGCTGCCAAAGCCGCCCTGCTCCGGTTTCTGCGGCGGAAATCTTTCCGCTCGGGAGCCGAACACACCGAGCTTCCCCACGGACGCTTTTTGCTCGACTTTCGCGGTGATGCTGCCGTAGAGCTTGTTTATGTTTTCGTAGTAGGTGCCGGGTGGTGGTGCCAGCTCTACCGCGCGGTCTTTGTGACAGCTGCGCACGTCGCTGCTGCAGAAAGCCGAGAGAGGGACCCCTTCCTGTAGTGAGAGTGTGATGTGAGGACTTTTTTATGTTTCAAAAGCGATCAGTATGTATGAGTATGAGCGTAAGTAATATTTCGAAGCTGGACTGCACAATCACGTTCTTTAATGGTTGGTATGATTCTTAGGTGTAACACAGCATATATCATAATTTTGAATACCATTTCCTGCAACGCCATTATCACAGCCGGGTTGTGCACGCCAACGAATTTGCTTTTTTTCTTGGGTCCAGCACTTGCCTCTACGCGGTACGCCCCGGGGCCTGGAACTGCCTCTGCTTTATCAAATGTAAAAATGTCTGGGTCTGGAAGATTTCTAGATTTGTCATGCATATTTTCCATGAGCCATGATGTCTGTAATGCATGGTCTGGCATCACATATTTTTAGAGGCCTTCCTGATGCCTATCCCGCATGACAAATGCCCTCCCCGCGTAGCACAAACTGGGCTCCTATTGCTGGTCATGCAAGACAATCTTTTTAGAGTCCAAAGCTAGCATCACAAGTTCCAACCTTCCAGACCCAGACATTTTTACATTTGATATGCTTTCTTGTCCTGCAATCTTGCTACTTTAGACCCAAAGTCGAAGCGGTCGATCACCCACTTGGGTTTCGGATTTATCGTGGCCTCGTGGTACCTGGGTACGATTATGGAAGCATTTATTTTCGTTACTTTTCCCGCTTTTTGGCATGGAAAAGGGCTCGGGGTAAGCACGGAGGCACGAAAAAAAAACATCCAATACTCCCCCGGTCCTGGGCCCGTTGCAGTCGTCGTCTTTTGATTTCTCTGATACGGCAGCAATGTTTTTGACTTGAACTGGAAGCTTTCGTGATCCACAGGCTCCTCTTTTATCGCTGGTATTTGGTTGTACTGCCCAGGGCCCGGGGTTTCTATCGAGCCGCCCCCGCCTGGGGTTGGACGAAGCACTTTCGAGGAATGGAAATCCGAGCCGCGTTTCGGTTTCGTTTTTGACTTGTCTGGGTGGAACTGGTCCCGTTCCAGCTCTTCCTGTTTTGGAATTGATGTTCAATTATTTTTGTACTTAAACTTATTTCTGTTGCATGCTAGTATGGGAAAAGGAAGTCGTCATACGAAAGTTGTCGTTCAGATGCAGAAGTCCCATCATCTCAAGCAATAGAAGGTCGTTGTTCATCACAGTTAAATTGTCAAGAACCTGCAGCTTCTCCCTAACGATTTCGTCTCTTTGCAGCAGTTGATCCGGCACGGAGGGTATGAGTTGCAAATATGTGGTCTGGGTCTTGTTCTGGAAACCGAAACTTGTGTTACTGAGTCCTGCATGATTAGCACCTTTCCTCATACAGCCAAGCATGACAAAATTTTGGGATACAAGTCGTCACTTTTGAAGACCACTGGCACTAGAAGTCGTCACTTCATCTCAAGATCCAGACATCTATGCATTCCATAGACGGTGCGGTTTTACTCGACAGCACCAATCCCCCGGTCCGCTGCGGCTCCGGCTGCTTTGGCCTTTTACTCGACGAGCTGCTCGCGCCGATCTCATAGGTCCCCGGCCCCGGCGCATCTACCGCGGTTCCTAACCCGCCGAAATCCCCTAATCTCGGTGCGGAAGAGCGGAAGTCCGCGGACCCGGCGAGAATCTCCTTGTCCGTCGGCAATCCGACCGGAACGTCGTACGCACCCGGTCCCGGTGCGCCACCCTTCTATGACCCGGTCAGACGTTACAATCTCAAGCGTTACAATCGAATATGGAAATCTGTGACGCAAGAGGTGCATGATCTAACCAAGTCTCATAGGACTGCGCATGACAAGTTCCGGAGTCCCAAACCGCACTACAATCTGCCGAAATTTGTATTGCAAAAGGTGGAACGCTGTGCGAGTCTGTCATGCTCATTATGCAACACAAATTCGAATTCCAGAATCTATTGTAACGTTTGAGATTGTAACATCTGAGCAAGCCATACCTTCTTCACCGAGTTTCTATCTGCCATGGAGAGAAACGGGGCGCCCGTTCCGGGGGCCGCGCCGAGGGGGGCGCGCACATCGTACGTCCCCGGGCCGACGTCGTGGGGCCCGCGCTCCGTCGGGAGACGCTCGGAACGGGTCAGCGTGAGCGCCATGGTGACTGGGAACGCGCGGTTGGAGGGTGGTTACAGTCCTTGACTACGCCGGGTTCGTGTGGCCGAGGCTATCAGCTTCGTGGTTGCTGGGAAATCGACTGAAGCTGAAGGGGCGAGCCTCGCTTTATTTTGCTGCACGTTCTTCAGAAGAACCACGCTGATGTGCCACGCAGTTAAAGAAGATCACTCGTGAGAGCCAAGGCTACTGCGTTCCATGTTGAAAGTTTCATGATCTTGTGCTGTGCTGTGCCGTCACGTTGTAGTGCTGCTTGCTGGTTGAGGTTGGAGTGGTGCTCTGAAAAAGGTTCGGTTTTTCTGTACGAGTGCAAAACGTACCTATGGGCCTTCACATCAACAAAAGGACAAAGAAAATTTAGTAAAAACAGAAGACGAAATCGATAAGAATCAAGGAACGACTTCACGACGATGAAATAAGCAGAAAACGATCATCGCTCTCTTTCCTCACATTCTCGCAAAGGTCATCGACGAGCCGAAAATTACTGACGTCGTGCCGTCGAGCGAAAAAAAAAACCTCAACGAGTTGCAGATGCGATGTGGTATCAAACTAGCGACGGAAGGATGTACAACCAATACTGATTTAATCAGTTATACGGTGGAAAGGAAATAAGACCATAACCACAAACACATCGAAAAACAGAAGAGGACCTGAAAGCATCGACGATGACTCGGTTCGGTCGCACGAGCACAAGAGATTTTTTTGGGATTGTTCGAAGTAGTCCTACGTTGGATATTAAAATTGTACAGGTACAAAATCATTTAGTTCAAGACGGAGCATGATACATTGTTTGGCAGAAAATATTTGTTCACATAATTTCCGGCATTTCATTGCTTTAGCTCATCTCGTTGCTACAGAATCAGGAAGAGAACTACTGTTCGTTGTGTGCATTTTGACTAGAAACAGAAAAGGTGTATTAAAATCAGGTTTGCTTTTGTCATCACTGAAATCGAAGAGAATGCAAGTTTGCTTCCACCGTCCCCGACAAGAATCAGGAAAACGGTTGACGAAACCATCGCGCGCTAGAATACGAATACCGCTACGTTGTTGGCATTATACATCAATCCTGAACGTCGAAAAGGTAGCAAAAAATGGCAGTTCATCCTGCGCTACAAGACCAGGAAACTGCCATCCATGCTCAATAGTCTGTGGATCCTAATTTTCATGATTTTTCTCTGTTCACCTGCACTGGACTCGTCCAGGCTGCCGGTAGAAGTACTATCGATGCGTGCTTTTCTGGTATGTACAAACAAAATGGAAGAGCTTTGCATGAGGTTAATTTCATCGGCATCGACATCGAGGCAGCAGGAGCTGCACAGCCACAGGCGAAAATAGGAGCTACTCTGCAAAATACATTTTCGGTAGCGGAAAACTGTGTTCGCATAGATTGATAAGTACTACTGCGTCTGTATCCGATTTCTCACGTCCTTTTGGAAGACGAATTTTCCTAGTGTATTGAGGTCATTATACCTGTGTGTCAGTTACTGTTACGTCTAGATGAGTCTTATTTGTGAGACGAGCAAGCTCGAGCTCTGTTTGTCTGTGGTCAAATACTGCTTCGTACTACTTGAAGCAACGTGTCAAAAGTTTTGAAAACTTCCGTACCCTGCTCGACCTCCAGCACTATTGTTCTCCCCCTACATCTATCCTGTGCAAAAGTATCGCACTCGTAGTAACAGCAATTGCATTTATGCATTACAAATCTCTTTCGCTTTCCCAAGGTAAATCAGCACTACAAATTCAATTTGTAATGCTGGGCTAATTTGTAATGCATTTATACGATTACGATACTTTCGCAATTCATAACATCAGCTTCACCTCCCCGGCCTTCGAAGCGATGTCCATCAATTTCTGTTCCTCTTCCGGCGACTATAACAGTGCACAACTCCCCCTCCCCCTCATTTGTGTAGCATGAACGGCAATACAAGCATCAGCAAGAGTGCCGGTTTTGCATGACAAATTTGCAGTGGAGCATGGTGCAGCTATGTGGGCTACCAGAACTTGTCATGCAAACAGTGCCAAGATGCAAAGGGTGGATTGGGTATTTTGCATCACAAATGAGGGGGAGGGGGAGTTGTGCACTGTCATAGCGACCGTCTCGGGTACTGCCGTAGCAGCATGTGCTGCATGTCGCTACTCCGCCTCCGCGCGGCCTCCCCCGCCCGCAGCATCACGTCCCCACCGGACACGCTGTAGTCCCGTCCCATGTTCACTTCCGGTTTGAACTTCGATCTCGTATCCAACGACGGTTTCAAACCCTCCCGCTTTATCCTCGCTTCTCTGTTCGCTTCGAGATCCAGCAAGAACCTCGCCTTCTCCGGGGAAGAAATATGCCGTTCCGGACTCGCCGCACCGTGGGTCTTGTCTGCGCGGAACCTGGCCGGCATGGTTTGCCGCAGCCAATCGACGTTCTGGGACTCTGGGAGGGTTCCCTTCTCCTTCGTGAGAAAGGATTCCCACTTCCGGATCTTCAGCATCTCCCGGCTCGGGTCTTTACTCACCCGGGAAATCGGCTCCGCGATGGTTTCTTTCAGCTGCGCCAACCGCTGCTCCGCGGGCATGTGGACAGAGGAGTCCTGTTTTTTCCTTCTCCTTTGTTCCTCCGGCTTCTTCGGCTTGAGGTGGTCCGGCGCAAATTCGTCGTAATCCGGGCGCCAGGACAGAGATTTCGTGTCGGAGAAGGTGCGTCGCAGAACTTTCTCGGCCAGTTTCCCGGTGGTCTGCTGCGCCTGCTGGGCGGCGTGGGTCGTGGATTCTTGTCTCCCGTAAAGGCGTTCGAAGTTCCACTCGTTACTGGCTTTGGTCAGCCGGTCCGGGAACGGGATTTCGGACAGTTTGATCTGCTTCCGGCTTTTCTTGCCGGGGCCACCTGATAGAAAAGAATTGCCGAATGAAGTTGATGAAGCGGAAAAAGTCGTGAGGCGGACAAGTTGCATATGCAAGAATAGATTGGCAGATGGCTTGTGCTTGGTCATGCATCTATCTTGCCGTCTGAAGAACAAGATCGAGAATGGATATCATCATCATGAAATTGAATCTTCGCAGCAAAAATAAAAACAAAATACCAGTCACGCTCCCTCTCTTCGGTTTCAGCACACTCGCCTCTTTGACTTGCGCTACTCCCGGGTCGACCTTCTTCATTGGTTTCCAGTTCGCCACCCACGGTTTCTCCGTCGTTTGCGTTAATTCCTTGAAGATCGTCAGTGGTCGGAGCGAGTCCGGTTCTGGCGCGGCTTTCACCTGCGATACTGTGTAGGATTTCACTTCGACCAAGCTGATTCCCTTCGACTTTTCCTGCAACAACTCCGCTTCTCTTCGCTTGTGCTCGTTCTGCAGGTCCTGTTCCGCCCGGAGTTTTCCGTAGTACCGGTCGTACAGGTGAATCGACGTTTGCATGTACAAAGAGTTCTCCTGCGTCTCCAGCGCTTTGGTTCCGTGGAGCTTGTGCATCACCCGGAACCCCTGGTAGGCGAAGAGCAGGGATTGTCGCAAAACTCGTGGCAGGTACCAGGTCAGAGTTTTCGAGGTTGTCTCCGGCCCGAGAGTTAGGGACACCCAGGGCTTTTTGTAGAACACCGTGTCGGAGAGAATCAGCTTCTGTCTGTCCTCCAGCGACTTCTGGACGAATTTGTGGTCCACCCCGATCTATCAAATGTAAAAATGTCTGGGTCTGGAAGATTCTGACACTTGTCATGCAGGTTTTGCATGAGCACTGATGTCTGTGATGCATGCCCTAGCATCACAGATTTTTTGAGAGCTTCTTGATGCCTATACCGCATGACAAATACCCTCTCCGCGTAGCAAAAATTATATTCCCTTTGGTACTCTTCATGCAATACAGATTGTTTTGGAATCCAAATGCAGCATCACAAGTTGCATTCTTCCAGACCCAGACATTTTTACATTTGATACGTTCAACTCATCTTCCCTATCCCTCCCGTCCGATCCGAAAAAGGTATCTAGCGGCCAGATCTTCACGTCACCAGCTTCACCGCAGCTAATCAACGCGTGCACGCCTGGAACTATTCTCAGGGAGGAAATCTTCCCGCTGTCGTGCGCCTTCCAGGTGCAGATTGTTTCCCTATGAATCACCAACACCTTTCCGCCGAACACGTGCGTGGTTGTCGGCGTGGCGTGCGCGATGTCCGGCGTCATCGTTTCTGGGGTCGTCCCCGCAGGTACATTCGAGGCGGACGCGTAGAGCCTCCTTGGAGTTACCCTTTCCGGGCGGATTTTCACGAGCGAAATCTCGCCCTTCTCGTTCCCCAAAGCGATGATGCAGGACTGGTCTTTCGACTCCGTGTAGGGCTGCGGCTGTTTGAACAAATCCTTCGCGCGCTCCTTGTACTTCACGCGCCGTTCGTAGAGGTCTCTTGGATCTTTCACGCGCTTTTTTGTGACTTTCGGAATTCCGGAACTGCCGGACGGACTAGCCGGGGAAGACTCACCGCCATGGTCCGGCGACGGCGCAGCTGCTGCTGCTGAATCTTGTTGTGCCACTGCCGCTACGGCTGCATTTGATGATGGTTTCGCTTCCGGTTCGTCGTCTGTGTGGTGGGTGTCGGCTGGTAACGCGGATTTTCCCATCAGGGACTTTTTCAGCTTCCCGGTAGTGGAGACTAGTTGATCAGAAGTGTCGTCGATCGGATTCCCGTCCGGGCCCCAGAAACTTTCGTCGAGTTTCCCGATGATAAACGACCACGCTTCCATCAACTTCGGGTCGGAAAAGTATTGTTTCAACCTCGCGTTTTCCAGATCCTGCAAATATCCGAAGTCCGTTGCCAGTTCGGACGCCGCCTGAATCTCGATGTCCGTTCGGTTTGCCAAATCGTAAAGAACGGAAAGAAATCTTTCCACCACTTCCTTCTTCTCCGGCTGCTCCTGGGTGTTCATGGACTTGTGAATTTCCTCCCCCTGTCTCGGGTCCTGGGTCAGGAAGAAGGACTGCTTTTCGAACAGAAAAGCGGACGCTTCTAAGTCCCTAGCGGCCGTGTGGATGTAGTTCTCTTCTGGCACCGCTGCTGATTGTCCTCCCTGCTCTCCACCACTTTCATTATTCGCCGCCGGCCCTGCGGCGCCGGAGAGTTGCAAAGTAGCGGCCCTGGTGACGCCGACCTCGGCTTTTTTCAAGGCGTCCGTTTTCTGTTTCTGCGCCTCGTCGTACAGGTTCCTCTGCCGCAACTGCCGCACTTCCGGGAGCCAGCACTGCTGTCTTTCTAACTCCGCTCTTCGCAGCTCCACGCCGTCGGGTAAGTCCCCGCGAATGGATCGCCCGTACGCCTGCTCCACGACTTTGGCGAAGTCCTTGAAGAAAGGAAACTGCAGAAGGCCCTCCCACGGTGTTGTGGGCGCGGTGGCGGGGTCCGGGAAAGAGGCCAAGTCGGCAAGTTTCGTCCGCGACGCTGCTTGCTCCGCTGTGCTGGGTGGGGTTTGCGCCGGGGGACGGGAAGCGAAATCTGTGGTGAACAAGTTTTGCTGGTTTGAAAATAGTACTGTCGAAACAACGACAAGAAACTTTGAGGCCAAGAACAGGATCCTCGTGCAAAATAAAGCATTGACGTCTACACTTACATCATGTTGAATGCAAAGAAATAGAAACGGCGCGGAAGCTGCAGATGCAGTCGCAAAATTTCATCAGTACTGACAGGCCCCGATTTCTTGGTCGGGTCCGCCCATTCCACGTTCATCACATCGTGCTCCAGCACCGCCAGACAGGTCGCCCGGAAGTTTACGTCCCTTACCTCGTCCTTGTGGATGACCGACTTCTGGTGCAGAAATGACGTTTCTACCTCCCCCTTCTCCATGTTCATCACACACACCTCGCCACTATGCGCGTCCACCGAAAACCCCAAATTGTTGCCGTACTTCCGCTATGAACTGCAAAAGTATCGCACAACTCGTAGAAATGCATTACAAATTTTCTGCACTATCCGCAGATGGGTCATCCTGTGGGATGAGCAATTCCTTCTGCGGAGGAGTGAAGGCGCCCGAATCATGGAGGGGGTGGGATGAGCAATTCCTTCTGCGGAGGAGTGAAGGCGCCCGAATCATGGAGCACCAACCCCTCTCCTGCCAGAAGAAAGCAGAAGGGTCTCTGTCCGTTTATAGGCACGAGACCGCATGAATCATCCGCAGACCAGTGCAAAACGATACATCCCCCGAGGGGGTGAACCAGGGTGGGAGGGACGGCAAAACTAACAACAGACCCGAGGGCCATCTTCACACACATACAACTTTCTCAGGTTCTGGCTACCGCACAACATGCTAGGGCGGGGCCGATACATAAAATACCGCCCGCCCAGCCTCAGCCTTGGCTCACAGGCTCGCAAGACTGCTGCTGCCCGGGCATACATTTATTCGTCAGCATGAGAAATAAAATTTGTCATGCTGATCTGCCTCAAGAAAAAGATTTGTCATGCATGATTGCAATACGAGTACGATACTTTTGCACAGGATATCCGCCACTTCACGCCCGCGGAGTGGTTCACGACTTCTCGCGTTTTGTCGCTCTGCATCATCTATCAAATGCAAAAGTGTCTGGGTCTGGAAGAATGCAACTTGTAATGCGTATTTCAGAACACAGCAAAGTCTCTCATGCATACGTAGCAAAAGCTCCCCACTTTCTGTTAGCAAAGTAGGGGACTTGTCATGCGGGTTCGGCATTGCGGAAGCTTCTCGAAACCTGTGACGCTAGAGCTTCCATGCCAGACCTTCTGTGTCATACAAAAACAGCATGACTCTTCCAGACCCAGACATTTTTACATTTGATATCATCGCAATGTTCGCGGGCGCCATCATCGCCTGTGGATTGTGGGCCCCCGCTGCGACCATTGCGGGCGAGGCAGCCGCGGAGGAGGAACTCGTAGCAGGAGCTGCTGCAGCCCCTGTGGAGGTCGTCCCGGTGACAGAATTTGTCAAATGTTCGAAGTGCAATTGCTGTTCGGTTTGCTGATGCGCTAGTCTATCGTTGTTCTGAATCGGAATCACCCTTGCCGGGTCCCCCTGGTCGAGGTGCGGTTCCCACCACTTGATTTCGGTATCCGTCATAGAAACGAGGTAGCCGGATTCAAAGTCAAAATAAAAGTTCTTCAAGCGGTGGCACTCCGGGCTGTAAGTTAAGCGGATCAATAACGGGTAGCCCCGCGCTGGATTGTCCTCGACCAGCAAAATCGCGCCGTCGGACCCGGCAGACGCGATTATTGCCTCGGGGAGGTTCAGCGGCTGTCGCAGGTGGTGCTCCACTTCGGGGAGGTAGTGCTCGTATTTGGAGTCCGCAACTTTCTCGGTGATCTCGGACATCAGAGCGCGCTTTTGGATCGCGTAGTCGTAATACCTGGTTTATTTTTGACAGTGCGTTGCAATACGACAAGCCAGGAAGCAACAAACAGAATTTTTTTTGTAAGTACTAAAATCAATACATGTTCCTGTACTCTGACTTGGGTAAAATCAGTACTTACCTGTAATGCCCGATGTTATCGTGCATTTTCGGAATATACACCAGATGCGTCACCGCTCTTCCGGTGTCGTGCGTGTTCCGTAACCTGGGGCAGATTGGCTGGAAGGATTTGTTATCGACGATAATGATTTTCCCGCGATCACTTCCGAGTATGAGCCTTGCGTGCGCCCCGTCAAAGCAGGCGGCCTGGATGGTTTCCATCCCCTTATTGTCTTTTCTCAACTCCTGGTTATCCTCCAAAACATGCTCGTTGGTTTCCTCTTTGTCGAGTTCATAGCTCTGCTGCAACTGTTCTAACTTTGCCGCGACCGATTTCGGGTTCTTCTTCTTGTCAGTTCCGTTATTATTTCCTGATGGGAAGAAGCTACCGGAGTGGGTTTTCGACATTTTAGAACTGTTGAATTCCTCCGACTGCTCATGCCCAGGGGCGAACAAGTCGTCAAATGCGGAGAGGGACTGGTTATGCGGATCCTTGTTCGTACTTGCGGTCGAACTAGGGCCGGCGCCGCCGAAGAAGGATCCGGCGGACGTTTGGTGCATTTTGTTTTTCGTACCGTCGAACAAACTAGAAGTTGAGGACTTTTTGGGTTTTTTGTCAAACCCAATTCCGTACTTCTTCTCTAACGCCAGCTTCTGCAGTTCCTTCTTGCGGTGAACGCGCTTTTCCTTGATTTTCCCCGTGAAAGCCCTCTCCACTGACGTTTGCAGCCGACTGTCTGCTTCCCGACTATCGGTCCGCTGGGACCGCGAGTCTTCTTCTTCAAGGGAGAGACCCATTTTGCCGAGCTGTGAGTTGTTTGGTCGGGTAGAAGGCTAGAAGAGTGGGGGAGAACGTGAAATAGCAATCTCGACATAATTTCGGTGCTTGACTAAAGTCGCGGCGTCATCCATTTTTGCTTTTCACCTAACGCAAACCATAACCATCAACCTCATATCACTAATTCGAAACTTACATCACCTCTGCCAAAAATACCGTCGACGCCTGACTCTTCATTTGGTTCGCGACGGACTGCGAACTGTGGCTCGCCGTGGCCGGAATCCCTTGAATGGACTCCAACGTGATTTCGCCCTGGTCCCGGTCCTTTTCCGGGACATTCTCCTCCGCGTTTTGAAAAATCGTCGCCGCGGACACGCACTCGAGCTGCGCGCCGGTCTCGCAATGGAAGGAATATACAAATTGCTCTGTCACGATCACCAAGCTGTGGTTCAAATAGCAGAAATCGGCGAAAATCACTTGGGGGATATTCCCCGCCTGCTCCGGCTGCCCGATTTTTTTCATCTTCAGCAACCTCTCACCGCCAATGACGAAGTCCGCGGTCTCCTGTTCCTTGATGATGTCCGCAACCGTTTCCCTCACGTTCCGACCCTGGTGCCCGAGTTTGTAATACCCGTCTTCTAGCCGGTAGACCATGGCGATGTTCCCCGCGATGGTTTCGTTCTGGATTAACTGGAAGCACTGGAAGTTGTTCTTCAGATCCCAAAGCCGGATGTACCCGACGTCGTCACACGTAATCGCCATGGAACTGCCCATGAACGCGCAGCACGTTAAGCCGGAAATGTGGCCGCGGAGCACGCCGGCGCGCTTGATGCTGGAGGCAGAGCTACCGTCGCCGAGGTTGCCGAGGTGGTACAGACTGGCCTCCGGGCCGAAGCCGACGGTGAGGAGGAGGTCCTGGGGTGGTCGTGTTCTCAGAAACTATTTAGATGAAGTACGAACTTGCATTTATCCAAGAGAGTCAGATGCAAATCCAAACTGAAACCACATGTGTTGTAATATCATCGCGCAATTCTTACATTTACAACTTGAAAAAAGTGCTATTATACCATCACAGGATTGAACGCCATCCCCCTCAAGCCGCAGCCGGTCGAGATTCTCTTCAATTGCGCGCCGACCGTTCTGTCCCACAGGAGGACATTTGAATCGTAACTCGCCGACGCCATGTAAGCGTCGGGAATCTGGATCACCTGCACCACCTGGTCCATGTGCCCCCGCAAAACCGCACTGGGCGCGACCAGTTTGATGGACGGATCCCTCGTCGCCCCCGTGGGGACGAGGTTGAAGCTCATCGGGTTGCCGTAGGTTAATCTTAACTTTTCCCGGCTGTACATCCCCATATTGAAGTCGTCGAACGCACCCACCCACTCGCCAAGCCCCCCGTCGATGAACCACAGCCCGGTGAACGCGATCGCCACTGGGTAGGCTGCTTGCAATCTCAACCCCCCGTCACCGGATCCCGCGGACCAGAAGCAGAGGTGCCGGGAGGAGAAAATAACCCCGATGACGTCGTTCTTGTCGTCCACCGCTATGGACACCGGAAACGCGCCTTTTGGGGGCTGAATCACCTGCTTTGGCGGCACCATGATGCGCTCGTTTTTCAGTTTCGATCCCTTCTGCACGTCCAGTGCAGTTGGCGGCGTGCACATGTTCTGGATGTAATCTGGCAGCGAGACGTCGGACCTGCGGATCAAGCTCCCGCCCGACATGTTGTAGGGGAAGAACGGGAGGTCGCCACAGTAGATCGGCGGTCCGACATTACTCGTGTAGGCATCGTACACTTTCACGCCGGGGTATTCGCGGTCCGCGGAGAGCAACAGGCCCCAACGGTGCCAGGCTTCGAGGCAGCAAATGCCACCCTTGTGCGTGGAGTAATCCGCGATCTTGCCGACGGAAAAACGGGGGGCCTCGCGTCTGGGTGGTGTTTTTTCGTTAAATAATTTGTCTCTCCATCCTTAGCCTAACCTACCTCCACCCGATGCGTCAGCAGTAACCGTGCCCCACATAGGCACAGCCGGACCCCGGGGGCGCCACTTGGAGGCCGCACCAGTACACCCCTGTTTTGTCCGCAGGTGGCACCATTGGGGGTGCCAAATAGCATCCTTCAACTACACAGCATTACTACGTGTGCATCCATCCTGCATGACAGAATGCTGCCATCTTCAGACCTAGAATCCCGAACAACAGGCATCAGCACGGCACTACATTTTTGCATCCACGCATGTCATCGTGCAGAAATGGCAACGTGGTTAACAAGTCGCACGCGTCAACCTAGGGCGGGAGGGCGGGAAAAGAAAAAGTTAGAAGAGCAGCACCATCAGGAGCTTAAGGGTCTTCGTCACTCCTGGCCCAGTGTGCAACAACAATTTCATCTACAGCAAGGACACACATGCAGCATCGACATCGGCAGCCATCGGGTGCCATATGATTACGAGCGAATTACTTATCATCACATTCTGTGCTGTGTGAAAAGTGGAAAGTCATCGTACAAGTGCGTGAGGTCGTACTTCGACTTCTCACTCTGCTATATTGTCGGCACATTTTTGATGAGTGGGTGTGGTTCTGAATCCGAATCCGAATCCTAATCCTATTCCATTCACGCATCGCATGACAAACAAAAAGCGAAGCAACAAAATCCTATAAAATACTGTCCTCCGTTGTTTCCGGCAGCTCCCTCCTGTTTGTCTCCGTTATCATCTTGTTTTTTCTGCGTTCGGATCTTCTGGCGTATGAAGTGGTCCGTTACCAGAGACCAGGGCAGCTCCCCGAAGTCCTTTACCTGCTCCGCGTGCTGCGTCGCTACTTCCTGGAAGAGCACGCACAAACTCTCGACGTAAGACTTTTCCTCCCCCTTCTTCACGTCCGAATGCTGCCTCGCAAACTGCCACACGAGCTCGACAAAGGCGAGTAAGTCGATGCACTCGGGCCGAGCGCGATTGGCTAGCAACGGTTCGATATCAAATGTAAAAATGTCTGGGTCTGGAAGAATGCAAGTTTGTCATGCTTCTCTGGCATGACTCTTAAATCTGTCATGCACATTACCAAAGAGCCCCACTTTTCTGTCATGCAGAAACGTAGTTTGTCATGCAGAATAGGCAACACCTAGAAGCTCAGAAACCTGTCATGCTGAGCCAGCAATTGTGGCCTCCTCATGATACGCCACACAGCATCACAAGTTTCCAGACCCAGACATTTTTACATTTGATATTCGATTCTCTTCACCAAGGATGCGTCCAGGAAGGACAGCGTGTCACTGGTCTGATACACGCGGTACAGATCACGCTTCTTACTGCCACCGGCTCCCGACATGATGCTGGTGTGGTCGTTCTTGCTACGGAGGTCGTTCGGGAGTGTTATGATCCACGCGGCAAGAGTTCTACATTTTCACGCAGTGGTCGTACTTCTTGTCGGGGCTGACCTCCTTCTTCCTAAAGAGGTCGGCTTCACTAGATTTTTTGGGTCAATCTACTTGCGATGAAATCGTCGAGAAGCACGAGCAGGAGCACGATCGAGACGGACAATACTACATCCGAAAGTGCGACAATATTGAAAAAATCAAGTCCGCTCGTCGTTCTCCTGCACACTCACGAACTCAGGCACTCGTCGTACGCTCTCGATTCGACGCGAAAAAACGCTGTCGTGAATGCAAGATCGAGAGGCCCGGGAATAATAATTACATCCCAGTAGTACGCTACACGACGATATCACGACGCGCCTTAAGCGAAGACGACAAGAATGACCGCTGACGATCGACCCCTGACCTGGACGACATTACAAGGGAAAGCGGCTAATTGGCGGGCGATTCGAACTTTTCCAAAACTTTTCATTTGACTTTTCAGGATTTCAGGGTATTGAAAACGATTTGATAAAGCGAGTCAGAACGAAAAAACGCAGTGAAGATACTCCAAGCGACAGAACAGGGGCGCCTGCGAGGTCTTGGGCGCCGACGCCTCCTCTTGTCCCGCGGGTGATCGGCGAAGCCCGAGCGACCGCCTTTCCACCCGCCGAAGCGTGCGCGCGCGCCGGGTACCCGCCGACCGCACGCAGCCAACGGCTGCCGGCGCGGGCGCCCTAAAGAAAAAGGCCATGACCGCCCATCGCACCCACCCGCCCCCCAGGCCCGGAAGGCCTACCCGGGAACTGACTAGGAGGAGGGCTACCGACACAGGGAAGGGGGCCGGTCCGCCAGACCCTAAACCCGACGCAACCGGGCACCCGGCAACGCGCGCCCTCGCCAAAAAACGCGCGCGCCCAAGCCTCACAAACACCCGGAATCGCGGCGCCAGCCCGCGCCTCCTGCCGCCGGCGGGCCGCCACCGCGAAACGGCCCGACCCTGGCAGCTTTCTGAATGCAAAGCAACCACCGGCCAAAAGCTGCCGGCGGTGTGTGCTGCTGTTTCGCGCTCTTCCACATGAAGAAGATCAAAGCGCGCCAGCCTGTTGGGCTTTGTTTGACTTCAACGAACCGCCGGCGCCGGGCTCTATCGGTCGCCGACTGATAATACTAACGACGCAGGGGGGCCGACAAAGAAAAGGGGCACCCCCCTGAGGCGCCGGCCGCGTGGGGTTCTGGCGATTTGGGGCGCGCAAAAGAGCGCCCCAAAAAACTCGCGGCAAATCAGAAAAGCGAAGCCGCACGACAGGGCCGGGCGGGGCTTCGTTGGTTCGGAGCATTTGGCCGGCCGCGAAAGCGGCCCCCACCTTTTCGCCGGTTTCTATGCGGCGGAAGCTTTGCAAAGGGTGCCGGCGCGCAAAGAAAAAACACAGAAAAGCAAAAGCGCGCCAAGCGCGCGAGGCCAATCCCCATGCCATGGGCCCGGTTTGCCTTCGGTTTTAGGGCGCTCCACCGCGGCGCCCGGATCGGCCCCATGCCGCCGGGGCTGGCTTTCGGGCAGGGGTTCTGAAAATTTGGCAAAGAACTGCCATGCTCTCCAAAAGACGGCCAAGCCACGCGGCATGGCCATACCAAAAGCGGCACGGTGGGCCCAGAAAAAGCACGCAGTGGCTGGCCAGGGCAACGGTCGGCGGGCAAGGCAGCCAGCGGCACCGACCTCACCACCTCCGCCACGGAGGCTATATTTGGCACGCTGGGCACACGCAGCAGCGGCTTACCGTCCGGCAGCCCCACACGTAGCAAGCAAACAGGCCCCGAGGGTAAGTAAGCCCCCACGACGTCCCCTCCCCTACGTCGCACGCAGGGGCGCAGTTCCGCCCGTGCACCAACCACATCGCCCGGCGCCCCAATATGGCTCGCCCCGCCCGAAACGGTGTCGAGCGTGCCATGCGGTCCGACGTCGGACCGCACGGTATGCTTGTCGGAAAAGCGAAACAGCAAAGGCACAGGCCCCGGCTGACCAGATAGAGACGAAGCAGATCGCCCAATCCCGGCCGACAGGGTGGGGCGCAGGGCGAGCGAAGGGCGAGACGAACGATGGGTGGCAATCGGGCCGCCGGCACGTAGAAAGTAGACCCGCGGCGGCGCCGCCCGGTATTCCAGGCGGGCGCGCAGGCAGGCCGGCGGGGCCCAACATGCAGGCGCCCCCCCCACTCAGAGGGTGGGAGGCCCCCAGGCAGGCCGGCTCCGGCCGGCGGGCGCCTGGCGGATGCGGCGGAATCGCTTCGGCACCCCAAAAGCCCGCCTCCCCCGCCCGGGCCCGGCGGTGCACAGGCGCCACGCCCGCGCGGCTGTTGCCTGCCGGCACACTGTGGCCGGCCCCGGTCTAGGTCGGTCGCGGGCGGGGGGGCGAAGGACTGGCGCGGCCGGGCCGGGTGTTCCTTCCGTCTATGGGTTTGGGCAAACCACCGCCAACTCCAGCGGCGCCCGGGCCCCCAAGAGCCCGCCGCCGCAAGTGTGGAGTACGCGGAGCGCATGCCCCGCACGCGCCCCGAACGGCGCAACGCGCCAAGTTCAGGGGGTCGGTAGCAACCGCCGAAGCCCGGGCGCCCTCTCTTGGTTCGCAGCAAGCGAGCGACACGCGCACCGGCGCCCCCGGGGCGTGAATCCGCTGCCCGGTGGCGCATGCGACAACATAGCGCCGGCCGCCCGCCGGGGCGGAGCCGGCCGCTTGCCTGGCTACGTGCGCAATAACCGCAGGCGTGCCTGCCGGGAGGCTGTGCCTCTTTTCGGGCGCAAGGCAGCCGCCCGAGGGCGGCCCGGCTGGCGGGCAGGAACAAAGGGCAGGCGCCGGGCGGCGAAACTTTTCCGACCCTCTACCGAAAACTCTGCCGGAAACTTTGCCGAGAACTTGCCGAAAACTTTCCCCCGGACTTTCCCGAAAAGTCGGCGAAAACCTTCCGCGAAACCTTCCCCAAAAATTCTCCCGTTTAAAAGTCGACCAAAAGTTACAGACCGGGAGTTGAAAAGTCAACCAAAAGTTTTCGGGTCCGAAAATGATCCCGAAGCGGGAAAGTTTCGGGAAAGTTCGGGGGAAAGTTTTCGGCAAGTTCTCGGCAGATTTTCGGCACTCAGACAGAAGATTTCGCCGCCCCCTCAAAAGCCGAAAAGCCTGAAGGCGTGGCTGCGCATCCGCCAGGCTTGCGCAGAATCCTGCTGCCCCCCCCCTTTTTTACATGGCTGAGGCGGTCTCCCCGAAAATGGGGACAGAGCCTCCTGGGCGAACTTATTGCGCGCGCCGGCGCAGCAAGATGTGAGGGGCGCCCCGCGCGTGCCCCTGCTGCGCCGGCGCCCTTTCTACTCGCGAAAAGCCGGCCGCGCAAGGTAGGCCGCCGCGACCTAGGCGGAGCACTCTGGAGCGGCGGCATGGTCTCGGCGCTTTGTATGTAAGTGCGGGGGGACGGCGAATATGAAAGAGAAAGGGGCAGGCCGGGCGGCCTCTAGCTAGCGCCAAAAGAAAGGCGCCACGCCAAAACGTGAGGCGCGGGCAGCTCCAGCGAAGCGCGCCACGCCATGCGGCCCGCAGGAACATGCGAGGCCGGGCCGCGCGGCGTGCTGCGCCCCTACTTCAATGCGCCAAACATAGCCGCCGGGGCGGAGATAATGAGGCCGGCGCCGCTTCTTTGCCCGCCGACCTCTGCCCGCGCCACGTTTTTGCTTTTTCTGGGCCCGCCGTGCCGGGGCGGGTAAGGTTATGCCGCACGGTATGGCGGCCGGTTGGGGAAAATGGCAGGCGTTGGGCAACTTGCCAAAACGCCTTCCCGAAAGCCAACCCCGACGCTATCGGGCCGACCCGGGCACCGCGGGGGGCGCCCAAAAACCGAAGGAAAAGCGGGCCCATAGGATGCGGGCGGGCTTCGCGCGCTTGGCGCGTTTCTTCTTTTTTGCGTTGTGTGTTATTTTTCGCGCCCGCGCCTTTTGCAAAGCTAGCGCCCCCCGCTGAGAACCCGGCACAAGGGCGGCCGCTTTCGATTCGCGCCCGGTTTCGCGGCCCTGCCCTACGGCTTCGCTGTTCTGGCTTCGGGCGAGTTTTTTGGGGCGCCCTTTTGGGCACCCCAAGTCGCGCGCCAGAATCCCACGCGGCCGACGCCTGAGAAGGGTGCCACGTTTGCCGGCCCCCCTACGTCATTTTTTCAGTCTTTCTACCGGCGGCCGACTGAGCCCGCCGGCGACTGCATTCATTGAAGACAAAAGCAAACAGGCGGGCGCGCTTGGGTTTTTTTCATCTTCAACATGCGAAAAAACGCGAGCCAACGCCCCAAGCCCCCGGCCGTTTTTGGCGGTTCTTGTCAGGAAAGCTGCAGAGATAGAGCCGGCCCACGGGGTCGCTACAGTACATCTTACAAGAGAAGGCAAACCACCCAGGCACACAGGCTCGTGCTGGAGAGCAACATACCACCCAGAGGGGCCACGGGGCCCCCGCCCGCCGGCTCGCTTGTGGGGCGGGCCACCCGGGGGAGTTGCGTTATCCATTTCCTGAACCAAAGAACACCCCACCGGGGAAGCCCACCCAACCGGCAGAGGTCGGCCACACATCGCGACGCCCGCCGCACGCACGGACGGCCTGGCGCGAGAGGTCGGCCCACCATCGCGCGCCATACCATGCGGTCCGACGTCGGACCGCATGGTATGCTGCCTCTCTGCTTCTCTCGTTCAAACAGACGAAGCAGAATAGACGGGCAACAGAAATAGACAGGTGGCGCCACCACAACGCGCCACAGACCCATATCACGCGCCGGCCATCGGGGTGGCCCCCCGACCGCAGGCCCTTGACACTTCTGCCACCGCTAGCGAGACGAGCGGAGGAGCCGCCTCTGCCCGTTGATTGCAAAAGGGGGGCGCCTTTCTTTGGCGCGCGCTTCGGTCGCGTCGCGTAACCGCGGAAAGGCGGGCAGGATACAGAATACCGGGGCGCGACGGCCTCTATTTTGTAAGAATGGCCAAGCGGCGGGCCAGAATGTAGGGGGCTAAAGGTACGTAGGACCGCGCGCGGCCGGCGTGCCATCCAAGGCACCGCGGCGGGGCGGCGCGCCCATTCGGGCCCTGGCAGCCAGTGCCATTGCTTATTTAAAAGGCGCTCAGGGCGAAGAGGGCCGACGCGCCCCGGCATTTCCGAAGCGCGAGGCGGCGATCAACATCCGGGCGAATACTGAAAGGCCAAAGGCCAGCGCCCGCGCACCACTTCAAAAGGTGCACAAAATGCGCACAGGGCCCCACAGCGCTCGCGAATAATCGCGAACAACCGACCACGGAGGCGCTGCCCGTCCGATGCGCGGCGGGTGGCATTTCCCGCAGCCTGCTTGGAGGCGTCGATCAAAATGGCAGGCAGCTGGCGGGCACACGCCGCGGCGAAGAGGTGCCGCCCTTTCATGCTCTGCCACTCCCAAAGTGCGGACTTACCAGCAAAAGGCAGCACGGTCCAAACAATTGTCGCAAAGCATGGATTGCCGACGATCAAAATAGCGACTTTGCCAAAAGTCAAAGTAAAAGTTTTGGAAAAGTCGCTATCCCGTTTCAATTAGCCGTTTTCCCTTGTAACGACAGCAGGACTGCCAAGACATTTTTTTTCTTGGGCTCTCGCGGTCTGTGACTCTTTCACTTTCTCCGCTTATGTTGAGTTAGTTACGAAACAGATGGACGTGGAACAGCGACTAGAAGTCAGGAGGACATTGAACAGCTACAGCACGAAGGACTTTGATAGCAGTTTTTTTATGTAATACGAGCGACATTCTTGGGGGCCAGCGCTGGCTTCATCTTACACCTAATCACGGATCCGGATGTCCAAACAATCACAAATACAAAGCGAGTTGTTGGGGGGGGTTTTGAAGAAAGTAGAAGGAGAAGGTTTTTATACAGTGTGTGCTCCGCAGGTGAAAGTGAATTTTGATTTTTTTCATTAGACTCCATCGTTGTAGTATTATCAGTACGCATTCCCTTTGGAGGCTTCTAATCTATCGCACGCCGCACTAGCTGCTCCTGGCGTGACAATTTAATATTTTTCGAAGTTGTAAATGTAAAGCAAAAACAAAACTGGGCGACTGTTCTCCTCCTTTCATCAATGCGAAGTAAATTCAAAATTTCGCCGTGATGTTGCACAAAGACAAAGCGTTTGCTTCAGGAGATCGTTTTCTACAGGAGCGTGTCCCAGCACGTCAATAAGGTAGTGTCTCATCATCTCCACCTACTTCACCCGATGCAATTAGATCAATGCCCACTTTTCTCGCAGCAGCTTCTCGTGCAGTGGCGCCTTCCAAACCGGTCCTCCGCCCATGAGCATCAGTTCGTGGCTGCTGCACGGCGCCGTTGCTTCGTAGTCGCACTCCAGCTCTGCGTACACGTCCGTCACCAGCCAGCGCACCGCTTTCGCCGGCGTTAAACGGTCCTTCTCGGAGGAGCCGAACACGGTGAAAAAACTCGTCTTCCCTTTTTTCTCTTCTCCCTCCTGCCGAAACGCATCCGCCAATCCTTTCAGTTCCTTCGCCAGCAGCACGCAGTCGTCTTGCCAAACCAAAGAGGTCGAAACTTCCAGCCCTTTCGCAGTGTCCTTACCCCCCTCCACGCCCATCGCATCGAGCACCCGCCCGTTTTGCTCGAAGTCATACTTGTTGGCAACACACGATCCCGAGGACACCGACCCCACGCTGGCAATAAACATCTCTTTCTCCTCACTCGAGAGGGCGGTTCGCAGCATCTTCGCGCTGGAGTTTCCAAAGGAGAACTGCACCAAGGGTTTGCACAAGCCCTGACCCACGCAGGCGACGCCGCTCAGCACACTCGTCGGGACGTACTTCGAGGCGAACCGGGCGAGGCCGAACCCGTGCGGTCCCGCTATGGCGTTCTCAAACGTTACATTCTCAACTGTTACATGATTTGTCATGCAAAACTTCCATGAACCACCAGACAATCAAGCCACCTCGCATGACAAATCCCCGAAGGGCTAAACAGCGCCTAAATCTGTGCCGGATTTGTGATGCGAGAGTTGCAAGCTTGCCTCTTTCACTGTTGCGGTTCTTGCATCACAAATTCATGTAACAGTTCAGAATGAAACGTTTGGGAACGCCATACCCGCGGGCGAGGGGTACGGCACGTTCAGGGCAACGCCGCGGAGATCCGGGAGTTGTTTCTGGTGGGACTCGTGCGACAATTGCAGTTGCAGAAAACGCCGCAGAAACACCACCGCGTACGGGTGGCCAAGACAGCAGGCGTACACGAACATCTCGTCCAGGGCTTCTTGCTGCAACACGGCGAGGCAGTTCCGCGCGTGCAAATTCAGGTGGCGCTTCACGGTATCGTCCGCAGAAAAGGTCGGGTTGTTCACCACCTCGGGGGAAGTCTTCCCAAGCCCGGGACGGTCCACGGCGATGACGACCAACTCATTCGATGGCTTTTTAGACGCGGATGTGTGCGCGTTGGTAAGAACGCCGTCAGGACACCCGAGGCCAGATCCAGCAGATAAGGCTGCGGCAAAGTTCGAGTTGTCCTCCTGCTTCGTAGACAAGCCTTTCATCGTAGTTCCAGGAGCAGAACTGTTTTCTTGGAACGGCGCGAAGAACTCAATCACATTGCTGTCGGCGCCCATAGCGTGGAAGACGAGGATGGCAGTTTTCTTTTTCTGCCCTTGTTCTTGGGCAGCTCCCTGCTCATTCATCGGGGTTTGTCCGGCCTGGTGTCCCCGCCGAAGGGAGAGCACTCGATAGCCCACAGTTGTAGTTCCATTCCCGTCCTCAACATCGCGGTACTGGACAACACGCTCCTCAGAGCAGCGCCAGGTGTTGGGCATGTTGTTTGGAGAAGTGTTTGAAGTAGACATCTTCGAACAGTCTCACCCTGAAAATCCGAATTGTGGTAGGTGCGAGAAGAAGTTGCAGAAGGACAACAGTCGTCCTGCGCTTTTGTTAGAGAGGTAGACGGACGGCCAACAAAGTATAGCACAAAAAGACTGGAGCAAAAGTTCTAGATCTAGTAGTACTTCTACGCGACTCGTCGTAATTACAGTGATGGTGTGAGCTTACTTGATATCGTATGCGTACTAGCAACGTAAGGGATAATAGCCGCAAACTGTGGGGGATTGAGTGAGCGTCACATGAGGATGGACAACATGCCTGCGTGAGACATTGCATGGCTAGTACGGGTGTTAGGGAGGTGGATCGCTTGGCTTTCGGATTCAGAGCTTAACAAACTCTTACATCAGACCAGACATCGATCGCGATTTAGATCTTCGTCATCGTGTTTAGCAATCGGATCTCCGCAAGATCATCAAGTAACAATTTTCGAAAGGGATCATCTAAAAGTTGCACGATCTTCGACTGCGCTACGATTTACGCAGAACAGCTCAAAGAGAAAGATTAGATGGCTTTTGCTAAACTGATCAACGAATGCTCTTACTGACAGTGGAAAGCTGGTTTCAAGTTCAACCACAACAACGGTGAGGTCGAGCCGTTTCCTTCTTTCAAAAACTACAAAGAATGGCTGCACAAGAATATCCAACAGTCAGATCGCGACACACGCTATCTTCACCAGCAACAGGGTCACACAAACGTAGCTTGGGACAGTGCAACACAGCAAATGCAATACGAATCCCCGGTCTCGACCTAGCACCACCGGAAACATCGACGGTAGCTTGTGGAAGGTGTAGTAGAAATAGCTCCTCAACGTCATCCAGACAATCCCGATGGTGTTGACATTCATGCTCTGCAGCGGTGCGAAAAGACTACTTTGGCAGACTTGCTGGAACGCCGAATTGTCTTGTTGCACATACCCGAAAAATTCGAACTTTTCCGGCGCGAGAACGTAGAATATGTTGAGCCAAAAAAGAGGCAGGAAAACAAGGGATTGCTCCATCGTGTTCATCACGGTGCGATCCGCTGCAAGCACTTCCGGATCCCGGTCGGAATACTTCACCTGTGCCAGGGTGACTTTATTGGGCTTTGCTGGTTCAGGTTCTTGCCCGGCTTGAGCAATTGATGTGCTGCGATTCTTCGATATTTCGCCATCGTCTTTCTTCTGTTTTTCCCGTTCCAGTATTTTCCGCTCCGAGAAACTTTTCAATCCGGCGTAGGACTGGGCGAACAGCATTTGATACCACCGACTGGCCCAGGCTAATGTCAGCAAGCAAGCCACGCGGAGCTGCTGGGTGCTGGCAGAGGTGAGGGTCAGGGAGCTGTCGAAGAAGTGCAGGTAGACGGTGCGGGAATAGAACAACAGGAAGAGCAGCATGCATTGCAGATGACCTAAGGCGGGCAGATGCTTTATGAGGTCGAGCATTTTGATTTATTTCGTCTGACGTTGTCGTTCGTTATTGCAAGTACGAGCGTTCTTGACGCAGCTTTTGGGAAAGGTGAGCGAATGAGTAGTAGAAGCCTAAGGCAAATATTCGATCGTCAGACAGTAACACTAACAATATGCATCGGAGTCGGAGAGTACAATTCAAAAAATTACATGGAACCGACTACAGATTACAACAAGGCTAAAATGCTTTACGCGGGAAAAAAGGGAGCACGAGGTAGGCCTAGGTACGAAGAAGATGCCGAGTATAGCATCAGTGCGTGCGCGCACCAATTACGACGATTCGGATTACGGCACTGTACCGATTCAAAGGCGGGAAAATCAGAACCGATATAATTCTTTACGATGTAAGAACAATTCTGCTGACGAAGATAAATGGATGTGCTCCCAGTGTTGGCGCTTGCGCTTGCCTGTTTCTGCTTCTTTGCTTCACTAGGGGTACTAGTTTGAACTGCAGAAGTTCGTACACATAAATCGATATGAGTGGGAGTTGCAGAAGTTCATGAAGTTAGTAGACATACTCGTGATATAAAATGAAATGAATGAGCAGCAAAAATTGTGCACTTCCCGACCGTGATGGAATATTAAGCTTCAAGCAAGCTCATTGCGCCGCCTTTGGGGGTAAAAGGTATTATCTTTCATAGTTTTGAAATCGGTTATTTCGTTGCCCTTCTTACTTATCTTTATGCAAAGCCACACGTTGAAGTCGAATCTATGACTATGTCTATCTCACTTCGCCACGTCGTCTTTCCCGAGCTCCACCTTCCGACGTTTTCTTTCCAATTTCGCTTCTTCCTCCTGCGCCTCTTCAGCCCTGGCCTCTTCTCCGCGCAGCTCCAACTTTCGTTTTTTCCGTTCCGCCTTCGCAGCCTCTTTCTCCTCCTCTTTCCTTTTTTCCTCTTCTTTCAGCTTTGCCGCTTTGACTTTGGACTGCGCCCGGAGCTGCTCGTCCGCAGCCCGCTGCTTCAAAATTGCCTCCTCGTGCTCCTTCGTGATCTGCTCCTCGATCGTGTCTTTTGCCACAAACCGGAGGACCTTCACTCTGTCGCGCTTTTGCCCGAACCGCCGCGCCCGGGCGATGGCCTGCATCTCGGCAGCGCGGGCGGTGTTGAGGTCGCCATTCATTGGGTGGACGAAAAGAACGTGGGAGGCCTGGAGTGTGTGATTGGTATAAGGAGTTTTGATGTGAATCTTGCATGGATGTATATTACGCATGCAAGTCATCACTGCCATTTTGTACTTATGCTGAGCAGTAGAAGCAGACCTGTGTCCGACCTTGCACCGCTTTCATTCATGCAATCTCCGCAAAAGCATATCAAAAATGCAAAGCGCGTAGATACAGAGTGAGCATTTAGGCCAGATAGTACCTGTGTCAAGTTTGCCCCAGCTGCACAACGCTCCAGCGACATCAACAAAATATCGGGATTTTTTCCAATTTCGCTTCTCGATCCAAGCACGATGTCCTTTCCATCCGACTCCTTTTGGAAGTTTTCCAGTAGCTGCGCCTGCCGATCTGCAGCTGTTTTGTAGTTTGTGGTCGTTTTTTATTTATCGATGACCTTAATATTAGTTTGAGCAGCATGTTGAGTAATCTGGGTGGGCAGTGGATTCCTGGTTACATGAGTTTCGCGCTTCAGGCTCAATGTCATTCATTCAACACATCAATAAACAGGAACAGCTCTTCTCTAGTACTTGCTCCGAACAGCGAGACGAAGTTGAATCCGAATTCGGTGAAGCAGTGCCGCACGATCTTCAACAGAGACTCCCACTGCACGAACACGATGAACTTCGCCTTCGGGTCTTTCGCCCTTTCCTCCTGAATCGTGGCCGCGACTTTCTGAATTTTGGTCCCAAACACGCTGTGGTCCGTCACGCGGCAGGCCGGTGCAGATTTGTCGGCCTTTTTCGTGTCAAACGCCTTCTGCGCGTCCACGAGCGGCACGCACTGGTCTATTGGGCGAAAAGGAGTGCGGCATGTCGGGCACTGCTTTTCCTGCTTGTTCAGCGCAAGAGCAGGGTCGATGGGGTTCAGCATCTTGATGCAGTCCTGGCAGAACTGGTGGCTGCAGGGAAGCAAAACGGCCATGTCATCGTCGGTGAGATCTTCCGCCGCACAGATGATGCAGCGTTCTGCTTCAGCTTCTATGCAGGGGCTAGCTGCTGCGACAGCCTCGAATGGGACACGGTGCTTCAGATCAATTCGTCATACAGAGTTGTACGCATGTGCTGGTGTCCTCCAGTTGTCATATAATATTCAGGGTTCGTCGATGAACAGCATTCACATCTTTTTTCTAAAGACGACCTGTCATGCGGACATCAGAGCTACAGGCACAGTATTGTAGACTTTTTTGCGACGTTTGGTTTATACAAGACCATGACAAACTCCAGCACCGCCGGGTGTACATTGTTCCAGTTGAGCTTGTCACATCTGAGCAGGCCGTATCTTCGTTTTCCGTACCGCAGCCTTTGGTCAACTGCTTGAAAAACTGCAAGCGCGAAATGGCGCTCCGGAGCTTTTCCAGAGCGGCGCTGAACCGGTGCATAAACTTTCCGCGGTGCAATTCAAATATGACATTTTGTTTTTCAAGTTGTTGTTCTCTCTCGATCTGCTGCTGGTCGTTAAAATCAGTAATTCTAACTTGGGTGAGAGAATGGCGCAGCTGAACGCAGCAGATCATCGTCCTTAGTTCGGACTTCAACACTTCTTCTTCAAGGCTTTGGTTTCGGGTTTTCAATGTTCTCAGGGCACTGGCTGGCGACGCACTTCCGTTTATTCCGCCGTCAAGATACTTTTTGTCCGGGTCTGTGAGGCGCAATCGTTCGTCCACCGCTTCCAGGTTCGCAAACTCGCTCTTGCCAGTTTCTGCTTTGATTGCTTCTGTGACTGCTTTGCTTTCCGGAGTCGAGTCAGATGCGAGTGCGCGCAGCTTGGCGTGCACGCCGTTTGGCAAGAATTTAGGTTCGACTTCGAGTTGCTTTCGAATAGAAATCGGCTCTGAACCCGCATCCTCCCAGGCTTCGACGTTCAGATGCCCGTTGGCACACAGAAAATCTAACGCCTTCACAACGAGCAAAACGTTTGCTGATAGGTGTCGGATCCTGCTTCGTTGTGTCCGCAGCTCGAGCTGACAAGCCTCGACTGGTGTTAGAAGCCGGCCGCTCTTGCTCGTGCTCGCCACCGTGCCAAAGTGGCTGCAGAGACGCAGGAGCTCGGCGCGCTCCTCGGGGGCCTCGGAGATAACTGCGGAGGAAAGTAGTTGGGGGTTCAGCCGGTACTTCTCTTGCTCGTACAGCGCGCGCTCGGGCTGGGTCAGCTGTACTGGTATTTGTTTTTCCTCGAGCTGGATGCGGCCCACTTCCTCAGGCGCCGCATTTCGCCGGGCGAAGGTGGAGAGGAAGTTCTGGGCGTTGCGCGTCCAGATGCGGGACCGGTCAAGTGCGTGCTCGAAGGGGCCGTACAATTTTTTCAGGTGGCCCTGCCTCGCCGAGACAGCAACCTCAATTTGCTTGTAGTAGAAGCAATAGCGGTAGTTGTCAGCTGCCATTTCCCGCTCTAGAAAAGCCTGTTTCTCTTCTTCATCTTCGTCGGCGTCTTCTACTTCTTTTCGATATCCGCGCAATTTTTCCATAGCGCTGATCCTTTCATCATCAGATTGAAGTGCCACAGCAGCACTCCATGCCGCAGAAATTTTGGACTCTTTTTCTTTTCTCACATGAGCTTTCCAGAGCTCCTCCGCTTTGGATCGGCGCTGCGCTGCAGTTTTTCGCTGCGTGCTTCGCAACCACTCCTCTTCTGTGCGCTGCCGCTCTTCGTCTATTTCTTTCGCGGACAGTCTCAACTGCAGATTTTCTTCCAACGTCTCGGAGTTTTGGAAGTATCCCTGCGTGTCTACTTTCAGAAAATCACGATCATCACAGTGGAGAATGGTCGCCCCATGAAGTCCTTTCGTCCGGCAGTTTTCGCAGCGGAAAGCACCCGTCGGACGCGTTTGGAGAGTTGCAGCAGAGCTGTATGCCGGTTTCTCGCCGCACGCGTGGCAACGCCACAGGAAAACCTCATCCAATTTGAGATAGCGCTCGGACGTCTTCCAGAAAGTAATATTTCTGGGCCAACATTCCCGTCGAGAAATTGAAACATCCTCACCGCGCGGAGGTAAACCGGGCTGGAGCTTCTTGAATATGTTCGTGTTATCAGCGCCGCTCTTGGTGTTTTGGTTTTCTTCTTCCTGACCTCGAACCGCATAACAAATGACTTCCCACCCGTCGGCACGGCCGTTGTCAATATCGTGAGCAGGGGAGAACACTCTATCCCATGACGAAAGTTGTTATGTTAGCCATTCATCCCATGACGAAACTTGGACCGTTGTAGACGCACGGAATATTCTTTGGACTCGGAACAAATACAAACAGTTTTTTTATCGGTGCGCATCCACACTTTCTAACTTGAACTTCGATGCATATGCATAAATTGAAATATGCTCCTTCGGACTTGTTTGCACGTACGGAAGTGTTGTGCAACCGCCAAGAAACTTGGCTACCTGCAAATCTATCGACGCGCAAAAGAGAAAGACCTACTACTTGCATACTTTTCTCAGTTTCACAGATGAATGAGCTATACTAACTATATTTGCATTCCCTGTGATATTGTTTTTCCCAAGCCCACGTGGTTTGGGGAGCGCCAGTGCTTACTTTCGGAGGGCAGAACCGGGGCAGGCATTTTGTCAGCTGGTAAAGCGCGCTGCCACTAGTAAGGGGGAGTGCTAGTAAATCGACACCGAAAAGCGATGCCATCAACTCGATCGCGCTGACATTGGTTGCGTTCAGGGTGCCCGTCAAAGCCCACATATATGATGTGGCGGCATCGAAGTCGTAAAGAAAGAAGCCATACTTTTCTATATGCAGTGCGGTTTTCTGCTCGAGCTGTCTCAGGCACTCGTGAAACTCGTCAAACACGACGCGCTTCCATCGGAAGGCGTGCAGCGGCTGCACGACGATCTTCGTGTCGGCGGAGTCAACAGCGTTCGCTTGTTCAGCATCAGCTATGGTCTTCTTTTGCGCATGTAACTCCGCGAACGCCTTCGCGACAGAGGGCACTTTTTCTTTTCCCTTCTTGCCAGGAGAGAGAGTATCTACTAGACAGGGAAGCAGGCCGCTTGCCGCCACTTGCACTGCTGGGGGAGCGGCACAGCCGTGGTCCCCGTCTCGGTCATTCGTTGATACGGTACTGGTTGTTGAATTATTTGCGGCCGTCGCCGTCTGCTGAAGTTGATTCCCTTTTATCTTTCGTTCTCCAGTATTTTCAGCGGCAAGGCCACTGGAAAAAGAGGTGGATGTCGACACTTCACCTCGTGGCTGTGTTGATGTGATGCGCGAGGCCTTGGCCCATTGCTGCTTGATCTGTAGGTATGACTCCGTCAAAAACAAGCCTGCACTGACCAAGACAATGTCAAACGCCTGGAACGGATTTTTGAAAGGCAGGGCTGTGCTGCGCGACTCCGATGTGCTGGGCTGGTGCTTTTTGGTTCTGCCGGGTTCTTCTTCCATATCCATGCGAGCGGAGGCACCGACGGCCTGGCCCGGGTCGTGGCCTGCACCTTCTTTGGCTTGGTATTCTTGTTCATCCCCCTTGCGCTTTTTGCTTTTCTTGCCCCGTCGCGAGGAGCCTGATCCTGCGGGAGCTGTTGTCGAGTAAAGCTTTCTCAAATCCCCTACCGTCGCAATCCGCAACACGCGCGGCCCCCAGTCGGCACAGAACCGCTTCGCTTCGTCCTCCCACTGCTTGAGGATATGGCCTGGCGCGACGATTAGGGTCGTGGTCGGGCAATCCATAGCGCTCTTTGCTCCACTGTCAACCGCTGGAGCAGAAGATGACAAAGTAGACGCCGGGCCCGATGCTGCTGCAGAGAGCGGCCCAGAAGCAGGCTTATCGGCATTAGTTCCCAAAAACGGCGCGGCGAATCGACCGCGGTCCGACGCGATAAGCGCAAGCATTGTTACTGTCTTGCCATATCCCGTTTCGTCAGCCAAGATCCCGCCGCGCGCCGGAAAGTGTGCTACCGCTTCGATTTCGACGAACGCCCGGGAGTCACGGTTCTGCTGCGCGATCTTTTTTTGCTGCGCTCTTTTTCCTTGTTTGCTGATCGGAGTGCTTCTGGTGCCACAGGCACCCTTTGCTTTTGTTGCAGACAGTTTAACATTCGGATCCACTACTTTGGTCTTCGTCTTTGTTTCACTCGGAGGAGCTTTTTCGGTGTTTCCGTTGCATACAGAGTCACAGCCCGCAACTCTGCCTGCCGCTCCTTCTGTCACATCCTCGTCGCTCGATATGCTCTCCGCGTCGTCGTTTTGAATCGGGTAAAAGTGCCGGTAGAGCATCGCAACGTCGGGCGCTGACCGCTCCCGCGCCTGCATCCAAGACAAGGCGCGTTTTTGATCATCACGCAGGGGCAGCGATTTACTCCATCCGTCGGGAGTGGCTGCGCAGACGTCGCACTCGTTGGACGGGATTTGGAACTGCAGTGTGGCAGAAGCGCTTCTTGCTGCTTTCTCCTGCGGTTGTTTTTTGGCGCCTGCTGTTGACGTGGGCTTCTGCTGAGACGATCGCGCACTGCTCGAACTCGCTTTTGTTTCCGCCGTTGCTGTGGGTGGTGGCAATGCTGCATCGTTAAAATTGTAGTGCTCGAACGCATACGGCCCAAAATTAGAACGAACGATACGGGAGCGCACTTCGATTGACGACGTCGGGTGGCGCACGTGACGTTTCACAAGATGCCGCCGATAGCCTTCCGGGTCGAACACAGCTGGCATAGATGCCAACCCTTCGGCCGACCTCCCGAATTGGGGGATCAAAGATTGAGCAGTTCCTGTGCCCCTAGTCGTAGTCGGCACAGCTGACGAAGAGGAACTGAGTCCCGTGTCGTATTTCTGTTTTTCCGATACCAGCAGCGCTAGCGTGCTGACTCTTGACTGTGTAGTAGATGAACGGTAGGTAATATTTTCGCCAGAGGTGTCCGGGACCATAATTCCACTGCGAACTTTGTCCGGCCACCGGAAAGCAGACGTCACCAGGTCGTAGAAGCGATTCATCTGGTAATATGATCCATCACGGCCACGGTACTCGGTTTCAAAGCCGACGTCCAACCGGTGGGGGTTCCAAAAAAACTGCATGGCTTCGGGAGAAAACGAAAATCGCCTCAGTGTGCTCCGAACGTAGCCCCCCATTTTGTGCTTTCCAGTTTCGACACGCGTGTCGCTTTTCGCCTGCAAATCGGGGTCCGCAAAAACCGCAGTCGCCGTCCAAGGGCCGCACACGGCGCGTTGAGCCGTTCGTTGCTGTTCAAGCTCTCCGCAAAGGAGCGCCTCCTGGTCAAACACGTCGTTGTTCGCACGTGTGCTGTCCTGCTTCACGTAGGCACATGGCAGATCTTTGGAGCTCCGCGTTGAAGATGCGAAAGCTGCAGCTGGGGCAAGTGGCGTGTGTTCATCGCCGCTTTCTTTGCCGTTGACATCGCAACCGCGAGTGTCGTCATCAGACGGAGAGAGGACAATTGCGTTTTTCCCTGACCTTGCTACCCCCTCAGCTACGGTATCGACGCTGAGTAAGCTTTTTGTCGCTCCTACTTTGAAAATGTTTTTTGTCTCGTGTCCGATTTTTCTTGCGCCAGTCGCAGTCAACATTGCGGATGATGGAAAAGATGAATCAAATGAGCTGCTGGATCCACCCTCGGAGGTGATATTGCTGTTGATCATTCCTGTGATTCCTCCCGTTGCAGGGTAGGAGTCGAGTTGTTTTGCGATAAACGTAGTCACGGACGAGCTGGAGCTGCTTGACGAAGCTGAACTCGAGCTGGAAGCCGAGGAGCTCGCAGGTGCCGGCCTCACACCATGACTGCTGCCGCCGATGTCAATCGAGGCAGCAGATGGACCCAACAGGGTCTTGCGTGTCCGGTACACTTCAGCTTCATCTGTAGTCGCGTTGGAGTGATGACCAAGACCAGCGGCGTCAGTCGTTTGATGACTGAGACCTTCAGTGACAGCAAGGTTGTCTCCTGTCACCAGGGCGGTCTGAATCGAGGCAGAGGCTCTGGCTTCCAGTTCTGCAAACGAAATTGCAAGATCGTCGAGGGTCGTGCAGCTTCTGCCTTGCTGCACTCGCTTCATCTTGTTTTGTAGTTACGATCGATGTGGTATCAGTAATTGTGCTAGCACTAGCAGATGAGGAGAGAAGTCGAGCCTAGTACTGCATTGAGCTTCTGCAGCCACCGTGAAAAGCCAAAACCCGTAGTGAGTGGTGCATCCACCGGCCTTCCAATGAATTCAATTTCTAGTTTCTATCTGATAGCAGGTCTCCCATGATGTGAAGTTAGTTCTTGTGAATCTTCACAGGAGCCGCTAAAGCGTTGAAATTAGCCTGAATATACTTCTTCCTTTCTCGTAGTTTTGCGGAACAAGAACCTCATTTACGAGCGCAAGAAATACTAAGCCATCTAGTGATCGGACGGATCCATGATGGCGCAGATGTGGGAAGCGTAGCGACATCAACAAATTCAAATTCAAATTCACAACCGCACCAAAATACTAGAACGAGCAGCGAGATCAAAGTCCGGAACAAATGATAGCACGCCTGCTAGTAGATAAGCAACCTCTTTCTTACATCGACAGGGACAGCAATCAGGAACAGCGCATATACACATTGATCTTCTTATTTAAGGTTCTTTCAACAACGTGAACGCGCAAGAAATGCAACAAGTGCTTGACTTTCAATTCGTCTTCCTTCATCTTGCAGCTGTTTGTTTTTGTTTTATCTTCTACGAATGAATGCAGCACTCAGAATCAAGTTGAGTTCTTCATTGGTGATGACAATTTCGCAGACGTACTAGGCTTCATCTTGCAACGGAATCGTGCATAATCAGAGTGCACCAGAGCAGCTTGTCAGCCTCAGCTCTCCTGAGAACGACCTCCACTCACGTCTCCTCATGCTTCATCGCCAGCTGTGCCATGGTCAAGAACTCCGCACAGGTCACGCCCCCGAAATGGTGCGGATCGTACTTCCGCAACAGAATCTCTAGGAGCTCCCGCGGCACGCACCGCCGCAGGTCGTGGAAGGTCACCACATACGGGGTAGTCACGCTGTGCAAGTCCACTTCTAGCGATTTTCCTTCCCGAATCCGGTGCAAATCGGATAGGTTTTCGGTTTGTCTGTCGGTCGTGCGAAGGCCTGCGCTATTTCTATCGAAATTAATGTCGTTCCGCACATCAAACTTGTTGTTGTTGTCGATTGTTGCGAAGTCCAGTTCTTTCTGGAACATTTTCTTGCTTCCAAGAGATGAACCGCTGCTCTGTCCCAAGCCGCCGCCAGCTCGCCGCGAAGAAACGGAGCTCGATCCCTGATGCAATTTCACGGCCTGCTGCCTCTTGGTCAGGGGGCTCAGAGACTGCGCTTTGGATGGAGAGGTGGAACGATTTTTGGCGCTTTCTTGCAGTCTTATTTGCTGCTTCGTGAGTTGGCTCTGAAGAGGTGGACGACCGTGAAGATGTTCAGAAGGTGAAGGGAATGGATTCACAATCTCATCTCCATAAACTCGGCTCTTCCGTTCATACAGCTGTTTGTGATCCATGCTGGTCACGTTCGATTCCAGGTGGTGCCCCGCCGGCTGGCTCAGCAGCTGCACCATCCGTCGCTCCGTTGCGGTCTTGGCGTAGGGGTTGGGCTTTAGGCGAACTTTCGTCGGGGAAAGCGATTTGCTGCGGACAGCGGTGGGAGAATTAGAATTCATACCACTTGAATGGTCGCCGTGAACATTTTTCGCCACGTTCAACACACCGTGCAGCAGGCGCGCGAAAACGTGGATCAAGTCGTCTTCGGAGTACTCGCCGACGGCTTTCCTGCGTAAAATCCGGTGGTATTCCAGCAAACCTGATTTTTCCAATTGCTTTTGCTCGGAATCCTCCATCGTCTGCCGTATTTGCGTTAGCGTGTTGTTGAACTGGTCCCGATTTTGGAACTTGTCTTGCTGGTGAAACGGATGCTGGTCGGTGTTTGTCGTTCCCGCAGGAACATGTTGATCTGTCCCGCCACCGTAATTGTCGACCTCCACTAAGTACGCATTGACGTTCTTGAAGTCCACGTTGTCCGTTCCTGCAAAAAGCGCCCGGTCACTGTCAGCCGTCGACATGTCGATGATCGTGTTTTTCCGAGGATGCTCTCGCAACAGCAGCTCCTCAACGACCGCTGGGTCAGTTCGCCGCGATTCCGGCGCCGGAATCCGCGGCAATTGTCGACGAGAGGCACTGGAATTCAAATTCTCGTTTTTTCTCGTCGGTGAAGCCGAGGAAAAATCGTTTCTCACCACCTTTCTGCCCGTTTTCTCATCCCATTTCACCTGTCTTCTTGCCAACAGCCGCTGTGCTTGCGGACTTGGACTCCTCGGGTAAAAATTGTCGGCAAGGTGAGCCTGCGTTGCTTTCTTTTCTTCAATCGGCAAGTACCTCTGCACCTCTGATTCCAAGCGATTTACCATCTGTCTCGTCGGCACCAGCTCTTGAAACGGCGTCTCGTTACGGAGAATACCGCCTCGCTGCCGGGCGTGCAGGTCTGCCGCGGTACGGAGATTGGGAGATTTCTGGATCGGATCCGGCTTGTTCGTGTCGGCCATCGCGTGGCGTGATCGTTCTTCGTCTTTCGCTTGCAGAAGCGGATCTTGTTCTCGTGCATTTGCGGCTTGCTGCACGTGCACACCAACTCCATCTCCAGCATCTTCTCCCTCCTCCCTTTCCATATTCCCCCCACCGCCACCACCTCCAATTTGACACTCTTTCTTGGCCGCTTCCCGCAAAAACGCGAACTTCTGCTCGTGCCGTTCCAGCCACTGCTCCACCCACTCCTTCCTCTTGTCCTTCTGCTCAACCTTGATTTTTAGCGACACTGTCGCCTCGGCTTTGCCGATGATCTGCGCGACCAACATCTTCACGGAGTTGTTCACATAGAGCAATTCTCTTTCCTCATCCAAAATCTTCTGCTTGGCTTCATCTGATTTGTCCGTGTATTTTGAACTCAAACTTCTCGCTTTCGCGGAGAAAGGGTTCATCTGTTGACTCACAGAAGTTATCTCGCCGTCCTCCGGCAATCGTCCGCCGTCGGTAGTTGCTCCTGCTCCATCCGCGTCTTGCTGGTTCTCAACAGCAGCACCAGCACTATCATTCCTCATCCACTTCTCCTGCAAAGCTTGTCTCTGTTCCTCTCTCGCTTGCTCCACCTCCTGGTCCTCGTTGTTATTCCCCAGTAGTCTCGCCGCAACCTCATTCGCCATGTGATCGTATGCAAGAAAAAAACTGTGTAAGTGTAAATCTGTGATGCAGAAAATGCCAAACAGTTACACTTGTCATGCTCGACATGCATGACCGGTTCGTTTCCTATGTCTTTTCCCTTTGTATCTGCGCATAACAAGTTTGTCCTGTCATGGCAGACAAACTTGTGATGCTGTTTTCCCAAAAGACTTACACTAACACAGTTTTTTTCTTGGATAGATCGGAGTCGTTCATCAAACGCTTTCTCTCCTTCCTCTGCTTTTCCAATTCCCGCCTTTCCTGCCCCAGCTCGTTCACGAAATCCGCGTGGAGCAGCTTCCTTTTCAGAAAATCGTTTTCCTGCACCTTCTTCACGGTCCACTGCCCCGCGAACCGCAACACCTCGCTGGCGGCGGCGGTCATGAGGTCGTCGGGGATGATTGGCGATCGCATGCCGATTTGAGGTGTGGACGCTTCGGAGAAAACCGGCGCGGGGTTTTCGCGGAGGAGGTTACCGAGATGCAGCGGGTCGTTCCGCAGGACGATGGAACGGGGGGAAGGGAGATGAAACAGAGATTGGTCCTCGTCGGAAGGGCCAGAAGTTGCACCTTTCTGTGCTTGATTCCCAGTTGTTGCGACGTTTTCGTTTTGTGCAGCTAGCTCCGTGTAGCGACGTAGTTCCTCATCTACTTCTTGTAGTTCTCTGCCATCATCATCTTCCCCTTCACTCCCTGCGCTCTTCTCCGACCCAGAAGCGTCCTCTCGACCTTCATGTTCAGAGGCACCACTCGAGCTTTGATGTTCTAGCATCTTCCCCTTCAACCTCTCCCTCGCCTCCGTTTCCCCAAACACAAAACTCGAAGCCTGCGAGGTAGACCCGTGCTGGCTCGAAGCCGACGACGCTTCCGCGGAAGACCCCACTAACGTCGGGATTTTTTCACTGGGCGCTCGGTCTGCGCGGCCGCTGTAGGGGGCCGGGTCGTTATCGCTGTCCGCAGCATTCATTTTCGACGCTTTTCTCCGGTCCATCACCTGCTGCAACTTCAACGCGGTACTGGCCGCAGCTGTGATTTTCTCGCTGATTAAGCTCACCGACTTGATCTCCTGCTCGATCTTCTCGCAAACTCGCCGGTGCACCCGGTTGATGATTTTCTCGACCGCCGCAGCGATCTCCTCCTTCTCCCTCGGCGACCGAAGCTCTTCTGGCGTCGAGGCGCCCGAGCGGGAAGAGGTCGCGTTGGACTGGGATGTGGATTTGTCGTGTTTGCTCGTTCCGCTGGTCACCGTGTCTTTCTTCCCCTCTGACCGGACGGAGCCGGTAGGATGGCGATGGGCCCCTGCTTGCTCTTCAGTTGTTTCCGCGACAAAAGGGATTTTTTTCTGCACGTCGTCCGCCGTGACAACGACGAGACCGCCGGTTTGCAGCTCACCTTCCTCTCCTGCATTTTCATCTTCCGCCAAAACCGCTTCGAGTCTTTGCTTCTCTTCCAACTCCAGCCGTTCTTTCTCCTCTTTTTCCTTCCTCACCCGTTCTTCCTCCTCCAATTGAATAGTGACGAGCTTGCCCTGGAAAGAAGTACTCAACTCCGCGGACAGTTCTTCAGCTCCCTTGTCCGGTGCGTCGGGGTCTTTTACGCCCAGTTTTTGGTCCAACTCCTTCAGGCGCGCGGACACGTCGCTGGGCGGTTTGAATGCATCGTCCTTTGCGGCAGCTAGTACCCCTTGTTGATGTTCACTCTGGTCTTTATCCTGCTTCCCTGTCGCACTTCTTGGGGATTTTGAAGCTACTGAGCCAGCCGGTGATCGTTGCATCTTCGCTTTACCCCTGCTCAGCTGGTCTAGCATGTGAAATCTCTTCGCTGCCTCCGCTAGGTGTCGCAACTCCGCGACCCAGGCCTTTTCGCTCTCCGCGAGCACAAAAGGCTCGAAGGAGAAATCGGCTTTCTTCTGCTTCATCGCGTTATCCATGGCAGTTTGAATTTCGTCGTTCTTCCGTTTCGTTTCCTTGATGATCTCCAATAAGTTCGCAGCCAAAATCAGCCTCGTCGCCTCCTCCGCCTCCTTTTGCCGGCGGATCTCCTCCTGTTTTTTCCGCTCCGCCTCGCGCTTCTTCTTCGCGGCAGCTTTTTTTCGTTTCTTCAACTCTTTCGGATCGACGGTCGTTTCGTCCTCTTTGTGGGCGCCTTCGGAAGCTGCAGGGAGAGTTTGGTCTTGTGTTTGTCGTGGTCCTTCTCCTTCGGCTGGTGTGTTGACGCCGTGTGCCTCGCCGCCCTCGGCTGCAGCTACGTATGCGTTGGCGGAATCAACAGGTACCGCTGTTTCTTCGTAGTTCCCTATGCCTCCAGCGCCGTGAACATCTTTTGTGGTTTCCGTCGCTGACGTTTTAGATTCACTGCGAACCTGAATAGTAGCAGTGTCTGTGGGGTCACCAGTCTGTTCATCTGGAAGGTGCTGACCAACATCTTCTGCTCCTCCGACCATGACGGGAATAAAAGTTGTGGCAGCTGCGTTGACACCTGGATCAACATCCTGACCCTCGTCCACAGTAGGGGGGAGCGGAATCGCTGCAGTTTCCACTTCCGCCAAACCGTTTGCGACTCCATTTTCAGTCACTGGCACTGCAATGAGCGGAACGGCTGCAGTGTCCAACCCCGGATCTACTTCTTCAAGAGCCCCAGCATCTTCCGCAAAACCAGGTATCATACCAAGCGGAATCGGTATGACACTTCCCGGGTCCGGATCCGCGGGACTAGCACTGTTACTGTTCTCCACTTCTGCCCGATGCTGCCCCTCACGGTTTGCTCTTCCGGGGCTTCCGAGATGGCTTTTCCGGTTCCGACCTCCAGACGGTGATGTTGTGCCTGAAGAAGCACTAGCCTGCTGCTCATAATCGTGGTCAGCTTGGTAGTATTTCTGCTTCCTCCTCTTCACCGACTCCACTTCAGTTTCCTCCACCACACCGAACCTCACCGCAATATCCGGATCGGAATCCGACGCCGGCGCGATCGCCGTAACGACAGAGGTGGTGGAAAGAGGGAGAACTGACTTGTTCCCTGTCCTCTGTTGATCCGTCGCGGAAAGGGGCTGCAGCGGTTGCCCATCAGGGCCGGTTTGCTGCTCTCGCATTCTGGCTGCGAGAGGCTTTTTCTTTTCTCTACTTCGGTGCAGCTCGTCATCGGACGTGATAATCTGTAGTGTCGGTTTCGGCCGGGTTACTACCTGCTGCCCCGCTGCATCATAAACTGTTTCATCTCCGTCGCCCAAAAAGCCTTGCTCCCGATCGAGAATCAGTTCCTCCTTCTCGAGCTGCAACTGCGCTTCCTGGTCGATCTGTTCCTGCATCAGCACCAACCCCTCGCCTTTCTCGTGTTCCAGCAAAACCATGTCCTCGCCCGCGTGGTCGCGACTGCGGGTCCTGGACCGCGCGCGCGCTTTCGCGTTCAATTCGTGCAGGTCCTGGGAAACTTCCGGGTCGTCGGGTAGAAAGTCTCCTCGACGGAAGCTTTGGTCTTGGTGGGAAAATTGATGATCACTTGTGCCCATTGTTCCTGGCATCATGTAGCCTCCGTACACGGCTGCTGCTGCGCTCGTGACGTTCGTGTCAAATCTTAACCTCGTGCCCAGTGGCCCGGTGGCCTGCGGAGCACCAGTGGAAAATTCGTCGTCGGAGGGGGACGGTGCGGGATGTTCTTGACCGCGAGTAGAGGTCTGTCGCTGCAAATTCTCAGCATCATCGAGATCATCCTCCCCGGGAGCTGCAGCTGCACCGCCGTCAGCATCAGCGTCTCCCCCTCCTTCCGCCTGCTCCACAGCGGCCGCCCGTTGCGCTTCCACCGCTTCGAGTTTTTCCAGAATAGCCTTGTCGATTGTTGTCGTAGAGAAAAGGTTTCGTAATTATTTTGCTGAGCGACCGTACAAGCTCAGTACCCGACACACACACACGCGATCTAGACCGAGAGACCCACGAGGTCTTGATCTTGAAGTGATCTGTGTTTTCCAGATAGGACTAGAACAGAGCACATGCTACAAACATGTAGTCTGGGCGCTAATTCCAGAGTATCCCAAGGTAAGATGTGTGTGTTTGATATTATAGAGCGTACGGCTTCTCATAAATACTGACGTCAACATTGTTTCGAAATGCGATGTCGATGGCTTTGGCGATCACTGCGCAGTATTCTTTTTGTCCGCCTGCGCATGAGCCTTGTCCAATTCTGAGCGGGATTGCTACTGATTCTGTCTCGTCTATGATTGACAAAATAAAGTCGTACAACGCGTTTTTGAAACGAAAAAGGCGAGCTTCTGCTGAGTCATCTGCTGTAAATGCTTCTACCGGTACTACATCTGATGGTCGTGGGACTCTGTTGAGAACGGGTTTTCCTGGCCAGACCATAGCGTAAATATTGACAATTTTTCCTATCACTTCATATCCTCCTAGTGGTTTCGCAGAAAACGGCTCTCCATAGCGGTTTGCCTTCGGATATTTTGCAAACAACTGTGCCGCCAAACCGCTGGGTTTGCACGGGACGCAGCATGTGATGTGGACTATAAACCTCTCGCGCGCATAACAAATATCCATAATTCTTAACTTGCTCCTAGCGAGCTCGGGAAATTGACGAAAGTAAGGTTTGCGTAAAATTTTTGTAACTTGTGCGCCTATTTCTGTTTTTTCTCTGTCTCTACCCCAGTCGTGTAGATGCACAGACAACAACAACGTCCAATCTTCGTGTGCTCCGTATACGAGTGGGCACTGCGCTGTGCAAAATACCTTGGAACCCTTCTTGTACGTGCAGAACTGTACGAAGTTGGACGCCAGGTCGTAGAACATGGGGTTGATCATCGGCAGCATCAGTGCAAAACGTGGTCTTTGAGCTACTGGAATTTTTTGGAAGTTGGCGAGGAAGCGAGCTGTTACTATTGCGAGGTGTATTGGTGGGAACCACCAGGAACGCTTGTTATAAAACAAGTCGAAGATATCGAGCGGATGATTGTGTGCCGTGTAGTATTCCGGGAAACGCCAGTTGTGGTGATCTGCAAAACAGTCGACATTCAGACCCGGTATCTCGCGCATCACAATGCTCCACGAGCGCTTACACAAAGTTTTATCCGGAAAGGGATCTTTAAACGCAAATAAATGCTCTTCGTGGCGTGACAGTGCGTCGGCGATTATGTTCACTTCGCCCGCGATCTTGGCCGCGACTATTTCTGTGCCTGTGCTGGATGCGAAGGATGTCAAGCTTTTCGTCACGTTCTTGAGAATCGGCGTTGCCGCGGAGCCCTTGTTCGTGGTTCTTTTTGCCGTTGGATTGTCGGTCTTGATCAGGATTATTTTCTGGTGAAAATATGCGTCTCCTAACTTCTCCCTGGCTGCGTCTAGCACGTGCTGAACTGCCAAGGCCTCTAACTCGTTGATGCTGGCAGTATCTGATGGTGGGAAATAGAAGGAATTTTATTCTTGTAGATTTGATGTAACATCAACAAGTATATGTGAAAACCAGAAAAAACAAATCAAAACTACCTGGCACTTTTTCGTCGAAGAGTCCATGGAAATAGTGCTCCGCTACGGTGCCGCCCCAGCCTCTGTTTCTTCGGTCTTCGCAGTTCTCGATGTCGCCTTTTGCAGCGTCCATGTAGACACCGATAAACAGCTCTGGTCCCAAAGACGCGAAAAAGGCTTTTCCGAAGGCCAAGACTTCGTGAGACCAAATAAAAGTCTGCTCGCCGTTGAAGAACATTTGTCTTGTGTGGTCGGTCGACAGCAGGTCTTCCCACAAATCCAAGTCTTCGAAAGCGGCGTCCGAGATTTCGACTGGCGGGTTGAACTGCCTGTTCAGCTTCGCCCACTGCTTCGGTGCTGTTGAAGCTACCAGCAACTTGTTCAGCTCGTCCAATGGCCCGCGTGGGTGGATAAGCGCGCAGGAACCTAATTTTCCTTTGATGCTGGCTACGTCTCGGGCTTTCGCTTCTTTGTTTCTGCCTGCCTGCTTGAAGTCTCGCACTGCTTGCAGGTATTCTTTGCGTCTTTTAGGCTCGAGCATGATGTTGTACGACCTCGGGTCGGTGTTGAAAACGTTTCCCAGCCAGGGGAAAATTGTTGACGGCTGTATTAGCTTTGATTCCTTGTGGTGAATCTTGATGCCCATGCGGGTTAGGATGTACACTGCTCGGTCTAGGTCGAACTTGGCTTTATCGAAGTGTGGTTTGCCGTCGACCGGGCTGGTTATAAATCTCACGTCGTCTACGTAGTCGAGTGCTGGCGACGATACTCCGTTTCTCTTCGCTGCAGCGAGAAAAGCTTTCACGAAGAAATCGTTCTCACCCGGTGCTGGTCTCGGTATGCGTGTGAAAACAGTTTTTTCGGATTGATGCACGACAAAAAACCACATGCATCTGGCTAGGTTTATAGTGGAGCCTGTGAGAATTTTCGCTGATCCGTTAAAAAATGTTTTCACGAGATACCGATGCCAAAAGGACAGTACAAATGTCCTCCTTTTTGTACTGTCCCTTCGAGATTTATTCCAAGCATGCGGCGAAAACGTGCGTGCACCAACCAGTGGCCGAAGGAGTCCATGAAGTCGATACCACTCCCGACTGAGTTCGGCTTCAGCAGCAGAAACGTATCCCAGTAGGTCTTGTAGTTTACCTCGGTGGAAAAAATGGACTGGTTTATCAGGGCCCACTCGCTGCTGTAGTCACTGATTACCCTAATCTTGTCGTCGCGTTGGAACAGCAGATTTCCTGGCACGCACGTCAAGTCGCTGGGGTAGTCGCACACTTCCACATCTTCGCCTTTGTCGTTCTTTTCTGATTTCACATCGTACAGGATGATCTTTTTGCACTCGAAGAAGCGCTTGAACTCGTTATTGTAGACCTCCGGGCTCTGCTTGGCCGCCGGGTAATTCTCGCATACTATCGGGTCCAGGTGCTCTGCGATCTGTTGGAACTTTATCCCCGTGCAGGCTTTCAGCAAAACTTCTGGCTGTAGTCCAAACCGTACGCATTCTTCTGGATTTATCGTTAGACCCGCGAAAGCCTGATCGTCCTCTGCTTTGCGCCACCTGTCGTTCGGGCCCTCTTGGTCTTGCAGCAGTTTTCTAACTGCTGCTCGTGTCAGAGGTGCACCCGCCTTCTCGTAGTCTTCATTTTTGAAGGGGGAGCACGGCGTGAAATTAAACGGGTCGCCGAACTCATTCCCGCATGTAAACAGGCGTGACAGGTCTACGGTGTCGATGTCGCACTGGTGGCTTCGTGGCGCTTTTCCCGGCTGCGGTAAGTAGCTGTCCCATGTCACCACTGCTTCCTGCGGAAAGATCAGCGAGGGGTCGTCCCAGCACGCGTCATATTCTTTCTGCAGATCCTTCTTGCATGGCCTCGGCTTATCTTTCATGTTGGATGCCGCATTTTCTTGTGCTATCCAGTGATGAATTTCTTGTGCCGGCTCCGCTACTTTTGGTGGCTTTCCTATTTGGGCTCCGCAGAAGGAGGCGTGCTGCGATTTGTGTCTTTTTGTCGCTCTCCTGTCCTGAGCATCTTGTGCGCGCAGCGATGCCGCTGAGCGGCCTATTTGCACCCCGCAAAACATAACGAGAGGTGACGAACGCATCTTTTTATCTCATTTTTCGTTCATTTTCGATCAGATCAAAAATCCGAAACCTAGATAAATGACATTTTGCGTCTGCGCATGCTGCCGCTAGGCCTTCATGTGCGTCCGCGGAGGACGTGGAGAGGAGGTTCGCATTTTTTTGTAGCCAGTTTGATTGTATTTCACATAAAATCTCATCTGAGCATCCCCTCAGTTTGCGCATGAAATTACGCTCAATTCTCTCCAGTTTCTGAAAATAACATATTCGCTCGTGAGGCCACCTGCGCCCACTCACAAACCAAACATGTGTATACGACATCTGTGAAACTGTGTGAGAAGCTTATTGGAATCGACGTTAGCGGGATCGGGCGACGAAATCAAAATGACACTGACTATTGGAAAAGACGCAACAAAGTACTGAAAGAACCGGTGCCCTTGCACAGATTGTGATCAAAACGAAAGAAGAACAATCGTGCTGTCGTGGTCCTCTGTCGTCTGTGTTTTTGTCTATCTATTTTCCGTTCTTGTTGAATCAAGTGTTTCTACAAGATGAAAAAAAAATTTTTGAAATCCACGATGAGATTGGCACACATCAGTCTAAGTGCTGGTGGACTACATCAAGGGCTTCTTGCGGGTTCACGACCTCTGCATCAGAATCATCATCCGATGATGAAACCACTCGCTCGTCTTCCGATGAGGATGTGTGTCTGCTCGGTGGCAAGTCGTCATCTAACCTGGTCGAGTGGTATAAAGTATTTTTGTCATGCCAGTATCATCATGATGCAAACAAAAAACATGTGCCATTGCGCGAAAAGGAAAGAAAGGTAACATTATACGGCTCCGGGTTCAGTTCCAGGTATCGAGCCAAGGCGCGTGCGATTAGTCGTCCGTTAGTCTGGACGAAGTTGCGTACTGCGATCTGCGACCCGACGATCCGTCCAAGACAACTGAAGAAGAAATTTTTTTAAAGTTGTTTAGTCAGAATCCGAAGACGGGTATGAGCTATCGTCCTCGGACGAGTCCATAACAATCGGCTTCTGCAAATCTTCCTTCTTGAATTCCTCCTTCTTCTCATCATGCAGAGCTTTTCCTTCTTTTCGCAAGTTGAACTGCTTCAGGCGGGCTTCTTTGTACTTCTTTTTCTCGTTGTTGTAGAAATTCGCGATGTCGGCTGAGGACTGCTTGTGGTAGGTGCGATAGATCTGCACTGCGGTGTGGGCGAACTGGCGCGCGAGGAGCACAGACGCCCACTTGCGTCCCATCATCACCTCGTCCTGGGCCGGATAATTCCAGATTTCCGACAAGTGGCTATACAGCGAATCAATCGCAGACGCCATCCCCTCCGCTAATTTTGCTTGACATTTTTGTTTGGCACAAATTGCCTCCAGCGTGTCTAACAGCACATTGCAGGTGCTGCGTAACTCGTTGGCATCGCAATTTTTGGGGAGGGTTTTGCGCATGCACCAGCGATAAGAAGTGACAACTTGCGAAAAGGTGGAATTTTTCTGCTCCTTCGTACTCAAATCATCAATCATGGACCGCATCGACTTTGCCTGCCGAAGCAACGGCAGTTTCTCGTAATAACCGAGATTTCCTAGGTCCATTTTATTGCGTTCGGTACTAGAAGGATATGTGGATTTCTATTAATTGTCCCTGAAATTTTGGAAATGACAACAAATACCGACAAGATTCCGCCCGCTGGACTACTGCGTAAGAAATGCATGCGTACATCAGCGATTGCCCGTTGATGATGCCGATTTCGATCAGAATATACGGAACCTTGTGAATTTTTGATCATGAGAGTCCGGTAATGAAAGGCTTTCGCTGTGCCTAAAGATGCATATAAATTATGGAATCAAAACTAGAAGTACCATCACGCGCAGTATGGTTGTCGTATAGAACTTGGCCAGGAAGGTCCAGTGCTGTGCGGACCGGAAATTGCGGAAGAAATGGTCCACGAGCATTCTATCGTCATCATAGACTGCGCGCGCCATTAGTTGCGGTACGGTGCTGAGACGCTTTAATAGCAACCAGCATTTCTGGATGGTCACCTTGGTCACAAAGCACCAGAAGCGCCATCCCGACAAATGCCCTAGCGGTCGTTCCATTATTTCTGCTGTAAACTGAGGCTGAGCTGCTAGTACTAGGCTAATGATTGTTTGTGGTGATGAAATTTTGGATCTGATTTGCACCGTGTGCTACCGCATATATTTCTCTCTGCGTCGCGCCTGCGCTCTGAACTGCTGACGCTCTGTGTCAGTAGCTGTAAACAAGGACAACATATCACGTCGTGCAAGAAGCCTGCGTGGCTGAAGTTTACATGCTTGGTGTGAGATTTTTAATTATGAATCTTCGTCACATTTTGACAAAAAATCTAAAATTTTTCCGTATACTGCCGCATCGCAAGAGCTGCACGTGGCGTGAGAGAAAAGCCTAGGGCATTCCTCCTGGAAGGATTCTAAAGAAGTTCTGTCCCATGCCACCTTCTCGACCTCGCGCGAAAATTTGATCGCGTCGTCATCGTGTAGGTATATCGTGTGAGCGCGGTCAAGTGCCCTCAGGCTTGCGATATTCGCATAGGTTTCTAAGCTTTTGGACGAGTGTCTGTTTACCATCTGTCTTAGTTCCATACTCGAGATAGGTGCGTAGTGCACATCGAGACAGTAGCTGTTCCTCCATCCGCCTTGATAATAAGCTAAACGTCGTGAGACATCATGTTCAATATAATGCTTTGCCCCTCCTTTGCGCAGCGAAATTGGTTTTTCAGGAACCGTTCCTGACAAGGCGTAGCTAAAAAAGGCTTTGATGTCTTTCCTAATACCATCTTTGCTAGATTTGAATGCACCCCTGGTTTTAATGTTTGCATTCCCTATCACGAAGAAAAAGGCATCGTCGGGGGCCATTTTTCGTCCTAGTACTATGTCAAAGAAGGCGCGGGCAAATCGCTGGTAATCGGCTATCATTCTTGTGAAATGCGTTGGCACCCAGGCTTCTGAGCCGAATGAGAGCTGGTCACTCTTTGCTTGAGAAACGAAAATTGCGTACTGCGGTCCCGACCCTGGTGACGCGGTGATTGTTACATCACGCAACCGCAACAGTCTGACCTCGTCGTTCCTCCTAACACAGAAGAAAGCTATGACAACTATTGCTAATTTTTGAAGTCGTAAAACTAGATCTATATCGTTGCACGACATGTTTCTCAAGACTTTCTTCTGGAAATCTCCGTCGCTGTCTACCATGTGCTTGTGGTGTCGCTGCCAGTGCTCCCATTCTGTCGTGTAGGCGTCGAGCATCTCGGTGGTCGTCGGACACCACTTTGCATCCAGTGGGGCTCCATGGTGTGCTTCTTTTTTGAACCTGTGATATGGAAATATGTGATGATTCGAGACGAAGTTCCATAATTTATGCTGAGAGAAGACATCATCAAACTTTTAGCCACGAGAAACAAATAAAATGTACCCTTTCCATAGCTTCTGGAAGAAAGCGCCTCTGTTCTTCGTGGTGTAGCCGCTTAACTCGATTCTCGAGGAATTGAAGGCGTTTATCGCCGCGCTCAATTGTAAAAAAGCGCCCCACCGTATTCGATTCGAGTCTTCATTTTTGTAGGCGCTGTGGACCGAGTGAACATGTGCGAACGTCACGAACAGAAGCGATGCCTCGGCATCCGTGGTTATCGGCCACAAAATGAAACCAAATTCACGAGCGACGGCTGGGATCACCTTCGACAAGATCGATGTATAGCTTCTCGACGTACCCTCTGTTATAGAGGAGTTGGCGTGGTCCGCAGTCGCCGATTCTAATAACTGGGCTGCTTGGTCAGAAAGCGGGAAGGCACCGAAAATCTCGCTGATTGCGGCCTTTATTGTAAAATCGATCTTGAGACCTTCTTCAGAAACTGGCGTGTAATTCTTAGCAGCTTTTCCTTTTGCATGCTGGTAAAAATGTAAAACACTCGATATCGACGGAGTGGGAGTCGTGAGCACTATGTTTCCCGGTTTCGATATGATGGCGATGGAGTCTGACGTGGCGTCGCTTGACGACGTTGCGCTCGATGACATTGAACTCGACGACGTTACAGAACCAGCTGCTGCTCCTTGCGAAGAATTGCATGCACTGGAGATACACAGCGATACATCAGACCAGGCGTTCATGCACATTAGTGCGTCTAGCGGTTTCTTCAACGCCTCTTTCCGTAATTCCATGTGCTCGAGTATTCCCGTAACTCCGAATAGCGTTGTCGAGAATTTATGCTCCAACGCTGGTGAAGAGACGGCAGTCACGAATCCAGACGACGGCACGATTGCGCTGAAATCCTCTAGAGCCTCCTCGTGCCAGTCTTCCACACACACTAACTCTGTCTCCACAGCGTCCATCAGAGAGATGTAGTACTCAGGTGATTTCCGCTTCGATGATGCAGGGGCGATAGATGCGGCTTGTGGTGGCGCGACGATCGGCTTTTTGCTTGATTTCCTTTCAGCGTTCGCTAATTCTTTCAGCGATGCTGCTACCGCCGCTTGCTCAGCAATTTTGTGTAACTCGCGCTGCCTGACCTCTTGGCCAAGAGCGTCTTTTATCGCATCACTTGCAATTAATTTGCTCATCGTGAAGTGACTACCTACTAAGGCTGTCATAGAGGTTGCTGGAAGATCTGTGTGTGCCAAAATGCACTCCGGACGCAACAACAGGAAGAACCGGGCAACAGACGAAAGAAAGAAAATAAAAGAAAAGGTGAGGACTCACTAATCTCTTGCCATGATCTCTCCTGCGTGACACAACTTCAAAGAACATGCCACCGTCGGCGTCGAGCTACATTGACGCCATGGAAAAGGGGGCGCTTGTATCTGCCTTGACTCATGTATTCTTTTATCGATAAAGAAATTGAAACAGGTTACTTCGTCAGTTGAAGGGGTTGGCATAAGTAGTGACGTTAGAAATGTTGCGCCCTTTTCCACCATTGTTGTTTTTGGTTCTTTTCGCAAACGGTTGACCTCCATTTCCATTGAACGGACGGAGCAAATTGTTACCAAGACCTTTTTGAAAATTTTGGTTACCACCAAACTGCTGGTTCCCACCGAACTGCTGGTTGCCACCCCCGTTCTTTCCCGCAAGGACGACCGGGCAGCTCTTGTTCCAGTGGGCTTCTCCGTTGCACTGCGGGCGTGGGCACTTGATGTAGCACGTGTTGTTCGAGTCCGAGCAGGCCTTCAAGCCCATCTTCTTCCCCACGTGATGGTTTCCTGGACCTTTGCCGCCCATGAGGCAGTTGACACAGCTCTGGGTTTTCTGCATCCACTGCGACAAAATCGCTTCGCTCTTGGCTTTCGCCGTTTCCATCGCAGCGTATGCTCCTGCGGTGGTGCGCGGTGCCTCGGTCATGATACGGTTGATCTCGTTGTACAGCTGCTGATTCTTTTGCTGGATCGCGTTGTTGCCCGTGGGGTTCTGTCCCAGCTCGGGGAAGGCGTTCCTGCCGCTGCCTCCTGCGATCATCGACATGAAGCTTCCGCCCATCTGCATCATGCGCTGCATAATACTGGGCTTGCATAAATTATCGCAAGCCGCCTGTGTCATTGCACAGGCGTATTCGAGGTTATAAAAAGCCTCGTCGACCGCGGACGCGACGTACTTGTCAGGCAGCCGACCCCGGGCATTCTCCAAGGCTTAAAACTTGCTATCTTTTTTCTAATGTTACGAAGGAAAACAAAAAAAAGAAAGTGGCGGCAATGCCGCCAAAGACAACACCCAGCCCGAAGGCCACCGGGCAGAAATCACGTTGGGCGGGACAACAAAAACGAACGGGGCCAAGAACTTCGCGGCCAAATACCGAACGCCGCTGGGCTCTTCCCATCCAGAGAGAAAATGGCCCAGAAGGGAGGCGGCCCCGAGGGGGGGTCAGGCGCGAGATGCAAGATTAGGGGTGGCGGCAATTCGCCCACACAAAAAGCCGGGAAGCCGCCCGGCAAAATGATCAACACCAACCGCCTAGCCGGAAACAGGCCGGGCGGGGCGCCTCTTGCCTCCGGCTAATTCCTTGCCTAAATCGATGCTAAGGCAAGCGACTAACTTCGCGCCTAATTTCCTGGCTAAATCACGGCTAATTTTTTTCATTGCAAATCCCCCCACATTCCCTATGCTGGAATTAGAAACAAATTAGACGCGAAATTAGAGCCCAAATTAGACCCCCCCCCGCCCCACTTCTGCGCCCCTCGTGAACCCCGGCCGGGCGGGCCGGGGCCATTGATGTGCGGCCCGAGACAAATGGAAAACAATCGCGCTGCCTTCCTTCTGGGGCGCAAACATCGCAGGGGCGCAAACCTTGGCAACCCCGGGCCGGATGCGCCCCGGGCCCTGGAGACCCCGGGGCGGGCAATCTTCGCCAAACAATGCTAAAAACGCAAATCCCCAGCGCCCCAGCTTCCAAAACCTGCAAAAACTACCGACGACAAAACCCGTGCCCGGACTACCTCCAGAACCCTCGGGGCCCCAGACTCGCGGGGCCACGACGAAAAGAAGCAAGGGGGGCGCCATGCCGGAACAATGTGGGGCCCACAATATTAGAAAAAAATCGGCAGCCTTTTAGGCGGCAAATTTGCGAGCCATCGGCCGGCTGATACTTCTTTTTGAGGGCGGCCGCAAAATCTTTGATGAGAAAATACCTGGCTTTTGTAATTTTTGTGATTACCTAGCGAACAATCGCATGAGAGTTATGTGGTGGTCTGCATGGATATTTGCTTGTGTGTCACGAGTCAGGACGAGAGCAACATGAGAGGAAATTGTCTGTACAGTTGATAATTGTAATTCAAGGACAAATTCTTCTTGGCCACGGAGTTTTTGGTCAGGGCGGCTGACTTTTTTTCGTAGAAGGTCACGGGCCACAAGAAATATCGGGCCAGAATGATCCAATCCTCGGACGGAAACAAGTCGATCAAGGTTTGCAAGTATTGCTTGAGTTCCAACAGCGATCCCTCCGGCGGGAGAATCATCGTCTTCCACGAACACTTCGGAATCTCTTGCATGTTCGTGCTGTCGATGAAGTCCTGTGGTGATAACGATGAAGAAATTGTCATGCTGTATTTCCAAGGCAATCATAGTCTGCTGTGCTACAAAGCAAAAAAGAGTACCTGAGCTGCTTGGTTGGTGTTGGCCAGGCACTGGCCGAACAGCTTCATCATGTACTTTCCTTGATCTTTCTCAATCTTTTGGGAGCGGCGTATCGGCGGCCTTTTCAGAATGTCGTAGTACTTCGACTTTGTCTCTACCGACGTAGCGGCGAATTGGGCGTACCAAGGGAAAGCTGCGATGACTTGCTCCGTAACGGCTGCAGTTCCTGCTCGTTGGTCGATTCTATCTTTCACTTTTGCTGAATTCGCAACTGTCTTGGATCTGGCGCATGCTTTGCACTTGCCACACTTTGTGGACTGGTCCCAGGCTCCGAATTCGGCTATCAGGATGACACCTCCTTTGCTGGAGTAGCAGGTGGAGCAGATGCAGTGCTTGTTCGCGCAAGCGACTTCTGTGCACCATAGCTCTCTGTCAGCGTCGACTACGCTGTCGTCGTAACAGATTACGCATCTTGACATGATTTCGCTGTGGCTTGCACGGCGGCTTAAGCAATCTATACGCAACGGCGTGAGATACAACACAGGATCTGGATCAAACAAAAGAAACGAAAAACTCAAACCAAAGAAAACGAAAATCTCGAACACCATTGCGTTGACAGGTCAAGATGGTAGTGCCAGTAATTCGTGTTCAGAATTTTTAAAAAAGTTGAATTCGTGTTCAGAATTGTCCTGAAAGTTAGACTGGTTCGTCTAAATCATAAAGACAAATACGTCTTGTAACGACACGAATCTGTGGGAAAATTAGCTTGCGGAAGTACTCGTAGTGCTAACACTAGCATTTGTGTCTTCGAACATTTTCGCCACGTTGCGGTCCATCAGCAGGCGCACCAAACCAGTCTGCTGGATCGGGGCTGTGCCGTGGACCCATTCCTTGAATTTGGGATTCCAAGCCTTGGCGGCCGCGAACTGCGGCGGGATCACCACCGGAATCTCCCAGAGCATTTGCTTGAATTTGGCGCAGGGTTTCGTCCCCGGCAGCACCGTCTGCACCGATTCCTGAGACAATTTGATGGGTTGTATCATGCGGTATCGTCGAGCGTCATGCAGTCATGCGTATCGCAAAAGGAAAAAAACGTACCATCAAAGTGTTCACTGTCAGGTCGTGAGACTCAGTAATTGTGCGGCGCATGGCCTCCACGGCGGCAACTGTGGTCATCGGGTCATTATTCGCTTCGATGACCACTTTCGGACCCGCTGCTTGCATGCGCAAGGCGTGCGATTCCACAATGTTGGCCACCGACTCCAGGGTGCGGTTGCCGTATACCAGCGCACACCACACAGGTGTGTGTAGCGAGACGTCGTTGGAGCAAGCAGACATAATGCGTTGCAACTGCGGAAGATCCGCTGCGGACAGAGAAACGACCATCTTGTTGGACGACCAAATTCGTATTACTGTTGTCTCTGACGCACGGCAAAACTGTAAGAGCTCTAAAAGATCTTTTTTCGCTCTTGTAACAGACATCGTATGATCCCGGTACGCAGTACGAATGTCTAACCATGTGAACATGTGTGATGTCAAGATCAACATGTAGCATGCCATGTCTTAGCCAAGAGCCATAGAACACATACATGCGGTAGTCTTACGCCAAGTGTGTTCGGGACACGACTTCACATGCATACTTGCTGCTACCACCAATGAGGTACTCTGTCCAACAACTGAACGAGAGGTGCTGGCACTGTCGCCAGCGACTGCCCTGTCGTGTGTGCGCAGCGGACATGCTAACGCCCAACGACATCGCAATCGACAAAACATACAAGAGAAGAAACCGGGACGACGAGAGGCGCGTCGGAGCAGCGTTTGCTGACCAAACGCGCGAAAAGGAGCTGCCACAATGCCGAAGGCAAAAGCCGAAGGGCGAACGTGAAAGTCGCTTTTCAACAAAATGTGAGTGTGGTGACCGGATGCTCACAGCCCCGGATACGAAACCGACTATAGACAACTCCCACAATTGACGATCAACTATTTCCTTACGAAAACCTTAGATCTCATAATTTTCTCCATTTCTTCCTCCACAAATTTCTTCGCTCTTTCCATACCCTCTTCCAACGCGATCTGCGCTCGTTCCTCCTCGATTCTTTTCTTCGTTTCTTCCAATTTCAGCAACCGCTCGTCCTCAATCTTTTTCCGGTCCGCCTGCATCTGCTCCAACAACGTCATGGACTTCTTCGGCTCTTCGGAAGGCTCTCGGGGCGTTTTCTTCAACTTTTCCGTATCTAACGCGGCGAAAGGATCCACCTCCGCACGAAGAGATTGCTTCCGCTCCGCTGCGTACTCCTCGATTTCCGTCAAGCGCACTCCCGATTTCACCTGTTTCGCAGCGGATTTCAAGTCGATTTGCACAGACCCCACGCCGCCCTCGTGGTATTCCTTCAACATTTGGCCCGCAAAGTCACAGCTCGCGGCGATCTGCGCCACATCCGCGGCGGAAGCGGCGACGACGGACCGGACCCGCTCGTTGGAAGCGCTTCGCTGTTCCTCTCTGGACACCCTTCTTTGGTACCGTTCGAAATCGAGCAGTTCCTCTTTTTTCTTCCGTTCGTTTTCCTCCTTTTGGCTTCCGCGTTTGTACTTCCGGACGTCGCCGCCCTCCGCAACGTCCATGATCGCTTCTTCATCATCTGATTGGGACTCGGCCGATTTCTGGTTCTCCTCGATCAGCCCGACCAACTGGTGCGCAACGATTTCCAGGGAATTCCACCCCTCCTTCATCATCCGCTCCGTCATGGCGGCGGTTGGGAGTTTGAACACTGCTAAGGCCTCGGCGACTTCTTCCGTTCGGTGCAAGGCTTCGATCTGGACATCCACCTTGTCCTCGACCGACTGCCAGTTTTTCGCGTCCATATTTTCCCGCCACTCCTTCATCCGCCGCTGGCTGTCTTTGTTCCGCTTGTGAATCGCTTTATCCCTGCTTGTCTTCTTCTCCTGCGCGGTTTGGAACCGGTTGATCAACGTGAACCGATTCCGCTCCTTCGCAGCGTCGGCGCGTTTTAAGAGTTCCGTTTCCTCGTCACCGCCAAAGAATTTCGAGAGAATTACACCGAGTTTTTCCATCAGAGTCAACCCAACTCTGTTCCGGATCGCTTGCAGCGGGTTTTCCTTGAAGAAGGGGTCGTTCTGGTCAAATTTGTTCGGATCGTTCTCACCTCTCCGTTCCCCCGTCTGCGAATCGGCCGACCACCTACGCGCAGCAGCAGCGGCGTCTGGATCTACTTCGGAGAGCAACGTCTGCTCCAACTGCAGTCTCTCCTTCTCTTTGGCCTTATCCAACCTCTCCTGCTGCATGTCCAGCGCGATCTGTACGTGCCGCTCCAGAGAAAGAATGTTCAATTGCGGAAAGAAAACCTGCACCAACGGCGGTAACGTCCAGTCCTTGCGCTCCAACTCAAACATCTTCTCTAAATGCGCGTAGAACGCCGGGCCGCGGATCAATGACCGCCAGTGGGCGAGGAGGAAGAACTTGTTGAGGTTTTCCTCGTGCTTTTCCACAACTTTCATCACGTCGATGTGTGCGAGATCGACGGCCAGGCGGTACTGGGATTTTTTTTGCTGTTTTGACGACTTTAACATCTTATTTGCTGTCGAAGATGAACCGGTGGAGGATCTTCTGCGCTTCTTACTTGATTTTTTGCTAGTACTTCTCGGGAGGAAGTCCTGCTGTTCGTCTTTTTCTGTGCTCATCTGCAAGTCTGCTTGTTCCTGCTCTTCATTTTCATTTTCACCCTTCACTGTTCCATCCGGCTCCTGCACGGCGCCCTCGAGCTGCATGGCTTCTCCTTGTGCAGCGGCGCCGCCTTCTGTGGGAACATGAGCATCACCTGTTTCTTCCTGATCCATTTCCACTCCTTCGCCCTCGCCTTCCTCCCCCCGCTCCGCCGCCAGCTCCGCCGCAAGCATTGCCGCCTCCTCCGCCTCCGCTTGCTCCCGCATTTGCCTTTCGAAAATCTCTTCGGTTTTCCCCAAGTGCCGAACCAACCGCGCTTGCTTCTTCGCCAGCTTCACGTCCGGTTGCAGCGCTTTGCTGCTTCTTTTCGCGAATTCCTTCATTTGTTCCATGATTTCCTCCTCCGAGCTGGTGTTGGGGATCGGGGCGTTTTTCTGGATATCAGGGATCAGCAATTCTGCGTCTTCATCGTCAAACTCCGTTACATACGTTTGCGCGTTGATGATATCCGTCAAAACCCGAGACAACTCAAATACCATCGGCGCAGCGAGTTCTTCGATTTCTTTCTCTTCTTGCGCATAGACCCATTCGCCGGTCTTCGGGTCCTTGTAAATTGGCATCTTTTGCACCTTCTTTTTCACGTTTTTCGTTTTCTGCTCCAATTTCTGGCGAAGCGCCTCCTCCTCGTTGATCGGATCTACTTTCTGATCATCATTACTAGCTCGTTCATGCTTCTTTGACTTTTTGCTTTTCGAAGTAGACTTCTGCTTTTTGCTCGCTTTTTCAACTTCTACTTCAGGAACCGCATCGTCGTGGGAATGCTGGTGGTCCTGTTCGCCATCGTCTTCAGACGCCGGTGCGCTGGTCCTGTGCTCGTTTTCAATCAGTATCGGCTCAGCAGGTTGGTCTACTTCAGCAAGTGGTTCTTGCTCGTGCTCCTGGTCTAGAGCATCGTTGGTCGGGTACATCAACTCTGGAGGTGCGGGGGCTACAGAGAAATCATCATTTTGTTCTTGAGGAAAATCCTGTGGGCCCCCGGCATCGACAGTAGCAAAGACCACAGCTGGTGGTGCAGGCATGCTTGACGTATCTTGTTCCACGGCAGCTGGCACGACAATGAGATCTTCATTTGGAGGTGCTACAACTTGTACTTCCGCTCCGCCAACGGGAGCAGCACCTATTTCATTTAGTGCACCATTTGCACCCTCGGTTTCTTCGCCTTTCCCTTGATGTTCCACTTCATCTTGCTTCTCCTTCCCAATGGTTCCGCTCGAAGACGATCCCACTGCCGACCCACTTCTCGACGTAATCACTTCCGAGGAACTGAAAGAACTTCCACTATACGACGCGGACGAGCTACCATGGGAGCTGCTCAGCTTGTCTTCCTGTTGTGGTCTACCATCGGGATCTTCATGATCACCTTTAACAGCACCAGTTCCGGCGGCGCTAGTAGTTGCACCTTGCTGGTGCTCGTCAGATGTTGAACCTCCTGCATGACTACCCTCCTCGCCCGATATTAAGCCAGTCGTACCCGCTGCCTCCCGATGCCTTCCCTCTCCTCCCTCCACCTCCATCGCGGAACTGCTACTCGAATCGACATCCTTATTCGCCATGATCCCCGCACCCTCCATGTTCGCAACCTTCAACACCGCCCAGATATCCAGAACCACGTTTAGCTCGACTCTAACCCTCTCGGGTACCGTTTTGTTGTCCAGCCTCAATAAAATCTCCCCTGGGAGGTCGAACATGTCCAGCAGTTTGCCAACGGTTTCGTTCCGCACCGTCCACACACCGAAAACGGACGCCGGGATCACGATGCTCCTCATGTCTTTCGTCAAAGCGGAGCTGGCAACGGACGGCTGCTGCTGTAATTGGCTGGTCGCAACGGAACCCGTGCTCGTCGGATAATTTGCTTGATTTTTATTGTCCTTAAACACTCTTGCAAATGGCTGCAGTTGTCTGTTGATGTCCTGAAACGCCTGCTCGTCCTTGTGCTGATCCAAAAAAACGGTCAACTCCTCTCGCAACAGCCAATCTAAATCGAAAAGCTGGGCGTGGAGGTAGATCTCGTCTGGACTCTGCGCAAAAAGGTAACGGTTTGGGTCCTCTTCAGGAGGTAGTTTCTGCGATAATTTTTGATGCTGCTGCTGCGCTGGTCCAGCTGGGCTGCGTAAACCCCCGCTGCTCCCATCTACAGCTACCGCTGGCGGGCTGTTCCCGTATCCGTACTGGATTTTTGGTTTTTGCGGCGACGGGGAAGACAATGTGAATTTCCCGTCCTTAAAAACCAGTTTCGGCGGAGACTTTTGGTCCGTGGAGGAAATTCCCTTCAAATGGCTTTTCGGGTAGCTGGACATATCTGTCGGCTTCAAAATCTGCTTGATGTTCGAATTGGTCAGCTTTATCTTATTCCCAGAAGCAGTGGTAAGGCCTGGACTTCTGCGAAGACTAGCAGGCGAACGATCTGTGCTGAGATCTCGCACTTCGTCCCTCCTTCTACTCGGCGAACCAACATCAACACTATCATCCACCCCACTCGCGGCCCCTCCCCGGCGTACTAACCCTTTCGTCGCTTTCTGATACAGCAGCACCTCCTGGTAGATCCGGCTCCGCTGCGACACCCGCAACACCCCGCGCAGCAGCGTGCGGACCAAGATGACGAACTCGGAAAGCCGCAAAAAACCGTTCTTTCCGACGTCGAAAAGCGAAAAGAGAAATCTCGTCTTCGACAATCGGCTCATGCTCCGGGAAATCAAGATCAACACCGACAAGACCTCCAAGACGTCCACACGCAGTGTCTCCGGCGGCTGGTCGTAGACATACTCGACGGGTTTTTGATTTCGCTTCTGTCGCTTCTCAGCGAGTTCCAAATCGTCCGCCAACGCCGCGCGGCCGATGTAATTACCCCGCCTGTTGTTCGGGGAAGTCGCCGCCACCGCCTCGTCAAAATGCGCCAGAAGCTCCTTGTTCGGGGACAACGCTTCAATTTCACCTTCTGCAGGAGATCTCGCGTTGTAACCACGTCTAATTTGAGGACCACTACTTCTTCTACCACCTGCGAGGACTCCCTGTCGTGCATCATGACCTCCATGTTGTCGCGTTCTACCCCGCCCGGGTTCGGTTTTCAAGTCCAGCCCGCTGGACCAGTGGTCGTTGGTTTGGTAGATCGGCACGCCGAAGGATTTGAAAAGCAGCGCTAGAGCGGAATACTGGTAATTGTCTCGGTCGTTGGTGTTGAAGAAGCTGTACTCCTCGTTCTTCAAAAGCGTTTCGCGAAATTCGAAGTAGTTCGCCAAAACCGGGCCTTGGTTGAAGCGATCTTTCGAAACGTCCCAACGTTGGAAGAGTTTGGCGATCTGGGGTTTCGAAAATGAAAAAATGCTTTTCTTTTTCATCAACAAGAGAAGAGGTCACATTCTAACACACGATCTTCAACATAGTTGCAGTTGGGATAGAAAAACAAGGATATTTTTTGCTTTCTTTCTACCTGATCCCCTCGCAAGGATGGTAAAAACCCGAAGTCGCCCGGGCGGAAATGTCCTTTGGCAAGTTGCTCCACATAGTGGAGGTCGGGGAGTTGGGAGAGTGAGACTCCCATTTTGATATTTGAAGGCCCAGCGGTCCTCTTGTTGGTGAGGTTTGCTCCTCCACTTCTTGGTTCCAGCACTTAGCAGTGCTTCCGTTTGTTTAGGTTTAAGCAATAGAACAAATCCTGTGCTTGTGGTTCACTTTCCGGTGCGCCGTTGCTGCAAGAAGGATTCTCATTGCCAACATGCTGTTGCGCTTGCGGAATCTGACAATTCTTTTAGAGTGCACATAGTTCGTCAAAATAAACTAGCAGGATATCTAGTGGAATTGTGAACTCTTACAACAAAGTCAAAGGAAGAAACATGACGTAGTGCACACGACGATTCCAAGGTGCGGTGGCGACGACAGACGAGACAGCGAGGCACGAAACGAAGACTATGAAAGAGAATGTAATGTATGGCAATACATGATAAATACGTCAAGAGTTTTTTTCTCTCTCACCCTCCAATTACATCGATGTGCGTCCAACTACCGACTTTCAGCGATTGTCTTTCTTTGCGACGAACCAGGCGACCACGACATGAAGATCTAAACAGATAAAAAAAACGAAAGTCCAGCATGCTCTGCAAGAAAAGATAAAAAACGGAAAACAAAAATCGAAATAGATCGACGGATCCGCGCAGCGTCGAGAGCGATGCAGCCAGTGCTTTGATGATCTACAGACTGTATGTCTATCAATCTTACATTTGCTTCTCCAATGCCAACCTGCTTCAAAGAAACTATCAAAAAGCTCCGTGGTGTCGTTTTGGTTCTCCAACTATTGTACATGTACTAGGGCGAAGCTGCAATCCTGTGTATGACATGGCCTTGTTGTTGACGAGAGCTTCTATCGTGACAAAAAAGATACAATTTTGACAATCATCCTGGCAAATAGGATGCTGTTGTAATCAAGAAACCTAAAAAACCTCCATTCAGCTGCTACTCAACATGCTATAGCTATTGAAAATTTTCCAATCCGGTTAAGTATATAGACAAGAACGTAACAAGAGTTGAGGTGTGTCCGAGGTGGCACGCCCTGGTGTGATACTAATGTTCAAAAGTTTTAATCAAGTTCTTTCATGATTCGTAATCATAAACCTCACAACGACCATAATTTTCCTCGAGTTAGTTTGCAAAACTAACAGGGTTGTGACAGTATTGTGACAAAAAAGAAAAAACAAATTCAAAGTTGCTATACAAATGATGAAAGTTGGGAATTTCTTGTTCTAGTACAGGGACATAATTTTTTCTTCGACAATGAATACGAAATGCTGTTCAACAGGATGAGGATCGCTGCATGATCGACCCCCCTCACGACCTCGTAAACTTATTCGCCATGTCCATCACGAACGAGGGATGCTTTTCCATGCGCCGGCACAGGTTCGCGAAGGTGTCGCACTTGTTCAAAATTTCTTTCTTCAGCTCGGGATCGTCCTTGGGCATCCTGTACGGCTTATCCGCCTTTTTCTTCGCCATCTGGTAAGCGGTGCATTCGATCATCTGCGTGTTACGGACCTTCAAGACCCGGAAATCCGGGCGGGCCAGGATGGCGACGGCTGAGTTATGGCAATTTGTTTCATCATGCTATACAGTCTTGAGCATCTTTGTCATGCGTCAAGATGGAGATGGTGATGGACCTCGTGCTCGTCCCAGGCAGGAAGACAATGCATTTTTGAAAAAAAACTACTTATTTTCGATACCGGCCTTCGGCAGCTCGTTATGAACCGCGTGCATGAGACTCGTGTAATTCCCCGGGGAAATGTTGTTTACTTCGACAAAGTCCTCGCGACTGCAGATGTAACTCGCGACGTCGTCCAGTTTGTTGATGCACGCGATGTCCAAAGCGGTCAACGCGCCGTCCGGAACGATGGAGCCCTCCAGCTTCTTCAACTCACTCACGTCCGTCCTTGGCTGAAAATTCGGGTCCTTCTTGAAATGCGCCTCCGCGGTATTGATTCCACCAAAGTCCGCACGCTCGAGAACCGCAATTGCAACGGATTCCATCTTCGCGCGGGAGGCAGCCTGTATAGGGTGTTGTGGAGGAACTACACGAGCATATATCTGTAGTCAACATGCACGCAGGCAAACAGCAACAAGAGCGGAATGCGGATCTGTCATGCTACACCGCCAAAAAAACGCACCACTGTAATACCATAAGGGCAGTCTCCATGTTCGGCGAGTGATTCAAAGTTTCCCTTCGAAATCGCACGGTATCCTCCAAAACCGCTAAACAAGCGTTTTCCCGGCCCCGCTTTATCAGTTTGTGCAGGACACTGGCTTTCGGAACCTGCGAGATTTCACAAGGAGTAAGCCGGTTCAATTCTGGCTCGCCGACGTTTTGGTAAAGGTAGATCCTGCAGTCCTCCAGGTCATCCAGCGTGAACAGGTCATCGTGGGGACCAAATTGCTTCGTTTTTCTCGTCACAGTGACCTTGAAGTCGCACCTGTTTGAGGTTTGACGAATGACGTACAACAACTTAGTTAGTTTACTAATTACTGGAGTACTACTAGTTCCATCATGGGAAACGATGTCCTCAGATTGACAAAATTGAAAACTCAAGAATGAGCCACAAAATAACTTGTATACTCGCTCAGGTGCTGTCCGTCGTTATGGAGCTCAATTGTCGGATTGCTAGTTGGTGAAACCCGGATGCAGGCCATCGGTATTGCGACTTGATTCAGGGTCAGATCTGTTTTTACAGGAGGTAAATCATTTCTTCTCATTCTTTGATGCACATGACATGCATTTGGATTGCAATTACAATTGCATCAATGTTGATTATTCGGAATGCAGCGAACGGCTGGAGCCTGCTCCTGAAACCCACACCACGACATCGAAACAACTTCAACTACGACTCTTACTTGTATGCCCGAGGAAATTTGCTTGTGCGGTGAAGGTTTCTCTTCTCCTGATGTTTTGGAAAAACTTATCGCCGTAGGCTGCGAAGAATTCCTTCAACCCGCCCACAGTCGGATCGTCTAAGGTGATTTTTGCCACTTCCCCGCTTGGTACGGTAATGTGGACGACCGGCGCTTCAGGGGAGGGGATGTTGGTACCTATTTTGTAAAGGGGGAATTGCAATACTAGAAAGCTCCACATGTAGTAGTTGCACACACTTTGTGATACAAATGCTAGTTGTGCAGAATGGTGATGCCTGTGCCAACAAAACCATCTTTATTACCGCCAATCCCCGGCTCTGCCGCTCTGAGCAGGGTCTGGTTTTTCAGTGTTCTGTTCTTTGCTGCCCCGGTATTTGTGTTGTGCGTGTTGCTCGCGTTTGCGACAAACCCAAATCTCTGCTTCGTGGCTTTTATCTCCCGTGACAGCGCCCGGTCTTTCGAGGTAATCGTGGCGTCGTAGTTGTTCGCGTTCAAAATGCGACTTCGCTGCGGGCTCTGCGGGTCACGATCACCGACGAAATAGGAGTTCACTTCGTTCGTGTCACCGAGGGAACCAACTTCTTCATACCTGAGAAACGAGGCGCTTTATAAATATGTTGTTTTTCTTTTTGTGGCGTGCAGCAGAAGCACTCACATCATTCTCATGCATTTTGCAAGCGCAAGCCGTCATGCTGAGCATCTTATCGACAAAATAATACGCGAACTGTACCCGCCAACGGTGATTGGATTTGTCGTATCTACGGGTTCTGGCACTCTTGGCCCGCAGTAAAGCTGCGAGTGGGATTGCAAGTGACCCAGATGTCTCTTCGTCTGGTATCCCATGCTGGACCCAGCATTTCTTGACCGCGACCCGGCACTAGGGGAGAACATGGTTTGGATTTGGTTTGTTCTAATCTGGTGTAATGTACGATAGGTTGCTTAGTAGTGCTGGAGCCCGCACATCCGTGCACAGTGCTGCTAACGAAGATAGATTAGGAAAACATCACGGGCAACTACATAACCTCAGTCAGCATCATCACCATGTCATACACATACATCTAGGTAGTCATGCACATTCGAAAATTTTCCTTCATTTCCCCAGCCACACAATTTTTTGTAGTACCTCCATGAAACTAAAAACGAGCCCCAACGATTTCACAAGACGACGGAAAATGATCCTGACGAAACGTTTTTTTTTAGTAAGCAGAAGAAAGCCACTGCCACTGCCCCGATACACGATCGAACGAGTACGATATAGCATTGGCATAGCAAAAAAACAGAAAATTGCCCCGGATCTTCTTCAAAGTCTTCCATCGCTTGTTTCTCGCGAGCGAAAAGAACGACAAAGGCGTCTTCCCCCAAGAAATGCTAATGCACCGCACGCAGAACCTGAACCGATCTTGTGCACTTACTGGTGAGCAGAACACGACGCTTCGAACTGATCAAACAGCGCTGAAAGCCGGCAACTCTACTGCTACTGTAAGCCGACAACTCTACAGCGCTGAAAGCCGACAGTAATTGTTTATATTAAATTGATTTTCATTTTGTTGCGCGCTGAGTGCCTTCACTTCGCAGACGAAGGTAAAGTTTGACAGTTTTTCTTTTTGCGCAAGTAAAAAAACACCGAGGCGCCGCCGCCGTGAAGGACTGAATACGACTTAGTCAAGAAAATCCTACGAGATGGAAAAAATACCACGGTCAATCTTCTACTAGGAAGAGACGCAAAATCAAGTGCAAGAAGAAGAGTTGAACTCGATCAAAAAAAATCCTTCACAAGAACTTCGTCTTAATCAGTTCCTTCAGCTTTCCCAGATCCTTGCCGAAATTTCGCAGGCCCTCGCTCAACTTCTCCGTTGCCATTTGATCCTCGTTCAACATCCATCGAAATTCTTTCTCCGTCAGTTTGCCCGGCTTTTTTCCATCTGCCTTCTTCACCAGTTCTGGAGCCAGTTTTTTTGGTAACCCCTCGCTGCTGGCTTCGAGCTCGGCGAGGAACTTCGGCCCGATGGTGAGCTTGTCGCAGCCCGCGAGGCAGCAGATCTCTTCCTTCGTACGGAAGGATGCGGCCATCACGATGGTTTTGTAGTCGTGTTGGCGGTAGTACCTGACAGGAAATCGAGGAATGGTGGCTTCTTCGCACGCCGTCTTGTAGACAACTTACATGACAGGCGGTTGGTTTCATTTTTAAAACAATGGATGCAGCACAACATGGTGTAATCTTGAAGTGGCTGTGCGACGTATGAAGCAAAGAACTCTTTTATACTCGTAAATTTGCTTGACGCTCTTCACCCCTGGGTCCTTCTCCCCGGTGAAATCCGCGTCTGGCTGTGCCTTCTTGAACCAGTCCAAAATTCTCCCCACAAACGGCGAAATCAAGGTCGCCCCCGCTTCGGCGCAGGCTCGTGCTTGGCAGAAGGAGAAGAGGAGCGTCATGTTGCAGTGGATGCCCTCCTTTTCCAAAATCTCGCACGCACGGATGCACTCCCAGGTGGACCTTAGATATCAAGTCAGGTTGTTTCACAGAAGTCGATGGTGTACCAGAAGACGGAATCACGCATGACAAAAAACACCAGATCTTGATGAAATAACAACATGTGATGATATTAATACCCAAGCTTGATCAGGATTCTCTCCTTTTTAAACCCCGCCGCCTCATACATCTTGATAATCTTCCTCGCCTTTGCCAAGCTGGCCTCGGTGTCGAAAGACAAATCAGCGTCGACTTCGGTGGACACATACCCAGGTACGAGCTTCAAAATCTCACAACCAAAGGACACGGCAAGTTGGTCGCAGATAGCGCCCAGCAGTTCGTCTTGGGAAGCCTGTTGGGACGTTGGGAAGAAAGGTTGAAAGGTTGTTCATCCGGGTAAGCATTTTTTGTGACAGTGTTTAGGGTTTAGGGTTTGCGTGACAGTGTACTACGTTGGTTCATTAGAAGCCGTATTGCAAAAACAATCTACCTTTGCTGACACCGATTCCTTGGCCTTTTTCACTGCGGCATCCACGATGGATTTGTACTCGGGCATACCGCACGCCTGCAGCAACAGTGTCGGGTTTGTCGTCGCGTCTTCGGGTTTGAAGGTTTTTATTTTTTCGATATCCCCCGTGTCCGCGACCACGCCGCTCATCTGCTTCAAAGCGACCAATTGGTCCACCTTTCGCTTCTTGGCATCCGGCGAAGGCGAGGAAGACCGGCTACTACGCGTGGTCTTCGTGTCCTGCTTCGTCATTTTGCTGCGCGTTTGTGATCCCTCTGAAAAATGAAAGAACCTGAAAAGCTCGTGGATAAAAAAGCACGACTAGTACGAGCTGGTGGGAATCCTCTAGGAGTTATAAACGAATAATCGGTGGTCTCGGTCGTGCAAAAAAGAACGCATTTACTTAGTCGAGAACGGTTCGCGTTTCCGCACTAGAACCGTGAAATCGAAAAAAAAAAGAATGTATATACTCTTCTAGTGATCTTTCGGTCTTGCGTTGATGAGGACGTCAACAAACTTGAACTTCGAAAACATTTTACAAAAGCCGTCAGCAGTGGAACGGCGTTAAAGTTTCAAACCGATTTCGAGTTTTGCTCTTTGCGTCTTGTCGCTTCACAATGAATCACATCAACGTCCGTCGGAGGGATCCATCGCAATTACGACCAGATGCCGAGGAAACAACAGATAGAAAAATAGCGCAGCAGGATCATCTTCCGGATCCAATTGTGCACGAGCTGCTGCTGCCGCTGTGATGATCGCATCGTAGACCTACCATTCGCAGCACTCGGGCTGCTTGATAGACACAGGGAGTTGTACCGCCTAAGTGTAGTACATACTCTGACTTATTTCCAAAGAACAGCTACTTGGATTCTTTTTTTCGCCGTGGCTACGGATTATGGTTTCGATTCTTGTACTTGGACAAAATCCCTTTACGCTACTTACCGACTAGTTCGGGTTCGTTCATTTTCTATGTGTTTCGCTACGTATATTTGTAAACACGACATGGACATTTTATCATTATCAGCAATTTAGGGTTCCTCGGCTTTGTTATGCGGACATAGGCAGGATCATCCCCCCAAGGATCACCCCCCTCAAGATGCAGGGGGGGGTGAGGGGGGCCAGGGGGTGGGCCGGGGGCAGGAAGGTAGGGGGCAACGAGCGAGGCCGGGGGCAGGCAGCCAGGCTAAGGGGGGGGACAAGGGCAGGCGGGCCGGCGGCAGGCAGACCGGGGGCAGGGCGGGGCGGCGTTGGTATTTGCTGGAAGGCCTTCCCAGAGGTTTCCTGGGCCAAGATGTCCTACAGGCGGGCAGCCACCCGAGGAAGCCCGGGAGCGCCTAGCGCCTCGCCCCCTGAGGCAACAGAGGCGGCACAGTGAGCGAGCCCCCCCGGGCGGGGTCACGGCAAACCAACGAAGGGGGAAAGGGGGGGCAAAGAACAGAGAGGGGCGCGAGGGCGGCAAGGCCGGCGGCGCGTGCCTCCGGCGCGGAACAGGAAGGGGCAAAAGGGAATCGTCTGGGCCAGCCGTCGCGACGGCGCCGTCGCGACGGCTGGCCCAGACGACACCGCCGAAACCCTAAACCCTAAGCCCAAACCTAAACCCTATGCCCTTGAGGGGGGTGATCTTGGAAACTTGAGGGGGGTGATCTTATCTTGAGGGGGATGATCCGGCCTACGTCCTTGTTATGCAATCAGCCTCTGCAGAAACGCGCGCAAGGAGGCCTCATCTCTATGTTTTTCAATGTCTGACGTTCTCACGTCAATGCAGCGCCAGCCTAGTTTCTCCACGAGTTTACGTTTGGTACGTGTTTTACCATTCGTCACCATCGGTAAGGTTGAGACGTCGAAGGGCTTTTCCTTAGTGCCTTTTGCAGCTGCTCCTGATCGAGGATCTTCGGCGTTGTTTGTGCAGGAGTTTGTGTTTGTCGCATCTCGTTCCTCATTACCTTCGAAAACCCTGACATAGTGCGACCACTCGCCGTCGACTTCGATCGCCGTCTTGGTTTCCGGCACCGCGATGTCCACGATTACCCCCGAGCCCGCCACTTCGTACTCCGCAACGGCGGTTTTCAATGCCGCCGCGCACCTAGCCGCAATGTCCGAGCTGCTCACGTCCTTGCCACACGCCAGGTACGCGTCCCGCAGCTCCCGCCAATGGGGCGTGAGCGGGCAGGTGAAATTTGATGTCATGTTTTTGTTTACTTCTCCGCCGGGCACGGCCGCGGGCGTGGGCGATGAAACTATAGAAGGAGCGTAGTGTGTGTTTCTTGTTGTCGTGCTGGCTGTGATATTCCTACCCACCCCTAGTGGCGCCAACATACTCGTCCTCCGTGTGAGCCAGACGATGTACAGTTGCGACTTCCATTGCGGCTCCCAGTGATGCTGGAAAACAAAACTGTTCCGACTGCTGTTCAGCGCACCAGCCAACACTTTCGGCAACAAGTCGAACCCTAGCTGCGCGAAGGCCCACAAGGCGTTGCATTGCTGGCGGGCATCGAAAATGTGCCAATCTGAGGAAAAACGATCCGCGAGACGGTGCAGAAGTTGGTAGATTGTTTTGTTCTGATGTTCGTCCAAAGTAGCTTCCTTTTCTTGCAGTTCTTTCATCTTCCCATCGAAGTCGTTCATCATCCCGTTGAAGTCGTACCCGAGCTGCGCGCAGGCCCAGACGATCGACCCGATTTGGTTCGGTTTGATCGTGCTTTTTGTGGTTTGCGCGACGGATAATCTTGATGTCGGATTCTGGTCGAAGTCGAGGATTTTCTGAGCGAGGTGATTCAGAACTTTCTCAGGTCGGAGACGCAGCACCGCGAGACTGTGGAAAATATTCGAGACGTGCACTGCGTCGTCAATCCGCGACCAGACAGAGTCACAAGTAAATTGACTTGGTTCCCCCGTTCGCGTTCCTGACTCAGTACCCGCACGTGGTCCGCCCACCATCTCAAAGGCCGCGAACCGACAGTCGGCAAGGGCGAAGCTCCACAGGGAAAGTGCGATGCCTATGGCGCTCTCAACTGTTACATTCTCAACTGTTACATGATTTGCCATGCAAAATTGCCTTGACTATCAACGCCATCAAACTGCTTCGCATGACAAATTCTCAGACGGCCAAACAGGCTGAGAATCTGCGCCAAATCTGTCATGCAAGACGCGCAAGGTCCTTCCTTTCACTTTTGGCATTCTTGCATCACAAATTCGTGTAACAGTTGAGAATGTAACGTTTGAGAACGCCATAATGCCTCTGGAATCTCCGTGTTCGAGGAGGAAGTCAACGAAGCCCTTTTGAACAAAAACGTGCTCGTACTTCTGAAGGAAGTTATTTGGCAGTTTCGCCAGGGAGTAAAAAAGCGAGGTGACGTCCTGAACGCAAAACCGGTCGGTCGACGGGGTGTGGGGATCGTAAGCAGGAGGCCCGAGTGTCGTGGCGCCGGGATTGCTCGGACTGGCAAGCGTTGCCCTCCGATCCGGCACGAAGTTACTCCGAAACACGTGTGCTAACAAGGGCGGCAACACCATTTCCATGGCTACCGTCTGTGGCGCCGCCGGGTGCGTGAACGCCGCGACAAGCTGGCCTACTTCCCGGGCCAGCGCACGCTCGGGCTTCAGCTCCTTGGCAAACCGTCGAAAGACTTCCTCGTGAATTTTCGTGCGAGAAATGATGTTGATGGTATGTGCACTCGTAGTACAGCTCGCGGCTAAGAAGTCGTTGAATGCGGATAACAGCATGACGGATTCGCAGATGGTGAACTCGGAAACGTCCATTTGTTCCAGCAACCTCACCGCTTCGGTTGTCCACAGAGTCCGTTGTTCGGGCTCGAAGGCCCACACATAGGAGAGTTGCTTCTGGTTCTTGTAGAGGTCGTCTACTAGCTGTGAACTCATGCCTGCTGCGCCGTCGATAACAGACGAAGCGGCTAGTTCTTGAGCAGGTCCGGTTGACGCTACTGCCACGACATTTGGCCTTGCCTGGCCCGGTGGGATCGCACAAGCCATGAAGGCTGTGGCTGTTGATGCTTCCTCGATACTAGTGCCTCCTTTCGATCTCATTCCCACCCCACAGCCTCCCATCCCAATTTCTGATTCCGACCTCGCCACCAGCTTGCTGAGACTCCACAGCACGTTGCTCAAGTCGATGGGTTTTGGATTTCGTAAACGTAGGAAGCAGTCCGCTAAAGCGGCGAGTTCCGTCCGGGACAACTGGATCTGCATGCGGGCAAACCCCCACAGCGTATTGGCCAAATCCTTGGGGGACAAATCGCTTCTGGCAAATTCGTTGACCAATTTTGGCTTCAACTGCTCTTGGATCTCCTTCACCGCATTGCTGAGATGCGCTTTCGCCAGTTCCAACTGCTGTACATCAGTTTTTCCGTTTCTTCTCGGAGTACTTTTGGAAAGCTTCTGGTCGCACCGCGCCAGCGTCATCACCGCACGCGCGAGGAGGCGGGTCGGGACCTCTTTGATCTGGCTTGGCGTTGTCTTTTCAAAGCTAGTATAGGCTATTGCGTTTTCATTTCGGGTTGTCGCGAACATTCTCACGATCCTTTCCCCACCGGCAGCAACAGCAGCTGCGGAGAGGTTTTGCTTCACGGACAGCAGATCTAAAACATCGACAAAGGACAACTCCACGTCTTGCTGCGTCAAATGCTTCTCAATCGCCGCAGTGCGGGCGGAGAGGTTCGCAACGCTCGTCTGCCGGTTCAGGAGTTGGGCGACGGAAGGACTCTTCCGGCAGCTTAAATGGTCGGTGACAGGAACAGCGGAAGCGCGGCTGAGTTCTTGTGCCCCCCTCGGCTGGGATAATGTCCTCGTGGGTTGCTGGTGCGGTAGTTGCAGCTGCGCAGATGCTCCCAGAGAGGGTGCGCAGGTAGAGAACGAGGCTTTGGCAACTCTACTGCATGTTGCTCTGTCGACAATGTCAACGCCACCACGCAGCGACCCATGGGCTCGCGAAAACCCGCGCTGCACCATTTTTTTTTGTTTCGTACCGCAGCCTCGCTCTTAATTTTCTTCAGAATCAGATGTTGATGAAGACAGTTACGCTATAACAAAACGCCAAGCACAATAAGTAGAACGACGTTGGTGTGATGTGGGAAACGTCAATGGCTAAAAACGGTCGAAGGACGGAAAAGTAACGAGATCAGAAAAAAAAAAACTGTCATCTGGTCGTTCCGGGTGATCTCCATGAGAAGTCAGGAGGATGATCCAACGATATGTTGCTCAAAAAACGCACGATGCCAGACCACCGCCAGAGATCTTTACTGTGTCTTTGCTTTATGGGAAGGGGGCCGATTATACGACATATGAACAAGAATTTCCATGCGCCTGCGCTCTTTGAAGGAGCTAGCAGAAGGAGCTAGCTTCTTTGAAGGAGCCAGCAGTGCGTGCTCTACACAATCAAACTAATCTTCAGCATAATTTCCGTAAAAATCGTGCTAGTCAACGTTACCGTTAGGTAGCCTTTACTTCGACCCATTGTTTCCGGCCTGCGCGTGATTGCTCGTTGACCTCAGTGCCGACTGCGAAGCGCCAGTCATTGGTAGTAGTCTTTCCCGCGGGATTCCGAGCATGTCCGCCTGTTGCCATTCCTTTTGCGTGAACTGCAACAAGCCCTTGGGGGCAAACGCCGTACCAATAGGAGTGTCGAAGCACTTTTCGATGCGCAGCCGGTCGAAGTACGGATCTGCTAGGCCGACGAGGGGTTCCAGACGCTGCCTCGGGTTCAGCAGCAGCATGCGGTCTAACAGGCTGAATCCCTGCTGCCACCGGGAAGAGAGACGTGTCGGGTGCCTGGGGGGGTTGATCATTTTTCAAGCGTACGCATGGCCTTTTCAGTCTAGTGTGCAAAAAAAAGTGCATAGCAAAATCAGCAGGCTGGTGTAGTGGAAGATGCGCGCGGGCCGGCGCGATCGCGAAAGAATGAATCGCAAGACAAATGCTCGTAAGTTTTTATCACCTCAAATATTCTGGCATAATCCAGGTCAGCGGCTTGCTTTTTATCGGTGGAAACTCGAACCGACAGTAGTCATGAACGTTGCCGCACAAGTCCGCGAGCTCCTCCTTCTTTGGTGTACCCCGCACCTTCACAATCTCGATCAGCTGGTCTACGCCGCCCTGTCCGGGAAAAATCGGCCGCCCCTCGTTGATCAGTTCGCCCATCACGCACCCCGCGGACCACATGTCAATCGCGCAGCCGTAGGTTTGCGATCCGAAAATCAGCTCCGGGGCGCGGTAATACCTTTCGATTATAAAGTATTCTGAATATTAAGTGACAAGATGTGGCTGCTGCACCAGCGCAGGGGCGGGACATAATTAATGTAAGTTTGGAAGCATGAGAACAGAAACAGGAATTTGGATGTTAATGTAAGTAATTGGACATGCAGCACACTGCTCACAGACTATGACTAAAGCAACAGCCTTCTAGTTTAATCTTGAAATAGCCCTCCGATACCTGCTGCAAATGTACTGCACCGAGGGGTTCCGACTGTCCACCTTCTTCGCGGAGCCGAAGTCGCACAACTTCAAAACGTGCTGCTTCTGCATGTCCACAAGCAGATTCTGTGGTTTGATGTCGCGGTGCATGACCTGGAAGCTTTTCAAGTACGCAAGCGCCCGTAGCAGCTGGTACGTGTACAGCATGATGAAAAACTCCGGCACGGCGCCGCGCGGGGGCTGCAGCTGCTGCGGGTTGTTCGCTCCGTGCCGGGTCGAAAAGCTCGTCCCGTATTGGTACTGCATCGCGAGCGGGTTGCGGTCGCGCAGGTGGCGGGCCACGTTGAAAAGCGTGTCCGGCATGTATTCCATCACGAGATTCAGGAACAGCTCGTCGCGCTGCGGGTCGCCCTGTATAGGTTTTTTTGACGGTAATGTATAGTTACTACGCGCAAGCCATACAGATACATCTCAAAACAGGAAACTTGGTTCAGAAGTGCTACTTTTCACGTGGAGCAAAGGCACGGCTTGGCTGTCATGAGAGAGGTGACCACACACAACGTATTCAAAAATCATACTTGTGTGTGAAAGGGCGATATGAGTTTGATTATGTTCGGGTGCGGGAAATCCGTTTCCGCGGCGCACTGCAGGTCCTGCAATATCTGCAGTTCCCGGTTGCGGTAGCGCCGGTCCTGAAAAACTTTCTTGATCGCCACGTACTCCTGGTCGGGCATCACCTGGGCCAAGTACACGATCCCGAAGGAACCGTTGCCAATTACCCTCTCCGCATTGTACGACTTCGGAGCGGAGGACGAGGACGTCGACTGGGTAGTACTTTGTGCCGCGTATTGGGGCGGCGGAGGCGGAGCTTGCTGCTGCTGCTGCTGTTGTTGGAGCAGCATTGCCTGGTGATCTTGTGCCGCAGCCATCTGCTGGTTGTAGGCGAAAGTTGGCGGGATGTTCGTCCCCACTACACCTGCAGTGCTTTGCTGCACATAGCTGTACTGCGGTTGCTGTGGCACACCACCAGCAAAGGACGCATGATGACTACCGGCACTGTTGCTGGTCCCTGGCTGCAGGTAGTGGTTTTTGCTTGGAAACGAGCTCGACATCAAAACTTGCTGCTGAAAGTCGACGGATTCGTAATTCGAGCTGGTCTTGCTGTGAAAGGACTGCTGGTAAAGCATCTCAGGACCACGGTTCAAGCCGTTGTAGCCGTTGGTAGTCGTCGTCGATCCAATCACGGCGTTTGTCGTGGAATGTTGCAAAAGATCCGCAGATGAACCGCTGTTGTCGTCGTGCTCGTAGGGAGAGGAGGCGGGAAGGTTGTCGTACCGGCCGACGCCGACCACCATCGCGTATGAGCTGCTGCTGCTGTACGTACGTTACGACAAGAGCTAAGTACTGCCAGACGAGTAGAAAAGCACGAAGCGTTCGTGGGCAAGTAAGTACTTGCTTCCCGGGGCCGGCTGGTGACTTGCGACGAAATTGCGATCCGCAGTTCTTCTAGACGAAGATCACGAATGGTGGGTCCATATTGGATCGACGATGCAGCACATGGACAGGGAATTGCTGCACGCGACTGGTTCGCTTGAAACCCGCCACATGATCCGCTTCAGCACCACTGTCCGGGGTCGCTGCAACGTGGTCCAAAGGACGAGCAGAGCCGAGGCACAACTTCACTCCACCAGAACGACAACAGAAACACCTGCGCCCTTTAAAGAAGCTCAGCGCGGCCTTTGATAATTCTGCCCAGCTACAACTTCAACACTGCTGCCCAAGCTTGCGAAATAAAATGTATAGAGGCAGAATTTTTCGTCCCACAAGAAAGACCGAGTCTGGGAAGTCGAAGTCGGGCAAAAGTTGCCTCCCACACTACATCATCACCTCCGCAGTGGCCTGATGCTGATTTCTAACAACATATACAAAAACTAAAACAAAAGCGCGTCACTCAAAGAAAGCCGATTTTGCTGCCCCCGGGTGGAAGGTTCGCTCTTTCTTTTGTATACAGAGTTCTACACTTGAGAAGGACTTGCAACATTCACATTGTGTGGAAGGACTAGGGACGTACAGTCTTTCTATGGTTTTTAGTTATGTTTAGAGATGACCAAAGAACATCCATGGTTTTCTGATGGACAACAAGCGACGGCACGGAAATGCTCGCTACAGTTGTAATTGTACTCGTGGCAAGAGGCGGTCTCTTGAGGTGAAAATGTGAATCAATCCGTCCTTCATGTCGCCTTTAAACTTATGTCGTTTGTCATGTGATAATTTGTCTGCAGCCATTCGTTCCCGGCTACGCAACGAACTGAGGAGTTGTCGGTGCACTGTGGTGATGAGATGAAGATCATACCACAAGACTACAGCCACTCCCTATCGTCACACAACTTCCTGCTTCGCTACTGTTTGCGCGCCCGCTAGCTCCTCTGCCATCGCCGCGTCGTCAATTTGGTGGAAAAACCCATGTAAACACAGAAACATCAGAAACCAGAGCGCGTTGCTGATGACCGCGCTGCCGCACCAGAATACGATCACTAGACTCGTCACACTGAACATCACAAGCCACCTTTGTGACGGACCGAACGTGACGCCGCCTGCCGTTACCTGCCAGTCCGGATCCGCGTTCTTCTTCAGGAAGAGAAACCTGTGATGATCATGGCAGTGTGGGGGATTGAGTGGTGGCATGACGAAAATAGCGATGGAATCCGATAATTGCAGAAGCAATGGCACAGGCACGAAAATGTGGCATACATTCTTCAAAAACCCCAAAATCAAATTACATTGCTAATATTTCACATCATCAACAACATACCAAGCGGCCCCTAGCATCGTGAACAGCAGTATCGCGCCGGGGAGTAGAAGCAGGCAAATAAGCTGCCAGAGGAAGAAGCACAACGTGTAGTTCGCACGGTATCGGCCAACATTCTGCATTAACGAACCGCACGCCGCCGCACCGTCCGCCGGCTTTGCCATCGGCAACGCGAATTCCCGCCAGGGCTGCATGACGCCGAATTTCTCGTTTATTACAGTGGACACAGGATTGTTCATCTCGCTAATCCCCCCGGTCCCGAAATTCAAGCTTGACATCCCGCTCAGAATCGAGTTCGCCCCCTCCTTCGCGCTTCCGGACTGCGCGGCCTGCTGGAGCGTCAGATACAGCCCCATCGCGGATTGCTGAGCGGTGAGAAGCAGCCGCTGCGGGTCGAAGGGGTTAAGTCCGGTTTGGCCAGTTCCGTTCGAGTCTAAGCTGGGCATCGGCGTGTTGCCGAATCCGCCGGGCGTGGAGTGGTGGAACTCGCGGGTGTCCACACCCGCGGGCGGGGGAGGCGGTGGGCCGGTTCCGGCGCCGACAGTGGTAGGCATCGGCGGGTCGAAAAAATTATCGAGCTCCGGGTTCGGAGGCAGGGGAGGCTGCATCTTGGATGAAACGTGCGGATGATATTAGATACTTTTTGATGTATGTTGTGAGTAGAGAGATAAAGATATTTTGTGTTCGCGACTCTACCGAACCTTGCGACAAGCTTCTTTCAGCATCATGTTGACCATGTAGAAAACTCAACGTACAAATCAACTTTAAATGATCTGGCAAAGCGGCTTGACTTATGGTTCGTACATACTGGAGCTGGACTAGTATGTAGCGGTCATGTCGCAGTCGCTGTTGTGGTGTGCCAGTGAGTCACAGGGGTTAGCGCCCAGGTCACGACCATGCCGTTCTCCTGGAGTTGCAGCTAGATTTTCATGTCCCCATGCTTACCATCTCGTTTGCAGTGAGCTTTTGTCCATTTCGTTCTGGTTTATCAAAGTTTTTTCTTGCTGTTGTTTTCTTGCATGTGCGTATATTGGTTGCAGCATTTGCAGGAGCAGCGACTGAAGGAACAGACGCTCGTCAGCAAGGACGATGTGCCGCATGAGTGTGTCAAATGAAGAAGAACACCACAACATCCACTGGAATACAGCAACAAGAACGGAAACCACGTGGTCCCCAGCTGCACAGTCAATGTCCTATATGACATTGAGCAGTAGAAGCAGTTCTTTCGAAATTTTTTCCTTTGCTATCAATCAATCAATCCGCTCACGTCTTTGGGAGGGTCAACGCGAGCAGGTTCTGCGCCTTTGCTCGCAGCGCTTTCTTCATAAGTTTCACTGAAGAGGGAACTTCTAACTTACAAAGATGCCGCAAGACAAAGTATCTAAAGATAGTAAACTTAGAACAAGATGAGTATTGGAAAAAGCTAAAAGTCTATGTTCTCTTTTGAAAACGATTTTTGATCTCTACAACCGTAGCTTGGAGTAAGTCATGAAGAGAAACGCTTTGGTGCTATGGTGCATTAACTTTGCTATACAATCATACAATCTTAAGCTCTCGCTGGCAGGCGGAAGCTGGAGTCTAACCACCTTTATTTGGGGTTCATCTTTCTGAGTATCTTTCCCAGTCGTTATGTTTCGAATCTGTACTACTTCAGCTCTCGGTTTATTTTTACAAGGTCAGTTCCGGTTGTGGTAATCGTGACGGTGGGTGGAGGCAGTTAGCTGTAGCTCTAAGCGGAGGTGAACAAAAATCAATCCCGATTCATACAGACTTTAACTAAGTTATGCAACCCCCTTGAGGTAAGGGCGGTTGCGGTTACTGCAATGCTACGGTTTCTTGGACATCATATGTTCTCTTATCGATTCACTGTAGCTGTACTAGTGTACGTTGCAGTTATTCAATATTTTCACATACGGGGTGCACACCTATACCAGCATGTTGGAATACCGCATCAACGAACTTTGGTTCGTCATTGATTGCGGGCAGGGGTGCTTCAAAGACTTACATTAGCATTAGCCTTGTACAAGAAGGGAGTTTAACATTCGAGTATATGATCAATAAGTATATTACTAAACAGTTCGGAACAAAAATAAGGAGATTAAGTTCAGGTTTTGGTCGTGAGATGCCTTGCTTTCTTGTTTGATCAAACAGATTACCGATTAATGAATGAGATTACTAATCTCACAGTAAGCTAGTTCCCCCGCACCATGGTCGAGGACTCCGCACCCGGTTGCGCCTCCTGCATCGGCCCCGGTTTGCCTTCCAGGGGACCACCAGCATCCAACTCGCTCTCCTTCGCTTTTCCCGTGTCTTGCCCATGCCCCTCGAAAACCAACATGGAGGAGATGTCATGGTTGAGCGGGTGGAGATCGTCGATACCGCTAGTGGGTGGATTTTTGTGCGCGATGGGTTTTTCCGACGCAGCCGTAGTCACCAGATTCTCTCCGTCGCCGCCGCTAACACCTTTTCCCGGCGTGAGTTCCCTTGCCGTTTCCTGCAACTGCAGCGCTGTGGCTGTCGCGGATTCCGATTCGTCGCTCGTGCCCGTAACCGTGCCTCCGCGAGCGGCAGATCGTACAGCAGTTGCGGGAGGTCTGCCTTCTTGTTGTTGTTTTGGTGGACTTGCTTGCGGCGGTGGTGCTGCAGCCTCTTCTGGCGATCCATTCGTGGAACCGTCTTCCTGCGGCTGCAACTGTGACCTGGTAAGTTATTTTACGCACGTCGTTGCCAGGGCGGAAAAGGTCGTTCTTCATATTCTCGACATTCGCATAAGTGATAACTCACCTTTTAGCTTCGTAGTGTGACCTACGCAAAACAAACTTCTAGAACTATCTCAAGAAGTACTAAGTACGTTTTCATGCCGGGAACGAGTGAATTCGTTTTCACTGGACCGTCAGTCTCACGTTTGAGCAAAGGAGCGTCCTCGGGCGCGGAGGGTAACGGACTGCGGATTGTCAGCGTGGTAGAAGCGGTTACAGTCTTGCCTGCGACTGCACCTGGTGCTGGAGCGGGTTGTGGCTTTCTCTTCTGTGGGAGTTCGACGACTCGGAGTTCCTTTTCTTCACCGGTTCGTTTCTCCAGTACTTTGCCTTGTTTTTCCTCGGGGCTCGGCGGGCCGTGCAAATCCAACTTCCCCTGCAGGTGTTGTCGCTTTCCAACATCACTAGTTTCCAAAATCGAATAAACCTCGTCCACAACTGCGTCTCGATCTTGAGTTGCTTCTTCGCCGTGCTGCCCGTGTTCTGCCGTTTCATCTGCTTCAGCAGCTCGCTGGAGCGTTTTCCGGTCCTCCGGGTCAGGCACGTGTTCCAGGTGCCCGACAATGTCAGTGTCACCCTCATTCTCGGGCGACGGTTGTACATACGTGTAGACGCAGGCATCGTTCTATCCAGGAAGATAGAACCCTTCCCATCCCCATCCATTTTTTGCATGACACACACTAGTCTAGACTTGGCTCATGTTTTGCATGGCAAATTAATTGGATGGGGTTGTGTGTTTCTTCCGGGATACGTTCTGAGTTACGAGATCTGTACCCCACTTTATCATCTTCCACGAGCAGTTTTTCCCGTAGTAAGCAACGGCGCCCCGGCGAGACGTCAGCGGTATTCCATGCAAGAATGTAGTAACTGTAGTAGATGAAGATGACGTTTTTATAAATGACATGACTGCACCAGCTTTATCATCTGAAATGGCTATAAAGAATTGCGAGAAAAACTCGAGCAGGCGTTGCGGATAATCTAAATCCGCGGAAGCTGCCTCCGGATTGGCATCCGTGCCCCCTGTGCGAGCCTGTGTTTTTTATTTTGTGAGCCTACTACCTACATCTACATGTTAGAAACGGATAAGGGAAAGCTTGCAACAATTCGTCTTGAACAAGGTTTCATAATCTTCCGCGGCCCCGTCTTTGCGCGGTTATAGAGTGACTCACTTCCCCATGATGCCGCAGTCACCTCCCCATATCGCGCCCGACTTTCCCTTGCCTGTAGTGAATTTCTTTTCCATGATGGTGTGGAAGTTGGGAAGTCAGCCCCTACTTCCCCCCCCATCTGCTGCGAACAGAAACGCCGAGGCGGCCCTAGACATCGAGCCCTAACATGCCCTAGGCCCACCCTAAGCGAACATCTGGCGCGCGGCTCCGTTCAGCACCAACCCAGGGGCTGCAGGAGGGCCAAGATGGTGCAAGGGGTGCAGGGAAGTGACCGATGCAGTGTGGAGTGAGGCAGTGGCGCAGCTGGGAAAGCGGTGCACTCGAAATGAGGTAAGAAAGAGCCTGGGGAAGTGATTCACTCCCTTACTCGACTTGCGGGGAGAGAGGCTTTCCCGGCAGCGAGTGAGTTTTTGATGTGATTACGTATACGTTTAAGTCTTGAATTTCCGTCTAGGTACTCCGAGTACCCGTTTCGGATGTCGTTACACACGGCATCCCATGGATATATTGATTTAAAGGTATTCACTTCTTCCTCGAGCTCCTTCTCCTGCTCTACACTTATTGCGTCGTGGTCGACGTCCGGAGCGTGTTGTACGTGCGTGGGGGCCAATTCCGGGTTGGGGTTGGGTTGCTCGCTTGTTCGTGTCTCTTTTTGTTCGTTGAGCAGCTCCACGATTCTATCACGTAGAGATCCGGATGGAACATGTTTGGAACAGGCTTCTTGGTATTTTTCTGGCGTCTCCGAAAGCGGAGAATATGGATACAGAAAAGCGATGTGCTCATCATGGGAGGGGGGAAGCCTCACACTCACACTCAACATCCATTTAAGTATTTCATAGACCTTTCCTTGCTGAACCTGAAGCTGCTTCCCAATCCCATTGGGCGGCCACATATAACGTGGGGGCAACTGGTGGCGCTGCTACATCACATATATGCAATGCTCAAGTTCAAGAATCCTGAGTGTGTAGATCACAATTAATGGCCAGAGAACTCATCATATTTCAAAAGTTTGTGCTTGATGGTACATCAGAGAGAGACGAAAACGAAATGAATCGAAGTGCAATAAACTTGCCTAGCTTGTTACCAACAATAGCCGCGTCCGCGGGGGTAGTGAGGTTACAGAGGTCGTTTTCTCGACTGCCCGACTCCCCTTTGCTGCACCCACTGCTTTCGCGCGTTCCCGATAGCAAATGAGCCGCCCTCGTTAGTAAGTACCTCAAACATGCCATCGCGTAACACGTTGCCCCACGCGGGGTCGGGGACGCTAGATATTTTTATTTGTCACGGCCATAAGTCGCGGCCACCGTTCTGTCTTCAGCCCGAAAGCCCTTTCCCGCATGCTATGGCCCAGCCAGGGCCTCCACTAGGGCCGGCCCCTTGGGCGCCCAAAATCGGGCCAATCGCATGAGGGCTCATTAGCAAGCTTTTTGCTTTTGGCGGCGTTTGCGTTTGTTTTGTGCGTTATTTTGTGGCAAAGTCGCGCCCCTGCACCTGCTGCCGACAGAGGCGAAACGCTCACCCTCCCGCACGCCATGGCCACCCGAACGAGGTCCCCCTCCAGGGCCGGACCGATGGCCCCTCGAAATAGTTCCAATAGCCTGCGGGTTGCTTGGCTTTCGGCTTTTGGCGGACTTTGCGTTTTAACTTTTGTTGAAGCCTTTCCCGAAAGCTATGGCCCCGCCAGGGGCTCTACCAAGGTTGGCGCATCGGGCACCCCAAATCGGGCTGACGGCATGCGGGTTAGCTTTTTGCTTTTGGCGGTGTTTGCGTTTTTTGCTTTTTTTTATTGAAAAGCCGCGCCCCTCCTGGTACCGACAGAGGAGAGACGCTTTCCCACACGCTATGGCCACCACAGGGCCTCCGCCAGGGCCGGCTCTGTGGGACCCCAAATATCATACATATATCACGCAAAGCAAGCGGCGCCTTTTGTGTATGCCTGAAAACCAGTGAACAGGAGTCCTGGTCCAAATTCTACATTTTGTCATGATGTTTTTCATCTGTTGCACACCGAGTTTCTACAATTCGATACAGGGCTTGGATCATCTACATCTTCGTTCGAGCTCTCGTTCAGTATGGCTTTCGTGCATTCTTGGACGGTTCGGCGCGTTCTTCTAGTAGCTGCTTCTGGAAGTAGATTATTCACACCCGCTTGTACTGCGAGTGCGGCTGCGGTCATAGCTCCTTTGACGACTTTTCTCGTGTCGTACATGGTGTCGAAGCGGCTGTCGTACTATGCAGCGGGTACAAACATTCATTTCTTTTTCTGAGTGTGTCGTTGCCCTTTTTACCGACGCGGTCATCCTACCTGTGACCCATCTTCGTCAAATATCATATCATTAGCTGTAGTGCATTGACATGGCCATCATGATTGGAAACACAGCTGCAGCGAAAGGATAGCATTGGTTCGAGGCATTGCATGCGCAGCAGTTTAACTGGATCCGCGGTTCAACATAGTGCCCCCAGTTCAAAACCAGCCCGGCGCCTACAAAAATTAAGAACAGTTAGCTCTTTAGTACGATGAAGCGGCGCCCCTCCTTCGTTTGAAGGAGGGCATGATCTTTCTCCCGGGTACCTTGTCAAAATGTTGGGCACATTCTCAACGGGGGGAGCGGATGTTCTCCGGCACCCGTGCGGATCTGTACCTGAGACGCCACAGCAGTGTCGTCTTAGATGATGAGGCAGCAGGGCAATTTCGTGTGTAAAGTACGCCGCACGAGGACGCGCGCGTCTCGAGCAGAAGCCTGTTCCGTCAATAGCGTGCGCGCGCGCGCGCGCACGCTAGGAATTATGCACGCCGATGCTCCGCGCTGATTGGCACGCAGCGACGCTTTTTGCGACCACTCCACTCCATCCATGCGTTTTGTAAAGTATGATTCTGCGAGTGTCTGTTTTGCGCGCGGACCTTGTTCGCTTCGCTCCTCCCACCTGCCCTTTTCGTATGCTGGTCGTCGCATTTCGGGGGGATCTGTTTCTCCGAAGGCACCTTCCCGAACAGGGGTACCTTCTCGAATTGGTACACATCTAAATATTGAGTACTTAAAAATGGGTATCGATATCAAGTCAACAACCAGCCGTCAGAGAGAATTTGACACGAATCCGGCAACGGAAAACGTGGAATGAGACACGGACAGAGTGTGCTGGGAGGGCGGCGAAGTGTGCGAGCCTGGCAGAGCACGCAGGGCGCATAGAGGATGGAAATGCGGTATGCATCACCAACACGACCAACAATGCCACCATACTCGAAGTACCGCTCGGGAACTACAGGAATGACATACGTATACGACATCAGAAAAAGTCGACAGGTTCTTGTTTGAGGAACTTCATTAGCATAGCAGGTTTGAATTGACGAAGTCTTCGACGCTGGTGCCCGGTGCGGCCCCGCAGCACACGTTTTGGCTTAGTGGTTCAGTGTCTAGAACTACGTTCCAATTCTCTTTCAATTTGCCAAACGTCCCTGTACACAACTGGACCAGAAACCATCGCGCTTCTTCTTCTTCTTCTTTGCTCACCTCCTTCGGCTTCTTCTGCTTCTTCTCCTTGCGCCGCCAGGAGGAAATGGAAAAAGAGGGCATGTCCAGTTGCAGCTCGCTTTGTGTTCCTTCGCCGTCTTCCTTTCCGCCAGTCGTAGTTGCAGCTGGGATCCTTTTCGCTTGGTCAGCTACATCTTGTTGCTCTGCAGAAGTCGTGCTCGTCTTCGACGTGTCTGTCATTGCTGCTGCGCTTGCAGTTTCCTCGCCGTGTGGATCTTGGGCGTAGGCTGTGGCATGAACGTCGCGCGCACCATCCCTGTTTGTTGTCCTGTGAGAATGTTCATGCTCACCAGATTGTTCCTGCTTCATCGTCATCGTCTGGCGACCTGCTTCTGCCTCATCGCTCTCAGCCTGCAGCAGTGTTTGTTCGCTGCTGCCTCTGAAGGAGCTCCGTGGCTGCTCCACCAGTGCATGGGAATGCATCGGATCCGCGTCGTGTAGTTCTTCATTCTGCATCTTCAGTGCTCCAGTAGAGTCGTGCAATTCCGTCGATTCTTGTTCGGTCTTTGTAACTACTGGTTGCTCTTGATGCAAAGAGGCAGATGCTAGTACTGCGGGCACCACAGGTTTTGCTTCTGTGGTTCTGGTGATCTTTTGCTGCTCCCTTCCGACTGTGCCGGAAATCCTCGGACTTTGACTCTCCGCCAAAGCTGAAGCTCCGACTTGCTTGTGCTTCACATCAGATCTTGTGTCCAGCTTTTCTTCTGCTGATGCTTGCTTGGCGTGATGTCTTCCCGCAGCCGCTTCTTCATCGCCATGCACGCCATCTTTGTTGGGAGCTTTTACTCTCTGTTGATTTTCGTTGTCGGACAGTTTCTGTTCAGCAATTTCGTTTGCATGGTGGTGCACTGGGCCATCTTGGCCGTCGAAATGCTTGTCCTTTCGTGCCGCGACGATCTCGTGCCCTTCTTTAGCATTGGCGTCTTGCGCTTGAGTGTCAGGCTCCTGCTGATACTTACCCGCATTGTTGTTCAGCTTGAGATGTTCCCGTGTGTGCGCATGATGCGACGTAGATACTGTACTAACCTGCAGCAGCTGAATCGCGGTCTCTACTTCGAGGCTGGAATCATTCTGGCTCGGGCCATCAGTTGCAACAGACTGTTCCGGATCGGCCTCCGATTCCTGTTCGAACTGAGGCTCAGTCTTCGCGGCGCTAGCTTCCTCCACAGCGGTGCCTGGTTGAAACCAAAATGTCATTTCCATGTATTCTTTGATAACCGACTTCATTTATTTCAACAAACATCATACAATCTTTGTCATCGTTGGGTCACACGAACATAGATAAATAATTCAATAAATTGTTCATTCTGGTGTCAAAAAACTTATTCATACCTTTACCTGTCAACCAGCTCCATGGCGTGAGCACAGTCGTTTCGACCAATTTCCACAGAGACGCCGGCGCATCCACCACGAGGAAGTTATAAAGCCGCACTACTTTGCTGGTTCTCACCTTGCACCGACCGTCCCTTCGGCGCAGCATGCTGTAGCACGGTGTATTCGCGCCGCTCGTTGCGTTCGCGGTTGCATTCGTCGTTGCATTTCCTGCTGCTGCATCAGTGCCATTGCCGGCAGAAGGAGCATTGGCAGCCTTGCCCGACCCCGCCGACACTGGACCGGGGACGAGGATAGCGGCAGAGTCGGCGATGTTCCCGGCCTGGTCCATGCTGTAGCCGTTGACCGGGAGCGTCGCGTTGGTTCCGGGCGTCAGCTTGTCACTGGCCGTGGGCAGCTGCGTCTCAAATGGTGGAGATCCGCTGGTCGAATCCGGCTCCGGAAGATCTGCAGCAGGAGCGTAGAAGAGGTCGTCGGAATCCGTCTGCGCTCTTTTTTCGGGCTGCGTAATTGCGTGCGCGAACAGAAGGGGAGAAGACGCGAGGCCAGGATAGTACGACGGCCATGAACACAGAAGTGTCGCTGACGGTGATGCTGAGGTAGAAGAAGAGGTGTGCGTGCGAGAAGTGGTGCTGACTGACTCGCAGTAGCCCTGCACATGCTGTTTCTTTTCTTTCTTCATGTCGGCTGACTGCGAGTGGAGGAACAGTGGCATCATGTTGGTCATGTTGATGCTCGTACTCCGGCATCCTTCGAGACCCGAGTGAAGATCCACCCCATCATGTGCCGGCCAGAAGTTTGAGAAGTTAATCGTCGAAACAACTGCGGGTTGCGACTGCGTGAAGAGTGGTGAATCCGCACGATGCCAGCGAGTTCGTGAGCGGGACGAAGAAAAGTACGGTTCTGGTGCAGGCTCGATGTGTTCTTGCTCGTGCGTCGAATGGGGAAACCACTCCCAGTCCCAACGACCGAATAGCATGAGCGAGTACCCCAGCGCCATGATCTGCAGAATGCGGATGAACATCATTTTCAGGATGGCACCAGAAGAGCAGAACCACGCCTGCTGGTGACAACTAATTCCCGCCAACAGATGAAGGGGCGTGCCGTCGCGGGAGTGCGGTTTTCTTGGAAAGAGCCTCGACGACCCCGCCGCAGAGCGACGTTTGGAGGTTCCGGACTTCTTCATTTTTATCGCCACCGGCGTCGCCACGCGATGTCGCTTGCGAAAGGGGTGATCAAGATCAGGTTGTGAACAATCTGGTACAGCGCCTTCCTCCACACTACAGTTTTTCTTTCTGGGTCTGGCACCTCCAAGGCCTGCTGCGGAGCTTAGAGGTTTTTTCCCAGAGCCACCAAGTCCATCTTGATCATGATTGAGCTAAATCTGAGTTTATTCTACTCGCATTTACTACATAGTTACTCTCTCTGTTTCGAAATTGAATAGGAAAGATCTTTTTGAAAAAGATAAACCGGAACCTTGTTCTTCTTCTTCGCTCTGTTGCTTTTTTGAGCTTCAAGACGAAACGCCACTATCTCACTTTATCGAGAAGGTGAAGGCTCCACCTCCACGACAGATCATGCACTCCATGTCTAAATGTGACTTTTGTACTTACGATTTGCACCTGCAAAATCCCTCATTTACCCTCATCTTCGAGTGTTTTCATGCTCTTCCCTCATCTTCGTACCACAAGCACTAGCACCAGTGCGTGGAGTCTCTCTACGTCTATGACAGTGCGTGGCGTCTACGTCAGTCTTTGTTTCCTTTTAAAATCAATATCGAAATATCTGCGAAAAAGCAATGCTGGCATAGCTGGTATGCTGCCTGTGGACCACGAAGACCATTCTTGAGGTAGAGGTTGAAGATGGAGGTTCGTAATCCAATGCGAAAATTGTGATGAAAGGCTGATAAGTAATGGTATCTGCGGACGACAGGACTGCAGCACAACAACAATGGTAAAGGGTTCCTGTCGTGGTAGCTGCTAGTAGAAGACGATCGCTTCACTTGATCTTCATCTTCATGCTGCTCATCTCAAACTCACAGGCCACGATACCCAAACCCCTCCAGATCTCCCTCCGCCGCTTCCCTCTTTTCCTCAAATTCCAGAGCGCGTTCGTGCGCGCTTCCGCGGGCGGAGAATGCGTTCTCTCCACCCGCTCCGCCATTCTGCAGTTCCGCCAAGCTCTGCGACTTCTTCTCCGCGTAGAAGGTTACCTTACGCCACATGTTTTCCGCCCGACACTTGTTGCACCGCTTCGGGAACCGGCCACTCAAAATGTGCGTCGAGAACTTGCACTTCTGGCACTGGATCCGCTCCTTCGTGACGTCCCGCCAGATTTCCACCGTGTGCCCCTGCTGCTCGCACGCCAGCTTCGAACGGACATATTCAGTCAGAATGTTGCACTGCTTGCAGTAATACGCGGTCACCGGGAGGGATTTGACCTCCAATTTCGTCTCGTGCTCCACGTCCTGCTGTTCCATGGTGGCCAGCCGCGTGTCCACCTGCTTGATCTTTTATCAAATGCAAAAGCGTCTGGGTCTGGAAGGTCGCCAGGTTTGTCATGCATATTTTGCATGACCCATGATGCTTGTAAAGCATCACCTAGCATCACAGATTTTTGGAGGGCATCCTGATGCCTATTCCGCATCACAAATGTCCTTCCCACGTAGCACAAAATGAGCTCTTCTTCCTGGTCATGCAATACAAATGTTTTTAGGATCCGAAAATAGCATGACAAGTTGCATTCTTCCAGACCCAGACACGTTTACATTTGATATCTTTTCCTTTTCGACCAAATCCGCCGCTTTAGTTTCCGCCTTGTTCAACTTGGACGTGTCGAAAGACGCCATCTGTGCCGCGACACTGGGCCCGTACAGAGCCTCCATGCGCTGCCGGGAAATCTCGTCGGTCGCTAGGCGGGGTCGTGCTGCGCCGCTTGTTGCAGAAGCGGTTTGATCGTCCGCAGTGGAATTCGTGGTTCCAGCTGCGCCGGAGGACACAAGACTAGTGGAGGATCCAGCACCACCAGGCTTCTTCACGGCTAGAATTTCCTTCCGATGATTCTCCGCCCCGCGAAGCGCGTACGCATTCGTACGGCGGTTCATCGCGCCAGAGCCGGGAGCGTGCCTTTTAGAAACAACGGTCGCTGCGCCGGTAATTGTAGCGACTCTGGAAAGTTTGGCGCTACGCGCATCTTCCGGATCATCTTCCAGGCCGCCTCGTTTCTGCAGCGTCTGAGCCAGAAACGCCGTGTTCGCTTCGGCTAGCAGTTCCTCGCGGGAACGCTTGTTGCTTGACGCTGTGGTGGAATTGGCAGAAAGGTTGAAAACCAGAGAACGGCCTGCGCTACTGTCTGCTGGTGTGGATCTTGTAGGCACAGGACCCGAAGAACTCATCTGGTTGCCCGGTGGGTTCGTAACACCGGATATCCTTTCCGAGTGTGTGAGTTCTTCCACATTGCGCCGCTGAAACTGAGCGGGAGGCATGATCATCCTGGACATTGTCGGTCTGTCTGCAGGTTGAGGGTTGTGCCGTGGTTGCGATGCAACCTGAGGTGCCACTACAGGAACCAATTGCTTGGAACCAGGACCGCCAGCCGTGTTGAAAAGACTTCGCGTACTGCTAGGTACCATAGCAGCATTCCTCGCGTTCGATGCAGCTGTGCCTGCAGCTGGCTTCACAATCGCTGGTGCCGCAGGCCTGTTCGTCCTGTCCGCAACTTTACTTCGCGGTCCACCTCCACCTCCCGCAATGGCCATTTGCATCAACGCATTGTTCTTCAGGGGATCCTTTTTTTTGATTCTGTGCCTCGCCTCAATCGTGTCTACAGCTGCACCAGGGACGGTTTTTGCTCCTGGTCCACCAGTCGACGGAGCAGGCGGCCTGCCCTGCGTAGGGGCCGCCGCTGCTCCCCCGCCAGAGCGCGCGTTCGACGAAGAGTTTTGAGGCGCTTGCGGGACCGTGCCACCTCCGAGCGTCAGGCTCTTCGTCGTTCCGGAAACTGTAGTGGCTGTTGTAGAAGGGCCAGCTCCCGACGCTGGATTTCCAGGTTTGTGTTTCTTCACAGCAGGAGCACCCGCCGTTGATGAAATATTCTGGTCGAAAATGTTGCCGATCCCGCGAAAAGTCCCGGGCTTCCGCATGGCCGCTGGCTTCAAGTGCTCCGGTAGGGCCTCGATCGCCTCTTTGCTTGGTGGAACAACATTAACCGCCGCGCGGCTCGGTCCAGAAGATGTAGTTGCGACGCCTGGTCTAGTAGTGTTGCCGAAAGCTTTATTTGATGGTCCACCAGCAGGACCGCCTCCGCCCCGGTAGAGCTTCGGCCCCCCGCCGTGAAAGCTGCAGTAGCCGGTGGGGCACCGTTCCAAGTTGATCACCATTCCGCAGCGTTCCTGAGTGGCCTTCTTCACGCCCCGACACTCGCCAAGGTGCGGGAACTCACCGAGTTTCAGAATTTGCGAAGATTGGGACACAGTCGCGGAGTAGGAAGAGGAACTGAAACTGTTCTTCTGGTTGCTGTTGGTATTTCCACCATGAGTTCCACTTCCGCCGACGAGCAGCATGGCATTCAAAATTGCAAAAACGCCGCCCCGCCTCGCAGCGGAGTTGCCGCGCCACTGGTCTCTCGCGTCGTCGAACAGCATCATGCGCAAGGTGGTTGGCTTCGGGAACTCCACGTCCGTTAAAACCCACGGTATGTACAGGTTCCCCGCATTGGACTTCTTGATCATAGAAGCCTCTTGCAAAACAGCGATCAAAACAATGTTTTCCAGAACATTCGAAGGCTTGCTATCCTTTCCCTTCTTTCCCTGCCCTTTATTACCCTCGCTGTTACTCGCCGCTGCAGCTGCGCCTGCCGCTGCCATCGACATCGTCGCCGCCATGTTTCCAAGTTGCGCGAGCGGCACAAACTTCTTCCCGCGCATCAGCTGATCGAGTTTGTCGGCCCGGATCTCGCGGTTTTTGATGCTGAGGCCGGTGTGTTTCTCGCGCAGCTCCGCGAGGTTGTCGGGTTTGGTGCAGATGAGGTTTTCGGCGCCGGGAGGTGGGACAAACGGTTTTGACGAAGAAGAGCTCGAACCGCCAGCAACAGCTTTCGGTTTCGTCGGAAGAGTACCAGAAGTATTAGAGGACGAAGCCCCTGTGACTCTCTGCTCCGTCACTTCGTGGTTCTCTTGCAGCAAAGTATCCGTTGCTGCTTCTGAGTAGCCAGTGACCCCTTGATCCAGGAGCTGCATCTTTATCCTGCGGTACCTAGAGCGTGGTGTCTCGTTTTCTAAACTTTTGGTCTTTGCTTGCCGCGACGCCGTGTCTGCAACTTCTTGGGTCTTTATTTTCTGTGCAGTAGAATTTGCACTCTCGTCCTGCACATTCCGAGGCGCGGCTCCACCAAGCGGCGGCTCTCTGCACAACAGCTCTCCTTCCACCTCGGAATCGCTGGTACCCACATCACTTTCCTGGTCGGCCTTTTCGGACGAAGAAGAGGACGACGAGCTTGTTCCGGCGCTCGGCGAGGAAGCCAAGTTTTTCCCATGGCGTACGGGCGTCGGGACTTGTTTCTCCGGTGCTGGAACACGAACACCGTGTGCTTTTGTTTGGACTTCGGAATTACAAAACTCGCCGGTCTTGGCATCGTCAGGAGGTTCACCTTGTAATACGGCGCTATGGTTTTGGCGCTTCGGCGGAACTACACCAGGAACGCCATCCGGAGTGTCGGGTGTTGTTTTCGCAAGCGCAGCTGGTGGCACCAAGTGACCTTCCAGCGCAGCTGCATTTTGGCCACGTCCTGCAGTTTCCTCTGCTTTTTCCCTTTTGGCTGGTGCAAAGGGAACAGCCTTCAGTTGCGAGGGTGCTGGATCACGACCTGCTGCTGCACCTTCAACCTCAATTTCATCTGGGAATGTGTCCAGCAGGGTCCCATGATGTTCTTGTTTTTCAGCCTCCTCTTCGGGGAAAGTGTCGAGCAATTTCCCATCTGTTTCGCCGGGAAATGTCTCAAGCAAGTCCTCGCCGTCCTCATCCTCAGAAAAGGTATCGAGGAGATCTGCGTCGGCCATCTTCGGCTTGAAAGTGGTTCAAATACAGCGGACTCTTTGTCTTTCCAGTCCGAAAACCAAGCGATACTAGTATGTAACTATCCACCAAAAAAAAATGCAAATAACACACTTACACTTGGAGATGAATACGCGTATTTCTGGCACAATATAGAGCGGTGGTACAGCAGGTATACGTTTTTTTGAGCTCATGATAAAGGTACCATGATAAGATATTTCTATTTGCCGCTTCGCCGTCGCACAAAAAAATCTATCCAACACACTAAAGAAATGCGACTGAATTTTTCTGTATCTCAATGAACCCAAGCGCCACTTTTTCATCAGAGTAAACAGCACCCACCACCTGCTTCAACTTCTTCTTCTACTGCGAGACATCGTTTAGAAGCATTTTTTCATCATTTCGCGAACATGCGGGCTCAGGTGCACACCGGACAATAGATACGCAGGACTCAGAGTTGATTTTGCAACGAACAGGGAGAGCTCCAACTACGACGAGAGGGCAAATCTATCCGTCAATGACATTTCACGAAATTTCAATTTGCACGACTCGCTGCACATCTGCAACCTGGGGCGAAAGGTCGGTGAAGGTGAACATCGAGGAAAAGATGAGACACGATCAAAAAAATCATCAAGAACGACACGGACACCGAGCAGGACTTGTCCAGGAACATACGGGACACCAGTCATCCAGAAACCACCATTGTATCAGACAGTGGTGCTGTCGCATCAGTGTGCTCTTTCACGACGTATCAATCTCCAGCCACAAGTCATTTCCCCAGCCTGCATTGGCCTGGTCTGTTCGCCAAATCTCAAACGTACCTTCTCCTAAATACCGCATCCCAAAGCTCTCTCTCGGATGCCGCGAGCAATACGGCTTCACACGGAATTCGCGCCCCAAAAGCTCTGCTTCTTTGTGGGGCGCGACTGAAACAGCAAGCGTCTGTGCCTTTTCTCTTCGATCATGAGCCAGATTGGGGTAGAAAAATTGGCAGAGAAATGGGATACGACGCAATCTCTGGCGCAAATTGATCACCTTTTCCTGTTTGCCGTAGCTCGGGCCGACTCGGAAAACAGAGCGTTTTTTTTCTGCCAAAGAAGGTGCACCAGTGTCACGTGCAGGTGCCACTGTATGGTTAACATCGGCAGGACCAGCTGTAGCAGCTGCATCAAACGGTGGTGTAACTGCATCCGCTGAAGAGACCTGCCGACCCAGCGTCTTTAAGTTCCTTTTGACCATCTGCGCACAGAGCTCGGGGGTGACGAAATCTAGCACCAGGACGCCGATTTTCGTTGGCGCCAAAGATGCCGATGACGATGTCGTAGTACTGCTCGCATGCCCCGCGTAATTCGTGATGTATTTCTCGAAAAACCACTTATTGAGCTTCCTGCTCGTGTACCACACCGGGTAGTAGTACCAGCCGTCTAGAGCGATTCCCGGCCAAGCGCAGGCGAAAGGAGAACCAGCATCACCACCTGAAGCAGGAGCTGCACTCGCCGTCACGATCGTGTCCTCTTCCGAGCCGGCTTCCAGATCCAAAACGGCACCTGCTGGTGCTGCGCCACTCGCCTCCCCAGAATCGTTGACGTTCTCGGTTGTTTCCCCATGCAACTGGAACAGGTGCGTTTCCACCAGCTTGTTTGCTTCCCGCACACTCTCCGTGCACCAAATGTCGCAGATCTCGCCCAACCCGGACTGCTCAAAGTTGAATCGGTAGACGGTGTTAGTCCCGTTCTCATTTATCAGCGTCGTCGCGGGAATCCACGCAAGTTGATCAACATCCGGTCGTGAGAAGCTGTCTTCCACCACCTCCGGCCCGACCCAGACACAGGTCCCGCGAACGTCTCCTAATCGCGTTTCACCGTTGAAGAGGAGAGGGCCCGCGCCGGAGGTGTCTTCTCTGTCAGGCGCTTTCCCGTTGTACCATTTCACGCCGCAATCCCGCATCGTTCCCCACAACTCTCGGAACACGGGCTCGGGCTCCAAGAATTGCCTTCGCTGGGACGACTTACAGTTTTCCTCCCGGAGGTAGAGGACGACGAATTCGGAGGGACAGTTGGCAAGAAAAGTCCTGATATCCGCCAGCACCGTTTCCAGGGTTGTCGTCTGGCTCACCCACGGGCCGTGCGCGACGGGAAAATTGACTACAGTACGGTCAGTCGTAGTCGTGCCACTACCTACAGCTTCTCCTGATGATGAACCACTCGCCTTCTGAAACGACGACGTGGGGCCTTGTTCCAAATCTGGCTGTTGCGCTTCACCAGTGTCTTTTTCTACGTCCTCTTCCCCAGCAAGCGCGAGGACCTGCGGCGCAACCCGTATGTCCAGAAACCGCACTCCGCATTGCAGCAACTCCGCTACCGACAGGGTTTGCGTCTGGCACCACGGACTGAGCACGGACTGCTTGCACCGGTGCCAAATTGAGGTTGCATTCGTCGCTGTGCGGGTCGTGCAGGAGCGACGGTCCACATTTGTTGGTGGCTGTGGATTGCTAGACGCGGTGGCGAAATCGGTCGAATGCGACGATGAGTTTGTTGTGTTTTCTGGATGCGCCGAACTGGATGCACTTGTTCCGCGGCCAGTTCCTGCATGATGGGCTGCCGGAAAGATGGGGATGTCGCGGAGAAGAGTGGTGTCAGGGAAGTGGGAAAGCCAGTTGTGGCCGGCACTGGCACAGTCGCTTGTCGTTGTCATGCTCTAAACTGATGCCCGACCACGTTCACGTAGACAAAGCTTTCACTTGCACACGAAGAAACGAGAGTATTTCTTGCAGATTCTCTTCGCTTCAAACATCGTCACTCTGAAGAAAAGTATAGTACTTCGCAGTAGGTTGCTGGTCCTCGCTCACATAGACGCTCAGTCCTTGTCCTCGCGAATGTGCTGGACCGTCTCAGAACTCAGCTGATACAGATACTACTGCGGACGTCCCAACGAATCGGTGACGGCGCGGACGGCAGAACCACGGATCACGAGTTGCCGTTTCCTCCACGAATAGGCAACAACAGAAAGCAGAGTCGAATTTTGTCTTCTTGAGTGTACATTAATTTTGGTTGTTTATTGCACTTCTGGCGCATCAACACGTCCGCTAGGATAGAACAACTAGATGAAGTTCAGGTCTATCGTTAGGATATAACAACTAGACTCAGACGCACACCACGTTTCAGTTTTTAATTTTGAGTACAAAGACAACAATTTAGATAGCGTTCTAAGAGTTTTTTCTTCACCGGCAGTCTATGTGTACATAGGAGCTGCACCAGGTGCGTAAAAGAAAGCAGAGAAACATGAGAAACCAAAGCGCGTTGCTGATGACCGCGCTGCCGCACCAGAATACGATCACTAGACTCGTTACACTGAACATCACCAGCCACCTTTGTGACGGACCGAACGTGACTCCCCCAGCCGTTACCTGCCAGTCCGGGTCCGCGTTTTTCTTCAGAAAGAGGAACCTGTGATGATGGTGGTGCGCGCGATTGGATCGGTGGTGGCATGATGCAAGCAATGAAATCCGCCCGTGAAGATTGCAGCAACAGTACACAACTGCGGCATACATTCAAAACCATCTTCAAATCAATGTAGCTTTTCATTATAATTCACTAACATACCAAGCCGCCCCTAGCACCGTGAACAGCAGTATCGCGCCGGGGAGGAGAAGCAGGCAAATGAGCTGCCAGAGGAAGAAGCACAGCGTGTAATTCGCACGGTACCGCCCAACATTCTGCATTAACGAACCGCACGCCGCCGCGCCGTCTGCCGGCTTTGCCATCGGCAACGCGAATTCCCGCCAGGGCTGCATGACGCCGAATTTCTCGTTTATTACCGTGGAGACCGGATTGTTCATTTCGCTAATCCCCCCGGTCCCAAAATTCAAGCTTGACATCCCGCTCAGAATCGAATTTGCCCCCTCCTTCGCGCTTCCGGACTGCGCGGCCTGCTGGAGCGTCAGATACAGCCCCATCGCGGATTGCTGGGCGGTGAGAAGCAGCCGCTGCGGGTCGAAGGGGTTAAGTCCGGTTTGGCCAGTTCCGTTCGAATCTAAACTGGGCATCGGCGTGTTGCCGAAGCCGCCAGGGGTGGAGTGGTGAAACTCCCGCGTGTCCACACCCGCGGGCGGGGGAGGCGGTGGGCCGGTTCCGGCGCCGACAGTATTAGGCATCGGCGGATCGAAAAAATTGTCCAGCTCCGGGTTCGGGGGCAAAGGAGGCTGCATCTTGGATGAAACGTTCGGATGATAGATAATTTTTTTATGTGAGAGAGTAGAGAGATAGAGATATCTTGTGTTTCCGACTTTACCGAGTCTTGCGGCAAGCTTTTTTCAGCATCATGTTGACCATGTAGGAAACTCAACGCACAAATCCACTTTACATGATGTGGCAAAGCGGCTTGACATATGGTTATGGTTCGTACATACAGCACGCGTATTAGCTTTAGCAGTCATGTCGCTGTCGTAATGTGCCTTTGAGTTGTCACAGGTTGCTACTAGCGCCCAGGTCACGACCATGCCGTTCTCCTGAAGTTGCAGCTAAATTTTCATGTCCCGATACTTACCATCTCGTTTTCCGTGAGCTTTTGTCCATTTCGTTCTGGTGTATCAAAATTTTTTCTTGGTGTTGTTTTCTTGCATGTGGGTATATTGGTTGCAGCATTTGCAGGAGCAGCGATGGAAAGAACAGAGACTAGTCAGTGATGACGAAGTACCGCATGAGTGCGTGAAATGAAGAAGAACACCACAACATCCACTGGAATACAGCAACAAGTACGGAAACCACGTGGTCCCCACAGTCAATGTCCTATAAAACATTGAGCAGTTCTTTTGAAATTTTTCCCTTTGCTATACAATCATACAATCTTAACCTCTCGCTGGCAGGCGGAAGCTGGAGTCTAACCACCTGACTATATTTGGCTTTTTATCTTTCTCAGTATCTTTCCCAGTCGTTATATTTCGAATTTGTACTACTTCAGCTCTCGCTTTATTTTTACAAGGTCAGTTGCAGTTCCGGTTGTCGTGATGGTGCTGGGTGGAGACAGTTAGGTGTAGCTCTAAGCAGAGGAGCAGGACATCACATGAACAAAACGTCAATCGATCCCGATTCATACAGACTCTAACTAAGTTATGCAACCCCCTTGAGGTAAGGGCGATTGCGGTTACTGCAATGCTAAGGTTTCTTCGACATCAGATGTTCTCTTTTCGATTCTTTCACTGTAGTGTACGTTCTTACAGTTAATATTTTCACACACGGGATGCACGCCTATACCAGCATGTTGGAATAACGCATCAACTTGTTTGGTTCGTCATTGATTGCGGGGGGGGTGCTTCAAAGAGTTACATTAGCATTGTACAAGAGGGGAGATTAACAATATATTGATAAAACAATTACAATAAAGAGATTAAGTTTAGGATTTGGTCGTGAAATGCCATCTCGTTTTCTTGTTTGATCAAACAGCAAATCGGTAATCTCACAGTAAGCTAGCTCCTCGGCGCCATGGTCGAGGACTCCGCACCCGGTTGCGCCTCCTGCATCGGCCCCGGTTTGCCTTCCAGGGGACCACCAGCATCCAACTCGCTCTCCGTTTCTTGTCCGTCGGAGACCGACATGGAGGAGATGTCATGGTTGAGCGGGTGCAGATTGTCGGTGCCGCTAGTGAGTGGAGTTTTGTGCCCGACGGTTCTTTCCTTGGCCGCCGTAGACGTAGTCAAAGCCTCTCCGGCGCTGCCGCTATCACCTTTTCCCGGCGTGAGCTGCTGTGCCATTTCCCGCAACTCGAGAGCTGTGGCAGCTTCAGCTTCTGCTTCGGCACGTGCGCCAGTAGCCGTACCCACGTGATTGGCGGAAGGTGCAGCACTTGGCGAAGAAGATCCACCTGCCCCGATTTCATTCGTTCCTTCACCCTCGCGCACGGTGGGTCGTGGTGGAACCTTTCCTGGTCGTGGCCCGCTTGGGCTATCGTGTTCGTCGTGCAAGAGCCGCTGGTCCGATCTGGGTGTAGTAGTAGCGACAGTGAGTTGTTGCTTACTGATGTTTTTCCGTATCCTTGCTCAGGCATCTGCACTGTGCATCACCATCATAGCATGTATTCAAATTATCTTCAACTGTTGAAGATAATTCGTATTTATACATAGTTGTTTAGTTGTTGTATAAAAAATACTCATCATGTACCAGACTCCGCTTTGGTTACCAGATGAGTATGCACAGGTCCGGCCGCAGGCGCAGCTCTGGTGATGAGAATGACAAAGCTGTTCATCATGAGAAAGCTGTTCAAGAAACGTAAGTACCAACAAAAAGTTATTCTGTACGTTTTGGATGGCGTTGACGAAGTTGCCCGGACCGCCGGCACGGCGCCGGCGGCTGCAGTTGTAGTTTCCGCTAGAGCTGCATTGGGACCCCACCCATGACCGGAGGTCGTCGACGAGACGCTGCCACTGGATTCGGCTTTCGTCACACCCAGAAGGGGGTCTGCGGTTGAAGAAGCTTGTTGTAGCGTGTTCTGGGACAGTTCTTGGTGTTGGGCAGGTTGAGCTCCTTTGTCATCTTTTTGCAGCGGTGCGGCGGACTGCCCTTCGTCGAAAGGCTTTGCTTCTTCTCTGGAAGTCGGCGAGAAAGATTGCAGTTGTAGATCGCGGACAGCTGGCACGCGCGTTTTACCGTCCACGATGTCGGCAGTTGGAATCGAATTTGTCGGAGTCGTGCTGGCCGCTGGTGGCTTCTCTGACAAGTCAAGGACGCGCGTTGACGTGGTTGTCGCTGTACAATGGTTTCAGACTGCTTTGACGAGAAGCCCACGTGATGGCGTTTGTTTCCTATGCATGACCGCATGATGTTGTTGATGGCAGCACCAAAACGAAAACGCGTCATTTTATTATCATTCTGCAATATTTTTGTTTTTTCAGCAAGATTGCACAACTCAAATTGAAACTTCGACTTCCGCGTGAAAACGTGAATATCATACCCGCAACGCCACCCATCATCTGCACTGCAGCTCCGTCCGCAGAGCTCAAGTCCGCCATGCTGGACGAAGCAGAAGTCGTGGATAGCGGCGAAGCGGTTGAGGACTTCGACGCAGCGACATAATCCACCGCGCTCGGTTCGCTGGCCGCGTAATCCTTTGCCGAGCCGCGCCTCCCGATGACATCCCGCGAGTCCGGATCCTGCTCCGTGGTCCTGCGCTTCTGGGACACGACCGGAGCGTGATTCTTTCTGTTGCCGCTCGTCAAGCCAGCTTGCTGATCCGATTCTAGTGTCGATCCCATGGTCGTGGCATCCATAATTGCAATGCGGGCTGCGGCTGCGAGTGCGAAGATTTTCTTTTTCATATAGACGCTTCGATCAAGCAAAAGAGACAGAAACCCAATCTCCGGGCGGCCGCGATGGATAGAGCGGAAATATATCAAAAATTCAAACTAAAATTATAACGATAGTACATAACTATATTCAAAAAACAGAACAAAATGCATTTATCTCCATGGTCAGTAGGATTCTTACTTGTCGCGGCGAGGGTGCTTGCAGGGCTGAAACTGGTTCCACCGATTGCACCATCGGCCTTGGCACCCGTGCTGTGAGAAGACGAATCGGCGTGGAGGTCGGTTTTCTTGTTCGTCTCGATCTTCGGCTGCTTGCTGCGCAACAGTTGATGCTCTTCTTGCGCGGCAGTGATCGCGTCAGTAGCAGCTCCTGTCGCAGAATCGGCGGACGGCGAATCGTTACCAACAGCAAGAGCAGAGGCAGCTCCAGTAGTCGCAGGCGGCTGTACATCTGTTCCGGGGGCGGGGTCATGTTGCGTCGACGCTGCTCCGTCCTCCCCTTCTCCATCTTCACTTGGGCCAGTCGATTCCAGCAGGCGCGAGTTAGCTGCCAAACCGGTGCCACCACCCAGGACTCTGCCCCTCGGGACCGCGTTCGTCGTGGTGCTTGTCACCGGTACCATGGAACCCGTGCCTGTGGCGGCTGCGTGGGGTTCAACCTTGTTGGGCAAGTCATGCAGATACGTTGTCGTTGGTGGCGTGCCAGCTGCGCTGGACGCCTGGACTTGTCCGTGTTCAGGAGCATGGGGGTCCGATGCCGATGCTGAAGCTGATGATGTGTGCGCTTTCTTGTTGGTGAAAACTTTTTTGCTCGTGGTTGTCCCAGACATGATTGGCGAAACCGCGGGGGCACCAGCGGCCGTGCTCGGCAGTCGCTCGAGTGCGTCTTGGTCCTCATCTCCCATGGCCATGGACATGGTGCGACCGCCGTGTGATCCTCCTGTTGCGCTCCTCCCCGGTGATGATATCGACACGGGCACGGGGGCACGGGCGGGCCCTGTCGCCGTATCTTTGTCGCTTGTTTCGGATGACGAGAAGAGGAATGACGAGGACACCGACACCTCCTCCTGTCGTGTGGAAGAAGATGCTTCTTTATTTCTGGTCTTCTGCATCAGCCTCTGCCTTAGTGCTTCTACGCCTTCTTCTACCTTTTTTGCTAGCGCTCGAGTAAGAGGAACTTGCTTGAGCCTCCACGCGAAACGAAGGATGTTTTCGAGACGGTTCCTCGGCTTTATCTCCTCCTCGTTGTAGTTAGGATCGCTCATTTTGTTGAGAAGTGTTTGAAATGCTTCCATAGGGGGGTCTTCCAGAGAACTGATGTTCTCAAAACGGACCGACCAATTCCGCTCGGGAATCTTCAAAAACATCGAAAGGAAGCTGCGGACACTTTCCCTTTCGGTATCTTGCATCGTCACTGCGTTCCATGCTTTCCAAAATCTCCTTTCTTGGTACATCCTTGTGCGATCCACCGTAGCAGCGTTCCCGAACAGACCGCCGCGCGCCGCAACCAGTAGTTTGGAGAACATCAAGGGGCCTTGGAGTTTCTCAAGTGCCACACGGAGACAGTCATCGTCAGGGGTGTCGCCCACGGGGGCGGCATCTTTCAGGCTCGCGATTGAATCACCGACTTGGCCCGCGACACTCAAGAGGTCCAAATTCCCAAGTCGAGGAAATTGAGTAGATTGAAATTAAAAAAATGGCGACGCTTTTTCGACATGACTTCGCTATGTAGCCGCGCAGCTGTTGTCTCCGTCTGCTTTGTCACCCTGTTTGCCCCTTTCGGTTGTCCCCACAGTCGCCGACCATTGCGCCGCTTCGTGGCTAATGCTGCTCGATGGAGCTACTACGCATTGGGAAGAGACTGTTTCTGCGATTTCTCCGCGCCACATGCTATACAAATCCGCCCAGATCTTCACAGCCCAAGAAAAAAAAGCCGAAATTCCCTGACAGAAAAAAGTCGTCGACGCAAAAATAAAAAAAAGCCGGCAGGTTTGCCGAAAGAAACCGGGAAAAAAAGCGCCCGGCGAAAAAGTAAACTGAGTGAATCGAGAAAAAACGGCCAGACTTTTTGCACAGGCGTAAAGGGAGCGAATTCGTTCCACTGGTCAGGGGACACGGCGGAGAAAGCTCAACTTCCTCAGTTTTCTTTTTGTGTGACGCACCAGAAAAAGCCGGAGCGGACTTTTCCGGTTTTCCTGGGTGCATATACACTTTGTTTCTGGCTCGCCATTTTTTTTGTGCCCGCGGAAAAAAAAAAAAATCGATCCGGCGCGTGGCCAGGCAAGTCCGAGAGAATTTCTTCGCGCCACGCGCGCGCGACCCTCTCGATGGGCCTCTAGTGCCGAAAATATTTGCGACCACACGCCGCTGCGACCTTTAGCAAAGGTGCCAGCTGGTCAAACTAGTCCGGCTACCGTTTCCAAAACCTCCATCCGGCCAAATCACTTCGCGTCCCCGCCTCGCCCCAGGTCTTGTTCTCCTTTTACTTTTTCAAAGAAAAAAAAGAAAGCACAGATGTCGGCTCTGTAGTGAGCAGGCAACTTAGACCGCCTAACTTTAGAATGCGAAGGCTGTGAAGAAATTGGCTTTAATGAGATTCGCCCCAGGCCAGGACCACGGCCATCGGTTAAAACACACAGCAACCGGAACCGGATTTAATAGCAAAAATCTTAAGAACGCGACCGCGTGGAGTCTTAGAATTTATGAAAGAAATTAGAGAAAAAGTAGACCACTTCCTATCGACCTACTACACTGCGGCGCTTGCGACCTTGCCGGCAGCAGGTCGAGGAATGAAGAAGCAGCCGAGGAATAATATAAAAGCACCCAGCTCGGTCACGCAGGAAGAGCAGTCTAAAATAGCAAGGGCAATGCATTATGTGGAAGATAGATGTATGCGGTCATGAATAAGATTGGAGAACGTGCTGACTATTTTTGATAGCGTGTAAATTTGTTTTTGGATTCACAGAATGGAAATGCACATGACAGATAGCGTTGATCTGAATATGAAAAGAAGGAGAATGAAAGTCGGTCAGTGAATGGGTCAGGAGAATGAGCTGCAGAACGTGTTGCGGGTCCATGTTCGGGCTGATCTACCACATCAGATCAGATCAGACAGATGGCATAGCATAGCATGGGGCTTGGCGTGTCGGAACTTTAAGAGTGCAGCCGACTTTTTCATGAAATAGAGCTCGACCACGCTTACTATTTTAGTAGAGGCGGCTAACAGTAATGCTTGTACCCCTCCCGCAATACAAATTCGGATCGGATGGGGGTTGGCGTGCCGGAACTTTAAGAGTGCAGCCGGTTTTTTCATGAACTAGAGCTCGACCGCGCTTACTGTACTAGTAGAGGCGGCTAACGGTAATGGCTTGCACCCCTCCCGCAATACATGACAAGTTCTTCCCGGGCCTCATACAAAGCATGCTGACTGGGTGGGGCGGGGGCTTCACTTGTGGCCACTGATCAAACCCGACAAGCACACCGACCGAGAGTCTTATGCCGGCCGATGCTAAAGCTTCACGCGCCGCAACCAGAGCACCGGTTGATTACCCTAAACCCTGTCTAAGTTATCAGGCAACTACCGATACTATTCGTCTAATACAAGTTCCCACTCGCATGCAACATCACCTCGGCCCTTTTCAACTTTTTCACTTTCCAACTGACTACCCTGAACCCCTCTACCCAAGTTCCCATATGCGTGCAAACTGCCCGGCCCACGCGGGCGCTTCTTTCCCCGAGTGGAGATATACTCGCGCGCTGGTGGGGACAGTCCACTGCGCACTGGACTCGCCGGTAGGAAGTTAGAACCTGCGTTGGTTTTTTTTGAACTGCAGTGCGTAAGCTCTAGGATAGTTGGATCTGGTTGGACTTCCTACGCGTAAAGTAGATATATATCAGTCTACCGCCTTCTTGCTTCTTTGGCCGAGGTGTCTAGGGCGCTACTAGTGCCACCGATCCGCACAGTGGTCTTCAGCGCTACGGATATTTTTAGGTCGTCGAAGGTGGGCGCTAGCGCTACGCGGCACGTAGTACACGAGCAGGCAACATAGTGACGGCCACGGCAATGCAGTCAGCGACCGCCATGCAAAACTAACTAGCCTCGTCTGTCGGCTGTCGGGCGGCGTTCCAGAACTTTAAGAGTGCAGCTGGAGCTTTCACGAGCTAAAACTTGACCACGCTTACTGTACTAGTAGAGGCGGCTAACGATGAACCTGCGCCCCTCCCTCGTGTCATACAAAACCCCAGGGGTTTGGCGTGTCGGAACTTTAAGAGTGCAGCCGACTTTTTCATGAACTAGAGCGCGACCACGCATACTATTCTAGTAGCGGCGGCTATCAGTGTTGCTTGTACCCCGCCCGCAATACAAACTTCCCCGGGCCGTATAGTATGCTTATTGGGTGAGACTGGGACTTTTGGCCACTGAATAAAACCCGACAAGCACACCGAAAGTCTTATACCGGTCGATGCTAAAGCTTCACGCGCCGCAACCAGAGCACCGGCTGACTACCCTAAACCCTGTGTAAGTCATCAAGCGCTTACTTTCTTTTTGCTATTTGTCTAATGCAAGTTCCCACGAGCATGCAGCTACGCCATGGCCTGGATCATTTTGATCTTTTCCGTTTTGTCTTTTGTCTACCCTGAGCCCCTCCACCTAACTTCCCGCGTACGTGCAACCTGCCCGGCCCACGCACGCGGACGCTTCTTTCCCCTGGTGGAGATATACTCGCGCACTGGTGGGGGCAACTCCCTGCACACTGAGCTCGCCGATGGGAATTCACGATCTAGCAACTGCCTACGTTGTTACGGGCGAAAACTTTCTGGATCTACTTGAACTGCTCTACTTTGAGCTTAGGCATACAGTTTACCACCTTCTTGTTTTTTTTGGCCGAGGTGTCTCAGGCGCTGCTAGTGCCACTGATCCGCACAGTGGGCCTTCGCGCTACGAATGTTTGTAGGTCGTCGAAGGTGGGCGCTACGCGGAATGTACTACAAACACGAGCAGGCCTATGGTGGCGGCCACGGCAATGCAGTCACGCAGACCGCCATGCAAAACTAACCAGCCTCGCCGTGGGGTCCCCGCGACCGCCACGCCTGTCGCCGCATCTGCTGACACAACAGCAGTGCGAGGGACGGACTATGCTAAGCCTCTTCGGGCATAAGTTGCCCATCCCTTTTTGTAGTAGTGCTACCGGTCGGCGTGCTGTGTAAGGCTTTTTTGTAATTACCCAAAAAGAGTAAGTTTGCAAACGCTCGCTCGACAGCGGCGGTAGAGGGGTTGCGTAACTAGAAAAAAGCGATAAGGAAAAAAAGTTTTATGCTAAAAAGGCTTCCACAGTGAACATCCAAAGAGAAGAGATAAATGCAACGCGCTAGAGTGTACTAGTGAGGAGGAAGAGCCAAGAGGGGAGGCAGTCAGATAAGGCCGACGAATAGCGCCGGCATGCGTTCAGGACACAACGCCGCGAATGGCGACACTCTGGAGGACCAGAGACTCTTAGTCCAAAGATGAGGCGGGCCGACTTGCCATCGTGAGCTCACCAACCTGAAGGACTTCACGCAGAATCACGCCACGCAACTTGAGTGAAACACAAAGCGGGCCCAGAAGAAGACGAACGTGCTCAACCAGAGGACAAGCGTGCTTCGCTCGCAGGTAAGTCCCCTGGGTGATTGTCACGGACTGAGAGAGCACGCGCCCAGCGGTTAAGGCGGGTCGCTCTCGACTTTCACCTAAGGGGCTCCTGCGAGTAGGCACAATCATTCGCGGCTCGCTCTACATATTCCTACCGGAAGGCGGGATAATGTCGAGACTGTGCGCGGCTCTGCGCTCGGTGTGGATGGAAGGAGGCGGCATTGCCCGGCACCTCAATCAATTTTTTTGAATTGCATGGCATGGCATGGCATGGCATGGCATGGCATGGCATGGCATGGCATGGCATGGCATGGCATGGCATGGCATGGCATGGCATGGCATGGCATGGCATGGCATGGCATGGCATGGCATGGCATGGCATGGCATGGCATGGCATGGCATGGCATGGCATGGCATGGCACTGCACTGCACTGCACTGCATTGCATTGACAACGCAATACAATACAACTCAAAAAAATGCTAAATGTTTTCAATTTACTAAATTTACTCGACTTGGGTGGGAATCGCACCACATAGCGACACGCTTGCTGTCGCCAATGGCACCTGCTTTCGCTATTCGTTGTTTGTGATCTTGTTCTTTCGTCGAATCGTCCTTCTTCTCCTGGATTTTCTTATTGTAGCTAGCGAGCACTTTCTCGATAGCACGAGCAAGGTTATCCGCAACTTTAGGCGGGATGGTATTCCGCGTCCGCAGGTACCCGAGCACTTGTTCGGCTACGTTAACCCTTTTTTTTTTCTGCAATTCTTGAATTTCGAGCAACCTCGCCAGGAAGTACCGTCCGCGATTTTCTGGTGCTCCAAAAACGTATTTGCTGCCTTCTTCCGTTGCGAGCTCCTCAAGCAGGTAACAAAACGAACGCTGACCATTTTGTGGTTGGTCAGGCTCTGGCACTGATTCTTGCAGTCGCTGCAGTGTTCCTGCTCCAGTTGCGTGTGCTTCCGTCACGGATATGGGTAACGCTGCGCCGCCAGGAGCATCTTCAACAGGCAGCTTCGACGTGAGAGCAGAATAAGGGGCAGTGGAAGAGGGTGACACAAGATCTCGTCCCTGGCGGTCGTCCCTCTCACCTGCTTTCTGCTTCCCGTCACCGATGACTCCTCCAGCTCGTCCACTCACTTCTGCAGATGTGGTAGTAGATGAAGATGCAGCAGTCACCGTAATGCTGTTTGGAATATTGCTACCGAAGTCTGCAACGACGCTACTGCTGTGAACTTGGTGTAGTGAATCAGGGTCGACAGCCTCCTTCTCAGGTCGCTGCTGTTCCTGTTGCTGTGCTGTCGCAGTCAGCTGCGAAGTAGAACCTTGATCATCAGGTTCAGGTGCAGAACTTAGTCGCCCTTGAGGAAATTTTTGGCTTTTTTTTTCTTTATCATCGAGGGCAACAGCTTTTTTATCGAATTTCAATTGCACCTCGCTTGCTTGTTGGGTTTCTTCGCCGGTTTTTTCGGACAGGTCTTCTACTTCGTCGTGATCTACTTCTTCAGTGTCAGGAGTTGTGCTTGTCGCGCTCGACGTCGGTGTGATCTTGGTTGCCGAAGGTGGTTTGTCTCCTACAGCTTCCTCGCCGGATTCGCCGTGTCGCCCAGCACCTTCCTCTACGTTGGGGTAGTGTGCAGAACCATCAGCAGTATGCTTCACAGTCTCGTCCTCGGTCGAAGCAGCCTGTTGCCGACCAAGGTGTTTCTTTGTTGTAGCTGTGCCGTCTTTGACGTCTATTTCCTTCTCCGGAGTTCGTTCTTCCTTTGCAACGTTCTTGCTGTTCTTGCTGCGTTGTAGTTGATCAGCGGTACTAGAATCGGTGTTCGGCTTCAGGTCTTCCCGCGCGTGAGTGTGTGTGTGCGAAGTAGATGCTGCACCAACCTGCAGTAGCTGAATTGCGATTTCTGCTTCGGGGCTGGATTCGTTCTGGCTTGGGCCGACCGCCGAAGCAGACTGTTCCGGGATAGCCGTGGCTTCCTGCTTCTTGATGTTTGACTCAGTTGTCGTGCTAGCCTGCTCCACCGCGAACGTGCCTGTTTGAAACAAGAGAGCCGTGAGTTTTGACGTAAGTACTTGTGTACCCTGTCCCGAGTTCATTTTCAACAAGCTGCATTGATCTGTCACCGTTGCATCACAAATTCATGATATTTATTACTCAAAGAATGCGAAAATCCAGAAACTCTCCTGTACCTGCCAACCAGCTCAATGGCGTGAGCACGGTCGCTTCGACCAAATTCCACAGAGACGCCGGCGCATCCACCACGAGGAAGTTATAAAGCCGCAGTACTTTGCTGGTTCTCACCTTGCACCGACCGTCCCTTCGGCGCAGCATGCTGTAGCACGGGGTATTCGCGCCGCCCGTTGCGTTCCTGGTTGCATTTGTCGTTGCGTGTCCTCCTGCTGCATCAGTGCCATTGCCGGCAGCCGTGCCCGACGCCCACGCCGTCGACACTGGACGGGGGACGAGGATACCAGGAGAGTCGGCGATGACGTTCCCGGCCTGGTCCATGCTGTAGCCGCTGACAGGGAGCGTCGCGTTGGTCCCGGGCGTCAGCTTGTCACTGGTCGTGGGCAGCTGCATCTCAAATGGTGGGGATCCACCGGTCGAATCCGGCTCCGGAAGATCTGCAGCAGGAGCGTAGAAGAGGTCGTCGGAATCCGTCTGCGCTCTTTTTTCGGGCTGCGTGATTGCGTGCGCGAACAGAAGGGGAGAAGAGGAGCGGGCAGGATAGTACGACGGCCACGACCACAGAAGTGTCGCTGATGGTGAAGATGCTGGGGTAGAAGAAGAGGTGTGCGTGCGAGAAGTGGTGCTGACTGACTGGTGGCAGTAGCCCTGCACATGCTGTTTCTTCTCGTTTATTAACGCTGACTGCGAGTGAAGGAACAAAAATGGCGTCGTGTTGGTCACGTTGATGCTCTGACTCCGGCATCCTTCGAGTACCGAGTCGTGAAGTTCCACCCCATCATGTGTTGGCCAGAAGTTTGAGAAGTTAATCGTCGAAACAACTGCGGGTTGCGACTGCGAGAAGAGTGGCGCATCCGCACGATGCCAGCGAGTTCGTGAGCGCGACGAAGAAAAGTACGGTCCTGGTGCAGCCTTGATTTGTTCTTGCTCGTGTATCGACTGGGGACACCACTCCAACCGACCGAAGAGCGTGAGCGAGTACCCCAGCGCCGTGATCTGCAGAATGCGGATGAACATCATTTTCAGGATGGCACCAGAAGAGCAGAACCACGCCTGCTGGTGACAACTAATTCCGGCCAACAGATCAAGGGGCATGCCGTTGCGGGAGGCCGGTTTTCTTGGAAAGAGGCTCGACGACCCCGCCGCAGAGCGACGTTTGGAGGTTCGAGACTTCTTCATTTTTATCGCCACCGGCGTCGCCACGCGATGTCGCTTGCGAAAGGGGTGATCAAGATCAGGTTGTGAACAATCTGGTACAGCGCCTTCCTCCACACTACAGTTTTTCTTTCTGGGTCTGGCACCTCCAAGGCCTGCTGCGGAGCTTAGAGGTTTTTTCCCAGAGCCACCAAGTCCATCTTGATCATGATTGAGCTAAATCTGAGTTTATTCTACTCGCATTTACTACATAGTTACTCTCTCTGTTTCGAAATTGAATAGGAAAGATCTTTTTGAAAAAGATAAACCGGAACCTTGTTCTTCTTCTTCGCTCTGTTGCTTTTTTGAGCTTCAAGACGAAACGCCACTATCTCACTTTATCGAGAAGGTGAAGGCTCCACCTCCACGACAGATCATGCACTCCATGTCTAAATGTGACTTTTGTACTTACGATTTGCACCTGCAAAATCCCTCATTTACCCTCATCTTCGAGTGTTTTCATGCTCTTCCCTCATCTTCGTACCACAAGCACTAGCACCAGTGCGTGGAGTCTCTCTACGTCTATGACAGTGCGTGGCGTCTACGTCAGTCTTTGTTTCCTTTTAAAATCAATATCGAAATATCTGCGAAAAAGCAATGCTGGCATAGCTGGTATGCTGCCTGTGGACCACGAAGACCATTCTTGAGGTAGAGGTTGAAGATGGAGGTTCGTAATCCAATGCGAAAATTGTGATGAAAGGCTGATAAGTAATGGTATCTGCGGACGACAGGACTGCAGCACAACAACAATGGTAAAGGGTTCCTGTCGTGGTAGCTGCTAGTAGAAGACGATCGCTTCACTTGATCTTCATCTTCATGCTGCTCATCTCAAACTCACAGGCCACGATACCCAAACCCCTCCAGATCTCCCTCCGCCGCTTCCCTCTTTTCCTCAAATTCCAGAGCGCGTTCGTGCGCGCTTCCGCGGGCGGAGAATGCGTTCTCTCCACCCGCTCCGCCATTCTGCAGTTCCGCCAAGCTCTGCGACTTCTTCTCCGCGTAGAAGGTTACCTTACGCCACATGTTTTCCGCCCGACACTTGTTGCACCGCTTCGGGAACCGGCCACTCAAAATGTGCGTCGAGAACTTGCACTTCTGGCACTGGATCCGCTCCTTCGTGACGTCCCGCCAGATTTCCACCGTGTGCCCCTGCTGCTCGCACGCCAGCTTCGAACGGACATATTCAGTCAGAATGTTGCACTGCTTGCAGTAATACGCGGTCACCGGGAGGGATTTGACCTCCAATTTCGTCTCGTGCTCCACGTCCTGCTGTTCCATGGTGGCCAGCCGCGTGTCCACCTGCTTGATCTTTTATCAAATGCAAAAGCGTCTGGGTCTGGAAGGTCGCCAGGTTTGTCATGCATATTTTGCATGACCCATGATGCTTGTAAAGCATCACCTAGCATCACAGATTTTTGGAGGGCATCCTGATGCCTATTCCGCATCACAAATGTCCTTCCCACGTAGCACAAAATGAGCTCTTCTTCCTGGTCATGCAATACAAATGTTTTTAGGATCCGAAAATAGCATGACAAGTTGCATTCTTCCAGACCCAGACACGTTTACATTTGATATCTTTTCCTTTTCGACCAAATCCGCCGCTTTAGTTTCCGCCTTGTTCAACTTGGACGTGTCGAAAGACGCCATCTGTGCCGCGACACTGGGCCCGTACAGAGCCTCCATGCGCTGCCGGGAAATCTCGTCGGTCGCTAGGCGGGGTCGTGCTGCGCCGCTTGTTGCAGAAGCGGTTTGATCGTCCGCAGTGGAATTCGTGGTTCCAGCTGCGCCGGAGGACACAAGACTAGTGGAGGATCCAGCACCACCAGGCTTCTTCACGGCTAGAATTTCCTTCCGATGATTCTCCGCCCCGCGAAGCGCGTACGCATTCGTACGGCGGTTCATCGCGCCAGAGCCGGGAGCGTGCCTTTTAGAAACAACGGTCGCTGCGCCGGTAATTGTAGCGACTCTGGAAAGTTTGGCGCTACGCGCATCTTCCGGATCATCTTCCAGGCCGCCTCGTTTCTGCAGCGTCTGAGCCAGAAACGCCGTGTTCGCTTCGGCTAGCAGTTCCTCGCGGGAACGCTTGTTGCTTGACGCTGTGGTGGAATTGGCAGAAAGGTTGAAAACCAGAGAACGGCCTGCGCTACTGTCTGCTGGTGTGGATCTTGTAGGCACAGGACCCGAAGAACTCATCTGGTTGCCCGGTGGGTTCGTAACACCGGATATCCTTTCCGAGTGTGTGAGTTCTTCCACATTGCGCCGCTGAAACTGAGCGGGAGGCATGATCATCCTGGACATTGTCGGTCTGTCTGCAGGTTGAGGGTTGTGCCGTGGTTGCGATGCAACCTGAGGTGCCACTACAGGAACCAATTGCTTGGAACCAGGACCGCCAGCCGTGTTGAAAAGACTTCGCGTACTGCTAGGTACCATAGCAGCATTCCTCGCGTTCGATGCAGCTGTGCCTGCAGCTGGCTTCACAATCGCTGGTGCCGCAGGCCTGTTCGTCCTGTCCGCAACTTTACTTCGCGGTCCACCTCCACCTCCCGCAATGGCCATTTGCATCAACGCATTGTTCTTCAGGGGATCCTTTTTTTTGATTCTGTGCCTCGCCTCAATCGTGTCTACAGCTGCACCAGGGACGGTTTTTGCTCCTGGTCCACCAGTCGACGGAGCAGGCGGCCTGCCCTGCGTAGGGGCCGCCGCTGCTCCCCCGCCAGAGCGCGCGTTCGACGAAGAGTTTTGAGGCGCTTGCGGGACCGTGCCACCTCCGAGCGTCAGGCTCTTCGTCGTTCCGGAAACTGTAGTGGCTGTTGTAGAAGGGCCAGCTCCCGACGCTGGATTTCCAGGTTTGTGTTTCTTCACAGCAGGAGCACCCGCCGTTGATGAAATATTCTGGTCGAAAATGTTGCCGATCCCGCGAAAAGTCCCGGGCTTCCGCATGGCCGCTGGCTTCAAGTGCTCCGGTAGGGCCTCGATCGCCTCTTTGCTTGGTGGAACAACATTAACCGCCGCGCGGCTCGGTCCAGAAGATGTAGTTGCGACGCCTGGTCTAGTAGTGTTGCCGAAAGCTTTATTTGATGGTCCACCAGCAGGACCGCCTCCGCCCCGGTAGAGCTTCGGCCCCCCGCCGTGAAAGCTGCAGTAGCCGGTGGGGCACCGTTCCAAGTTGATCACCATTCCGCAGCGTTCCTGAGTGGCCTTCTTCACGCCCCGACACTCGCCAAGGTGCGGGAACTCACCGAGTTTCAGAATTTGCGAAGATTGGGACACAGTCGCGGAGTAGGAAGAGGAACTGAAACTGTTCTTCTGGTTGCTGTTGGTATTTCCACCATGAGTTCCACTTCCGCCGACGAGCAGCATGGCATTCAAAATTGCAAAAACGCCGCCCCGCCTCGCAGCGGAGTTGCCGCGCCACTGGTCTCTCGCGTCGTCGAACAGCATCATGCGCAAGGTGGTTGGCTTCGGGAACTCCACGTCCGTTAAAACCCACGGTATGTACAGGTTCCCCGCATTGGACTTCTTGATCATAGAAGCCTCTTGCAAAACAGCGATCAAAACAATGTTTTCCAGAACATTCGAAGGCTTGCTATCCTTTCCCTTCTTTCCCTGCCCTTTATTACCCTCGCTGTTACTCGCCGCTGCAGCTGCGCCTGCCGCTGCCATCGACATCGTCGCCGCCATGTTTCCAAGTTGCGCGAGCGGCACAAACTTCTTCCCGCGCATCAGCTGATCGAGTTTGTCAGCCCGGATCTCGCGGTTTTTGATGCTGAGGCCAGTGTGTTTCTCGCGCAGCTCCGCGAGGTTGTCGGGTTTGGTGCAGATGAGGTTTTCGGCGCCGGGAGGTGGGACAAACGGTTTTGACGAAGAAGAGCTCAAACCACCAGCAACAGCTTTCGAAAAAAAAGAAAGAGTACCAGAAGTATTAGAGGACGAAGCCCCTGTGACAATCTGCTCCGACACATCGTGGTTCTCTTGCAGCAAAGTATCCGTAGCTGCTTCTGAGTAGCCAGTGACACCTTGATACAGGAGCTGCATCTTTATCCTGCGGTACCTAGAGCGTGGTGTCTCGTTTTCTAAACTTTTGGTCTTTGCTTGCCGCGACGCCGTGTCTGCAACTTCTTGGGTCTTTATTTTCTGTGCAGTAGAATTTGCACTCTCGTCCTGCACATTCCGAGACGCGGCTCCACCAAGCGGCGGCTCTCTGCACAACAGCTCTCCTTCCACCTCGGAATCGCTGGTACCCACATCACTTTCCTGGTCGGCCTTTTCGGACGAAGAAGAGGACGACGAGCTTGTTCCGGCGCTCGGCGAGGAAGCCAAGTTTTTCCCATGGCGTACGGGCGTCGGGACTTGTTTCTCCGGTGCTGGAACACGAACACCGTGTGCTTTTGTTTGGACTTCGGAATTACAAAACTCGCCGGTCTTGGCATCGTCAGGAGGTTCACCTTGTAATACGGCGCTATGGTTTTGGCGCTTCGGCGGAACTACACCAGGAACGCCATCCGGAGTGTCGGGTGTTGTTTTCGCAAGCGCAGCTGGTGGCACCAAGTGACCTTCCAGCGCAGCTGCATTTTGGCCACGTCCTGCAGTTTCCTCTGCTTTTTCCCTTTTGGCTGGTGCAAAGGGAACAGCCTTCAGTTGCGAGGGTGCTGGATCACGACCTGCTGCTGCACCTTCAACCTCAATTTCATCTGGGAATGTGTCCAGCAGGGTCCCATGATGTTCTTGTTTTTCAGCCTCCTCTTCGGGGAAAGTGTCGAGCAATTTCCCATCTGTTTCGCCGGGAAATGTCTCAAGCAAGTCCTCGCCGTCCTCATCCTCAGAAAAGGTATCGAGGAGATCTGCGTCGGCCATCTTCGGCTTGAAAGTGGTTCAAATACAGCGGACTCTTTGTCTTTCCAGTCCGAAAACCAAGCGATACTAGTATGTAACTATCCACCAAAAAAAAATGCAAATAACACACTTACACTTGGAGATGAATACGCGTATTTCTGGCACAATATAGAGCGGTGGTACAGCAGGTATACGTTTTTTTGAGCTCATGATAAAGGTACCATGATAAGATATTTCTATTTGCCGCTTCGCCGTCGCACAAAAAAATCTATCCAACACACTAAAGAAATGCGACTGAATTTTTCTGTATCTCAATGAACCCAAGCGCCACTTTTTCATCAGAGTAAACAGCACCCACCACCTGCTTCAACTTCTTCTTCTACTGCGAGACATCGTTTAGAAGCATTTTTTCATCATTTCGCGAACATGCGGGCTCAGGTGCACACCGGACAATAGATACGCAGGACTCAGAGTTGATTTTGCAACGAACAGGGAGAGCTCCAACTACGACGAGAGGGCAAATCTATCCGTCAATGACATTTCACGAAATTTCAATTTGCACGACTCGCTGCACATCTGCAACCTGGGGCGAAAGGTCGGTGAAGGTGAACATCGAGGAAAAGATGAGACACGATCAAAAAAATCATCAAGAACGACACGGACACCGAGCAGGACTTGTCCAGGAACATACGGGACACCAGTCATCCAGAAACCACCATTGTATCAGACAGTGGTGCTGTCGCATCAGTGTGCTCTTTCACGACGTATCAATCTCCAGCCACAAGTCATTTCCCCAGCCTGCATTGGCCTGGTCTGTTCGCCAAATCTCAAACGTACCTTCTCCTAAATACCGCATCCCAAAGCTCTCTCTCGGATGCCGCGAGCAATACGGCTTCACACGGAATTCGCGCCCCAAAAGCTCTGCTTCTTTGTGGGGCGCGACAGAAACTGCAAGCGTCTGTGTTTTCTCTCCTCCATCATGAGCCACATTGGGGTAGAAAAATTGACAGAGAAAGGGGATGCGACGCAGTCTCTGCCGCAAATTGATCACTTTTTCCTGTTTGCCGTAGCTTGGGCCGACTCGGAAAACAGAGCGTTTTTTTTCTGCAAAAGAGGGGGTACCAATACCATTGCTACGTGCAGGTGCGTCTGTATGGTTGTCAACATCGGCAGGACCAGGAGTAGCAGCTGCATCAAATGGTGGTGTAGCTGCGCCCGCTGAGATTTGCCGCCCGACCGTCGTTAAATTCCTTTTGACCATCTGCGCACAGAGCTCGGGAGTGACGAAATCCAGCATCAGGACGCCGATTTTCGTTGGCGCCAAAGATGTCGATGACGATGTCGCAGTACTGCTCGTATGCCCCGCGTAATTCGTGATGTATTTTTCGAAAAACCACTTGTTGAGCTTCCTGCTCGTGTACCACACCGGGTAGTAGTACCAGCCGTCTAGAGCGATTCCCGGCCAAGCGCAGGCGAAGGGAGAAGCAGGGCCACCACTTAACGCAAGAGCTGCACTCGCCGTCACGATCGTGTCCTCTTCCGGGCCGGCTTCCAGATCCAAAACGGCACCTGCTGGTGCTGCTCCACTTGCGTCCTCAGAATCGTTGCCATTCTCGGTGGTCACTTCCCCATGCAACTGGAAGAGGTGCGTTTCCACCAGCTTCTTCGCTTCCCGCACACTCTCCGTGCACCAAATGTCGCAGATCTCCCCCAACCCGGACTGCTCGAAATTGTATCGGTAGACGGTGTTAGAGTTAGCCCCGTTCTCATTCAGCGTCGTCGAGGGAATGCACGCAAGTTGATCAACAACATCCGGTCTTAAAAAGCTGTCATCCACCTCGGGTCCGACCCAGACACAGGTCCCGCGAACGTGTCCCAATCGCGTTGTACCGTTGAAGACGAGAGGGTCCGCGGCGGAGGTGTTTTCTCTGCCAGGCGCTTTCCCGTTGTACCATTTCACGCCGCAATCCCGCAACGTTCTCCACAGCTCTCGGAATACGGGCTCGGGCTCCAAGAATTGCCGTCGCTGGGACGACTTACAGTTTTCCTCCCGGAGGTAGAGGTTGACGAATTCGGAGGGACAGTTGGCAAGAAAACTCTTGATATCCGCCAGCACCGTTTCCAAGGTTGTCGTCTGGCTCACCCACGGCCCGTGCGCGATGGGAAAATTGACTACAGTGCGGGCAGTCGTAGTCGTACCACTACGTACAGCTCCTCCTGTTGATAAACCACTCGCCTTCTGAAACGACGACGTGGGGCCTTGTTCCAAATCTGGCTGTTGCGCTTCACCAGTGTCTTTTTCTACGTCCTCTTCCCCAGCAAGCGCGAGGACCTGGGGCGCAACCCTGATGTCCAGAAACCGCACTCCGTTTTGCAGCAACTCCGCCACAGACAGGGTTTGCGTCTGGCACCACGGACTGAGCACGGACTGCTTGCACCGGTGCCACATTGAGGTTGCATTCGTCGCTGTGCGGGTCGTGCAGGAGCGACGGTCCACGTTTGTTGCTTCTGGGGCGTTAGACGCGGTGGACGCGGTGGCAGAATTTGTCAAAAGCGACGATGAGTTTGTCGTGTTTGCTGGATCATGCGAAGAACTCGAAGCACTTCCACTTGCTCCGCGGCCAGTTCCTGCATGATGGGCTGCCGGAAAGATGGGAATGTCGCGGAGAACAGTGGTGTCAGGGAAGTGGGAAAGCCAGTTGTGGCCGGCACCGGCGCAGCTGCTTGTCATGCTCTACGCTGATGCCCGAGCACGTAGACACAGCTTTCACTTGCACGCGAAGAAACGAGACTATTTCTTGCAGATTCTGTGTGTACGCTTCAAAAATCGTCACTCTGAAGAAAAATATAGTACTTCGCAGAAGATCAAGATTGCTGGTCCTCGCTCACTCAGATGGACGCTCACTCCTCGTCCATCGCGAATGTGCCGGGCCCTCGTGATATGTCTCAGAACTCAGCTGATACAGATACTACTGCGGACGTCCCAACGAATCGGTGACGGCGCGGACGCTGGAACCGCGGATCACGGGTTGTCGTTTCCTCCACGGATATTAGGTAACAACAGAGAGACAAGTCGATTTTTGTCTTCTTGCGCGTACATTAATTTTGGTTGTCCATTCCACTGGCGGATCACATCCGCTAGGCCATAACAAGTAGACTAGGTTGAGGCCTATCGTTAGGATATAACAACGAGACTCAACAGACCACGCTTCAGTTTTTAATTTTGAGTACAACGACGAACGATTTTGATAGCGTTCTAACAGTTTTTTCTTCATCGGCAGTCTATGTGTACATACGAACTGCAACCGGTGCGTAAAAGAAAGCTGAAAGGGAAAGCGAATTTAACATAAATATTATACATCTTTTTTCAAGCATATTGGTTTTGAAACGATGTCGTGAAAAAACCGTGCGTACGTACATTTTTCTTCGCGGCTCTTGCAGTGCAGCTTGTCAAGAAAAAATGTTTCATTTTTATTTCAACTTCGTAAAATAGATATTTTTGCGAGAGGAGCTAAAGATAGTGCTTCGTGATGCCAAATCTCTCGCTTTGAGATGTCCTGGTGGTGCTAACAAGCGTGAGTGCAGACAGGCCCGGACAGCTGGTGGACGGACAAGGAATCAACCCTAGCTATTTCGTTCTCGTTTTACACATCAGTATCAGAAGTCTTCAGTTTTGCCGACACCCAGAAAGTTTTGCGTAGAGAGCTAGGACGAGCATAACGAAGGCGAGGAGCATGTAACTGAAGCATTTGGATGTGTTTTCTCCGGCGACCTTCACCTCGTTCTTAACCTGTTGCAACAGATCCTTGAGCGCCTTGGCGTTCGCCTCTGCCTTCTTGTCGTTCGCTTCGACAGTTTTTGCGTTGTCTATGTCCATTTTCTCGATGCGCCTCTCGAGGGAGTCAAGCTTCTCTGCCTTCGCGTGCGAACCTTCGATCTTCTCGATGCGATTCAACAGAGAATTCAGGGTGTCCGCTCTTGCGTGCGTCTTTGAAATCGACTCTATCTGCATCGCGATCGATCTTTGCTTGGCGCCGTCCTCGATTACTTCCACAATATCGTGTAGCTCGACGACAATGGTCAAGTATTGTTGTTCCTTTGCGCTGGCAATAGTGTCGAACTCCGCGAAGCCGTGTCTTTTCCGATAACCGTGCCAAGAAGTACCGGCAGCAATCTGCTTCATCTGCAATGGTTGCAAACTGCTAAGGTCGAGGTACGAACAGCACTTTCCACGGAGAACCTGGATTGTTGCTCCCGCGGCGAAGGAAATGCTCTCACTCCATGGTTTTGAAGCCTGTAAATAGACGCCGAAATGCGTAGCGTTCTTCGTCGTATACTCCTTGGCGGTTTGGTCCCAGACAATGCACTTTGGCGAAAAACAAATCTGCAACGGCCCGAGATGCGATGGTGTGTAGAATTGGGGAGAAAGCACGTCTTCATGAGGTCTGCGCGTTCCGGTCTGGCCTTTGTGCTCCTCCACGTCCTTGTACACCTTCTTCACATCAAGCACCCAGGCGAATCTAGCTGCGGAGGAAGTGCGTTGGCCATGGTTTGCTTTGGAAACATCGGCGAGCAGTTTCGCAGTTTTGTCTTTCACCTCGGTGAGGATCGCCGTTTGGCTGGCTTTGCAGTCCGCATCGGCCTTCGTCAAACTCGCTGCTGTTTGTCCCCCTTGCTCCAAGATCTTCTGTAGCTCGGTGAGAATCGCCGTTTGGTTGGCTTTGCGGTACGCTTCGGCCTTCGTCAAACTCGATGCTGCTTGTTCGCTTCGATTCAAGATCCTCTGCAGCGGGGCCTGGACCTCGGGTCCGGCCAGCGCGAGGAACGTGTTCTGCAACTGCATCCGCTCGTTCCGTTCTTCCCGCTCCTTGAGTAGGATGTCCACATGACGCTCTGCGTTCTGTCGGTCGTGTTCCTGCATGCCGCCGGGCTTCACCCACTCTCCACACACCGTGCACTGCGTGAACAACTTCGGGCAGCGCTTTTCGTGGGCGACTAAATCGCGGCGCTTCATCACTTCCCCGCACGCACGCGGGCACGGCACTGGGTGGAACCTGCACTCGCCGAGATGTTTTGCCAGGAGGTCCCCGTAGGATCCCACCCAGGAACAGTACAGCTCATTGGTCGGCAAAGCGTCACTGGGTGTGTCGGAGTTTCTGCAGCATGGCCCGCTTGCGGGCTGGTTCGACGTCGAACACTGGGGGAGAGGACCAAGACCCGTCGAAGGCTGTGAAGATAGCGACTGGCTCTCTCCATTGCCGCTTGTGCTCTCATCTTCTCCCGAGCCTTGCTCGGCTAACGAAGACTGCGATTCCGCCACTGCCTCTTCCGGGGAAGCGTTACCCGAGGGAGCCGAAGATGACGAGGACGATGCCGATGCGGAAGACGCGTCCGAATTGTTTGGTGCCAAGGTGGAACAACCCTCGGAAGCCCCTTTCACCGCCGGGTCTGCGTAGGGGCAACAAACCTTGATGATTTTGTGCTGCGGGCGTCACCAGCGTCTTTTACTTTTTTACATCTGATTACAATCATACCGGAGAAAGCATTTGTATTGCACGATAAAGATGATTCTTTTTCTTTCGCTTCGCGGCACTAGGCTTAGCGGCGCAGATTGCTGAAGAACATAAGTGGCATTTTTAGCATCAGTGTCGTAGTTTGCAATATTTATTACCTTCAGCCCATTTAGTTGGCGCAGAGCCCAGGGATTGGATTCCTTTAACGGCTTCGGCTTGTTGTCTCCGAATGGTTGCCGACACGTTGGGCAGGCCAGCACGCTGGAAACGCATTCTTCACAAAAAATGTGATGACACTCCGTTTGGACAGGATTCTCCCAGAGGCAGTAGCAAATCGGGCACTCGACGTGTGCCTCCGCATGCGCCCTCGCCTCCTCGAGGACGATGTCGTTGATTTTCAGTTTGTTCCGACCGGAGGACACCATGCTGAGTCCGTTTTTCTTTTTGCTTCGCTTCTAAAAGGAATCAATTTTCTTTTCCTGCGTCAAAAAGAGCAGCTTGGTACCTATTTCAGCTGCACGTTTCTTCGATGAATGCGCCTCGCTCTTTCCAATTAGACAGGATCATACACGGCGTTGTAAACGAATTACACACGCGAAATCGATTATCCAGACGATGAGGACGACCTTCGTATAGAAGCTTGCGACTTTTCTTCAACGATAACGACGACCTTCATGTTCCTCGATCATTTTTTCAAACCAACCACGAGGAAGACGAGACTGCATTCTGTCTCGTCACTCTCAAAGCTCTCACTGAAACCTGATCATGCGACGGTGAGTTTGGACGACAAGTTGAAGAAATACCGAAAAGCTGATGTCCTCCAGGAAGTACATGCACATGCGGCGCAAGCAGAGAAAAGCTGCCGTTGACCATGCAGGAAGAAAAGTCATCGAGTTACGTCACAACACTGAGACCACAGTCTGAGGATACATAGCAACAATTTCGTTTATTTCGTTGGTTGAAATGCCATACAGTCCTCACACCGAGTTGATGACAAAATACGTTGGTGGTCTTGATGTTGATTCTTTTTTTCATACACACTTAAATGAAACTAAACGCTCTTATGCTGCTCGAGGATTGATCGATACACTGGAGGTGAGGGTGAAACACAAACGGCAGAGCGACTTGCATACATTTGTCGTTCTTTTTTGAAACTGAAACTACAGGGAATTATACATAGACGACAGCAAGAACATGTTCAAAATAAAACTAACGGGTAACAAACACTTCGAGTTACCTTTGATGCAACGAAATATTCTACGTTCTTTCATACGGAGTGGATTTCAGCTTCTAACTATCGAGGCCCAATCATCATAAAACGTACTTAAACGGTTAAAAAGAAAACCGAAACGCTACAGGAGGACAGCCAAACCCATTTATTCGATCAAACAGAAGCTTTGTTCTAGAGAAAGAAAAAGCCGAACCGCTCCCACGCGGTGATGACGTAGAAGTTAAGCAATATTTTTCATCTTCTGATCTGTGTGTCCCCTTGCTGTTGGAATTTCTAGGCGCAGAATGGTACTACGTGGCGGTGACGGTGCTGGCCGCTGCACGACGACTCGTCACTTCGGCAGGCTCTTGATAACGTCCTTGATGTTCATGATTTCCACCAGAAAGGTCACATACTCGTGCCGCTTGATTTCCGCGATGGGGTAGAACTTCGCGGAACCCCGACCAAGCAGTTTGGAATTGGGTTTTGCGGGGTTCGCGCCGTGTAGTTCTTGCAACATCTCCATTAATGCCAACCGCTTTCCGGGGCCGGTGTTGAACTGTTCCCTCGCTTGGCTTCCGGGGAAGAGGCTCAGTCGCACGTCCGCCCGTACAGTTTTGTCGGTGAAGTCTCCATTTACAAACAAACTACAGTAGGTCGGCGCGGGAGCCGCGGCCGCACCGTCTGCCGGCGCCGGGGGAGTCTGCCCGCTCGGGAAAAAAGTGAGAGTCCACATCCCGTGATCCGTCGGCATGATTTGTTCGGATAGGACAAATGTGTCTGGAGCCGGAGGGTTCGCTTGGTCGTAGGTTTTCTTGACGTCGATGGTCCACAGGAAGGTCTTTTGCGACGGCCCCGCATTGTGGTTCTTCATGTGCTGCTTGAGCTCCGCGATGACGTCAACCGAGGACTTGCGTGCCGCCACTCGATTCGACACGAGGTCATCTTCGATGCCGGTCAGGCGGGTGGTCAAGTTGGTCCACCGCGTATTTTGGATTGACGTTTGCGTGAGCGCCTGGTCCTCGAGCGTTTTCAAACGATCCTTCACCTCCTGCAACCCGCCGACCACGTTGCTGGACTCCTGCAGCTTCTTCTCGAGGATCTGGACGTGCTGCTCCGCCTTCAGCCGCCGGTGCTCTTCCATCTCCTCCGGCTTCATCGTCTCCCCGCAGATGGAGCACGTCACCCGGAGTTTGGGACACTCCGACGCGTGCCCCGCCAGCTTCCGCCGCTCCAGGGTCGCGCCGCACCCGTGCGCGCACGGCACCAGTTGGAACTCGCAGACCCCCAAGTGCTTTGCCAGCAAGTCTCCGTAGGACCCGATCCACGCGCAGCTATGAACGGAGAACGAAACCAAAACGAACCATTTTGAGCCTGTCTAACTGTCACATTTACCGTCTAAATGTGACATTTAGATGGCGCACCGTCGCGCGACAGTTCCCCGACGGTGCCAACGGTGCCCAGATTGGCGGCACGCGCGCGCAACATCCCATCGCGACATCGATGGGCGCAAGGCGTCAAAGTGGGCTGCGAAAACCTGCCATCCGCCTTCTCCGATGCACTGCAAGCCGGGACTCCGAGCGCAAAACGGAGGCGCATCGCCACCAGTCTCTCTGCAGACTCAAGCAACAAGAGGGCGGGCGGCGCGGCAGATGTAGCGAAGGCTAAACGGGGACCAACTCCGAAAGCGCACGCCCTATCTCCCAAACACCGGGGCGCACTAATGCAAACCGCCGCAGGCTTTTTCGAATTTTCAAAAAAATCACAGGCGCCTGCGCGCGCGCCGATTTGGTGGCGGCACTTCGTGTGCCGCCACGCTTCATGTTTTCCGTTCAGTTCCTGCGGGGTTGCGTGGGTGGGTGGCAAGCTCGCGGGAGACTTTGGAGACTCCTGAAACATTTTTGGGAACTTTGGACGACAGAGGGGTTGTGGTGCCGGGACTTTTTTCAAAAAGTCCCTCCGCCCTCTCATCCACGTTCTATTTTTCCCAAAAAGCCTCCACGCCTCCAATCGCGCGGGTTCCCGCGCAAAAATGTTTTCCCGATTTTCCCCTATTTGCGCCGCCATCGGTCGCCACCGCCCACGGCCGCGCCGCCCCATCAATTTGAAAGGCGAAAAACAATCGCAAACCACTGCGCCCCAACATCCATCCAGACTACGCGCCCCAATGCGAATACCCATGCCCGGCCGCTGTAGTTTGAAGGGGCCACGGGGGCCCGGCGCCCGCGCGCCGAGCGACCGGCCAGCCCCCGCTTTCGTGTGGGCGCCGATTGGGCCAGTGGTTGACTAGAGCCCAGGGGCCTCGCCCTGATTCAGCGCGCGGGCCGCCTCCGGGGTAGCAGGGGGCCCATCGAAAGCAACGGGGGCAAGCAGGCCCGGCCCGACCAATGTATGGCCTGCCAGCCGGCCAGCCTTCGAAGAAGGCACACCGGGCCGACCACTGATTCCAATGAGAGAGGGCAGGCAGGCCCGCACCAAGTCCGTCCGGCATATCCACATCCTCGCCCTCGAGGGCGCCCGAGCAAAAAAACCGCGGGCCGTTTGGGTGCCCTATGTAGATCTGCTACAGTGCCCGGCCGCCAACATACTACGCAACCGAAGGGGCCCGGCGGGCAGTGAAACTGCGGCCATGATAGGTCGCAGAGCTGCAAGGCGCGCCCTGCCTTCCCGCCAAAAAATAAAAACCAGCCGGGCCGGCCGGCCCGCCCGGTGCCACCGGCGGCGGGTGCGCCGGGCGCAGGCGGGCAAAGCGCGGGCCACTGACGCCGACCAGGCAGCCCCCCGGGGGCCGGCCGGCTTTTAGCCGCTAAATGTGACACGGCTGCCACATTTACCGGCTAGCTGACACATTTAGCGTCTAAATGTGGCACGTAGCCGATAAATGTGGCAGACGTGTCACATTTATCGGCTGAAAGCCGGCAGATCCCTGGCCCGTCGCCCTCGGCCCAAGTCCCAAAACCCCCCGGGGGGGGGGTGGCGAAAGGGTTGGCGCAATAAGTGGGCGCGCTGCGTCAATGAGGGTCCGCCGTGGGATTATTGAAGCGGGCGGGCCCTTAAGATGGCCGAGCGGCCCGCGGCATTTTTTTGTCCGCGCAGGGTGGCCAGGTGCGCGGGCGTGAACCTGGAAGACGATCACGGGTAGACTATTCCACGCCCGCCCTTGCCGCCCCCCGCACTAGCGACCGAGAGCGAAAGCAGGGAGGCAGGCGACCCGCCGGCCGGGGGGGCGCCAGGGCATGCAGACTGACGGGGCCACTACAATGCGGAAACGGAAGAAAAAGAAAGGGGCGAAGCCATGAGTGCACCGATGGATGGGGGGCCGCCCCCGGCCGACCCGGGAAAAAAAACAATTTGGCGGGCCGCCCGCCGGCCTGGGGCCCATACGGCGCAACCCCGGAGGAGTTGGGGCCACTGCGCGAGCGTGCGTCCCCGCGAAGGAGGGCGGGAGGGTCGCTCCCCCGGGGGCGGGAAAAGGCATGCGGAAGCTGACTCGCTCGCTCCTGAATACGGGCCGGCATGCCCTAATCGCGCCAGAAGCCGGGGATGCTGCTCAAAAGCCAGCGCCCGGGCACACAAGAAAAAAAAATGCCCAAGAACCTTCAGCAGAGCCCGGCCCGTCGGAAAGGGAGAAAAAGAAGGGGCCCGAAGGCGGGGCGGCCTTCACTCCTGCGGCCGGGGGAGGCAGAGAAAACCAGAGCGCCAAGGGGCCGTCGCCGAGGCCCGTGCAACAGGGGCCACACAACATAGAGAGAGGGAGGCAGGGCACGCGCCGGCGCGGGCGCTCGCCCCGCCGCAAGCCTTGGGCCTGTGCAACTGTGCCGCGCGGGTTCTGGTGCTTTTTCGAAAATCAAATTTATCGAAAGGGGCCGCCGGCGCACCGATCCAAGCTAAGCCGCCGGCCTCTGGTAAGTATCTCGCAGACGGCAGCGAGGATGGACCAAGGGCGCGCCGGCCTTTTCTGGTATATGGGCAAAACAGGCCCAAACGCGCCGGCAAGTCCGTCGGAAGCTGTTGTCCCTCCGAAGCTACACCGGAAGGGCGCGAGAGTTTACGGCCAACGACGCATAGGGACGAAGGAAAAGAAAAAGGAAGGCTGCGCAACAGTCAGCGCGCCTCCCGGAAGGGGAAACTTCGCTTCGCGCGGCGCAGATTCAAACACAAGCGGGCACGGCTTCCCAGGAATTCCAAGCAAAACTCTTCGCGCTGCTGATCCAAAGAACCATACTCCGGGCCCATTTCTTTTGTTCGTTCAGCGAGCTCGCAAAGCGCTGCAAGCTGCGCTAGCCGGCTAAATGTACCATTTAGCCGGTAAATGTGCAAACTAGACGAGGCGGAAATGGTTCGTTTTGGATATTTTCTCCCTTTGTACGCGCAGCACCCGGTAGCCTGTTTTACTTCCGCACTGGGACCTGCACCGGGGTCCAGACGGGCTTTCTTCGCAGCAGGGGAACACATCACAACCGCCACTTCTTCGGACCCGGAACTGTTCGTGCTCGAGCCGTTGTTGTTCGTACCCGGCGCGCGCGCCGGCGCGGGGTGGTTCGGACAATAAACCTGTTTGAAGTTTGTTGTCGTTGTGTGGTGCTGGTGTTTGATACAATTGGCATTGCCGGTCCTGTATACATAAATTCACAATTGGAAAAGAAAAGGTCTTCGTCCTCGCTTGCACGTTGCACCAAGTCAAGAAGACCCTACCTCCGTCGAAAAGAACCAAAAACAAGTACCTTCAGGCCGTTGAGCAGTCGCAACGCGAACTGGTTGCAGTCCTTGAGCGGGGTAGACCTGTTCGTCGCCGGCAATTCCTGACGACAGAGCGGGCAGGCCAACAACCCGGAGACGCAGGGTCCGCAAAAAATATGGTGGTTTGCGCACTTCAACTGGACCGGATCCTCCCACAAACAACGGCACACCGCGCACTCATACTCCCGGGCCAGACTTTTGGAGTCCTCGTGCACGATGTCCTCGATGGTAAACTTCTTAGCGCCCGCTTTGCAAGCACCTGCGAACGGTTCTAAACCTCCTCCCAACATTTTGTCCTCGATCAAAGAGTTTTCTCGGCTAGCAGTTTTTTTTGACGCGCGGGCAAAGATTAAGACAGAACAAAGGAAGTTAAGAATGGAACCGACACCGGCCACGATGTGACTAGTGGCACACTCCTCTCTTGTTCACGACACACTTCCATTTTCGAACGATACACGACATGCACGATATTTCGAGGAAAACTCTCGAAAGCGAGTACAGTAGATGCATCACGAGAACAGGGGAGACGACAAATATAGTAAATCAGAAGCAACGAGAACGAACACGATGCCGAAATGGCACTGGTGCAAGATCGGAATCGGGCATCGTGAAGACGTGGAGCGATTTCGATTTAAAAAGTCCCCCCTCGTCGATACGCACACGTATCGCTCGGATGGCTTCCTCAGCACTTCGACCTGGTGCAGGCGAAACATGTGCCGCCTTGGGATCTCATACAGCTTCGGGTCACAGACTCTACGATCTTGATACGATTTCAATTTCGCCCTCGGCGAGTGGTTCATTTGTGAAGATTCAACTAACTTCAACAGTTTAATTCAAACAATTGTCTTTTGGTGATGGATTTGCGATTTGGTGCTTTGGGACTGGGAATAAAATTACACTGATAAAACCGATTTCGGGGAAACGGCAATTTTGTTTGCGACTTCAAACGCGCAGCTGCTTATTTGATACATTAATTACGTAAACATCATCAAAGGGAAAACTATACGAGAGATAGAGGTTGGATACAGCTGCTTCTAGGCTATTTTCTTTGGTATGTGTTTGTCGTTCATTTTTTTCAGAAAAACCTATCGTAAAAGTCACGGGAAAGAAGTTCCAAGTGAGTAAACGTAATGGCAACTCGTCGTGCCCAGCCTTCTGCGTCAGAACCCAGTGACCAGGCGAGTGCCTCCGTTCTGATTTCTGCTGTGCAGTGCAATGATGAAGGTCGTGCTCGTGGAACTCCCCTTCCCCTCACCAAAACTCGCGACAGCCGCAATTTCTAAAAAATCAACTCGCATTTATGGCGGTAAATCTAAAATAAAGTATTCATTCTTGTTTGGTACCTGGTTGCCTTCCTCGCACCTACGCTTGTCACCAGCTCCTGCCTCAAGCTACCTACGGCGCCACCCCCTTCGTAACTTCAATGAAGTTCTTCAGCTCGATCAAAAACGTGACAAAATCCGTCTCCTTAACTTCTTGTATCGGAGCGATGCGACCGCCCCAGCCGGTGCCTTCGCCGAAAAGTCTTCCGGGTAGGGTGCTGACCTGCCGCAAAGATCGCCCACCTGTTGCCCAGGGCCAAGCGCTGTCACCTCCCGCGCCCACCTCCATGGCATCGACGACATCTTTCGCTTTTCCCGGCAGGAGCGTGATCACCGCTTCAGCGATAAGCGAGGTTCTCTTGTTGATCGGGTCGGCAAACAAAAACGCTTCCATGTGCGTCGGCGGAGTCTCGTTGCCGGCGTTTTCTTGCGTCCAACCGCTTGGATAGATTCGGAGCTTCCAGGGACCGTGTTGCGTCAACCAGAAGTCATTCGACGAGAAACTGGATGGGTTCTTTGCCGAAAACTTCTGGTACATTTCCTTCACGTCCACGGTCCAGGCGACTCGACTTGACACGGGGGGCCGCTTGGCAGCGTCTTCTTTGCCTTTCCCTTTGGTGTTATCCTTGACAAAAAGGAGATCGTCCTTCAGCGACGTCACGCTGCGTGCTAGATCCGCAGACAAAACGCTTTTCACCGCTTCGACCTCTGTCTTTACGGTGTTCCCGAGGCGGTCCTCCACCGACGTCAGTTCCTTCTTCAAAATCGTTGCCAACTTCGTGTCGAGCGGTCCCGCTGCGGTCGTGTCGTCGTCCGGGGCAGTTCCAGTTCCCGTGGGCGCAGCACCAGCGATTTCTGCAACAGCCGCTAGTTCCATCTTGACATCCGCCAGGTCCGTCCTGATGCTAGCCTGCAGTGAATAGAAGCCGAGGAGGAAACTCAACGGCAGCAGAACACCAAAAGCCACGAGAAACGCACAGGCAACAAAGAAGGCACTCCAAGAGGTGTTTGCAAGCATGTCACGCTGCTCCGTGTTCGTTGTCGCGACTATAGCGTCAAGTTTCTTCAGCGCCGTGGCGGTTGCCATTCCGCCTTTTACTTCTTCGATTTTCGCCGCAGTATCATCTGCTACCGTGGATAGACGTTTATCCAGCTCTTTGAGCCCGGATGCGGTTTCGTCCTTCACTTCGTTGATTTTCGCTTCAGTCTTATCTGCTTCCGTGGTTAGTCCCCTCCCCACGGCCTTGAAGCAAGAAGCGGTGGCGACCATGTGGTCCTTCATTGCCGCGTTGATCGTGGCTGCGTCCGCCGCCGCTTTGCTACTGGTCGTTGCAATGTTGCTCAACTGCGACAGGACGGTCGGCCCACTGGTAGCCTTGATGGTTCCGTGCACTGGGAGCGCTTCGTGACACGGAACAAACTCCGCGATCACCGTCACAAAGTTATGCTGCTTCAGCATGTCGAAGTTCGCAAACTCTTTCCAGCCCTGCCCGTCGCCCCCTGCTAGGAAGCGGTAAGGCGCTTTGGAACGCGCCGTCTCCAGGAGGACGACATCCTGACCAGTGGAGGAACTGTTTTGATGTTTGCTCCCCGCAATTACCTTGACCCGCATGCCCTTGACCTCAACGTATTTTGTCGTGCTATCGGCTGCCAAGCACAGAAAGAGACTCATCCACTTCGTTGGAGAAGCGCCGGTAGCTGCTGCTAAAGCTGATGTTCCGGCAGCACTGCTGATGCATCCGCGTATCTTGAATTTCCAGGGGCCGAACCCCTGCGTGGAGACAGGCGGAGAATACAGGTCCAGGTCCGGGGCCAGGCCGCCATGTTCCTCGCTGTAGATCTTTCTCACGTCGATGGTCCACTCTATCTTGGATGTTTCCGTCACCCCGATCTGCTCGGACAGCCTCGTCAGTTCGGCGTCCTTCCTCGCCCCTTCTTTTTTCAGGATTTGCACATGGAGTTCCGCGAAGGCCCGATGGTGTTCCGCCTCCTGGTCCGGTTTGTACTTTGTGCCGCAAATGTCGCACTCCTTGAGAAGTGCGGAACAATCCTTCTCGTGCTCCTCCAACTGTTTCCGCTGCAGCGAAGCACCACAACCGTGCGGGCAAGCGACGAAGCACCACCCGCACTGGCCAAGGTGCTTCGCAAGCAGATCTCCGTACGAGCCGACCCACTCGCAGAAGATATCGCAGGACTCCTCGCCTGGTTGTTCCGTCTGGTGTCGCAGCGCTGCGGCGGAGTTTCCAGCTCTGTTTCCGTCGTCCTCGCCCTCCGGGGAATTGTTCCCGGAGGTGCTGCAGATTGTCGTGGAGCTCGTAGTTGTCGCTTTACTAGATACGGAGGACGAGGAAGAGGCACTGGCAGTGGTGACAAGGGAGGACGAAGAGGACGCTTTCCAGGATGACGCGGGGTCTGGATTCGCGTGCGGGCAGCGCACCTGAACATGTTGATGTTCATCCACTTGTCTCCCTACGCATCACGTGTCTCGCCGTTGCTTTCGGCTTCATCACGCTTCAGGCTAGGAAAGAGTATAGTAAGCAACTAGTTGTACATGATGGAAGTTTACTAGCCAGGAATCTATGATCGAGAAAAGACCAACAAGCGAGCAGCAAGTAAAAGGCTTCCAAATAAGCCCAAATATGTAGTACCTCGAGGTTGTTCAAGGCCCGAAGCACGAACTGGTTCACATCTTTCAAGGGCGCCGGCTTCGTGTCGCCGAAGGGCTGGCGACAAGTCGGACAAGCCTGCACCTCCGCAACGCACGAACTACAGAAAATGTGGTGGCAGCCCGTCTGAACTGGATCATTCCAAAGCGACAAGCAAACTGCGCATTCGTAGTTGAGAGCGTCCTTCCTAGCCTTGTCCTGCACAATGTCGTCGATCCTCAGCTTGTCCCGCCTTGAGGACACCATGGTGTCTGTTTGGTCTGGTTTTTCTTCTTTATCTTTGCTGACGCACAACGTAAAAATTTTTCGTCAAAGACACCGACTTTATCGCAAGACTGAATTTTTCATTTTTTAAGAGAAGTGGTTTTGTTCTTCTTGAGTTGCTTGCTGGCTTCTTTTGATGAGACGCAGAAATTTAAGATATCAACGTTAATCGTGAAGGTTCCGTTTCCAGACGAGGTACTTTCTCGAACAAGAGACGACGATACCGATTCTCTCAACGGCCTCTCATCCACCGCGAAATGACGAAAACGACGAACCACGAAGGCTGACGAGGTCGGATGCCTGCTGCAAAACGAAAATTTAATATATGAATCTATCAAGCGATTTTTTTTTTGATTCCAGGAATTCTCCTTTGGATACGATTACGGACCCGAATCGCTCGGATGGTACATAGTTTAGAACTCTAGGAGCGAAACAAGTAAACCATCACCATATGCAGATCATACAACCGGATCATATTCAACATTTTCACGATAGTGCTCCTAAGTCGTGGTCTGCTCAAGTACATCAAGTGTGAGGGACATCAATCTGACATGGAGATGGACCTAACGACGGCATAGACGTGCAGATCACGGAGCAGGCGGGCCCAGCGAGGAGCACATCTTTATAGTGCACCTCCAAAGTGATTATTACGATTACGAAAGAACTTATCATGATCTTTCCGTGAGGTCCGAGAATATCAGAATTGATCGCTTTTCTTTTCACATCGGGCGAGAAGACTAAACGCAAACGCATCAAAAAAAAGCCGAAGTTTGCTACGCAATTCATGGCTCATCTGGTGTGATGGCGGTGCGTTTTTCCTTGTTTGTGCATCAGTGTGCTTAGTATATGCTACTTTAGTGAGGGGTTCAAAAATAGTGTCGCTTTGTTCTGGAGGAGGAGGTAATTTGCTCGTTCGTCGAGAGTTGTGTAGCTACAACAGCAGCAAAACATTATCAACGCCAAAATTCAAACCTACATCAGAACTTCCTATGTCCATGCCGTTTTTGTTTTGGCTTGTTGTTTCCCTTCTCTTGCTTGCCGGTTGCCGAAAGGCTTTCCTCTTTCGCGCGCTTCTCAGCAGCCGCGACAGCAACAGGGTCGTGATCAGGAAATTTCCGATAATGTTCCTGCAGTTTTTTCACTGTCGTGAAATCCATGTTGCATGTGGCGCACACAATTGCATCTGCAAATTTGTCCAGTGGTGCGTCTACCGCTGCACCTTGCAAACCGCGCCCGTGCGGCTCCGAGTCCATCTTTGGTGCCTTAGGAGCCTCCTTGAGCAGTTGGCCCTTCGTGAAGTTGTCCTGATTCTTTTTGTGTTTTCCCGTCGTTGATGGGTCTGCTAATACTTTGTTCTTCGCCGCCCTCCTCGAAGCTTTCGCCTTCGTATGTGATAGTACATTTCCGTCAACATCAGCACCCACAGCGCCCACGTTTGCTTCATCGACAACATCATTTCTCGTGCCAGCCACTATTGCCCGTCCTGTTGCGCCACCTCCTGCACCACAGAAATTTTCCTCGTCCTCTGACGAATCACCAGTACTAGAAGAAGTTTTGTTGTCCTTCCGGCCCAGAAACGCGAACAGGCGCCGGTCCTCTTTCGTCAGGTCCCAGCCCGAAGCAGCGACCTCCCGCCGCCGTTCGGTCGCGGCAATGTGAGCCAAATACCGCGGATCGACCAGCCGGAGTGCGGCGACTAGTCGCCGCACTGCTGGTTCGGAAAAGAAAATCGAAGCTCTGGAGGAAGAGTTCGCGTTTGCGCTTTCCGTACGTGCTGGTGGACTTTCGGTGTATTTTTGTTTGTCTTCGCCAACGGCGGTAATGCTGTCGTCCTCCACGCCGTCTTCCAAGTCCCCAAGTTTAACATGCACGAGGTCGTCCTCTTCCTCTACTTCGTCATCTTCGAAAGACACTGAGCATGATAGGCTCCCATCGTCGTGACCATGCGCGCCGTCAGCTGTCGCCAAATCACATTTGAATCCAGCCCATTCCGCGTAAAACGGTCCGACGAGGTCCCGCCAACTGGAATCTGCGTCGCCAAAGTCGGTGGGGAGGCCGCACTCTGCATCCGCACCATTGCTGGCTGCGCGAGAAATCGCTCCGAATAATTTGTTGAGGAAAATGTAGGGGAAAGAAGTTGATGTCGCTGGGCTTGGTTGGGCGAAGGGCTCACGTTGCGCTTCCACCGCGTCCGCGAGGGCGGCGACGCTCTCAAAATTTGACAGTCGCGTCCGAACCATCATTTTTTGGAAAGCCATTCGGGTTCGAAAGGACAACTCCCACACTTGTTACAATTCTACCTTCACCAGCGCCTGCAACACAGCGTATACACAAAGGCGACAAGAAACGCTTCTACTTTAATCAGGGAAAAAGTCCGAGTTGATAGCGCCATCCATAAACAAAGGACGATGCGCTGAGTCTTTCTCTTCGAAATATGGTTGAACTTGGACCTGAAGCATCAACATTATCATTACTCTTGCCTTCGGGCAGGACTTCACTTCACAGCCTTGAAGACATCATCCCACGTCTCCACCACGAAAATGATCGCGTGCGCGTTCAGTACATCGCTCGCCGAACAACACACACCGCGAATTCTTTCCATTTTGGGCACAGGTATAATTTTGCCCTTCATGATCTATCATCACTCACAAATAGCAGATCTGAATCTGATCAACAATTGGCTCACAAATAAAGGACTCCACATTCTTCATTTTCGTTTATTTTTTGAACTGAGCGCACTTATCGTTATCTTCCAGATCACTAATCAGGCCGAAAAGAAGCTCTAGATCTCGAAGAAGCTTCTGCTCTGGACTCTTTTTCATTAAAATAAAAATCAAAATCTAAGGTACGCGTTACTGGATCAGAAGAGATCAGTTCTTAAATGGGTGCAGCATCGGTAGATTCGGCGGTGATTCCTGCGGAAAAGGAGAAGCGAAGGTTCTGAAAAACGAGGGCCGCGCTCACGTTCCTTCTAGTTTTCTGCGCTCGGACGGTGGAGTGAATCGCTATTTACTTTACTTCAGGGACCGGTCTTCAGAATCGCAGTGACGATTTCGTTGTCCATCGGAAATGTGCCGTCTTTTTTCTGCCTTGCGGGGCCGAAGCGGATCATGATCGTGATGTACGGGGAGGCTTTAATTTCAGACACTGGGAGACTTTTTATATTAGACCAGCCAATACCGCGGGTGCCGAGGTTTATGCACTGGCCCACGCCGTTGTGCGTGACAATCGCGAGCGACTCGTCTACGTGCCCCGAGACATCTGCCCGGCCTTTGCGAAAATAGACACTCCATGGAGGCACGCGAGTCGCTATCGGGCGGTCCTCGCTAGCTGCATCTGTTTCGCCTTTGTATCCGATGTAAAATGAGCAGTGTGTTCCAGTTCCCGTCGAGCAGCCGTGTGGTGTGACTAAGGCGTAGAATGGGCCGACGGGTCCTTTTTAAGTAACAAAATGAGCTTGTATGCAATAGAAATAGATGCTGAATTGAGCAACGGAAAAGAAAGATAACCTCAGCTGCAGGGAAGTTTTCAAACGCAATCGCAACGAAACAAAAAAAAGGCAGCGCTGCTCGAGCGTCGTCCTGTATAGAGATCTTGCTAAGTATACCAGGCAAAAAGAATGGCGGAGACCATTCTTTGTGGCCTTTCCGCGTACACCGGCGATAGAGGTCCGCTGTGTTAATCGTCCAGTCAACTGCCAACGTCCCGCAGATATTTTTGAGGTTTTTGATCACCGACCCCAGCTGGTCCGCAGTTTTCTTTCCGATCGCTGTGACGTGTGCTGTTTTTGCGCCGTTGCTCTCGACTTTGACAAGCCGTTTGTCGACTTCCGCGACCTTTGTCGCCTTGGCGCCTTCTTTCTCGATCTTTGTGATTCGCTTGTCCATGGCTTGCATCAGGGAGTGCATCTGGTCCAGCTTGGAGCCGCCGCCTGCTGGATCCGCGCCCACATCTGCTAACCGCTTCTCTAGGATTGTCACATGAAGCTCCGCCCGCTCTCTTCGATGCGCCTCCACAGCGTCCGGCTTCATTTTTTCGCCACAGATGCTGCACTCGACAAGCAGTTTCTGGCAGTGCGCTTCGTGGACAGTGAGATTTCTTCGCTGCATGGACTCCCCGCAGCCCCTCGGGCAATCGACGATCTGGCACTCGCACTCGGCCAGATGCTTCGCTAGTAAATCACCGTAGGACCCCGTCCAAGTACAGTAAAGAAACTCATCACTGTCTGCGTGCTGGTGCGCCACCAGAAAGGAGGATGAGGAGGAAGAAGAGCTACTGCCTGGGGCCCGGACCGCTTTCGAGTTGTTTGCTTTCCGCTTTTTCGCCGCCGGGCCGGGCTCTTCGGACGCGCTACCGCTCAAATTGCCCAAGCCGGTGCCAGATGCTTCGGCCGCTGCGTTTGGGCAAGTTACCTGTAAGGGTCCGCGTTCGTGTTAGTTTTGGTGAGTACAGCGGACTCGTCAGCGTCGAGACAACCGAATGTGGCTTCTTGTGGTTCCCTATGCAGTATCATTGATACTGCATAGGGAACCACAAGAAGCCACATGCTTCCGCATATCTCCAACCCACCAGCATGCTGTTGCTGGCCACCCAGGAAAAAAAAAAAGCGCGAAACTCGATACGTACCTTCAGCCCGTTCAACACACGCAGCGCGAATGGGTTCGAGTCGCGCAGCGGCTTCGGCTTCTCCTCTCCGAATGGCTTGCGGCACGTCGGACAGGCGAGCAAGCCGCTCACACAAGATCCGCAGAAAATATGATGGCAGTCCGTCTGGACGGCATCCTGATGCCACAAAGACATACACACTGCGCACTCGTACTCCTGAGCACTCCGCCGCTCGTCCTCCTGGACGATGTCATCGATCTTCAGCTTGTTTCTCACCGACATGATGGTTTTGCTTTCAAATTCAATGCGTTGGGTGTAGCTTTTGCTTTCGACTCGACAACTGATGCGATGGCTACGTCTAGTCCCACTCTAGTACAACTGGTGAGTACATGTACAACAATACGGTACAACAATATATTGAAAACTAAAATCCCAGAGGGAAGTTTGAAAATAAGTACCACGGTACAACTAAAACTATATACAGCGTATAGTAGGTTGTTTTCCTTGTTTGCACTTCTTTGTATACTACCGTCGTTCCACCTAGCGAGTCGTGTGTTCATTTAGAGAAAGCATCAGTATCGAATTCGAGATGAAAGACAGACACGCATACGCCTCTAGCTGCGAAAATTTGCTTGTTGCACTAGTTTTCACGGCAGCGATTCTACCTCCGACACCTGGCGATCTTTATCATCATGAGCATCCTGTTTCACTTTCCAGCCAATGCCACGTCTTTCGTAATAATCATGCCGATTTATCCCCCCCGGACACAACCCGTCTTGCCAACGAAGTTGCAATCACATCAAATATCGGCCGCACAGGCACAACCGGCGACCTATAGCTTGTCGAACTGAAAATACCTTGTTGATGATGTTAACCAAAACGTAAGAAAGTGTCTCGGTAGTCGCAGTCGGTCGTTGTTCTGTGAATAAAAAAATAGAACAATCAACAACAGAATTATAAATCCATTTCATCCACCGCTGCCGCAGCGGCAGCCATTCTTCATACACAAAATTGCAATCCCACAATCACAGTGACAAGAAATAGCCGTTGCAAAAACAAGTTCGTGGAAGAAGTAGACAACTTGGATCATCGTTTTTCGTAATCTTCTTGGAAACTTGAGAGTGAGGGAAACGTGAAGAAGTACTCCCGTTGGCACATTGAGTTGTTAGCTTTATCATACCAGTTCGATCGCATACCACGGAAATTTCAAAAGCAGATAGATAGATAGATTACCCAGCAAGGGGTTAAAAGGAGCAAAGCTGCAGTATAGAGACAGTTTGTTAAAAGGAGCAAAGCTGCAGTATAGAGACAGTTTCACTCTTGATTATTTTTTTTCTCTATAGTGTTCTTTCTGCTTGCCGCTCTGCGTTGTTGAGGCATCTTCCGTGAAGCTGTGAATTTGCATAGGAGAAAACTCAGCAGCAGGCGGGAGTGCTTTCAGTGCGTCTTTGTGGTTTTACGTGGTGGCTTTTTGTTGTCTAGGGAGCTGTGGTTTAGATCGTCCAAAGTGCAAGGCGCCAGAAGTGTTAAGAGATTGTAAGAGGGATCCTTACTTCGTGCTTCAGTGGACTTTCCGTATTAAACTTTCCGAGGTTTTTTCTTTTGTTCTATGTTTTTGCCTCTTGTTCCGCGGGTGGAATACTCAACTGTCTGTGAAAAAAAAAAGATCGACATCACAGACCTGGGGCGGTCGGGACAGCAAAATCATATATTTGGGAAGAGGAAGTTGAAGTAAGTTCTGCTAGCGCCCGGATACCTTCCTACTGCGAACGAGGGCGCTCGCACTACTGCTTTTTACCTAGTTCTATTTGCGTACTTTTACAAAGTTCCAATCAGGGCGCTCTTTTGTTTGATTTCAATTTCATTCATTTGAGTTCAGGTAAAAATGTTGAGAAGAAAAGCGAAAAGCAACATCAGTTCAGCACTAAAATTCCTGAAGTAGCCCCATCAATTCAGGAAGCCAGATGATTGACACTGTCAAAATTGTGCTTCGAAACGATAAAAATCTTACACGAACAAGGAACCACAAACTCAAGCTCTATTACGATCAAATTTTAGATTCTATATTTGCCTTTCTAATGTACTCATGATAACCACCAGGCTGGCACACTTCTACTCCCTCACCCTTCCAACCAAAAATCCGGATTCGTCGTCATCCAGACACAACCCGCAACCACCGCGGAGATCTGCAAAAGCTGGAAAACAGTGTGCACAATTTCGCGAAAGTTGATCGAGTTTTTCGAGCTTGTCGCGTCTTCCAGCACTTCTGCCCCGGTTTCCGCGAACGCGTCTTCGACCTCGTGCAATTCTTTTTCCTGATCATTGGAGAACTGCTCTTGTTCAAAAGGCTGCACAAGAGGATTCACTTTTTCCACAAACACTCCGGGTGCATCATGCAGTTCGACGTTTTCCTCGTTTTGCTGTCCGTGAAACGCCGCGTCCACGCCAATCTGCTTCTCCGACTGCGTTAGAGACTTACCTTCCAGACGCTCCATGTTGGTGGCCGCTGCGTCTGGTCCCGGTACCTGGACCATGTTGTTCAAGCCCGTGGTCTTTGTCCGCGGCATCGGCAAACGGAGTTTCGACGGTTGACAAATTGTTCTTCCGGTTTCGACGAACTGTGGCGCTTTCCTCGGAGAGGAAGGTTTCGCTTCCTTTTTCAAAGCGCTCTTCAGCGGAATCTTCTTCACGTTCGCCTTCACGACCTGACTCTGCTTTTCGACCGCGGAAGAACCAGCTGGACTCGCCGCACTACCGTTTGCATCCGCTGCGCAGACCCTCCCCACCGCCTGTCGCATGCGCTGCAGCAAGGCGTTGCTAACGCGATTCTTGTCGGTGCGGGCGAGCACGGAGGCTAAGTCAGGTTCTACAGGCGAAGTCGAAGATGCTCCTTTGTGTTGAGACACAACCGTCTTGCCCAGCGGTGTAATTGTTCGACAGAAAGAGGATGCAGATGGCGACATTATCGACAACGAGTTTTGCTGTTCCGCGTTCACTTCCACCCGTTTCCGCTGCAATTTGAACAGCTGGTCCAACTCGCGGGCGCGGTCGAAGTCCCGAAACAACTCCGGTTTCCGGATCAAATGTTCGTCCCAATCCGGGCGAATGGTTGACGACGGATTCAAGTTGGAATTTGTCTGGCTCACAGTGGCACAGGTGAACTCTTCATCTACTTCTTGGTCCTCCAGGGAGTGCAGCCACTGGTCACTGACCATTTTCAACTCCCGGGCAGCAATGCAGCGGAAATGTTGGCAGTCGTCGTTCGCGCAGACACACCGGTATTTCGAGGCACCTGAAGGAAAAAATCGAAGTTTTTCATGAGTATGATATGTGGTGCCTTGGTTGCAAGAAATGCACTGATCACGACACAAGGCTTTTAAGTGTTGACCAATGTGACACATTAATATTTATACCTTTCTGCTTCGCCAGCGTAGATGCTGTAGAGAGGAGATGAAACCGGTGCTCACTTTCCGACACCTGGGACACGCCGACTGGAATCTCGATCGGTGGTGTCGTGGCGACTTCTTGCTTTTTCTCTTTCTTCACTTTTTTTTTCTCTGAAGAAGCAGCAGCACCAGGAGAAGATCTCGTAGTCTTGCTCGTGTTGAGATTCGGGTCCTTTTTCTTGTCCTTCACCTTCTGCTGATTTGCATCCGCGGTTGTCATCGGCAAGGTCGGCTTTTTCTGTCGCGCAGAAGTCTGCCACTGCCTTGCATCCCCAGGGTTACTTGATTTTGTTTTCTTCTGCACGGTCGACAAAGAGCCATTGGTAGACGACGAGATAACGGAGACGGCTGCTGCTTGCCTGCTCGTGTTCTTGTCGGTCATCTCCTCCACCTGTCGCGTCTTCATGGCCTTCAAACACGCAGTTGACAGAGGCTCCTGCCGCGCAGGATCGGCGGTTCTTTGGTCCTTCTTGGAGGTAGAAGCAGCTTTTTTGTCAGCGTTGTTTTGGCCGACGAAAAGGTCCTCCATGTCCTTGGCTGCCGTGTTCACGTTGTCATTGAGCGTGGAAGTCCTCATTCCCTTCATGTTCGGATCTTCTACCATGCCGTCCTTTTCTTTCTGCGGGAAGCCGGGGTCTTCGGTGTGGCGACGCCCTTTTCCATCTTCCTTTTCTGCAACAGCATCCTGCATCGTCGTACTCGCCTCACCAGCGCTTTCAGCTGTTAGAGCAGTTCCAGCACTCATCTTCATTTCGTCCAGCGTCTCCAGAAACGCATCGAGTTCTCCGGGCCCTTCTAAAGTGAAGGACTCCTCGTCGGTTACGTTCGCATCTGGTTCACCTTCACCAGCAACACAGATTTTCTCCGTTCCTGTACCGCCGCAGAAAGCGCCGGTATCTTCAGCGACCGGTGTCGGAGCGTCCGGCAACCCGAGTTCGTCCTCGATCTCATCAAAAGTCAACTTCACCGGAGTTTTCGCACGGGCGAACGTAGACTTCGGCTGCGTGGTGGTTTTGGTTTTGAGTTTGATGCTGGAAGTAGAGAGTTTTTTGCTCAAAGACTTCCCAGTTGACGCCGACAGGTTTTTGTTGCTATCAGAAGCTGTTGTCCCCGTTTCCGCTGGTCGCAGCAGTAATGATGTCTTCTTCATCCGCGACGTGCGCGCTGCGGTCGCACTGCTGGGTGTCGCGGTGGCAGCAGGTTTCTTCACCTTCATCGCCGGCACCGCGCTGGTGCTCTCAGGTTTCGTTTTCATCCCAGAGGACGCAACCGAGGACGACGAAGAACCCACACTCGCCGCTGTGCTCGGCGTCGCGACCACTTTTTTCGACGCAGACTGTTCTTTCATCGCCTCCGCTTTGCGCTTCCGTTCCTCCCACCGCGCGGCGGAATTCCTCTCGAAGGCAAGCCGATTTGCTTCCGCTTCTTTGGAGGATGGTGTGTTGTTTAGTGGAGTTCTTGCGGGTGACGCGGTGGGATCATGATCTTGGTCATCAGCAAGTTTTTCGTTTGCTTCCACAACCGCAGCGGGCGTCCCTTGCTCCGCTGGAGAAACTGCTTGGGTTGTCTGCATAATTTCTGTCGGCTTTATTTCCAGCTGTGCCGCGACCGCGACGTCCATTCCACATGGGGAATTCTCGCCAGTAGGTGTGTGCTGTGGTCCGCTCTGCGCGACATCGAATTCTGCCACTGCTGCCATCAAATCGGCGATTTCCGACATTATTGTACGCACTTACGAAGTTTTCGTCGGGCGGTATAGAACATGGAGTTTGATGATGAAGTGAAGCCTGTTTGTTAGTTGTTCTGCTCCTATTTTTTCATAAAACCCTGTTTCTACAAAATTCTCGCCACCTTACCGTGATAAGTACCATTCACCTGCTGAAGCAAATTTGTTGATGTGAGATACATTACCTCCTGCGACGGATTTTTTCGCACTACTCCTGATAGCACCTTTTTGGGGACGACCCCGAAAAAACAACGACGCCGAACAACTCTCGCTGTCTCTATTCGCAATTTGAATGGTGCGCTCGTCGAAAGCATGTCGATTTTGAAAGTGCAACTCTCTCGATTTTTCCAAACACGGGCACTCCTCGCTAAAGGTGGAGACCCTTCTGTATGTAATGCGCAACTAGGACTAGCGACAAGCACAAACGCGAAGCAGAAAGATGAAAAATCCGACCAATTTTGTTCAAGAACAGACCTCAGATTGAACATGAGATTTAGGTAGCTCGTCTTAGTGCGGGACGAAAGCGCTTTTGATTAGACGACCGCGCTTTCTCTTCTGGTGCTGTTGCTGAATGATCATGCTCCTTGTCGAAAGTCGCAGACTTATGTTAATGTAACAGTAACTTTTTCTCTGTTACCAGAGAGAGCCAGTGCCCCCCTCAGTCATCGTCAGTTACTGCACATGACAAGTAGACTCCTCCCCACCACCAGGACCAGCTCCGTCCTGTCCCGCGCCGGCGGCGGCCCCGGAAGCTCGTTCCCGCTCCGCCTTGTACGCTTTGAGATGGCGGTTCAGAATGTGCTTCTCGGAGTCGCCGAGTTTCCGGGAATCTTGCGGGAGGGAGGAGGACCCAGAATTCGCATTGCTGTCTGAAGAAGCTGAGCCACTTGACGAAAAATCATTCCCCGACCGGTTCCACCACCGTTTCCAGGAGCTGGAGGAAGACTGCGAAGACGTAGATTTTTCTTCCGCGGCACTACCTTCCGCCGTCCTTTCACCGGCAGCGGTGTCACTTCTATCACTTTGTTCTTCCCCACCCTTTCCCCCACCTCGCTTTACATCGAAAATACCAGCCTCCCGTTTCAGAACCTGCCGCAGCGCTTCCCGTTCCTCAGGCGTGCTCCAGGGATTTCTGTTTGGCGTTTCCACTCGCAGCTTCACAAACAAGTCGCTTGACTTTGTACTCGCACTCCCCGTAGACGCAATATTGCCGTCCCACAGCACGCCTTTGCCCGCAACGCGGACCACGTCGGTATGCTGCAAATTTGAAGGCAGCGCTACGGTGACGTACTTCCCAGCTGGGTGCTTGATCTCAACGACGAGATCCCCGCAGATCGCATCTGCAAAGGGTACCGCGATTTTCGTGTACAGAGCGTGGTGCGGGCCGCGCTCGAATTCTAAGTGATCGTATCTGGCGATGCTTCGCTTGCTCTTAGAAGCAGAATTTGAGTGGTCACTAACTTGTTTCCCGCCGTCGCGCCTGCCGGGCGGGGTTTGGAAGCGCACGGCGATGAAGACGTCGCCAGCCAAAACGCCACCGGTGGCGTGGTCAAAAACTTCGCTGCCGCGGTTCAGGAAACGGAAGGTGTAACCTTCCTCGACGGTCTGGGTAGAGATTTTTGTTTTGCGGTTACAAAGAATTGATGAGCTTAGTGCTTTCTAAACCAATTTCTTTGTTTGAAAAACATAGAACGGCCAACATGTTCTACATCTTTGAAGAAGTATGTTTATGCTTGCACCAAAGCAGATTTATCTCTACACGTACCTTCGGGTCCAAGTTGAGTTGGAACGACTCCGTCGCATGTTTCACTCCGTGGCCCTGACACTGCGCGCACGTCCGCGTTCGTAGCCTTCCCGCGCCGCGACAAGAAGAGCAGGTTCCCTGCGTCTGCACATAGCCACCCCCGAACTGCCGTGTCCGCACCTCGTACCCGCTCCCCCCGCAAGTGCCACAGATCTGGACGTCGCCGCCCTGGCCACTGCAACTCGTGCAAATTTTCTGCATCATGGGGATCTCGACGGTCACGGTCTTCCTTTGGCACAACTGCTCCAGCGTTATGTTCACCGCCCGGACAACGGGTTTTGGCACCCTCGCCTGTCTCCTCTGCCTCCCGTTCGCCGCGAACTCCTCGAAGCCCATGCGCGTGAACGCTTCGAACGGATCGTCTCCAAAGATGCCGGAAGATGATCCAGCAGATGAGCCCTGTCCAAATGGGTCATTGCTGGTCCCGAATCCAAAGGGCCCGCTCCCGACATTCCCAAAGGGATCTGGTCCGCTAGCACCACCGCCGGAATAAAAGGGCCCACCGCCGCTAGTACCGCTTCCGCCACCCGGACCACCGCCCATGCCGCTAAATGGGTCGCCACTCGCATCGCCATACTGGTCGTAGGCTTGTTTCTGCTTCGGGTCGGATAAAGTCTCGTACGCCCGGGTGATGTTTTTGAACGCCTCCTGGTCCCCGCCCTTGTCCGGATGGTGTTTCACCGCGAGCTTCTTGTACGCACGGCGGATGTCATCAGTGGAGGCGCCCCGGCTGAGCCCAAGAACCCTGTAGGGGTCCTTCGAGGAAAAATCCTCACAGCGGACGAAGTTATTTGTCGTGTGAGCTGAGGGAAAAAACTTCGCAAACTTGCTACTTCTTGGGAAGTGGTAGGCCTTCCAAGCTGCGAACCAAGATGACAAAAGAGGTGGGCTTTGCCCTTTGTGCTGGCTTGATGTCGGTGTCGCTGTCGTGTTGTCACTTCTTTTCGTATTCTGCCGTGGTGTCGCTGAAGATGGGGCATTCCACCCAATCTCCGTGGTATGCTTTCCGTCCCAAACATGATCTGCCGCCTGCTCTCGCCCGATGCCAGTGTAAATTGGTGGCTCGCAGTGGCCACCGCGGCCGCATCCTCGTGAAGCATCAGACTTGGAGCCGACTCCGACATCCTCAGATGATCCTGCATCTTTTTCTTTGCTTTGCAGAAATACTTTTGTCTTCGAGAATAGCTTGGTTAACGCGACATAGCCGGCTTCAATACACCAATTCTGCATTGCGGCATTTTAGTTTCTTCGTAGTTCTGCACAAAAAAAAGTCTACGTAGCCCTCCTGCGATCAAAGATGAGAAAAGGTAAATTCAAGCCTAAAAAATAGAACCGAGACAAAGTCAAAAACAAAATGAAAGCTCATGAACTACATCACACGTACGGCCGAAATAGGATCGTATAACGTGGCCGCGAGCAAGTCAGAAAAGTGACAAGAAGCTTGCTGGCTAAGGAAGAGCCGCATCTGTCCCATTCTACCTGCATTGCTAGATGATGACAGTGCAGCAGCACGAGCTGGCATTGCTTCGTGAGCAAATCTAAGATCATATCTCACCCGCTTGCACGGATTTCGGTGTTTGAACACTGGGCCTGCGCAAATGCACGGTCACGGTTTGTTGACATAAGTCTGAAAAAGCTCCTCGCCACATGTAGATTTCGTCGCTCTCGCGGTTGCACGCGCAATTTTTTTTCGTCTTTTTGATGGAGTTTGCTGGATTCGGCTGTTTACGGTTGCTCATGTGGAGGTCGTGACGATCATGTGTCAGCGTTGCAGCACAGTTCACACAAAACGCGTAGCAACGTGGTCTCCTTTCCTTCTGTAGCGTCCGTGTCTTTACCTAGATTCGCTTTCATCTGGGTATCAGTTTCAGCCGCCTCGTTACTGCACCCGTCGCACACCAAAACGCGCATTCGGCACTGACTACACCGGTGGTTCAACCTGTAGTCGTCCCAGGGACTCTGGCAAACGACGCACTTCCCAACTATTTCCTCGCCGAAGTTCTCCTCCACCATTCGGTTATCAAACACGAAATTCTTGCCTTTGAAAAACTTCCCCCCATCCGGATAATGCTGCAGATAAGCGTGAATCCCGCCGTGCAGCTGAAAGATTTTCTGCTGCCGTGCTGGACGAGGAGCTTCCGACGTTGTAGCACCATCGTCTTCCAACACCAACTGCTCGTTTCCGTCGCCGACGCTCTGACGACGTTTTCTTTTACAGTCCTCGTTGTCTTCCAGCACCAGCCGCAGCAATTGCGTCGCGCGTTCGCACCGCACCCCGCCCGTGCAGTAAGCGAAAACCTCTTTTCCCTTGCATTTCTCCTGGAGCTCTTTCCTGTTCTGCGCCAGAAAGCGGGGGAAGTCAGTAAATTGACGGGTTTTCGGGTCGATCCGTTCGGTCGTTGTGGCTTGTTCCGAATCGAAGTCGAAGTGCCCCACGGCGGTTTCATACACGTTGCGGACGTCCAGCAAAACAGCCTGATCTGCTTTTTCCAATCGTTCGTTCCACGCCTCGGGGGTTAGGGAGATGGCGGGAGTGAGGGCAGGCACCGGCACGGACGGCGGTAAGCCGGACAAATCTCCTTCAAGACCCCTTCCACAACTCGCATTTTCGTCGGCTGCTTTCTGATGCGCAAAAAGTGATTGCAAGCAAGTATCGCTGTTGAACTGCTCCCGGTACATTTGCAGATGAGATTCCCACGACGGCGTGGAGCTGGAACTTAAGTCAGATGCGACATTTTTACTAGCATTCCGATAGCAGTCTCCAAACAGGCTAACCACCTCCTCACAAACACGCACCGCTGTGCGGCCCTGCATCATCTGTTTCGTCTTGTCGGACCCGTCGTCCACACAGCCGCCCCACTTCCAATGTACTGTGGAAAAGTCTTTGATGATTACACCGCATTTTTCAGCAAGAACTTCTTCAGGCATTTCAAGCCTTGTAAACTCCAGCAGATCACTTTCCTTCCCGCCCAAACAGCCGTTCAGGCCGTCTTTCGCAACGCGAAGACGACCGGAAATATTGCGTGCGTCGCAGAAATCTTGAAGAGAGGTAGCAAGAGGTTTACGAACGTCGGTAGCGCCACCACGATCTTGATGGGTTACGACAAGTGGCGTGTAGAGGTAGAAAAGCAGAACGCGGTAGTCGTCTGGGTGAATGTTTGGTGTGGGCTCACTTTTACTCATTTTTGCTTGTGGAGAGGGTGGTGAATTCATGAAATTGTCGCTGGGCCGGTCTTTACTCGGCGAAACTGCAGGAGTTGTAGAGGCGGTTGTCGAGGGGGAGAGACTTGGGGTTGGGTTTGCACGACTCGTCGGGGCTCCCGCGCAACAAGCTCGGCTACCACTCGTCCTGCTTGAGGAATTTGAAGACGAGGGGGACCTGCTCGTTGAAGTTGCTGTCGCTAGTATTTGAGGAAGCAGCTGCTGCTCTCGCACTATCCCTCCGCTGAGATGAGTTATCTTCTGTCGATGCCTCTCGCCTAACACCATCGTCGCTGCAACGCTCAAATTGCAGGTATGCGCGCGCGGGCGAATCTTGTCACTTTCCGTGCGCGTTTTCGTTGGTTTCTGCTCGACTGTCGGGAGGAATGCGCCGGCATCGCAGAGACGGAGCATCTCCTTCGACAACCCCCAGGATTCGCCGCCGAACACGAACGCGATTCGTTTTTGATTCAGATTTTCAGCTCCCAGAGCAGCACTTCTGTCAAGCTCAAATATCGAGGTGTAAGGCAAGCATGCGCTTTCACCCACTGTAGTGGTAGTCGCTTCGACATCTACTGCATCAGCTTCACCCTCTATAGGTGCACAGGAAGTGTGCGTTTCCCGCAGCCGGCTCAGCGTCGCCCCATCTGTTTCCCCGTTCAGTTCCTCAAACACCTCTTTGTTTTCGATAGCAAGAAGAAAAAACCCCGACTGCTTCAAGAAGTGCAGCACTTGCTTCAGATCGCCGTTGACGCAGAAGTGCGTGGCTTCGTCGGACGTGGTAGGAGTCTCACTTTCATCTTCATCGTTCACCTCAGCTGGTGACGACGAGCTTTCCTCGTTTATTCGTTCCTCGGATGTTCTTGAACCACACGCCTGTCTACTCTGATGTCCTTTGGCATGCGGAAACGCCATCGCCATCCGCAGAACTTCCTTCACAAAACCCCGGGCGTAGTAGTTCTCGTTGTCCTCGCTCTGCGTCAGAAACAGGGCCTGCGCCGGCCCGAATAATGGCATGTGGCGCAAAACCGTGCCGGCGTTTGGAGCGTACTTGACGCGGTCAAGAACAACGACATCATCTGTGTTGTTCAACTGGACTTTTTTTTCCAGAAAATCCTGCAGAGATTTCTTCCTCGAGCGAAAATAGGCGTTGTAGGAGTTGGGGTTGGATGAGGACGAGGAAGATGTTGTAGAAAAACCGCCACCCGGACCCGCGCTGGTTTCTGCAGAGGACGCCATGGCTGAGTTCTGCTTCTTGCTATGCTAGTACATGTGCTCTATCTACCTAGCCCTGGTGGACTGTGCTTTCAGTTCGACAAACACAAACAAGCTAGCAGTGCTGAGGTTGTTCTTCACTAAGTGTTTGAGTCGTGGTCTTCGTCGCTCACCTTCACACTGTCGCCTGAAGAAAGATCGTTTTCTCATTTATGAAGTTTCCTCCTTGGCACGGTATCAGTCGTTAAAGAAGTCCGAATGTTCAACTTTCATGGCTCGCCATGAGACTCTGACCTGAGTCACTTGTGAATGATCTACGTCATATTCATTCAGAACCACAACATCCACCACCTGCACACGCCTAGAATCAAGTTGAGCGCCATGATGATCATCTAGAGCACAGCAGCTGCCTCAGACTCGGATCTGGATCATGATCTGGATCTCTTCGATCTTGCAGTATTTCATAACGATCACTATTGGCGATCGTGCTGAGCAGGTCCGCATTTGTCTCATCAGATGTTATATTATGCTGGCTACTCCGCAGATGAAGATAGCGCGCAGCTCGAACAGGAAGCTTTCAAATGTTGTTCTCGGTCGCGGCAGGTCAGGATCAACTGACCAGTCGCATTTCGAGGTCACTGCTGGATTTACGTTGAAAGAAAGTTCATCAAGAGAAGAACCAAGCAAAAAAAATGACCACACTACTTGTTCATCGTTTTTTCTTCGAAACGAAGTAAAAAGCAATCGGACATGATCCTACAAAAGTCGGTGTAATTGGTGTACCGAGATCACCAGGAACGCAAAATCATCTTCCATCTACTTCAAAAATTTCACATGAACGCCGCTCCCGTCGACAAACTGGAAGTGCTTTCATCGACTGGAAACTGCGGTCCGAAGTACTTCACGTCGAGGTCGCAGTAATACGTTTTGTTATCCTCGTCCAGAACCTTTTCGTGCACCTTACACCCCAACGTCCTCCGACACTTCTCCACATCCGCCCCATACCCCCGACATTCCTCTTGTTTCTGTGCCTTCGCGTGCTTCGACCCCTGCGGGCCCTCCTGCTCCAGTTCCATCGGCGTTTGCACGTTGGGGACCTCGCCGGACAGCGTTTCGCACTGCTCCACGCCGTGGGAGAGCGGGGCGTTCGGGTCGACGGGGCCGGCCAACCCTGCGGCGACGTCTTGGGGCGTGTAGGTTTTCACGCAGGGCGGGTCGGAGGAAATGCACTTCGCGATCTGCTCGCGCATCATCTGGAGGGCGGCCTGTTAACGTAACGGCTTTTCTTCACTAGAATGCTGCGTAAATAATTTGACCCTCTAGCAGCTCTACGATTTCAACATCTTCTACGAATTTATTGCAGATAATGCAACATGATCACACGGAACACACACACACCACAAAACTTGTTCTGAGTACCGATATTCCCCCATGGCACTTCGCTCCGCTGAGAAAGTTTCCGGTCTGGCACGGCGTTCTCGTGGCGTGTTGAAACGGTCGTCCCGGCCAAAACACCGGAAAGGAGTTGTTCGTCGAGATATTCTGCACCTCACTGTCGATGGTGTTGCTGTTCATCGTTTTCTTCTCAAATTCAAACGCCGTGACATTCTCCCTCCCGTTCTGCCAATTCTCCACTTCGAAAAACGGCTTCGGATCCGTTTCGTTGTCCGTGCTGGTCAACCGGTTGAAACTGGTTTCCCACTTCACCTTCGCAATCTCATTCGTCACGTGTCTTTTGTAAGGGTTCAGGTAAAACCAGCGCGAAACTTTATCCGGCGTGACACTGTGATCGCCGAACGGCTCGGCGATGACGGCGATGTCGTCTCGGTTCTTCAAGACCCACTGCCCGGTTCTGTTCCGCTTTAACATATCCACAGAAAAAAACCCATCCACATCCATTTTTTGCATGACAAACACAGAGTTTCATGTATGTTTTGCATGACAAATTGGATGTGGATGGGTGTTTTTTCCTGGATATAACAGCAAGTCCTCGTACTCCGATTGCTCGGCGGCCGTTCGGGTTTTGTTTCCGCGCAGTTCCATCACACGGCTATCTTCCAGCCACACGTCGTCCTGCGTTTTCAGATCTAGGCTCGCCCCAAAATCCAGCCGGATGCGCTCGAACGTCGCGTCGGGGCCGAGCTCTTCGTTCATCCCCGGCGCTGGGTCCGTTTTGTTCGGCAAATCGTAGACGAAAGGTTTTTCCCCCGTTGTCGGGTCAGTCAATGTTTCCTCGATAACCCTTGGCACGTACTTCCCCCGCAAATCGTTCAGAGAGTTGATCGCCGGATTCGTCACGTCGTGCTGCAATTCCGGGAGTTTCAGGGTGATTGGCGGTTTTGGGTAAACGAAGTTCCCGTTGATCTTCACTGGGTGGGACAGTGGTGCGATGTGCCACTTGGTCAAATCCTTTTTCGAATCCGCGGAAATATTCCCCGGCGACAATTCCGGGGAGACGCGCATTTCGAACAAATGCAGCCGTCCCCCCTCCTGAATGTACTCCTGCCGGAACCTTTTCGGCTCCGACGGTTGGGGTAGTCGGTACCATTTCCCGCCAATCCCGAGCTCTTTCAGCGCGTGTTCCTCGTCGATGGTGATCTCTTTTCCGGAAAAAATAGCGTCGATGTCCTGTTCCACATTCGGATCCAAACACCGGCGGGGAGCCGTCTCGATGTCGAGGTCATCGGTTGGAAGATGGGTCGTGTTGTCGCCGCCCACGTGGTCGTCCGCTGTTTCACCTAGCATCCCGAGATCTTTGTCGATCGCGCGGTCGTGCCGGCGACATGCTTCGTAGATCCGGAACACATCCTCATCCTTGATCTTACTTTTCGGGTCGACGAGGAAGGCTTGAGGTTGGGTGGGCGGGGGAGGTGGTGGGGGTGCGTTCGAATCCTTTGAAGATTTTTCACTCTGCTCTTTCAGAAGTTTCTGTTCCTGCTGCTTTATTTTCGCGGACGAGATACTGCCCACATCCGGACTGCTCCCGTTCAGCATCTCCATTCTCGCCTTCAAAACCCTGCCCGACCACTTCCGTTGGAATTTACAGAGTCTTCCCTCCTTGTTCCCTGCCGACATCCGATTGTACCATTGGTACTCGAAAACGTCCGGAATGTCCTTCCGCTTCTCCACCCGCGGCGCGGTGTAGTGGACCACCCTCCGCGCGCCCCACCGGATCTGCGCGTTGGGGGTTTCCAAGCCGTCCGGCCGGCAGAAGTCGTACAAAACTTTCGGCGTGTACGCTTGGTCCTGTTCGTTCTTGAACGGTTTCCCACCGACCACGGAACTGTCGACCCACTGGGTCACCTTTGAGGGGAGCAGAATGTCCCGCCCGGTCGACTCCGCGATTTTCTGGACGACTTCGTGCTCCCCGTTCCTCGTGGCGACGTACAAGCCCCACTTGTGGTCGTGCTCGTGGTTGTAGAGCAACACCGCCACTTTGTACGCCTTTTCGAATTCCTGCATCAAATCCGGCGAGTCGTGCTTCAGGAAAGCTGCCAGGGTTCCTTTTTTGTACTTCGTCGGCTTCGAGGGCTCGGGCTCGGGTTCTTCGGGAATAATGTCATCTTCTGGGTGTCCGTGTCCTTTCGGGTCTTCGAGTTTCGGCTCCCCGTTTTCGTCTGTTTCTGAGGTGGAACCCATTCCAAACATGCTGATCCCCTTGTCCATCAGATTCTTCCCCGTGTGGTCCATCGCGTCTTTTCCCTTGTCCACAAATTCATCAAACTTTTCTGTCTATCAAATGTAAAAATGTCTGGGTCTGGAAGGATGGGACTTGTGATGCGTCCTGTGGATCACACAAAACTCTGTCTTGCGTGATCAACAAAAGACGCCCTTTTCTGACCACCATGAGAGGGAATTTCTCATGCAGGACAGGCATGATAGAGACCTCGCAGAATCGGTCATGCTATGTCCTGCATTCCAGACCTTATGGGGCATGCAAATTCTGCATGACAAGTTTGCACTCTTCCCGACCCAGACATTTTTGCAATCCATACTGTCGCCTGCTCGACCAATTCCTCCCCCTTCTTCCAAGCCGCGTCCATCGCCGCTTCTAGACTATCCCCTAAGCCCTTCGTTTTGTCCAAAACTTTGAAGTACGCCGGCGGGTAGTGCGGTGGGGGGTTGTTTTTGTCGAAAGCGATGTTGTTCGGGCTGGAATTAGACGGCGGAACGGTAGTCGCCATCAGCCACTTTCCATTCAACCCTTTTCGTTCCTCCTCAAACCCCTCGAATTCTAAATAGCTTGGCGCTACACACTCATCCCGGCAGTTCGCGCGCGCAAACGAGAACTCATCGACGCCCTTCTCATCCGCGTGCGACCGCATCGGCGGGCAGGCGTGGTTTTTGCAGACTTGCTTGCAAGTGTCCTGCCGGTTCACGGATTTCTCGTGCTCCAAATCGTAGCTCGATTGGTAGTCGAGGGAGAGCGGGATCTGGTTCTCCGGCCTGACCCGCTGGTTCTCGTTGATCTCGTACAACTGTTTCACCCCGTGGGAAAAGGGGTTGATGCTCGTGTAGATCTGCTTTTTCAGGTCGCCGGGGATGAACTGGGTTCGGAGATGGTGCATCTGGTGCTCCACGTCCACCTCGATTTCGAACCGCAAGTTCGGTTTCCGCCTGCAGTCGATGTAGAAGGGAGTCCGTTCCTGAATCGCCTTCATGTGCGGCGTGAGTCTGTTGCTCCCGTTCAAAAAGTACGTCGCGTCCCAGTAGACCATAGCGCGGTTTTTCGGCGTGTCGAGTACCTCCCCGTGGTTGGCGGTTCTGGAAAGTTCGCCCAGTGAGTCGCCGTAAACGGTTTTTTCCTTGTCCACAGAACTTCTCTCCGTCGCGGTTCCAGAGGAGATGGACGCTACATCTTCATGGTTCTTCTCGTCCAAATTTGCATTCGGATTGTCGTCCAGTAACCGAACGTGCACGAACCCTTGCGGCCGGCCGAAGGTCACCTCCGGGTGTACTCCCTCGTCTTTTCTCCAGCCGGAATACCCGCATTTCTTCAGCTGCAGCCACTGGGCCAAATTGGTCCTCACATTCGGCGGCATCTGGTCCGCGACCGGTGGGCCCTCGTCTTCGCCACCGGACAAACTGTCCATCACGCCGCCCATCGCGTCTTTCCCGAGCTCCAGCAACGTGTCGCCGTGGTCCTGGAGGAAGCCGCCCGGATCCTTGACCGCACCGGCGGCGGCCATCATTGCGGTAGGGGGCACGGGGAGCATGAAGGAGGTGTCGTGGTGGAGGGGTCGTGGTGGGTAGCTGCGGATGTTGCCGGGACGGAGAAGATTTCGCCACGCTGCTCTGGAGAAGAAGGTAGAAGAAGACCATTGAGGGCTGCGGCTCACAGCACCCTTGGTTCCTGGTGCTGTGAGATCCGCTTCGGCATCAGAGGTGCAAAACGATGACCGGTTGTGTTGACCCGTCCAGCGAGAGGCTGACGCTTTGTTCTCTGGTACATCGCCAAAGAGGTGGTCTGTAAGATCATGTCGGACCCCCACGACCATGATTCTTTTGCAACTTCTATTCCAGTTCTTGCTAAATAATGATGTCGCCGCCAATTGCTTAGCTCTTGCTCTGGCACTTGCTTCTAGTCTGGCAGGTCAGACATGATTGCTCATCTTCCTCGACCGAACACCACAAGCGATAGGATGTGGATGATGGCGATGCTATGTCACTCAATTACAGGCACAAGGGTAAGACTAAAAGACACATGACGAAATACAACAAAAAGCATAGGAATGATCCCTCCGCTCGCTTTTTTCAAAAAGCCCGTATTTTCAGCACAACAAAACAAGCTCCACCAGGACACTCGGACCACTGTTCTCTCTTTGCGGTCCAAAAATACACACGCGCCACACTGCCTCTTCAGAAGCAACACTCAAAACACAATCATACTGAACAAACCACCAGACACTTTCCACAGGCAGCGCTGACCGTCCGTGGGATGCATGCTCCGGTGGGCGAGCCAAGACATACTTAACTAGCACCCTGGGCCCCAATCCCAAAGCCTCCGGTTCTGACTGGCCATAAAGCAGGGGCATTTTACAAAATCGCCGCGCCCCCCCGGCCACAGATTCGGAAAAGCCCACAAACAGCGGGCGCGAACAGACGCCGGCGCGCGGGCCATGCAGCTGCGCCACACAAGCAGCAGCGCGCCACGCGTTGGCTCCGCGCCGACGGGGTGGAGGCACGGCTGGCACAGGCACCAAGGGCACGCGCCACGGGGACACACGGCACAAGAACACACAAAAAAGCGCGACCCTGCTTGCTCGGGGCGGGCGCGCGGAGCCGCAAAGGGGCGCCCAACCCAAAAACCAGCGCAAGGCTAGGGGGCGAAGTTCAAAAATACATCGGACAGGGGCGGCGCGCCCGGGCGCCAAATAAATGGGCCGCCCCAAATTCCCCCACATTCGGCGAGGTGCCCAATCAATGGAACGGCCGGAACATGTTGAACGGCGCCGGGTTGTAAACAGCAAGGAAGGCGGCGGGTGGGATTGGGCCAGCAGCGGCTGGCGCCGCGGGGGCTGCATTCCCGGAGCGCCAGCGGCTCGGCCTGCCTCTCGCCCCGGCTTCCGCCACGGAATTCGCGCGCCCCGCCCGTGTATTGGTTGGGCGTCCAGCCTCCCGCGCCGTCTTGTTCGCCGTCCAGCCTCCCCTGCTGCCTTCGCTACCTCCACGCTGGACGGCCCAGAACTCAGACAATGGCGGGGCGCCCGCGCGGGGCGGGGCGGCCGAGCGACCGCCCGGGCCCGCTCCAGCAGGGCGGCCGGCGCGCGCGCCCCGCCCGTTTTCACAGGGCGGGCGGGCGCTCCGCCTGCGTGCTCGCTGCCACACATCGAAGGCCGGGCCGCAGAATTGTTTCCACAACCCCGGGGGGGCCTTTCCACTACCTAGTCCGCGTGACCTGGCGCGCTGCTTTTTGCGCGTGGCGATGTCGGCCGAAGCCGGCAGCGGCGGGCACTGGCAACGGGCTCGAGGGCGGAAAGCGGTAGCCGACGCGACTGAGAGGCAGCAGGCCCGGCATCGTCTTGCTCGGCCTCGTTACTTAGGTTGCCCGCTGGCTGGCGCTGCCGCCGGCGGCACCAAAAACAAAGCCGCGCCCGCCTTGCGTCTGCAGCTGCGCCAGGACGCTCTTCGCCCATTCACCACACAGCGACCGCCCGGCGCTGTGTCCGTGATGCAACTGGTAGGACGGCAACGCGCAAGAGCAGGGGAAGAGGGCCGGACCCATGCGCACGCGTTTGGCGAAATTCGACACCGCTCCCACCCAAGCGCGGAAGTTCTCCGGTTTGTTTCCGCACCCCTCCGCCCTATCGTCGTTGACTGCTGGCCAGGTGGAATTCAACGCGTGGCATGCCCTCGGCGACGTCGCTTCCGCTTCGCTCGAACTAGCGGTCTCTCTGCTCTCTCAAGTCTGGTGTGGGAGAAGCACAATTCACACAGAAATAGGCCCCTGCGATGTAGCCCGATTATTCATCGATCTTGCTTCGTCCTTTCGATTCTGTTTACACACTGTTCGGAGTCACCACAAGCTTCGACACCACTCTACTATCGATTTTTCCGGTATAGATATGGTTTAGGAGATATATGGTCTTAAAGTTGTGGAAATGTTGAAGAAAATGATCACTGGATAAAAATGTCGTACTCATACTTGTCACAGACTCAGACATCATGTGCACTTAGCTTACAATGCAGGTAATTAAATCATACAGTTGTTACGTTAGGAGTCATATTCATTGTACAGAGAGCGAAAAATCAAAATCATGATCCAATTGTCATCACAGTACCCTGAATCTACTGTCGTGAGAGAGTACTTATTCGTATTGTACAACTACACACACGTGAAGTAGAACACGCAGTGACGAAGCATAGATGAAAGCTCTGTATACGTAATAAAACAAAAATCGATTTGACAGCTTCGTGCGAGAAGTTGATGAAGTTGTCTTTCATATAAACAACATTGCCACTCCACCTGCGCCCGGTCTCTTTTCAATTGTAACTCGCCCGAATCGGTCGGCACCACCGTTGCCACAAGAAATACCGAAAGTCCTCTCGGATGTTCCTTGTTTCCAAAACGAGTGTCGCAACGCCCCTCCGTGGCACGTCGGCTGGGGAGTGCCAGGTGCTATATTGGGCACCTCCTGCACTACTCGCCGGCGCAGTCTTCACCGCATTGATATCTTCTTCAACACCTACTTCCACACTGTCCGCGTCTGTCGGCAACAGCAAGACCGGTGGCGCGTTCAAATTCTTTGCTTCCCTCGCCGCCTCTACGACTTCCAGAACGGATTTCATTTTTGTCAGACCGCTTTTACTCTCCAAATCCGCGCAGACGAATAGTTTTCCGCTCTCCGCTTTCGCCACGCAGTACAACACCCAGACGAGCAGCCGGTCTTCTGGAATCGAGACATCCACAGTGTACGTCGAACTGTGCAGCTGATGGTAGTGGGCGATATTCGTGACGGAATAGAGCAAATTTAACGTGGTCAGCCGCCCGATCCGGGTGACGATTTCCTGTTGTGCCGTCTCGCTGAACACGTTTCGGTTGAACAGTACCCGCGGTGAGCAAATCTTCTCCCGTTCCGCACACCGAGAAAAGAGGAGAAAAAACATTTCAACCCGCGGGTCGCTGTCGACATGCTGGTCTTTCGACTGCCAGTCGACCTCGTCCAGCCACCCGGAGCCGTCCGCGAAAATCTTAAGCAGTTTTAGAAAGTCTGCGACCCGGAGATGCAGCAAGTGGGTGATGGAGCGGAGCGCGCGGATTTTGTGAAACACGGCCGCGTCGGACTTTTCTAAAACTAGGCAAAGCCGGTCGAGGAGCTCCAAGTTCGTGGTTTGGAGCTGGGGCTGGTTGTCGCTATTGGATATTCCTGCAGAAGTAGTCCCAGTTGTGCCGGGGCTGGATGGGCTAGCTGGATTGCTCATGTCAAGTTGTTTTGTTTGAGATGGTTGCTGTGCGAAGAAGCCGTGGATCTGTGGGCCGCAGGTCGTCGATGTTGACGGTATCTTCTTTTCAAACCCGACGCCGGTTTCTCCGGCTGGAAGCGGGTTGACCGTCAACAATGATGAGGAGTAATCGCAAAAGAAAATCTCCGTCTCAACCACCGCGGAGTCATCTTCATCTCCCGGCTCTGCGCCCTCTTGGCTTTTCTTACCGCTTTTTCCAAATGGATTTTGCTGCTGCTTCGCGCTTGGGCAGCTACTGGAAGAACCCGCTCCCGCCGCGGAGCTCCGCACGATCTTCAGGTGGCAATTTCGAAAATGATCATCGTCCTGGTACTGCGACAGATCGCACGGCGGGAACACCGGCGCACCTCCACCGCCGCTTTCCGAAAAGTTCCCGTCCGGGCCACCGGCGATCGGCGGGAAAATGAGTGCTTTGTCCTGCTCGGAGAGCATTGACCACTGATTTTTCGCGGAGAAATTTGGCGGCAGCAATTTCACACCGTGGATCGAGCCCGCGATGTTTTTGTTGCTTCCACCCGAAGAAGATACTGTTCCTGTCGCACCGGAGTTGTGCATCGCCAGCTTGTAGTCGAAAACCGACTTTTCCCATTCGTTGATCAGCATCAAACCCTCCAGAACCGCCCGGTCACAGGCATTTGTCCCAACTCGCAGCGCATATCTGCCTGTCGGGTTTTGTGGGCAGTAGTAGAAAAACGGGCGGACGATCTGCAGAATCAATTTTCTCGTCGTTTTGTGCGTCGTGTCGCTAGACAAAAGCCGCTCAAACTGCAACCCGCGGCAGGACACGTCGGTCCTGAACCACAATGATGGGAGTAGCTCCTGGCAGACGTGCGGAACGCGTGCATGGGACACACACTCCCTCAGCAAAGTCGCGAGCTGTGCCTGTTTCAAGATACAGGTCCTCTGCAAAGCGGTGAGAAACGCTTGGAAACCGGTTGGAAGACACAAATCGAGCATGTCTTTCACGACTAGAAACTGGCTGAACGTCAGGAAATGGAGCTTTTTCGCGATTTTCATGTACTTCTGGTACATCGAAGCAACGCGTCGGTATTCCTGATTCGACCCGGCGACGAGGGTCGTTGGAATGATAGACGCGAAATCCTGTTCATGGAGAAAGTTGTGCTGCTGTAACTGGTGCCCGACCACATGATGATTTCCTCCGATACTTGCGGCTTTCCCATTCCTCGCTTTCCCCTTTGAACTTGAAGAAGTACTTGATGCCTCAAAAGTTGTCACCTTGTCGAGGAAATCAGGCGGCGTCACTTGTACACGGATGTTCCTTGTGAAAGGGTTTTCATCGCCCTGCTTCTCCTCTTTGAGACAGGACAACAACGTGTGTGCCTCTGCCTGTCTTATGTCGTTCTCCAGAGCCGCTGCAACCGAATCTAAACTTTGTGAACCGCCATTGTTCCCGTTTTTCTTGTTCTTGTTCGGCCCTTTGGCTTTTGCAGCCACACCACCGTCGCCATTTTCTGGCTCGGGTAAGAGCTTGAGTTGCGGGATGCAGTCCAGCAGAGTTTTGTTCGCAGCGGTGAAATCGCTTCGGTAGAGTTTCCGGCAAAACAACGAGCGGGCAAACGGATCCCTTAAATTCAAATCGTAAACACCCTGGACCAAGTTGCTCGATCGAAAAATCGTCGGCGCCGCGTCCTGAAAGCCAGACACGTCGACGCAGCGCAGGGTTGGTAAAGCGATGACCAAGCGGAGCAAGGATTCTAAACCCAAGGACCCCAGCGGGCTTCCCGCGAGGAACAAACTGCGCAATTTAGGGTGTTTCGAGCACGCGCATTCCAGCACAAAGGCGGTCTTCGCGTCGAAACCGGAGTGCGCTAAATCCAAGGAAAGTAGCGTATTGTTCTCCGCCAGGCCCTCGACGAAAAGGGAGAGCGGGGAATACGTGTCGAGGTATTGGTTTTGCTTTTCGAGAGAAGCTCCTGCAGAAGACGCAGCTCCGCCTCCCGCTCCACTACTTGTTGACGAAGTACCATCGCCCGTTGTTCCATTTTCTTCCTTCGAGCTAGTTGGTTCCCCAGCGCTGGTCCCCGGCACTTCTGTTTCTGCCTTGTAGATCATCTCCTGCAGTTGTGTTTTCCCGGACACGAATCTCGTGTCCAGAATGTGCGAGATATCTTCGTCCGGGTGCGACGGCCCGGAAAGGATCATCTGCGTGCGCGAGCTGTGCGCCTTCCGGTTAAACACAACGGCCGCGTGCGCCATGTCGCCCGCGTCAAAGCCGTTGGTGAGTTTCAAGTCCGCGATCGCGAACCCGTGGTGGTCCGCTGCGGAAGTCCCCGATTGGAAGGAACTACACCTCCCGTACTTGATTCTTGCCTCCCCGAACGACTGCGCGTTGTAACTCAAGTCGAGATGCTCTAATGACTTCGTGTGTTTCACCAACGCGCGGAGCGCCAGCAGGCCATCGTCTAGCAGAAAATTCCTGCTCAAATCCAGTTTCTGTAAAAACGTCAAGTGCTGCAGCTCCACCACCTCCGCCTGCCCCGTCGTTCTCCCCAGCCCGCAGTCACTGACGTTCAGGTCCATCAAGAACGGCGTGTACCCGGAGAGCGACCTGAAAAGCTGCAAGAACAGTCCGGGCGAGCACCGCTTGAACCCTTGGAGATCCAACCGCCGGAGAGATTTTGGTAACAGACACGTTGGCTGGACCAGGCCGACTAGGAACAGATCGCCGAGCTGTGGGTTGTTGCCAATCACGAGCTCCTGGAGGTGGGAAAGGACTTTTGGAGTTTTGCTTTTGTTTTCCTCGTCTGTTTGTTCATCATCGGATGAAGTTGCGCCGTCGGAAGAGGTATTCGAATTTGCTGTGGGTCCAGCATTTTTGTTCTTCATCACTGCAGCAGCCGCGACTGTCTTTGCATAGTCCTTGTTCCAGAGCTTCAGGAAGTTCAGAAGCGCTTCCGCGGAGAACTGATTCCCATCGAGGTAGAGCCGCCGAATCGCGCGCCTGCTTTCTAGAAGCTCCCTGAGAATGTTCGTCGTCCTCCCTGCGGAGATGACGTCTTCTTCCAGTAGGAGTTTGACCAAATTGTGTTGCTTCAACTTGTCCGCCTGTTCGAAGAAAGAAGTTTTACCGCTTGGATTTTCTTTCCTGCTCAATTTCAGCGCTAATTTGATCGCTTTTCCTTCTTCCTCTTCCTCCAAAGCCATCTGCTTCACTGCTTCGGTGCTGCAGATCAACTCGTTGTCCTCCAACTGCCATTGGCTGAAGTTCAGAGTTCCCGGACCGCCCAAGACGAACTGCGAATTCCCAAACGCAAAGGCCGCGCGTTCGGAGCACTGGAGTCTCCTCGCGGTGCGGATGTAGAGTTGATCGGCTATGGACTCCGCAACCGTGTTGGTGGTTAACCTTGGCAAGTGCAGCATCGCCTCGAAGAGGGACTCCCGCCAATTCCGTTGCTGTTTGTCCAAAGTGGAGATGACAGATTCCACGCCCGGCGGGATGGTGTCGAGGAGAAGCGTGTCGTTCAGGGTTCTGAACCTTGTCGAGGACGAAGTACTAGATGAACGGGCTCTTGTGTCAGGAACTGGACCTGAGGCTTTATTTGACGAAGTGTTGCCTGTTAAAAGCTGAGCCGGTGGCGAAGCCGCACCAATCTCGCTCGTACGAGCGCGACGCATGGACTTGCTCCAATCGTTCAGCTTCTGTTTCGTTTGCTTCTTGTGAATCGTTGGCGAAACCCAAAAGGGATTGTTTGAGGGCTCTTTTCTCTTTCTCGGTGGTGTGCCGAAGTGCGCTGGCTGGTCAGCAGCATCCACGTCTTCTCCGTTCCTTGCAGCTTCTTCTTCAAGAGCTCTACTTTCACTGCCTCTAGCTGCATTCACCAAAACCATCCTCCGCAAAAACTTTTCCGGATACGAGCGTGCCAATTCCATCCGCTCTGGCTCGGAGAGAAGCGGGAAATACCGCCCCAATGCCTTTGCGTAGCTTTTCATCTGCAGCCTTATCTGCTCCTGTTCGGTCATTTCAGTTTCGTCGAGACCTGCGTTCGCAGTGTGTGCAGGTGCACCATTCATCCTGCCGACAGTACTAGCATTCCCCTCGTCCACCCCCTTCGGACCTACCTCCACCAGTGCTTCTTTTCTCGCTCTTTGAAAATCTTCCACCCTTTCTATCAACAGCGCTTCGCACTGCCCGATGCTCATCTCGTTCTGGGTGGTGACAAGCTTCAAGTGCTTGTCCTCACGGAGAATCGGTGCGTAGTTCTCCTTCAGGTAGACGGCGTTTGACCCGTCGAGATCGTGTGGGGCTGTTTCTCTTGCCTTCCTGCTGCTCGCGAGCTCATCGTACACGTTTGCAGTTTTACTACCATGCCAGGGGGAGCTCGCTGTCTTGCTGTACTGTGAATGGCCCTTCACCTTTTGCGGAGAGGAGGAGATCGATCGCATGGAGCTGCTTAATGTAGTTGTTTTCATCATCATCCTCTTCTTCGCCGCCAGCTCGGCTTGCGCATCCGCGAGCAAGTCGCCGCCACGACCTTCGTCCATTTGCTCCTTCGCTTGCACAGTTGCAGGATTTCTGTTCTGTTGCGGACCGGGGATGCAGAAGTTCGCTGTTGCGGAGGAAAGCTTCAACTTTTCCAACTCCTCCGGGTCGTTGAAAAAAAACGCGGTACCTGGCTGCTTCCTGTACCTTCTCAGGTCCCTTCCCTCGTGCTCGAGCAGGGTTTGCGCACAGGAAACCACTTTGCAAACCGACGGGTCGTTCGCGGTGCGCCCGTGCTGCTTTTGCTTTTGCGGGCTCAGGCTTTTGGACTTTATTTTCAAGTGATGGTGACTGTGGTCGGTTTGATGTGTGGTCGCATGCGGTCCACCAGGGCGGTAAAAATGGTGCCCGTCTTGATGAAATACATTTTCGCCTCCATCAACTACCTGATCCTCCTCCACCACTCCGCGAAAGGCGTATTTATTCGCCCCCCAAGAATGCAGCGCCTCGTCCGCCGTCGACGGCCTCCCACCGCGGAGGACTTCTTCGTTCGAATACTTGTAGAAGTCCAACCCCTGTAAATGCTGGAGAGAATCCTTGTCCACTTTCGGCACATGTTCCTGCACGGGGCCGTGGATCGTTTCGTGCGCGACCATCTTCCGAAATGCGATACTCGTATCATTTAACCGGATCAGGTGACTCGCTCTTGCAGTTGCGAAGGGGGCGAAAATGCCCTTCGGGGGGGAGAAGGGCGGGGTTTCTGGTTCGTGTTGGTGGTGTTGTGGTACCATCACGGTGGTGCTCGCGCTTCTGGTGTTTGTGCCGCCTACTGAAGTTGAGACGTCTTCGGAATCTGGGAGGTTTTGTTCGCTGCAATCATCATGATTTTCGCCCGCGAAAGTAACACCTTTGGATCCGGAACGACGCGGCTCAGTTCCGGAAAGTGGGGCTCCTTGGCCGTTGTCCAGCCCTTCGCCACAAGCCTCCTGTGGATTTTGTTCACAATTGCTTTCCAACCCCAACGCCCTAGCCCCCACATCGACAATCATCGGCTTCAAAGTTATCTTCCGCAGGGGGGACAAAGCTCCCCTTGTCTTCCGCCTGTACGGGCTATTTCCGATCATCTCTGACGACGCAGAAACGGGAATTTTCTGCACCTCCAGATACTCCCGCCGGCTGTCCTTCTGCTGCTTTTTTATCACGGATTCGATGTTTAAGCTATTCGGAAAAAACTTCGCTTTGTCAACCTCTTCGTCCGACTTCTTGTACATCCGGCTGTGTTGCGTGAAAAACTCGCTGTGCCGCAAATCGTAGCTCGGTAGTGGCGGGTGGTTTACACTGCTGTTGTTGTGCGTCAAGAAATGCTTCTCCATCGCGCTCAAGCTCCCGCACCGCGCCATCCACTTCTCAAACGCTTTCGTGTACGGGCCAAAGGGGTCTTTGAACGTGTTCCGGTGGTTTTTCCCGATGGAGGTCGCGTGGCCGGAGGCGGTGACGATGGCGAAGTGCTGTAAGTCTGTATTCAATAACTCCCGGTTGTCGACAAAAATCTGCTGCATTTGCTGCTGCCGGCGTAATCCCTTCGTCGTAGCACATATTCGTTTCACACAGAGCAAAACCCGTCTCGCCGTATTGCTGTTCTGCACGTGGTGGGCGAGAATTGAGGCCGGGGTTTGATGGCTAAGCGCAGTTGTTACAGTACCACCGGAAGAAGTGATTTTGCTTTTCCGCGTGCGGGACTGGAGTTCCTGCGCCGCGGTTAGAGATTGGTGGTCACGGTCACCAGCAGATGCCGGGTTGTGATTATACTCGCCGCTAGTGGAGGAGAAGCCCGCCCCACCTCGTCCCCCACCAGTCGACGATTTGCTGTTGGCCAGAACTTTGGAGCCCCTCGTCCCGACCACCGATTTGGCTCGGTTCCGCAGAAACGTCAGATTGGCCTCGTGCTCCCCGTCGTCGTCAATCAAGCTGCTGCGCGCCATCTTGTTGTTGTCCGCGATGTTGTGATGCGAGATGCACACCGTGTGGTGGACGGAGAGCTGATGAAGCAGTTGCGGCTTTTGCTTCGAGCCGGGCAATGCGGTGCTCCCCTTCGACGACTTCGTCTTCGAAGATGTGGACTTTCTGCGGTTCATCTGCTCGTCACTGTTTTCGCTCACCCTCGGTAGATGCAGCTTCGACGTAGTTTTACTGCCAAATAGTAGACCAGCACCCCGTTGCCCCCCTTCTGCGGAAAATCCAAAACCGCCCGAAGTAGAACTCGTCGACGAGCTTTTGCTCCCGGCGTGCGAAGCCGTCATCCTTCTTTTTTTCAAATTACTCGCCGTCGTGCTCATCATCACGGTGCTGGCCCTCGCTTTCGATCCCATAGCGCTCGTCGACGGGGTGACCACGGTTTTGCTGCCCCGTCTCTCGTTCTTCTCCTCTTGGAGTAAGAGGAGCAGATTCGTATCCGAGCAACTCCCATCGGCCATTTTGCTCCAGGATTCTAGTCCGAGTAACAGCGTCTGCAAGAAGTCGTTCGTCCGCTTCTCTTGCCGTCTTCGCAACGCGAGGTCCGCTTCCTGCGCTAGTCGCTCAGCGGCCTTGGATCTGCGGAACAGGTCGGGGGTGTTGGCGATCAGCTCCAGGAATTCCAGGAAGTCGAGGTTGCCAGACCTAAGGATGTGGTTTCAAGGATTTGACGAGAAGTGATACTGCAGCAGCAACTTGTAGTACTACACTGCGAACCCATGATTCCTTGGTCATCTTGCAACATGCGCAATTCATCAAGTTGTAGTAGATGACGATTCTGTTTTGTGATCTTTATGCAAGAACAGCAATCCATCTCCATGTATAGTACGAATCCGCATCCGCCTTCTCAATCGCCACTCTCAACGTCTCGTCGTCAAACTCCAGATCGTTTTTGAGCAAAACCGATATCCAAGAAAAAAACACTGTTAGTGTAAATTTGTGATGCTCAACATACAAGATGATTGTGGCTGTCATGTTTGGCATGCATCTTAAGGTCCATGAAAGGGCGATTTCACGTACTATCTGCGCATGACAGGTTTTTGCTGTCATGCCAGACAAATTTGTAATGCTGTTCCTCCAATAAAAAAGTTACACCTACAATGTTTTTTTCTTGGATAACCGAAGCCAGTAGATCGTTGTCCACCGCTTCCGTTTCTTCCGACGCAAACCCGTGAAAAATCCGCAAGAACTGACACAGCTGCTTCGTGTCCCACCGCAGGGCGTCGATGAGCTCGATGAGCCTCGGTTGCTTTCCATCTTCAAACAGTTTCGGCCCATCCGGCATGTTTTTCTCCATCCAGTCTTGGAGGTTGGAGACGATGGTTAGGAATTCCACAAAATCCAAATCGCCCGAACCGTCAATGTCCACCTTGTCGTATTCTCGTTTGATCAGCTCCTTATCATTGGGTAACAACTGCAGCGCTTGGAGGGTGGTTTTCAGTTCCAAGAAATCCATCGACTCCGATCCGTCCTCGTCGAAGCAGAGGAAGACGGTTTTCAGGGACAAGACCTGTCTGGAGGTGTAGTGTCTTTTCTTCAGAATCTGGATCAACGGTGGTAATCTCCCCTCAAAAATCGACTGTCGCGGTTTCGTCGGGTCCTTCATCGTTGCGGTGATGATAATGGTGTCGAACTTCTTTTCTAATTCGGCGACTTCATCCAGTTTTTGTTTGTCTTTTAGGAAAGGAGAAGCGCCGCTCTTTGGCTTTGTACTTGACGTAGAAGTTGTTCCGATGCTTGTTATAATTTCACTTGCCGCTAGATCGTGCAACTTCTTCTCCAAGACGATCTCCAAGTCCTGCATGGACAGCCTTGCGTTCCGGGCGCGGAAGATTTTCTCAACCAACGAGAGGAATTCGACGAAATCTAGGACCCCATTTCCGTCCGTGTCGTACATCTCCAACAGCATGTCCGCGCACCGCTTCGTCACACTCCGGTATCAAAAGAAAAAAGTTCGTCACGATCACTCATGGGCATTTTTGCAATACAAAAAATGCCTCGCCTGTCATGCGTAAACATGCATCACAGCCAAACAACATACGGGATTTCCCTTAGTGTTTCTGCAATACAAGGAAAAGCTATGATGCTAAAAAAATTGTAAATGCAAAACCCCCAATTTAGTGACTGTGACAAACTTTTTTCTCTCCATATCCGGTCGATCGCTTTCAGCAGCGTCCAGAAGTCTTTCTGGTGCACCACGTGGGTCGTGGTCGGCTGTAGATGTAGTTCTGGCTGGGAGGTGGAGGACAGGGTCGCTGTGACAGGTAGGCGATCTAGTTCTCGTCCTGCCCCTGATGTGCCGCGCAGTACTGACATCGTAATAGCAGTAGAAGAAGGGCCGCCGGGGGTGCTTTCTGCAGCGGCAACAAGGCTGACATTGTGCTGATGTTGTTGTCCAAGAACTCCTACTCCACCTCCACCTGAAGGAGCAACGTCGTCACCGCTCCCACTGCCCCCCTTCTTCAAATCCGATAGCTCCGTGAAGCATTCAAACATGGCCAAACACAGTTCCAAATCGTCCAACGTCAACCTCTTGTACACATACGGAATGTGCAAAGTAGACTGCGGAAACTGGGCCAATAGCAGCAAAAACGAAACGAAATGCGCGGTCAAGGGTTCTTCTTTTTTCTCCACGTGCCCAAAACCCAAATCCACACCGAGAGAAACCGCACCTGTAATCATTGGACTAGCCCTGGATTTACTTTTGCCCCAGATGTTGCTAGTTGAATCGATGGTCACCGCAGAAGAAAATCGGTGCTTCAGCAGAATACTTTTCCCGAACCGTATCTGCTCCGCCGCGCTTCGCGAGTGCTGCATCGGCCGCGAGTCGGCGGTTAGAGCGCCACCGGTACTAATAGAACTAGCGCCAGCCTTTTCCGGGGATCTGGAAAACGCGGACCGCTTCACTCGTTCTGCGAAATTTTTCACGTGTTTGTTCTCCCGTTTCAGCTTCTTGATCCGACTCCGGTTCCGCAGGTTCGTCAAGCCTCGGACTTGAAAAGCGATGTCCTCGAAGTACAGACCAGGGGATTTTACGTGGACTTCCATTTCCTCCAGTTGACCCGCAGTTGTCATCGACGCTGCTGCGCATCCCATTATACCACTTTCCGTCGAACCATCCGGAGCTCCTGCAAAGCTCGTTTTCGTCTTCGAAGAGTGTGTCGAGGTGGACCCGACTCTCACCATTGAACTCGAGATCGTGCTGGTCGCTTTACTGGTTTGTCTGCTCGTAGTACTACTTCCGTCCGCATTCACAACTGCCACTGCCGTTGAAGTCACGGTTTTATGATGTTCTCGCCGGTCGATCGTCAAAGAGGACGCTCTTGTCGCCGTTCCCGATTCGACGGCGGTCATGGTCGTCGAAACCATCGTGCTAGTCATGGTTCCCTTGGGACTCATCATCGGACTCGCAGTTGTGCTTGGTGGTGCGGTGGATCCAGAAGGGATGTAGTTGGAAATCCCCGCGGCGCGCTTGGCCAAGGCGTCTTTCTCCTTCTGGTAATCGGGGTGGAAAACGGATTTTTTCGGCCCGCCAGCCATTAGAGTTTTTCTCTGCCCGTCCTGCTTGCGTTTGAAAAAGTTCTGCAGTCGCTGCTTCTCGTCTTCCGTGTCGGAGAGGTTCGCTGCTGACGTGTTTGTTCTAGTATCACCCCGCTCTGACTTGGAAGTCGGTGACATTTGCTGAACCGACGCTCTAGAAGTCGTGTTACTGTTCGCCATTTTCGGCGACAGTGACCGGGAGGAACTCGCTTTCGACTTGCCGACGACAGGCATGGAAGCCCGCGAACTGTAAGTCTTGTCGAATATGTTGAAACTCTCGTCTTCAAGCCCCGAGCTCGCGCAGCTGTACCGAGAGTCCTTGCTGTTGCTCTTGGCGCGCCGATCGAAATCAACAGTGACGGATTTGGTTTTTCCAACATTTTGATGTTGTGCGCCGCTGAAGGAGCTGCCTGAAGCGATCGCGACAGAATTGGTCGCGGCCGCCCCGGGTGGGTGAAAATGTCCGCCTACAGGTGGTTGTCCCGCCCTCGCCCCACCCAGTTGGGTCAGCGCAGCTAACTCGTGGTGCTGAAGGGTCAAGGGTTCGACAGCCGCTTTGGGATCGGGTAAATCCAAAACCCCGCGGAGCAGCTCCTCGACGAAGCTCAAATCCAGCTCTTCCTCGGGCAGAATCTTCCGCAGAATTTCCAGGCAAACCTCGCAGTCGATCTTCGGTAATTCGCCCGTGATCCCCTTCCGCGCTCGTCGAATCTTCTCATCCACGGTGGTTCTGACCTTCGCGACCTGGAGTGGGGGCTGCTGCTGCTGAAATTCACTGAAGTTGGAAAATGCAGCTGGTAGTTCCTCGGCCTCAGAGTCGTCTTCTTCTCTGGTTGCCTTTGCTGGAGCTGCGGTGGCTTTGGACATCTTGTAGTAGGCCAGAAACATGCACTTCAAGGAAAAAACGTCGTCCGCGTTCCAACCTTTTTCCTGATTAATAGGTGCAGTTTCACATTTTCATTCAAGATGCGATTGCGAACGCGGTGGCGGCTGCACTGCGCGCGATAGAGCTTAGGCTTGTGCTATTCGCCAGGCGCATCTGTATAGTTGCATTCCTGACATCCACTCCCACATGCACATCCTGAATCGCATAGGCTTCGTCAACAACAAAAAAAGAGGCGAGTTTATACCTTCAAAACTTGCAGGATCTCGACCTTTCCGAGCTCCAACGTGTCGATGGTCTCGTCCGGAGACAGCTCCTCGACCACCAGCTTCACAAACTCGTCAAAGTCCAGGGATCCGTTGCCGTCCAGGTCGTATTTGGCATGGAGGTCGAGGATGACGTGCGCCGGCAACTCGATGCTGAAAGCGGAGAGAAGGCCGACCTAGAAGTATGTGAAATCATACGACGTCCTCCTCACATTCCAGGGATCTCTTATGCAACTGCAAGAAGATGAGAACTCTACTCGTTGATTCGTTTCTTTTCATACATGGCAACTCGGTATCATAAATATTCATACATACTTACCAGTTCCCCGGTGCTGATGGATCCAGACCGAGTGACGTCGAACACATCAAAGACCTCGCGTAAGACAAGCATTGCCACCCCAGCCTTGTTTGCGATCGCGACGGCGTTTCCTGAACCAGCTTCGTCGACCGGATTATTTTCAGTTGATCCTGAGGAGGAAGATGCTCCACCTGCGTGGTCCATAGCGATGGACGGATCGCTTGCGGTTGGCATCGTGACGACACTGGGCGACATGTCAAGCACGGAAAGCGGGGTGTGGAGGCAAGGGCTGCTCCTCAGTTAGTGTCGGAATTGACTAGCTGTATACTGCGCCAAACTTTGTCTCTGAGTGTGACCCGCATCTTCAGCGAGCGAGCTCGTAGTGCCCGCACGTCGTTATCTGATTTCGCTTCGTGGAGGCAGCTGTTACTGTTTTTAGCAGCGCCCCCCTAACTTTTACAGGACTGGGCCCAGGTGCTAGCTTTTCCTATCTAGAAACATGTTGCGAGATGAAACAGGCATACCTATGAGCAAGAATCATGCCACTCCTGGCTAGTCATTTTCTGTTTCTACAGCCACTCCCGGTCCTGCCGAAGCAGACGACACACATAAGTAGACAACTAGTGCGCCGCACGCGCGAGGGGCTTGTACGTAGTGGCTTAGGCCTCGCCAATCGAAGGAACAACCCTAGCGCGCGCCAGATGCTGCTGGGCGACACATCCTCCGAAACAATTCAAAACCCCACAACACCTACTGTCGCCTGGCGAGGGGAAAAACTGCAACACACGGGCCCACCCACAAGGGAAAACGAACAACGCTGGCCCCGCGGACCCGCCAACAGAACGACAAAAGCGCGCGCCGCCACTGACTGCTAGCTTGCTGCGGCCAGCGCCCGACAAGCTGGCCCTGCGCGCATACAACCATGCGCGCCGACGGGCCAAAATCCGCGTCGGCACGCAAACATAACAAGGGGAGCCACCCCGGCCCCGAATGAAAAACGATCGGCGCCCGACAACCAACCGCCCGGGGCCGACGGGTGACGCCAATGGGGGCGGGGCCCCACCCTGCAACCGCTCGCGCCCCTGCAAAACCCAAATCGCCCGGGCCGGGGCATGCGCGGGCTGCCTTTGCTTGCGCAATGGAAGACACGAAAAACGACCCCCGGCGGGCAGAAGGAGAAACAGAGAAGCGAGGGCGGGACTGCAATCGTCGGGATCGGGGCCTTCTGCAAAGTGGCCACAGCCTGCGCCTGGCCCGGGCGGCCGTGCTGGGCCTCGGGCGCGATCCCGATCCGATCTCGCAAAAACCTCTAGGCGAGGGCGACGGGCAGCGCCGGGCCCATGCCCCTGCTGCTCGGCGGACGGAGGAGGGGGCCCGGTGCTGCTCCCTCGCCTCCCTCAGAACTACCGGGCTGGCGCGGGCCAGGGGCCCGGGAGCTCCGCAAGAGAGGGCGGGCGGGCGCCATGCATCGGAGCCCACCGCTCCGGGCTGAGCCAACTGCAAGGCCGCGCGCGCGGCTTTTGGCAAAAGATAGCAGGGGCGCGCGGGGGGCTGGGAGAGTGCCGCCGCCGCCCGCCCGGGCCGGGGCTGGCCCTTGGACAATCAAAACAACCCGCGCCCGGCCTTGCCTCCAGATCGATGTCACGCGGGGCGCTTTTTTCACTCGCAACAGCGCGGGGGCCCTGCCAGCCGGGCAAATTCGGCGGCGGCGGCGCTGCGTGCTCGCGCGCCCCCCAAAAAGTCGCGCGCCTCTTCCGCTGCGCCGCCTGCGTAAGGCCCGCCCGCCTTTTAAGACCGAAGGCGCCGGGGCCGGGGGGCCAGCCTGAAGCGCCCCGCGGCAACTTTCGCCACAATACCAGGGCGACGCGCGTCGGGGCTTTTTGCGACGGCGCCCCATCCTCCATATGCAGCATTCTCGGAAGCCCTTGAAGCGTGGCGCCGGGGTGAAGTCCTTGGGCTGGTCCATGGGCTGGCTGTGTCTCCGACTGCACAAATAAAGCGCCCCGGTATGTGCTGTTTTCGGCGCAGCTATCTGACGCATTGCCTCTGGCGCTACGACACACTTACACGACGGCGCGCCCCCGAAGGCAGACATGAACTGCGTCACATCTTGGGCGCGCTATGTATCTGTTCCAGCCCGTGAGAACATCACCCTCCAAGAACTGGAGCCAAGAAGTCACGGAGTCAAGTGGTCGCGAAGTGCTCGCAAATAACGCGAAACACACTCACGTCGCTTTGCTCGTTAACGTTACCTTGTTGTTCTGTGTCCAATAAATTCATCCACTTCAATATCAATACATTTGATTTCTTTCTTGTCAGCGCAGCTATTCGTCGTTCCTCTCCAGTATTGGTAAACATGGAGAGGCGCCGCCAGGTTTCGTTGTGTCAATAATATCATACAGGGGATTTCTGGAATCCCGTAAACCTTTCAAAAAGTGCAATTTTACTACATAAAAAGCTTTTTCCAATGTCCAATCCTACAGCGATAAACAGAGACTTAGGTGGCGTAATGTAGATAAAATTGTCGTAGTATATGTTCCTTTTCCTCGTGATCGTGTTCGTACATTGTCTCTCTAAAATTGGAATTCTACAGCTCGTTTTCCTTCTTGTCGTAGAAATGTAAATGCCTCTCCCCCGGCCGCGTCTGCGTCATTCAACCTTTCCAACATTCCCCGTTGATATCCTATTCCGGTACAATTTGCTGAAAAACCCGTCCGGCCTTTCTAACAACTCCTTAGGCGCCCCTGCTTCCACTAGCTTGCCATGATCCAAAACAACAATCCTATCCGCGTCTCGGATCGTCTCGATCCGGTGCGCAATCACCAGTCTGGTGTGCCCGGCGAACGCGGGGCCGCGCAGAACCTCTTGGATTTTTTCATCCGTCGCCGCGTCAACGACTGAGGTAGCTTCGTCGAGTAGAAGGATCCGCTTGCTGTTCGCTGGCAGAATCTCCGCTATAGCGTTGCCTTGGTCAACATTTCCTACTGGAGGGACTGCCGGACTGGTTGCGGCGCTCGTTTTGGAGTTCAGATCGGCAATGGCGCGAGCCAGACAGATCAACTGCCGTTCACCCATGGACCAGTTGCTACCGTTCGCCGCGACGGGGAGCGACAAAATTTTGTTCGCGTGGGAAGTGGCTGTTTGCTCCTCAAGAAATAGGACGTCAGCTCCGTTCTGGTCGCCCGCTGCAGCACCCACCTCATCTGATTTCGTACCATCCACCTCTTCCGCCCGATCCTGGTCGTGCTGGTGTACTGGAACCTGCGCTTGTTCCAACGCTTGCATCACTTCGTCGTCCGACAAACGTTTGAAAACGTCCACGTTGTCGCGCAACGTTCCGGAAAACAGAACCGGGTCCTGTGGAATGATGGTGACGAACTTGCGGAGAGTTTGCAGCGGAAGCTCGGAGATGTCGAAGCCAGAATTTGTTGATGCGTCGCTGGTTCCATCGTGAATATTTCCAAGAAAGATTTTCCCCTTGTGTAACGGAACGAGCCTCAGCAACATCGCGAACAAACTGCTCTTTCCACTCCCGGTTCTGCCGCAGATCCCGATACACTCTCCGGCTTTGATTGTCAGTGAGAAATCTTGCACCGCTGGCGGTAGACCTGGTCGGTAGATCAACTCGCAGTTTTGGAACGTGATCTCGTTTTTCAGGTTGAACTTGTTGGAGTTAAGCGGTTTTGTTGATGCAACTGTGGTAGGTTTCATTGCAGCAGTAACTGCTTGCTGCAATTCTCCTCGTTGCTCCAACAGCGCCGGCTCAAGTAGCAATTTCCCCAGGACCGTCGGTTTCGACGCTGCGGCCGCTTCTTCTAATGTAGCGAAAGAGGTTGATTTTCTCCTTTTCGTGGTTCTTTTGACTAACGCGTACGCTGGGTAGTTTTCATCTTCCAATGGCAATCGAGAATACTCGTACACCCTCTCGACCGCGTTCAGCTGCGCCTCCACCTGCGCCCAGGATTTCGCCGCCATGTTCATGTTCATGATGATGTTGAAGCTCATGGTGATGGAAAGCCCCAACATCCCCGGGTTCATACTGTTCGGCTCTAGTTCGTTTAGGAGGAGGAGGGAGAGACTGCAGCCGCCAATCACAAGGGCACCAAGGAGCATTAGGACCTGAAAACTGGAATGTATATCTTAATCTAAATCTTGTATCACTCCTTGTTTTCAGTTTGCGTGGGGTCATCATGGCTCCATCGTTTCTGGAAAAACAAAAACAACGTGATGTCACTGCTCCACTACACAACCAATACCGTTGTCAGCCACAATTCCAACAGCCGCGCCGTCTGAAACGCGACCAAATTCTCCTGCAACAACTTCGCATACTGCTCCGAAAAGGTCTCGTGCACCCGAAACGAGCGCACGATCACCAGTCCCTGCTGGCTCAACTCGGTCAATTTCGAGGTGACCGGGCCGCGGGTCACCGCTTCTAGTCTTTGGAGGTTTGTGCTGGAAAACCGGTAATACAGGGTCAAGTAGTAATACAGCACCGCAACGACGACCAGAAACGCCACGAAAAAGTAGCTGGTCGCGGAGATCACGATGAGAATCGACACGCATCTCAACCCGCACATCAGCAGGAACTGCACGCGATCCGGTAGCATCATGTCAATGTCGTTGATGTCCTTCGTCACGCGGGTCAAAATTCTACCGCTAGGCGTCTTTTCAAAAAATATATACGGGGCGAAGAAGAGCGCGTAGAGCATTTGCCGGTGGAGATTTCTGCCAGAGTAGTACCCAAAATACGCCGTCCACACGGATCGGAGCAGCTGCGCGCAGAGATAGAAGAACGCAATCAGGCCGTAAATCCCGAGGTAAAAACCCAAGGGTTGCTCGGAAAAGCTGTCATTGGTCCATTGCGCCAGCCAGGCGTCGATCCCCACGTAACCTGCCTCGGCGAGAACAAAAGAGCCAAGGAAGAGACCGGCGTAGACGAAGGAATGGTTGCCGGAGAGGAGGTACACCGCCCATACCTGGAGGGAAACGGCGCCTTCTTCCTTCGTTTCCTTCTCGACCAACGTGGTTTGCGCAACGGCTTTGGCGATCGGGGTCGCGGGGAGAGCTTCGGTTGCGCTTTCTGCTGCATCCGGTGCTGATTCATCGACGAGAGTAATTTGTTCAATTGCAGCAGTGTCGTCACGCAATGCTTTTCCCACCTGGACCTGACCTTCCTTCGACGTCACAGACTCGAGCACACGCTGCAAGTACGAGCACTTCGCAGCAAACCTGTCTCCGTTAGGAGCTGGAGTCATCGTTGCGGCCTGTATTCTGTAGTTTGGATTTTTCTGCGCAGTCACTGTGCCACCGCTCGCGACTTGCAGGATTTGATCTATCGCTGGATCAAGGTCGCCGGTTATGGTTTCAACTGATGTAGCTGGCTCAGCGGGCGGGCTGTGGACGAGAGGATCGCTGTTACTTGCATCCGGCGCCGGCAAATCATTTTCGTTCTTCACCTGCAGCTCCTCGCTCTCGTCAATGTTCCTTGCCACCGCAGAAGTCAACAACCCCACGTTGTGTGTGACCAAGATCACGGTCGTTCCAAAAACGCTGTTGTACAGTTTCAAGTTGCGAAAAACTTTCCTCGTCACGTGAACATCCCAGGCGGAAAAAACGTCGTCTAACAGAAGAACGGAAAACCGCTTGTACAGAGCCCGGGCTAATGCCAGTCTCGTTTTCTGGCCGCCGGAAAGAGTGATGCCTCTCTCCCCGACTTCCGTCTGGTCGCCTTCTGGAAATTGCTGGAAGTCTTCCTCGAGGCAGGAGAGCTTCACGACGAGGTCGTACCAGGTTTCGTCGAAATCCGAGGTAAAAAGGATGTTGTCGCGGACCGACATGTGCTGTACGAAGGCAGACTGCGAACAGTACCCGATGCCCTTGGTGTTGCCGAGTTTGAGTTTTTCTCGCAGGAGGACGGACGGTCGTGGGGTGGGAGAACTTCTCGTGGGAGGTCTATTTTCTGCGCCATCCCGCTCCGAAGCAGCAATCGCCTTTTCGACGTCTTGCGTTCTCGCTGATTCGGCGCAACTTCGCATCTCCCCGAGCAACGCGCTGAGTAACGCAGTCTTCCCCGCGCCAACCGGGCCGACGATAACGGTTAGGGATCCGGGTTGCAAATCGAAGCAGAAGCTCAGCTTGAAATCTTCTTTTTCGGACAGGTCGGACTTGTTGCCAGTGGCAACGCTCGCGGTAGGAGAGGGCGGTTGCTTTGCAGCCAGCGTGTCCTGCTTTGATTTTTGTCCAGGTGGTGTTCCCGCTGGCTGTGTTTGCTTAGTCTTGCCATTCGGGAGGCTTTTCTGGTGCCATTGACATTCGTCTTCGAGGTGTATGAGCTTCGGACTATCTTCACCAACGTCCCCTGCTGCGAGGTCTTCTTTGACACTCTCTTTCGTGTCCGCAACCACTTCGGATTTTTCGGCTTCCTCCCTTGTTTCTCTAGTACCAGGCAACAAGCACAGACTATGCGCCAGCCTCTCCCGCGACAAAAATTCGTCGAACCTCTTCACACTCGCCAACACCTGCGTCGCCAGGTTCAAAACCAAGGGAAACGTCACAAACGGCGGCCTGATCACCGCCAACATCGCGACGACCGGAAACGCGTCCGAGGCGGTTAAAGTCACGTCCGAGTAGGCGGCGTAAACAAGGAAAATCACCACCGAAGCTAGCGTCGGGATCGTGATCGCCAGCGGGCCAGTAATCCCCTTGTAAATGGCGAACTGCAATAATTTGTCCAACTCGTTCTCTCTTTTCTTCTCCACTTCTAGCAGCATCGGCACCTCCCAGGCGCCGGATTTGACGACTTTGATTCCTTCGACCACCTGGTTCATGTACTGCACCCGGTCGTCCGCGGCTTTCATCTTTTCAACGGACAGCTTGGTCATCTTTTTCGCGATTTTCCTCGTGATGGGAATCGTGATGACCATCAACGCCAACCCCGCGAACACCGCCGGTCCGATCAACACGTAGATGTAGACGATGCCCGCCGCTATCACAAACGGCGCGGAGAAGAACCGGGGCAGGAGCAACGCGAACTCGATAAAGCGCTGGCAGTCCTGGGCGACCAAATTCAAGTCCTTCGCGGGGTTGGCGGCGTGGGCGGCCAGCTCCAGGCACGTGACGTCGTACACGAGAATGGAGAGAACCGCGCGGATGGACAACCCGATCTGCGTCATACTGTACTCCGCCCAGGTGCTGCACGGAACGGCGAAAAAGGTGGACAAGATCATGGCGTAAGCGTAGTACCTTGGAGACAGTTGTGAGAAGGTAGCTTTGGAGGAGGACTGGCAAAAGAGCAGTCCACCTCAAACGCAAGTTGTAAATGGAAATGCGAAGCAGGTAACGAAGTTGTCGAGCTTTTTTGTTCTAGAATTTTTTCGAACGTGGACGTCGAGCATGACAGAGTCCGAAAGAACGGCATAGTTGTACCAAGTGCAAGACCCACCCGCACCGTCCTCCGCAGCGCAGTCAAGAAAGTTCTCATCCCGAAACGCGTTTTTCTTCCCCGCGAGTTCCCTTAATAAGCCCTGCAGAAACAACGGCCCGAGAAAGGTGGGAAGCACGAAGCCAAACAAATAGATCACCTGTGCCGCAATGCATTTTGTTCCGTACATCTGCCAAAGCACCTTGCGGACAGATTTCTTCCGCTCAAACAGCCTGCGGAAGGTCTTGTACTCCTTTCGATACGTTGGAGCGGTTGGGAGGTCTTTCAGCTCCAGTGGATGCTGCTTTCCCGCTTGAAGGACTTTGAACATGGCGAAGAGAGACGGGATCTTGCTGCCGGCGTGGCCGCCGGGAGGGAGGTCTGCTTGAGCAGATGAAGCAGACATCGTGGCAACGGGAGCGGCCAGTCGTGCTTTGTCGTCTGTGCAGGTAGATGCCATGTTCACGCGGGTGTGTTGGAAAACTATTCGGAAACCGGTGGCGCAACGCCTGATACAGGGCAGTCGACGCGCGTGGGCATGCCGTGCCAGGCGTCTCTGGTATTGCAGAAGCAACCGCACGCCAGTGGGTGGCGTACTGGTGGCCTAGTCATCTTTTTATTTCGCTACAGCTTCGAGTCCAGTGGCAGTGCGAAGCAAATAACGGGGCTGAAGTTGATGCGCACAAACACCAAACAACGGAAAACAAACTGAAAGGGCCACAAATTAATATATCGAAGCGAACACATCACCTGACAACCCAGCTGCGTCGCTCCCACTGATAGAAGAGCAAGAGGGCGCCCATCAAACCACGACGAGGCTGCAGCAACAGTCTTGCCTCACGCCAAAACAACCTCGCAAAGCATGTGGGGCCTCCGGACTAAACGGAGGCTAAACCAACAACAACAGGGAGGCTTGCTCGCCAATAGAAGCCGCCAACCAAAGCTGGGGGCGATCCCACACCCCGCAGGGCAGCTGTGGGAGCGCGGCGCGCCAACGAACGAACATAGCTACTACGCGGCCCGCCCAATTCTCTCTGCGCCAGGTAGCTCAGTGCGAGCGGGCGAGGCGCGAGGCCGGGGGCGACCAAGTTGCGCCCATCCTTCAGGCCACCAAGCCACGCAACAATGACGCGGCCCATTTTTGGAGCTGGGGCGGCGCGCGTACTTACAGGACCGAGAGACCAGGCGGCCGGGCGCCGCGTTCCCGGCAAAAAAGCAGGGCCGAAACAAAGGAGCGCGGGCGCGGCGCCATGCATTGCGGGCAGGGGAATCAGCGACACGCCCGAGAGCCCCGCCCCCGGGCTGCCCGCGACGACCACAGCCGGGCCCCCCGGCCTCAAAAAAAAACCCGCGGCCGGCCGGGCGGGCGTGCGACCCTGCCCCTTTGGGGCGAGCGAGGACCGCTGGCGGAGGCATATAGGGGGCCGCCCTCTGGGGCGGCGAACGTCGGAGGCTAATGCGCCGGCCTGCCACTGCCCTGTCGCGACTTCGTATCAGCGGCAGGATCTACGCCCCGCGAAATTGGGCCAGCGGCCCGCCGCGCCTTGCCAGCGAATGTCGACCCGCCGCCGCCGCGGCTTTTTGCCGGGCCCAAAACGGGCGCGCTAGCTTTCTGGCGCCACGGCGCCCGGCGGCCCCTCCACGCTCCGAAGAAAAAGGCCCGCCGGCCCTCCGACCTAGCTAGCCAAGATCCTGCGGCCAAGCTCTCCGCCCGGGCTTATTTATTTTCACACACCAAAAGAAACGGCGGGCCGCTTGCTTCGTTCCGCCTGGGGTCGCGGCCCCTGCGTGCTTAACGGAATTACCCCCGCAAAGGTGTCGCGCAACGAACTGGCGGGGCCCGGCTACCAGAGAAAGGGGCGCCGCCCTCGGCAAAATGCCGCGCCAAGACGGGAAGCCGCTCAACCTCTTGGCGCGTTTTGCCGTGGTTATGTTTGGCCGCGTAGGGTTGAAGGCCGTGAGGTCCTCCCAAGAATCCGGCCCCGGCAAATAAAGCGGCGACCCCAGCGCCGGGCGCCCGAACATACAAAACGACGGGCCGGCGAAGTTTCTAAGCAAGCCCCAAAAGCTGCGGCGCTTACCTTTTGTGTTATAGATCACTTCGAAACACGGGCCGCCATCCGCAGTCAGGATCTTCACGGCAGCGCAGAGGAAATCCCTGCCGCCCCATTCTGGGTCACTACTGCGCGCGCGCCCCCCCGTGCCCAAATCCATGAGGAAACACCTGGGCCCCGGTGCCAAGGAGCCAACAAACACCCCGGGCGTGAAGGGGCAGGCCGCTGGCTGCCTAATGCCCGCCCCTGCTTGCGGGCCTAAATCAAACAACCCGCCCCGGCCCGTGCCGCAGGCTGTGCCTCGATTCGCGCCACTCCGGCTCCGGAAACATTTCCCCAAGCGGCCACCGACCGGCCGCCACCACCAAGCGGCGGCAATATAGGAGGGCCACCCCGCCGCGGAGCAAGAAGGGGCGCCGGTCTACGCTTGTCCGTGGGCCTGCGGCTTGGCGAGTAGCGCAATCGCCGCGCGGTATTAGGCGCGGGCCCAAGGTTTCAGCGCTGGGCCTTGTGCGCGTTTTGTCAGAAGGACAGAGCCCTCGCCGCCTGCATTGGTTTCGCTGATGGACATTGGTTCTGGTTCTGCTCTGCAGCCCGCTGAAGAGCAACAGCGAATACGAAAGGAACACAGCAGCACTACAACACGAAGCTTCAGCCACACTGCGCGGGAGGTTACGCAATGATGAGCCGCTTGCCGCGGGAACTCTGCGGCAGCGCAGCAACGTAATCATGATACCCGGACCTTGTCGCGGCTCATGCCAGTTTCATCTTTAGAGATTGATCACACAGAGGCACGACTTTAGATAAGGATTCAGTCTGGTGCTCACTGCTGGAGGTATGCTTTAGCTTGAGCCTAAGCAACTAGTGTCAGAGATGATTTCGAGTTATTCGGTGGATACTGTGTGCTCGATTTTGTTTTCCCTCTCCAGTCTCCGCAGGACATTATAAGTAGCAGGCTGACGCCGGCGCTGCTGCAATCAGCATCTTTATCTTTTTGTTCATGAGCCAGAGCGCTGATCTTTGCTCTTGGAATTTACAAAAACCAAATACGTCGGTCGTCGAGCTAACGAAGTGCATTTTGCGTTGCTGTAATATGTTTGTACTCTGACTCTGTTGCTGATTCTAAGTGAAACATTCTACAGGAAGGCCGGTCTCGTAAAAGATCAGAGCCACATCATTTCTTCGTCATCGTCTACTACTAATCTGTCCTCTTGCACAAGTTCAAGTAATTAACCTTTGCATTTTCAAAATCCACGTTCGTCAACCCGCCACACGTATTTCCGATTTCCGTCGCTTCCTGCCAACTCGTCATGCCGGTTTCCGGATCCAGGATCGGAATCGTGGTGCCCTCGGTCTTGTCCGGGCCCCGAATCAGCTCGATAAACGTGCTTTGCATTTTCTGGCAGTCGGCGAACATCTGTTGCAGCCGGGAGAAGTATCTGTTTACGTCCTTGTCCTGCAATCCCTGGCACATGTCGTTGTAATCCTGTGCAACGGACATTTTCGAAAGTCTCGGCTGCTCCTTCTTCAGCAGATCGTCAAACACCTTCGCGTTCCGCGCGTAGGCCTGCAGCCACTTGTACTTCGGCAGGCTGAGCGTGACCTCGGGGTACAGGTAGTCTAATCTGCCGCTTTTGTTCAGGTTCGCGGTCTTCTCCTCTTCGGTTTCGTCGGCGTTGTCCGGTAGCGTGTCTGCGATCGGCGGCAGCGGCATCGGGTGGTGAAGGATGACGTTGATCCCCTGGCTCTGGGAGCCGCTCCCGACCATCTCCGGGTCAGTGAAGTAGTTCTTCACGTCCGCGACGAACTGCATCCCGCCCAGGTTGTGCTTCCCGTTGTCCCGCGGCGCGGGGGCTTTGGCGGAAAAGGCAGAGGGGCCGATCACTTGGCGGGACCCTGAAGTGTGAGGGTAGCAGCTCGTGGATGCTGCATCTCAAAAATTTCCGTTCTTCATTTTCTATTCGAGGATTTTTCGAGCCACAATTCCAACAAATGGTTGCACACAAAAACATTAGTTGTTCAAAATCAATACCCAAAACCAGCTCCTTTTCCGGCACCAGTGCGCATTTCGGTGGATCGCCCTCTTTGTCCGGTTTACAGGCGTTCCAGTCGATAATGTGATCTTGCCAGGAGTAGCACGCGTCGCACGGGATTGCGTCTTTCCCCGGGAAGGTCTTCGGTTCGCACAGGATCGGTAGCTTTGCCTGCCTGCTTGCGGTGCTCGCATACTTCGAACGGATGGACATCTGCACGCCGGCGTACGGGCACCCGACCTCAAACCACGTATCTATCCCTCCCCCGCCGGCGGCGAAACTTGGATCGGAAGAGAGAGCTGCGACCCTATCCGGCTTTCCCCAGAAGCTCCAGTAGCTGTCCGTGATCGCGCGCTCAGCGTTTTCCCCGGTGTGGTGCGCCCCAAAATGTTTGACGGAAGAGACACAAACCAGATTCCCTGGCTTCGTGTACGCCTGCGCGGGAGGCGGTGGCGGTTCGGCTTTGTCTGGAGGTGGGGGAGCAGGAGCACCAGCGGGAGGTGCATTTTCTTGTTGTCCTGCGGCTGGTGCCGCGGCCTGTTGTTCAGCAGGGTTCGTCTCTGGCGTCTGCTCAGGAGTTTGTTCTGGCGGAGGAGTGGTGGCAGCTTCTTTTGCAGCCCCTTCCCCATCACCTCCTTCACTCTGTTGGTGCTCGTTGTGCTCCTCCGCTGCATGATCCGCCTCCTCCTGCTCGTCTTCCTCCTCTTCCGGTGCGACGGGACTCACTAGCTCGGACAGTTCGTCGGTGTTTTTCACTTTCTTCGGCCACGAGTGCAGCTCGTCGGAGGAAATGGCGAATTTTCGGGGACCGCCCGATTTGTCCGTTGCCGGCTCGTCCAAATCTAGTTTCTCCCAGTCCGGCTCCTGCTCGGGTTTCCGCAGAAGCCCGAAACAGGTGGTTACGTCGAAATGGAATTTCATAATTGTGTGGTGCGCGCCCGCGCCGCCCGGAGGGGTGTATCTATTACTACGGTATCTTCTACTTCAAAAGTAATCACGCCCTCGACGTTTGTTATACACAAGTATCGCTACACGACTTGCGCCCCTCCAGAAAGTGAATGTACGATAATTCAAGTTTTGGACATCGACGCTGCTTCATTCGCTTGTAACAACCAATGCTTCACTCGCTTGCAACAGCCAGTAGCTTGTACCAAAATGGTCACGAAGATGGGCCGCGAATACTCAATGTAAACGACGGCGGATCACAACTCGTCTCCGGCTCTCTCTCTCTCTCTCTCTCGCAAAATCAGAGACACACTCACAAGTTCGCGTTCGCGACGCGTCTCTTTTCTCATCAAAATAGAAAGGCGGATCTGATCACTGACGCAGCTGCTCTTTCTCCTGATTAGTAGAAAGGTGGATCTGCGCGACTCTCATGCAGAGATCACAATCCAGAGGAACTTAATTCAATCGAAAGCATCATCTTTGTTTACTAGGAAGGAAGCACAACAGGCCTCAACATTTGGGTTTACTCTAGGACGAAGGATTAGAAAACCAGACAGCAAACCCACATGGGCTCCGTTGTCATAGGTGCAACCAGGAGCACCTCGTCGGCCGACGAAGTCTGAAAGCTGGCGGCGGCGGGAATGTGGCAGACTGCTGCCGCCATCACTAAACCCAGGCGCCACACACGCAGGGGCTCAACTGGCCATCGATACAAAACACAATCAGGCTCAGGGCCCCAAAATGTTCCTGCGCCCGCGCATACTGAGGAAGGCCTAGTTCTCCCAATGGTTGGCCCTGCCTCCTGTCTGAACCAACGAAGACGGCCAATAATGGCCCCCCCGGCCCCGTCTCTGCTGGGGGCTTGCCCTCCCTCGCGAAACAGGGCCGGCGGGCATTAATACGCCCGGGCCGCCCGCCCTGGCTTCGGATGGGGCGGCCCCGGTGGCAGGCCCATGCCACCGGCCCCTGGCTGCCTGTCGGGCCGCGGCCCCACCCTCCGCCCTGGCGAGGCAAATGGGAACAGGACGCCCATCGCTGCCTGCGACTTCAGGTCGTTCCATTCGTGCTTGGAAGGGGCCTCGGCGGCGCTGCCATATCTCTATCCGCATCAACGGGCACGGCGCCGGGGCCGTTCTCCACGCACACCGGCGCGCGGACCGGGCTCCGGCTTTTGCGAAATTCCAAGCCCCTGCAAGATTTGCGCCGGCTCTGCTCGGTTGCCGCAAGCACCTCGCGCCCCATTTTTGCGCACTCCCCTCCCGCCATGGGCAGGCACTTCGGGTCGACGCTTTCGCCGGTAGACGCGGCGCCGTTTGTGCGTTGCTGGTTCGAACCGCGGAACCGACAGACGCGAACCGCCCAGACGCGGGAATTTCTGCAACGGACTGGGGCGACACGGCGGACGCCCGCGGGCGCGCCCCTGGCAGCCTTGTTGGGAATAGCAACGCACTGCGCAGGGCAGCCGGATAAAAACGCCAAAGCCCAACGCTTGCGGCCGCTGGCCGATGAAAACATCCGCAGACGTCGACGAAACTCGAAAACCGCTCGCGCAATGAAATCAATGGAAGGCGAAAGATGAAGGCGGAGGGGCCCGCGCCGCCCCCCCCCCCGACGCGCTCCCAATCGCGGCAACGATCCGGATCCAGCTCTCCTTCTCGGTCACAAAATTACAATGTCAGTTTAACACTCGCAACGCCACTTCTCAGGAGGTACCAGGCCCACTCTCTTCTCAAATGAAGAACGAGATAGATGAAGCAGGACGAGCTACTCACTCCAGTGAACAAGAACACCGAAAGAAGTCAAGTTGTCAATATCTTCGCCGATTTGATGTCCATCTCTGGTGTTGTCGAGCTTTTGCTTTTGGCAAAGCTCTGACTACAGGAGCATGATGAGGAGCAAAACTTGTGTACTGGCTTTGCTCCAGAAACACTCAGTCCTCTTGCGCTGAATCAAATTCATGCAATTCGACGTCGTCTGCAGTTGCTGACGTAACACCTGGAGGGGTATTCGGATTCTTACTGGGCACTTCCAACTTGTAGAAAACCGTTGTCCCATCGCGCTTTTTCCTCAACACTAGAACAGAACTCGTTGTAGATGAGTTTTGCGGTGTGCTGCCAACTCCTGTCGTCGACGAAGAAATCAACCTCGGAAAAACCTTCGCTGTCGCCCTCGGGAGTACGTCAAGATGCTGCCCTAAGTCTACCTTTTGCAGATCTTGCGATCCTCCTGCAACACAACCGCCTCCACCTGCCCGAGCTCCAGCTGCACCTCTCACCGGCATCAAATTCCAGGCGCGTAACCGCTGCAGCGTTTGCAAGTGCCACACTTCGAGCAAGCCTCGTCGAGTCGCCAAGATCGCCAAGTACGTGTCTGACACAAACGCAACCTGCGCGTCACGGTACCCTCGCCACAAGTGCAGACACCGCAAGGAATCGATGCAGTACAAACCAACGCGTCCGAGGTTGTCCGCAATCGCGAGGTATTTGCGTCGGGGATCTGCGGCACAAGCGATCGCGTGGCGCCCACCGTCTTCGAGCTGTGCGGACGCGGAGAGACAAAATTCTTCAACTTTTTCGGTAAATTGAATTTCCGTGGAACGACGATAGCCTGCAGAAACGCGATCTCGTGCAGATTCTTTGAGCGGGTTGAACCTGCGGAATATTTTTTTTATTTTCTTATCATGTTGTGGCTTTTGTTCAATATGCACGAAAAAAAAAACTTTGTTTGGGAAAAAGTTACTGCAGCTGTTTTTCTTTAAAACATGCCAAAAGTGCTACTTTGCGTGAATGCTGCGAAAGGTGGAAGTTCTGCGGTCTAGCATACCCCCGCGGTTCGAATCAATTCTGCATGGTATACTCGACGTACCAAAAAAAAAAAATGTTTTCCCAGATTTTCAAATTTTTTATTTCTTTTTTAAAGTGCTCAAACTTTTCTACCTCACTCCCGGACTTTTCGCTGCCGTCGTGGTTCCGGCGAACCTGCCCATGAAAAAATCAACGGCTGATCCGACGAGCGCGCTGACGCTCGGCGCGTTTTTCGGGTCGTTGTACATGTTGTCGCACTTTGCAATCATTGGGTTTCTCCCAACAGCCAACACTTGGTTTCGGTCGTGCTGCTTGAGCAAATTTTTCTGGTACAGCTGCTGCCTCGCCGTAGCTGCGGTGGAAGACGAAGACTTCACCGTTTGTCCAGCCTGCGCGAACGCTGAGGGAAGGTTTGATCTGGAAGATGTCCCGCCGTGGTTCTCTCGTCCAGCACTTCTACCAGAGAGTTGTGACGTCCGCGGAGACGTCGAGCCACCAGTTCTCGTCGACATAATCAACTCTTCCTCTTCCGCACTTGCCGCTAGTTCCAAGCCCCTCCGCAAGTCCGAAACGTAGAGGTTGCCACCCGAACCGCCTCCGCCGTTGAAGAACGCCAGATCGGTCGGGGAGAACTCTTTCACCATGTTCCGACGGAAAAAAAGCGTCGTCGCGAGCTGAAACTCGATCGGGAACTCCAAAAGCTCCGCGCGGAAGTTCGCCGACTCCGGGACCGGAAACGTTTTCGCCACCGCTTGCCGGATACAGGCGAAGGGCACCCGGGCGACAAAACTGCGGTCCTGGTCGGCGAGTTCGGAAGATGGGTCGTGCGGATACGGCGTTTTTGAAGATGATGTTCCTTCTGCGTTCTTTTCAGTTGAGCTACCTGCTGCTTGTTGACCGAAGTTTTTCACGGTGGTGACACCGGCTTTCTTCACTACCGCGGTTCCCGGGGCTGGTCTGGTTGAAGAGAAAGCTGGTGTTGCACCTCCGTCGGAGGACCCAGTGCCGCGTGGCCTTGGTGGGTCGAATAACGGGTTTGAACTTTTTGGCCCGCTGTTGGTTCTCGAAAACCTGCCTTGTTCGATTTGCTCTTTGTTGCTTGTTCCGTCGATCGTAATTGCTGAACTACCTCCAGGAGCGCCACTGCCGTCACCAGTAGGTGATGAAGATGGAGATGAACTTGTTGCTGCAGCTGCTTTTATCGTCGCTTGCTGTGCCGCAGCGTGCCATTTTCGCAGGTTGGAGGAAAGCGTTTGCGTGTCGATATGGTTGTGCACAATCCAGAACAAAGCGTCTTCTTCTTCATCGGTGGTCTTATGCGACGCCGATGCCGAACCCGCAGCAGATGCCGCACTCGCGGTGCCTGAACCGCCGCTTTTATCCAACTCCACGACCCCTGTGAAGCCAAAGCTGGAGATCACAAATCCCGGCTTTAGGCTGAACGCCAGGATACACTCGAGGTTTTCAGTGTGAAAAAGCGAAACCCCACCGTGCGAGAAACCGGCAGCGAGTAGGAGGTCGGATTTTTGCGCGGTGTTATACCCGGGGACAAACTCGAGCGCTGTGAGAAGGCAAATGGTTGTGTCGGACACCTTCAATCTGGTGCTATTTGACGTGGTCGCACCCGCGTCGCCTGTCGGACTCGAAGACGTACTAATGCTGGTGTTGGGTGCATTTGAGGATTTATTACAACTGCCACCAGGTCCTCCACCTCCTGTGTATTCCAATCTTTTCCCATCCTTGTAGACATCGAGGAACGCTCCACTCTCCCGGTTTTCGCCACACGCGAAGTAGTGCGCGCCATTGACCCAAGCAGACCGGACGATGTCATAACTATTGTCTTCCGTTTCAAAGCGGTGCGGAAAAGCGGAAAGCATAATTTGAGGCACGATATTAGGTAGGGTAGGAAGAACGTGGAATGAAGGACAATCAAAACACAAAACCTCAATCAAATATTCAAATCTTAAGTTCTAGTTCTTCGTGGTCAGAACTCGCCGCCAGCGGCCTGCTAGTATTGTAGAATAGGTCGCGCCGTCTCCGTCAGCGTCACAAAAACTTCTTACCGAAGTAGCGATGGATCTTTTTCCTCACCTTGACCCTCGTCCTGCGAGCAGGAGGAAGATAAAGGAAGACAACCAAATCAAAAAGTCAGATCGAATCAAATCTCGTTCGATCGATCACATTTGTTCGTTTTTTCCGTTTATGAGGGTCTAGTATGCGGCGAAAAAAAGTTGCCTCTACTTCTGTAGCAATCGCCATGAACAACACCAGCCACCCCTCGTCTTTAGTCTTGTCGATAAGCCGTCCTGTCCATGATGAAACATGCACAGAGACTGCTTTTACAGTTTTACCCTTGATGCGCTATCTGTCAAAGTCCACGGACGACAGTGAGCGAGAACCATGATCATGGTGAGCATTAGCATTTCTACTGCGGCGAGCGCGGACCTTTCGCTGCTTGGTGTTCTACTCCGTGCTGCAGCTCTTGATGAAGGCCCGACGCACTCCGCTTCCCCACCGGCTTGCCTCGACGAGCAAAGCTGTGCAGCCACTCCGGCCGGCGTGTTCATGTTAGCTGCCTGCTCTTCCGTCACGCATAAAGCGGTCACCGCACCAACAGCCGTGCTGCTCACATGCCGGAGCGGGTACCACGTGCAAATTTTGATCATGGCGATGCGAGCAGTGTCGTTGTCTGAAGGCGGGTTTACGTCGTAGCTGGTGCTGGTACACGCGACTTCTCCCTCGCTCGTCCTCTGGCTACAGATCGCGGCTTCTTGCACTGCAGAGCTGTGCTCCATATCTTGCTTTTGTTGCTGCGTGAGACACAGAGGCACCGTGGAAGTAGGCACAGCGATAGTGTACAAGACACAAGTTGTTGCATTGATTTCTGTTGCACCAGTAACGGGGCTCGCGACGGTCGTTGTCTCACACGCCGTTTTATGGATTGTAAAAATGTCGGGGTCTGGAAGAATGCTAGACTTGTCATGCAGGTTTTCCATGACCCATGGGATCTGATATGTAGGACATAGCATGACAGACTCTGTGAGAGTTCTATCATGCCTATCCTGCATGAGAAACTGCCTCTCGATTAGGTCAAAAGTGGACAGTTTTTGGTAATCATTCGCTCGTTGTGGATCGGCTCTGCCGACCGGGTAACCCAACGCCTTGCATACAAATGACCGACTTAGGCGAACCCCGTTGCGGGACATACAAACTGGCCGCACGGAAGGGCCCTAAGCGCTACATGCATAGTTCACCCTAAGCGCCTACCACTTCGGTCTGGGACCTCGTCTACCTGATCCTGGGGGTCCACAGCGCACTAGCCCTCTGCTAGCATAAACAGATTGGGTTCTACGAACTGATCTAGCTCCATCCTTTTAACAGTAAGGCCATCATAAGCGCGCGCTAAAAAGGGTTCGGGGCGCTCCGTACGGAAGGGGGCCTTTCGACGCGGCGCGCACTCCCCTGTAGAGATTTACGCGGAACACGGATGGGCCGCGCACGCAACTCAGTCGAGGAGGACACACGCTATCCCCAATAACAGAGGCGGTAGTCCCTCACGGCGGCTGGCCTGTCTGAAAACTGTAAACCCCACCGCCCATCTCCCCGGTTCGTCAATGACTCGGGCAAGCCATGTTACTCAGACTCCCCGCACATGCAAATATGGGCCGGCTGGGGGGGTTCAAAAAGAGCACCAGCTGCGGATGATCTAAGTGTAAAACAAAAAGCCATATTCTTCAGCTGTGCTGTTTATCTATCACTAGGTTGATGGCCTTCTGTTCTTTGTCCAGATTTTTACATGATTCAGATTTAGCATGACAAGTTGCTTTGTTCCAGACCCAGACACTTTTGCATTTGATACGTTTGTCCATTCCCTGTTTGACCTGAACAAACCGCCGCTGCTTTTGCTTCCGGGGTATTCATATCAACTGTAAAAATGTCTGGGTCTGGAAGAATCCAACTTGTCATGCTGATTTTTGATTCTAAAAAAATCTGTATTGCATGAGGAGCAGCAAAGAGAGTCCAAGTTTTGCTACACGGAAAGAGCAATTGTCATGCGGTATAGGCATCAAGAAGCCCTCACAAAATCTGTGATGCTAGGGCATGCATCACAGACATCAGGAGTCATGCAAAACGTGCATGACAAACCTGGAAATCTTCCAGACCCCGACATTTTCACATTTCATAATTCAGGCTGGTGACCTGGCCCGGAGTGACACACAGCGGAATGGTGCTGGACTCGCCTGTGTACCAAACGCAGGAGGGAGTGGAGGCGAGGATCACGTTGGCTTGTTGAGGATAAAGGAGAACCAAGATGAAGATGAAGAAGAAGCAGGAGCAGGTGATCATTTTTCTGGGACGAGATCTATATCCTCGTCGCGTTACAAGACGTGCATCGTCGCACTGCAGCTCCTTTCGTTCATGCCATTCTACTGCCGCGACGGCTGCAGCTGCATGACCGAGCCGAGTTTGGTTTACGACTTGATTGCCCGTGTTGAACACGCTAGGGTCTACTTCGCTGACAGTCATGGGAGGTTGTGCTTCGACACGCCTCCAATATACAATCGCCCAAAGTTCGTGACGATTGGTGTGTCAACAGTGAGGCAGCGTGGATGATCCACCTTGCTCGTGATCTTGTGTTCGTGCTTTAGCCCAAAATAGAAACAGTTTTACGATGGTGCATCCTTGCAGACGCTTCTGTTTCGACTCGGCGTGTTTTTGAAAAATCTTATTGTACATGACCATGCTGATGCTCGATTGCTACCGCTTGATAAAACCTGAGAGCCTGCTGAAAGGACTCCATCATATTCGTATACATTTTTCATCTGTGGCGTCTGAAACACAACTTGAATTTCATCATCAATCAATTACTTACAGGTACATGAAGATTCGGAAACAAACGTGTAAACCTAGAATGAACGGCATCAAAATCACAAGCTGTGATTTTCATTTTTGGTTTTGCGTATAGATTTTTCAATAAACAATAATAATTGCGAATCAATGTCAAAAACAAAATATGGTAAAATTTGTGCTTTTCAACTTCAAATGAACCTTGATTATCGAAAAACTTTTATACAAACCTGTATTGCACCAGAGCAGGCCGCAGCTGAATATTGCATTTGCAACTCCACAGGAGTAACGAACAGCCTCTTCTTCTTTCTCTTCTACCGCGCAAGGCCTTTACGCATCCTCCGGGTCGTAGTCTTTGAATCGCGGCGCAGAGCCGAACTTCGTCCCGCCCGGCATTTTCATCGTGGGGTGATCGAACGTCGTGGTGGCGGGGACTGGGTACGTACCCGGTCCGGGGATCGCGTCCGTCGTCTGCCCTGGCATCTGCATCATCTTGCACGTACGGGCCCGCATGGTCCAACTGTCAAAGTATTTGTGTTGCTTGGTCAGTGTGAAGATTGAAGGTCGATGCAAGAAACAAATGCATAAACAATTTTCAAGAAAACTGCAGGGCCGCCCTTTGTTCTACACAACACGACGCAATGTTCTCTCAGGAAAGAAAAAAACACAACGGAGGCAGTAGTACATTGGTGGCCTGTTCTTGTTAACGTCAGCATCCAGAACCGTCGCTCCGCCCTTGCACCAATTAGGATTGATATTACCGCCCATCTTTGGCTTTATGCGCATGGCTGTTGTAAAAGTGGGCGAAGTAGATTTGTGTACTTTTATTCGATGCATAGCACTGCAGACAATTCAAAAACTCTGCTTCCGAGGAATCAATCTGTCCTTCTGCTGCTGCAGACAGTCCCAATTTCAGAAAAGTAAAAGAAAAGCAATACAGAAAGTTGGTGGTCTTCCCGAGAGGATTTTGTAGAAGTCCTTGGTATCGTAGGAAGACGGACCCGGGGTCTTTGCGCTTGATGGGTTCGGGTCGAATCGCGGGGGACCTCATGAGGAAGTAGAAGGGCATTTTTTTATTTGCCTAACATATCACTTTCACTTTTTGCTTGCAGTTGCATTTTTCTGGTTTCATACGATACTTACATCTGGAGTGCTGCATGACAGAGTGTCAACAACATACTCATGTTTTTATACCTTTCATCGTTGTCCTGCCTGGCATCGGCAGGGCTGGGTGATCGAACGAGGTGGTGCTCGGCACTGGGTACGTCCCTGGCCCGGGAATGCTGTCGGTGGTTTGCTATCGCAAGAAAAAACTGTTTCACTGTGAACCTGTGATGCAGAGAACAAAACACCAAAGTGTTTGTCTTGCTACACCTGCAACACAATGGCTTTTTAAGCGTGTTTTCCCTTGGGAAACGCGCATGGCAAATTTTCTGTGTCATGTGTAACAAACTTGTGATACAGATCTTGCAAAACCATCACAGTGAAACAATTTTTTCGTGGGATATTTGCCCAGGCATCTGCATCAGTTTGCACGTCCGCATGCGGATGCTGTACTTCGGGTTTTCGTGCTTTGCCACGCCGATGTCAATGGGTCCGGAGGTGATGTTGTTTTCCGACATCTTGGTTCTTATCTGCGCACCGAAGGATATGGGGGTGTCAGGATTGAAATCAACAAAATCGAAATAACTTGTGATGCATAAAATCGATACCAGTTGGAGCCTCAGTTTCTAAGTGGCGCATGACAAATTTCGGCAGCACCAAAATCCAGTCTGTCATGCTGTTTGGGCAAAGAGCACTGCTTCTGTCATGCTACCCTGGAAGCACATCGTCTTCCCCTCAACAGGCTTGCAATCGGTCTCATTTGCCGCCTCCCCAAGACAAGCCATACGTGCCCTACATTTTATTTTCGATTTTGTCAATTGCGATTCTGACACTTCCATAAAGGAGACCTTCGCCCGCATCGTGAATTTTGGCGCGACATACTTGGCAGCGTCGAACCTGGAGAAGATGTTATTGTGTCTTTTGGAACCACTTGCAGGCGCTATGCAAATGCAATGTATGATGGACGACGATGAAGAGCTGCTAGTTTAGAATGTACTATCAATCACGCAACAAAAATGCCAATTACAAAAAGAAAAAAAAATTTTACGCCTTATCCATCTCCTTCATATCTGGAAGCTTCCTCTGCTTCTTCCGCTCCCGAGCCTGAAGCGTGGTCGGCATTTTCGGAGTTTTTTGGTTTTCAGAGTGGAAGATGGAAGAGATAGAGAAACAGATCGCACGAGGACCCTAGGTACTTAACTTTCCTCAAGGGCAGGTGAGTGCTGCGCACCAGTCACTTTATGCCAATACTATCTATGTAAGTATACCACCAGCTTCTGGGCGTACGTGGTGAAACAACACAAAAAAAAAAGGCTGCGCGATTTTTTTTGTCAAAGATACGACCTTTTGTGATATCAGAGTACTTTTGTGAGGCTGAGAGCTAATGTCCTACGATAACGATGATAACACTGCATCTGCATTACGAAAAAAACGAGTTGGGTTGTGGTGGATACCAATGCAAGGGTCAATTTTCGTGCTAACTCACGTAGCTTTCCTATGGCCTATCTTCCCGGGCCCTGTAGTAGTTTCACGAGTTGCAACTACTTTTCTTTTTGATGACAGTTTTTCCTTTTATTGCAAAGCCACACATGTTATTTCTGCAGGCTGCTCCTTTATGTCGCCTAATAAATTCCTGCTTTGTATTTCATTTTTTCCCCCACCCGGATGCAGATGATCATGAGTGCTTCGATTCGTCCCCCCAGAAATGTTGAGCTTGAGCATGACGCACGACCCACAGGAAATAAGTATGCAAAAAAAGCGATCCTTGTGCTGCTGCACCGATGACAGATCTTGACCGATGAAGATTCAAATCTACGAAGGATCCTTCCTCCTGCGGGTTGTAGCTAAAAGAGCAGAAAAATGAACAAAAGACAAAGCTCAAGCGAGTTTTAGGCCAAGTAGAGCAGAGCTTCACCAGACCGGGACCGCTTCAAGTTCAACCAAAACCATGTTTTTTACTTTCTTTATTCCTTTGTGTACATTGATAGAAAATAATAAAGCTTGTATGGATTCTTACGAAGCATTAACACGATGCATTTTGAAAATTTTCTTGGGCGGTGAACAAAAATCTTACAGGCGGACGATCACGATGCAAAAACTTCATATAAAATGAGGTCGAAGACGAAATATCCTTTAGAAAAATGCCGGTTCTCAAAATGAGACTCACATTCTTCAGGTTTTTGCTTTTCTCGGTTTCTTGCTCTAATGCCTAGGCAGACAGAAAAATCCTATGATTGCTTGACTCTTTACGTTTCGGTCACTATTTTGCTTGTGCGATTGCTTGAAGATGAAAAAAAATCTCTTGCTGCATACTAACAAATGAAAATTTTTGAAATGAAAATCCGTGGCATAGTAGTACTCAGGAAGCTGTAGGAGCTGTTTCATCTGCGAAGAAATTTTCTTTATCTTACAAATTATTCGAGATGAATCTGAATCAGATTCAGGGCTGTAACTGAAAATCAACGGTGCTACTGCTACGGCAAGCAGTTTTTTGCAACACTTCCACTACTTGTATGAAAATCAAAATCAAAATCAAACGAGTTGTGCTTGGTCCTTTCTGCAAAAGGCAGAAAGGCCGGCGTTGAGTTGTTGTATCTACATCATGTTCGAGAAAAACAAAGCTTCTAGAACCTTTATCAGGCTTCGGCTTGTGAGTTGTATTTCTGAAAAAAGTTTCACGGAAATTGTTATGGTACACATGTCCGGGTTTTCATCTGCTTGAATGGAATAGAAAAAAAATGAAATCGAAATTATGGCATTAATTTGTGTGAGCTGCCTGAAAATCAATTTGTCCTTGAAAATAAACGTCTGGTAATTTCTGAGCAGAAGTAGTACACCGTCACGAAGACCGTACCAGAATGTCGGTTTTGCTGTGAAAATTCTGGACAAAGGTTCTCGTGTAGCGCGCTTTCAGATGAAGTAGCAATTATGCTTTAGTCCTTCATGTTCCTTTCCCTCCTTGCTTTCCGCTCCAGCCAGTGGTCTGGTCGAAAAGACCCCAGGAGCTATCTCCTCCTTTAGGTGGGCCTTTCCCCTTACCTCCAGTGAGTCCTGCTCCCAAGCCGGTCTGGTTGTCGAAGAGACTCCACGATACCTGATTCGGGTCAAACAAACTCGTTGACGTGACGTCTGCACCATCCCAGGAACTCTGATCTTTGCCACCCGTGGGGCTCTGGTATCGGGGTGCCGAGGCTACTTGCCGCGGATCGTACTGCGGCGCGGCTACTTGTTGACTCTTTCCACCTGCTCCGGGAGCTGGACTTTGGAGGCGATTCTGGCCTTTGTTGAGACCACCACCAGCATCAACGGGACTGTTGTAGCGAAGCATCCAGGAACTATCGGCTCCCGGAGCGGCGCCGCCACCGTCTTTCACGTATCACGCGGAAACTTTCTGCCACCATCAGGACCAAGTTTCGACATCAGTTCTTCAGATGAGAGGAGTAATCAATGCGGTTGGGGTTGCCTCATGACAATTCAGTTTCATCAGCCGCTCGTTGTCTCCTTCTGCACTCAAGAGCGGCCGGACTCGTAGTTGCTTCATGCAAGACAAAAGGCGACGTGTAAGATATCTTCATCTACTTATTTGTAGAGAATGCAAATTTATTCATTTTTACCGACAGGTAGGTGAAGGGCAAAAGTTTTCTCACATGGGATAAAAATGGGTTCAGGCTCCCCTTATTTCCGAATGGATTCAGGCCGCCCCACCCCTTATCAAAGGGTTTTTTCGTATCCACGCCCCCTCCAGGCATCGCAGGTTTCAAGGAGCCCATAGTAGCTGGTTTCCCACCCATTGCTGGCGGCTTCCCACCACCCACCGCGACTGGGGTCACGGGTGCAATGTCTGGCTTGCCGATCGGCGCAAACTCAGGCTTCCCCATCTGACCGAAGGCCGGTTTGAACGATCCCGGCATGGCCGGCTTCAGCGAGCCGGGCTTTCCTGCGCTGCTACTTGTTCCCCCAGCGATATTCTCCACGGCCCCGCCGCCAAGGAGCCAGCCGTCTTCCAACCCGGTGTCGGTCCAGCTCCAGTCGTGTTCCGGTGCGGGGGGCTGCTCGGGTAGTTGTTGAGCGGGGGGGAGTTGATGCTTCATCGGCTTGTTGGGGTCCCGTTCCGCGCGTTTTGTTTTTACCACGACCTCGTGTTCCGGGGGCTTTTCCTCCTCCTGGTGTTCTTCTTCGGCGGGCCACGGTTCCTCTTCCTCGGGCCACGGCTCCTCTGTCTCGGGCCACTGCTCTTCTTCCTTGGGCCCCGGCTTCTCTGTCTCGGGCCACGGCTCTTCTTCCTCGGGCCACGGCTCCTCTTCCTCGGGCCAATCTTCATCTTCCTCCTCTGGAATCTCCTCGATGTAGTCATCTTCTTGGCTATGCACTACAAATTTACTGGCGCCACTGTAGCTGTACGCAAGTACTTACTACAGGCACTGGCACACGTAAGTATTAAGCTAGCACACCGAAATAAGCATAAATGTAAATCTACAATGAACATTTTGGTACCGGCAGCTGCCTAAAGCGGCCGAGCAAGCGACGCAGATGCTTGTCACTGGTAAGGCAGCTCCTGATTGAGCAACGTTAACATGCATTTTTTCCACTTTTTTTGTATGTGCAGGCACTGGCACACACAGTGGCGCTGGCAAATTTTCATCTTTGGATAAGGATAGTCCTCCTCTTCGGGATATGAAATGCAACAGCATCGTACTAGTATAAATCGCATGACAAATTCCCTCAGCATGAAAAATGGAATTTGTAATGCGGATTTAGGTTAAGGTGGAGATTTGTAATGCATGATTGCGATTACTACGAGCACGATACTTTTGCACAGGATACGGGAATCTCTTCGATCCAGTCGTCCCACTCCTGTTGCTATCAAATGTAAAAATGTCTGGGTCTGGAAGAATACAACTTGTGATGCTGCATTTGGGTTCCAAAAAAATCTGTATTGCATGAGTACCAAAGGGAATGCAATTTTTGCTACGCGGAGAGGGCGTTTGTCATGCGGAATAGGCATCAAGAAGCTCTCAAAAAATCTGTGATGCCAGGGCATGCATCACAGACACCAGGGCTCATGCAAAACGTGCATGACAAGTGTCAGAATCTTCCAGCCCAGACATTTTTACATTTGATAGTTGCCGCCGCCTTTTCTCGGCCTCTTCTGCCTCCCGCTTCTTTCGGTCGATTTCTTCCTGCAGTTTTCGCTGCCGCTCCTGCTCGTCGAGCTCTTCCGCCTCGCGCCGCAGCCGCATCTCCTCCTCCCACGCAAGGCGCTGCGCCTCCTTCTGCCGCTCGAATTCCGCCGCCTCCCGGTCCCGCGCCTTTTGCGCAAGCTCGTGCTGCCGCCGGAGTCTTTGCTCCTGCTTCATGGCACGCCGCTGGGCGAGGGTTTCCCGGAGCCGCTGCTCCCGCAGCCAGCGCTCTTGCTCGGCCTCCTGCTTTTTTCGCCATTCCTCGGTTTCCTCCTCCCGAGACCGGGTCACAATCAGCTCCAGTCGCTTCCGTTTCCGGTCTTCTTTCCGCCACTTGCGCTCCTGCTCGGCCAGCGCGCGGCGGCGCTCAAATTCCAACCTCCGCTTTTCTTCCTCCATCAGCAGCCGGTACTGCTCGCGTTCGTCCTCCCGGGCCTTGTCACTAAGCTCCAGTTGCCGTTTGCGCAACACCTCCTCCTTCCTTCTTTTCCGCTCCTCCGCGGCCTTCTGCCGCCGTTCCTCGGTTTCTAGCTGCAGTCTCTCCTGTATCCACAGTAAATTTCCCGTACACGACGTACAAATGCAGAAGTCTCTGCATGACAAAATTGGGCCTCGATCCTAGTTTAGCATGATAAGTGTTCTTACACTCCAAATTGAAGAAATTTGTGATGCATCTTGTACATGTACGGAAAATTCGTATTGCATATCCTGTTCCATGTGCAACCGCCAGTTTTCCTGCTCTTTCCGTCTTGCCTCGTCGGAAAGTTCCTGCTGCCGCTTCAACCGGAGACTCTCTTTCCTTTCCTTCCTGTCGGCTTCCGCCTTTTTCTGCCGTTCCTCCCGCTCAAGCGCTGCTTCCTCCTGTTGCATTTGCAGTTTCCAGATCTCCCGTTCCCGTTCCCGGGATTCCGCGGCGATCTTCGCGATTTTTTCCTCGCGCTTCAGCTTCAAACGCTCTTTGCGTTCGAGCTTCTGAATCTCGAGCTGCTTCAGCCGCTCTTCCGACTTCTGTTTGCGGAGTTCCATGGCCTCGTACTGCAGTCTTTCCTTCTCCTCCCTTTCCCGGGCCTCCTTCGCGAGCAGCTCTTGGCGCTTCCGCCTCTCCTCCTCCTTTTTCGCTTTCCGGTCCAGTTCCATACGATGCAAATGCTCCTCAGTGGTAGTTTGCCGGAGCTGCCTATCGGCTTCCGCCTGCCGTTCGAGCTCTTCCCGTGCACGCGCGTTGTCGGCGATTTCGGCCTGGCGCTTCAGCCTCATCTCTTCTTTCCGCCGTTTGGCCTCTAGCGTGATGAAGGTCAGCCGCTCCTCGTATTCGCGCTTTCGCACCTCCTGCTCCATTCTCATTTTTTCCTCGTGGTCCCACCTCTCCTCCTCCCGCGTGCGATGCTTGTCCGCGACCTCCGCCTGTCTGCGCAGCTTCATTTCCTCCTTCCGCCGCTTCGCCTCGAGTGTGAGGAAGCTCAGCCGCTCTTCGTACTCCTGTTTCCGAAGTTCCTGTTGCATCTTCGCTTGCTGCTCTAACTGCTCCGCGGCGCGCCGCTTCTCCTCTGCCTCGTGAATCAGCTTCATCCTTTCGATTTCACGCCTCTCCTTTTGCCGCATTTCCAGGAGCTTGACCTGCTTCTTGTTCTCCTCAACTTTTTGCTCACGCTGGATTCTTCTCTCCTCCTCGAGGTTCAACTCGCGCTGCATCTCGATCTCCTTTTGCCGTATGCAACACAAATGACCTAGTACCATGCGCGGAGGCGGACAGGGACAGCATCACGCACAAGAGAATTATGCATCATATCACACACGACATGGACATGCTTAATTTCTCTCTTTTATTTCGCTTACTTTGCGAAGTAGAACCTATACACAGGTGGATGAACTACCGCGGACCCTACGAGTGTCTGCAGAAGAGTAAAATTATGTGTGATGTTGAAAAAGAGCAGCCTCATCTTCGTCATATTCAAGCAATTATGCAATGTGCAGTACATTGGCGACGGTACTACTAGTGAATGCATCACTGGGCATATCTCGGGCGAGTTTCGCGCGCTCGAACTGGCGTTTCTCCTTGTCTTCCTTGGATTTCTGTTTCATCATCAGCATTCGCTCCTCGTGGAAGATCTCCCTAGTTCTCTGCCGGGATTCCTCGTCTTCTTGTTGTAGCCACTGCCGCTCCTCTTCTCTTCTGGCCTTGTCTGCAAGCTCTTGTTTTCTTGCGGACTTGGACCGGTGCCTCTGGAGTTGTTTCGCCGCGTTGATTTCCGCCATGCGTTCTTCGTGCGCGAGTTCTCGCTCTTTCTGTTTTTGCTCGAGCAAGAGCTGTTGCTGCCTTTCCAAGTTTTCCCTTTTCCGGGCTTCTTCCGCGAGCTGATGTTGGTGCTGCTGCTTTTCCGATTTAGACCGCAGCTTTGCCGCGTGGATTTCCGCCATGCGCTCTTCGTGAGCGAGTTCTCGTTCTTTCTGTTTTTGCTCAAGCAAGAGCTGTTGCTGCCGTTCCAGGTCCTCCCTCTTCCGCGCCTCCTCGGCCAATTGGTGCTGCTTTTCGGATTTGGAGCGCTGCTTTGCCACGTCGAGTTCCGCCATGCGCTCTTCATGAGCGAGTTCTCGATCTTTCTGCTTCTGTTCGAGCAGGAGCTGTTGATGTCTTTCCAAGTCCTCCCTCTTCCGCGCTTCCTCGGCCAATTGGTGCTGCTTTTCGGATTTGAGCCGCTGCTTTGCCACGTGGACTTCCGCCATGCGCTCTTCATGAGCGAGTTCTCGCTCTTTCTGCTTCTGTTCGAGCAAGACCTGTTGCTGTCTTTTCAAGTCCTCCCTTTTCCTTGCCTCCGACGCGAGCTCGCGCTGCTTTTCGGACTTGGAGCGCTGCCTTTGCAGCTGCTTTGCCGCAGCAATCTCGGCCAACCGTTCCTCGTGCGCGAGTTCCCGTTCCCGGGCGCGGGCGTCGACGAGGATTTTCTGCTGCTGCAACTCCTCCTCGCGACTCCGTGCCCTGTCGGCGAGCTCGTCCTGGTGCCTCGTTTTCTGCAGTTTTTTGCTCATCTGTCGTGCGTTGTCCAGCGCCTTCATCCTCTCCGCGTGCTCCAGCGCCCTCTGCGCCATCACTGCCAGGGTCACCTTCTGTCGGGATTCTTCTTCGATTTTCTTCTGGTGTTCCTCGCTCGCGAGCCGCTCTTTTTTCAAATTGTGCTCCGCTTTCGTTGCTTTCAGCTCTGCCATGTGTTCTAAATGCCTTAAACGCTGCTCCTCTCGCTGCTCTTCTGCAGCATGTTTTTGCAATTCCAAATCGTGAGTCTCTTTGGACCGGCGTTGGATGAGCTCCAACTTTTTCAGGCTGTTCTTCTCCTGCCTCCGTTCCTTAATCACAGCCATGCGCTCTTCGTGTTTCATTTCCCGCTCCCGCCTTCGCGCCTCAGCCTCTTCTTTTTCGATTCTTTCTTTCTCCGCCTGTTGGGCTTCCGCTTGGCGCAGCTCTTCGCGTTTCTTGGCTATAATTTCCTCTTTGCGCAGCTTGTGGTCGGACTGAATCTTCGCCATGCGCTCGGCGTGCTGGAACTCGCGCTCCTTCTTTAAGTTTTCCTGCTCCTCCTTCTCTTTTTTTTCCTCGATTTCCCGCTGGCGAGCCGCTTCGGCGGATTCGTGTTTTTGCTTTGCTTTTTTCGTTTGCCGTTGCAATTCCAGAGCCGCTTTCCGCTCCTCATGGCGAATCTCTTCCTGCCGCTTCTTGTCCTCCGCGTCTTTGATAAGTCTTTCCCGCTCCAGACTGGCCGCACGCAGGTGATCCCGCTCTTCCGCAGCAAGCTTGTCTTTGTGGAGGCGGAACTGCTCTTTCGCTTCCTTGCGGTTTATGCAACACAAATCGACCGGACAACGACACACAGGACAAGCACGTCGACGCACAATGTGAATGTGCATGACAAGCTGGTGATGATAATTATCGTCATCTACATCTTCTTCTTCAATACGACCTCATACATGACGCAAGCAAAACAAGCAGGACGTTTCTATTGATGCTAAATAAGACAGGCAAGGCAAAGGAGCAGATTTGTCATGGAACAAGTTGCTTGTCATCATGTATCTGATCCGGTAGATTCTCTGCCGACGATACGTTTTTCCAGGCGGTCCTTTTCTCTTTCGACGAGTTCCAACTCCATTTTTTTCCTCGCCGCCTCCCTCGATGCCTCGTCGTCTTTCGCATCTCGCAATCGTTGCTTCTCCAACAACAAATGCTCTGCTTTCTCGTGTTCTTTCTGGAATCGGCGGGCGCGAATGTCGGCGATTCGCTTCTTTTCCTTCAGCTCCTGCATGGCGTTTTCGTGTTCGAGCAGATGTTGCTTCTCCACGCGGGCTGCCTCCTCGTGTTGCGCTTGCTCTTTCAGTTTTTGGATCCGCAGCTCCTGTTGCTGTTTCCTATTCAGCATCTTTTGCTCGTGCTGTTCGTGTGCCTTCCTAGCTTGTTCCGCTTCTTCAAAAGCTCGATGCCGCTCCAGGATCTGTTTTTTGTGCGCGGCGTCCGCCTCGCGTTTCCGGGCCAAATTCGACATCGTTTCGAGATGTTTTCGCTTTTCGAGCGCGTGCTGTTCTTTTTCGGTAATCTGCCGCTTTTCATCCGCAAGCTTGTCTTCCTGCTGTTTCTTTTCTCTCAGCCATTTCTGTTTTTCTATTTCCGCCTGCTTGTGCTTTTTTGCCTCGGCCAGCCTCTCGAATTCTTGGAGGCGCTTTTGGTGCTCGCGGGAAAGTTTGCGCTGCTTCTCCAAGTGCTTTTCGTGCTCATGCTTCGCTTCCCGGGCCAGTCGCTGCTGCTCCGCGAGCGCGGCCTGCCGGTTCGACTCCTCCTCCTGGGCCTTTCTCGCCAGGAGCGTTTGCTGTCGCAGGTCTTGCTCCCGCTTTCTCTTCTCCGCCGACCGCCGTCGGGCTTTTTCTTCCAGCACTTTTTGCGTCATTTTCTCCAGCGCTTGCTTCTCCTGCTTGGATCCCTCGGACCGCGCCTGGCTGACGGCTCGCTTCCGCGCCTCGTCGCGCGCTTTCGAAGCTTTCATAAACTCTCGCTGCGCCTTCTTCCGCTCTTTCTCCGCGGCCTCCTTTTCCTCTTTTTGCTTCAACTTCGCGGCCTCGAGCTTCTCCTCGGCCTCCTTCAGCTTCCGAGCCTCGCCGGCCTTGGCAAGCTCCGTCACGTCGCGCATGCGCTTCTGCATCTGCCGCTTGTGCTGCTCTTCCTGCTTCTTGCGGAGGTCCTGCGGGGAGAGAAAATGTTGTGAGGATCAAAGCAGGACACAATCAATGATAAAGATGAAGTAGAAGATGGCTCAAAAGAAGAAAGTTTCTCCCGCCCCGTCTGCGAGAATCAACTGCGAAAGTGAGTAGCACGTTATGATGAACAGCAACAGTGTCTGAATTCTTGACTCACATAATTCTAGCAAAACCACGGAAGCAGGCGAAGGGGAAGCGTGTATTAAATTCAACCCATCAACAAGATCAAACAGTAAGTACCTCCTGCCGTTTTAGCTCAGCCTCGTAGGCTTTTTTGTGTTCCTCGAATTCCTTTTCGTGTTTTTTCAATTTCTCCTCCGCCGCCCGTTTTTCTTTCTCCTTCGCAATTCGCAAGGCCTCTTTCTCTTTTACGGCAGCAGCGAGTTTTTCCTGTTTTTCCCGTTCCGCCTGCAACAGTTTTTGCGCCATGTCGTCCTTCAATTTCTTTTCAATCTTCGCTTTTTCCTCGGCATACGCTATCCCGAGTAAAAACGTACCCACGCCAGAGTTGTAATGCAGATTTGCGAAGACAGGAAGGCTTGTAATGCGCATCCCCATGAGAGCCATTTCCAATCGTGTTTTGGAATTTGTGATGCTGTGAACAGGATGAGCAGATGAATCTGTGACGCGGCTGCACTTGCTAACCTGCACTACACTGCAGAGTGCAACTTGTCATGCGTGACTCACAAAACTCCTAGGTTTCTGTTGCAAAATCCCCATCCTGACTCTGGTGTGGGTATGTTTTTACTCAGGATATTCGCCCGCTCCTGGTCCCGTTGCTTCCGCTCCGCGAGTATCAAATGCAAAAGTGTCTGGGTCTGGAACATGGCAACTTGTCATGCTCAATCTGAATCATGCAAAAATCTGTGTTGCATGATTACCAAAAGTCGTCCACTTTTGACCAAGTCGAGAGGGAGTTTCTCATGCAGGATAGGCACGATAGAGATCTCGCGGAGTTTGTCATGCTAGGTCCCGCATTCCAGACCTTCTGGGTCATGGAAAACCTGCATGACAAGACTTGCAATTTTCCAGACCCAGACATTTTTGCATTTGATAGCGAGCCTTGCCTTCGCCTCCGCAGCTTGTTTCGCCTCCTTTTCCTTTTCCGCTTGGAGTTTTCTCTCCTCCGCCATCTTGTCTTCGTATTGCTTCTTTAGTTTCTCTAGTTGCTCCGCGGCGCGTTTTTCCTGTTCTTTAGCTTTTTTCTGCGCTTCCCGGTCCTTCGCGGCGTTGGCGAGCTGCTGCTGCTTTTCCTTTTCGGCTTGCAACTTTTTCTCCTCCGCGAGGTGATCTTCAAATTCCTTTTTCAGGCGCTCGACCTCAGCCTTCTCGGCTTTGCCTTGACCTTTACTTGTTTTTCCACCTTTCGGACTAGAGCCCCGAGATGAATCGTCGCTCGCCGAGCGCTTTTTGCCTTTTCCCTTTTTCGCGGTGTGCTGTTGCACCTTTGCAGCCTCGACGTAGCGCTGTCTCATTTCCTCTTCGAGGTTCGCTACTCTCTCCTGCTCCAGCCTCTCCTGCTCGGCGGCTTTCTCGGCGGCGATTCTTTTTCTGTTCTCCTCCTCTGCAGCCGCGATGGCGGCAGCTGCGGCGGAATTACTATCTTCCACATTTTCCTCCACCTCGTTATCCTCCTCCTCTAGTGCCTCCTCTGGAGGCTCGTCCTGATCCTCCTCGTCACTAGAAGACTTTGGCGCGGCGAGGGAAACTTTGTCCTCCTCATCTGCAGACTCTTGTTCCTCCAATGGGCTGAGCTGCAGCTCATCCACGTGGCCAGCGTCTGTGGCGGGTTCAGGTTCTTGGTCTTCAAACAAACGAGTTTGTCGGTGGGAAGAGCCGCGGATTTCGGGTCGGGATCGATGAGAAGAGGCTGTCGCAGACGGATCGGACGACTCCAAAATGTTTCTGCGACTCGAGTCATCGGGAAAAGCATCTTCAGAAGATTGTTGTTCATCGGCTTCTGGTGCTTCAGCCTGTTGTTCTTCTTCAGCATCTTCATCCAACACGATCGGCGGTATGGTCCCCAGGAGCGTCGGCTCCGACGCGGCTTCGGCTTGCTCATCTTCAACAGCGGCAGCAGCAGCTTCAGGCTGGTCATCTTCGGCCTGATGTTCCTCCTCGTCTTGGTCTTCCTCCTCCTCCTCGTCCTCCGCATCGTCCGGACCTGCAACGACGCCTTTTTTGTAGTATTTCCTGGCGCCATCGGCGGCTTGCACGGCGGCGGAAGATTCTTGTTCCTCTTCGTCATACTCTTCGTATGATCCACCCGTAGCGGAACTGCGGAACACCTCCTCGGTTACGCTAGCATTCTCAGCTCCAAAAGCAGCGTTGAGATCCTCGGTGGAAGGGGGTTGGGGTTCTTGTTGATCTTCCGTTGAAGCCGGTACTATCTCAGCCTGTTCCTCTTCTTCCTCCTCCTCCTCAACAGCAGCCTCCTCTACAACTTCCTGCGCATCGGGAGCAGTGACTTCTAAAGCAGCGTTTCTGTAGTAATCTCGTGTGTTATCCTGCAGTCTCTTTTGCCGCTTCCATTCTTGCTCTTTCTTTTTCGCGGCTGCTACAGCGTCTTTGCGGCGCTTTTCCTCCTCTTCGGCCTGTACTTGCCGCGCGCGCTCCTCCTCCTCTTCGGCCGCTTTGCGAGCGCGTAGTTCCTCTCTCTCTCTCGCTTTCGCTGCAGCGCCGTCGTCGAAGTCCAGATTGCCATCGTCGTCATCAGATGAGGATTCCTCTTCGCTGCTTTCCTCGTCTGCTTGCGGAGCAGAAGGTCCTGCAGCTGCACCATCGTCCTGATCATCATCACCTCCATCCCCATCGTCAACCCCTCCTGGACCACGAGGCTCCTTTTCATCTTCCGTTGCGGACGGGAACTGCTGGGTCTTATCCAGCTTGTCTTCATCTTCTGCGGCCGAGGGAAACTGCTGCTCCTCGTCCTGCGTCTGTTCTAATCTTGCACGAAGCGCATCCAATTCCGCCCGCAGTTTCTCGTTTTCTTGTTCCAGTTCCCGCGTCGAAATATCTTCCATCTGCTCGCTGCTCGTTCTAGTCGTATCAAATGCAAATATGTCTGGGTCTGAAAACTTGCGATGCATGTCAGTGAATAGAGAACGCATTGCATGGCACATGCGCCGCCAAGCATGACAGGTTTTTCCGTATTTTTGTGTTGCGTATTCCGCGACGTGTGAAACAGCGTTTCTGCATGAGCATGATAGAGAAGACGGGCTCTACTTGCTGGCCACGCAATACAAAGCTCAGCTTCATGCCAGAATAGCATGACAAGTCTCGCATTCTTCCAGAGGACCCAGACATATTTGCATTCGATAACTCGGGATTCTTTGCAATGCCGCGAGCCTGTCCGCCTCCTCCTGCTCCTTTTTCCGTTGTAGCTGCTGTTCTTCTCGTTTTTCCTTCTCCAATTGCTTCCGCTTTTTCTCCTCTTCCACCAGCTGCTTATGCTTCGCTTTCACCTTCTTTTCGATCTGCTTCTGTACTTCCTGTTTCACTTTTTCCCGGTAATTGGCCACGTAATACTCGTGGACTTTCGCATCGTCAAACGCCCTCGGCTTCGGCAGCTCTTCCTCCTCCTCTTCCCCTAAATGGTCTTCTGCGAAGTGGTCGGCAAGCGACGAGCGCATCTCCAGTGTGGACCTCGTTTCCTCGAAACTGCCCGCGTGGTCTTCCAATTCTTGACTAACGTGTTCACCGTAGTTCTCATCTGCCACGTGGTCTAGGTAAGAAGACACCAAATCGTTCTCCGCATCGGAATCCGCGACAACCGTGTCGTGGTACTCTTCAATCAGTGTGGACAAACGTTTTCTTGATCCTTCCACGATCACGTCCCTGTAGCGAAACTGATCCAGCACGCCTTGCACGGCCTTCTTTTGCCGCTCCGCGACGTGCTCTTCCATCTCGAGAGCAAGTTCGTGTTGGTCCGCGATCGCCCGAGTTTGCCGCATCGCTTCTGCCTCTTCCGCAGAAGAGGAGCTGGATTCGTCCACCGGGGGAGGGAATTGGACCCCGAAATCCTTCGTTTTTGGTTCCTGCGCGACTTCCAGCTCGTGACTGGTGCGGATCACTTCCGAAATCATGGATTCCGCTCTGGACCCGATGCTTTCTGTAGAAGTACTGTTCCTGCCCGGATAAAGGTCCTTTTTGTCGGAGATGCGGAGCGAATTGTGGAATTTCTTCACGAGCTTGTGGACCTTCAGCTTCAGTTTCGCAAACTTGCTGATTTTACTGTCTACATCTTGGCTGGCTTGCTTTTCAACAAGCGGAACAGCAACAGCATCTTTCGCTTTCTGCCTGTAGTATTTTTTCAACACGGGCTGGACCATGTCCCTGAATCCCTGTGTCTTCTCGTCGACCTCATTCGCGGTGGCTTCCCACTTCTGCATCGCGCGCTTCGCCTCCGCGTCCCGGGACGCCTTCACGCGGTTAGCGGCGGCTCGCACCAGCTTGCTGGATGAGGACTCTTTGTTCGAGGCCTTCGGCTTGGACGTTTGCTGTTTGTGAAACTGCTCGACTTTTTGCTCAAGATTCGACCTGGCCTTGGTCAAGAGCTTCTTGCCGAATTTATTCACGTAGTAGTGCTTCAGAACCGTGCCGGCAAGCTTAGACTTTTCTTCCTGGATTTCTTGTGTAACAGACTGGTACTCGGAGATCAGAGACTTAATCTTATTCATGTCGGAAGGTTCAGCTCCTTCGGACTGCTCCTCTTCTTCATACTCCTCTTCGTACTCCTCATATCCACAGGAAGTTTCTCGTACAGCTACAGGTGCCGCACACACAAATGCCGCAAAAAGCATGACAAAAAATCGAAATGTCTCTTATCCTATTCAGCATGACCACAAGTCACCTCTTTCTTTTCATCTGTTGGAAAAATTTGTGATGCGTTTTGTACGTCGTGTTGTACGGGAAACTTGTATTGCATACCTCGTCACCAGGATCATCCTGTTCTTCCTGCTGTCTTACGTATTCCTCCACGACAGCCGTCGAAGCTATTTGAACTTCTTCCTCGTCGCTGTCGTTTTCCATTGCCTCGTCATACTCCGCCACCGCATCATCCAACGCCGGATTTCCGGAACTGACCGAAATCCTTACGGCATCCTTGTAGTACCCGCGGAGGGCAGAGTTCAACAATCGGTTTTTCAATTCCAATCTCCTCTGCTCCTTCTCCTCGAGAGATTTTCGACTGTCAGCAACTTGCTCTTTCTGCACTTCATCCGCCTGTTTATCCATTTCGAACGCGTCAAACATTTCCGAAGCGGCTTGGTTCGACTTTGCGTGCTCCGTGTCGATTTCGCAATAAGCCTCGACCAATTTTTCCTGCTCGGACAGATCGGTTGACTCGTCCTTCCCGAGGTCCGCGACAAAGTGCTTCTCTAACGCGACATCCACCGCCTTCGCTTTCGCCTCCTGTTCTCGTGCCGCAGCTTCAGCGGCCGCGCGGTAGGCAGCGGCCTTTTCGGCGAAATTTTTATCGGACGAGTCGGCAGCAGGTTCTGATGAAGACTCAGATTCTTGTTCCGAAGCGTCTTCCTCCTCTGCTTCATCACCAGCAGGCCGCTTTTCTTCTTGTTTGGCAAGTTCTTGCTGTTCCAAAAACGCGTCCACCAGCTGTTTCGAGGTTTCCTCATCGTGTTCGAACATGCCGGTTTCTTCGTCATGCTCCTGCTCCACCATGTCATCCAACGCGGGATTGTCGTAATTTTCCGATACCCGCAGTTTCTGGTACTTCTGGATCATAGCTTTCATTGCAGACTCCCGCGCTTTCGTCGCGTCGTCGACCGATTTCCGATAATCGAGAATGCTCTGTCTTTGCTGCTCTCTCGACTCGGCGGTGGACGAGATGTTGACAGGATCTACATCTTCTTGGTCGGCGGGGGAAGTTTCTTCATCTACATCTTGCTCGTAGTACTCGTCTAGAATTTGCTCCTCCAACACCGCAGTTGTGTCGTCCGCAGACGCAACCACCGCATCGGCCTTCGGCTTCAAGTGGTTCAACGCTTTTATTTTGAAAACCGCTCTGTGAATCTTTCCCATCAATTTTCTCCGGTTTTCCTTGTGTTTTGCCTCGAGGTCTTGTTCATCTTGAGAAGCTATCG